TGCCTTTGCAATAACTCTCTTCCCTTTTTGTCTGAGAAATATACTTTTTCACTGCCTGTGGAAAAAATAGGGCTATCCATTCTGTGAAATGTTAGGGCAGAAATACATCTTATGGCGCAACCATGGGATTTCCAAACTACATGCCTAGTTTTTCATTATTATCAAAGATTTTCTTCATTTACAAAAGTACATGCCTTGACTCTTTTTTCAAGTTGGCAGGAAAGTTATAGTGCATCATCAGGAAAGTGTTTAACCCTTGCCCTGCCACCCTCTTCTTTCAGGCTGGGTCCTCCACTCCATCCCACTTCTTCGCTCTCCAGCTGGCTCATAATAATAATAATAATAATAATAATAATAAGCTCATAATTTAGCCCAACAGAAGGGAGAGGCAGACATAAGGAAGAGCTCACAGGGAAAGCAGACTGGAATAGTGGCACCCACAGGCAGGGCAGAGTAGCGGTACATATACTGTAAAGTCAAGTCACATTTGGGAAGACCAGGTCAAGACAGCTATAGCCAGCACAGTTTGAGAGCCAGCAAGGTGTAATGGTTAGAGTGTTGGACCAGGGCCTGGGGGACTAGGGTTCAAATCCCAACACAGCCCTGAAGCTCATAGGATGACCTGGGGCTAGCCACTCTGTCTTTCAGCCTAACGTACTTTAGAGGGTTGTTGTGAGGATGAGATGGGAAAGGGGAAAACATGTATACCACTCCTTGGAGGAAAAGTGGGATATAAACGAAGAAATAAAATAAATAAAGCAGAGTCAAATCCAGTCAAGGCAAACATACCCATCCACATTTCTCGGATGAAAATAGGGACATTCTGTTCCGATGATGATGATGTTATTATTATTTATACCCTGCACATCTGACTGGGTTGCCCAGTTACCAACATATATATATAAAAAATAAAATATTAATCATTTTTTTAAAACTTCCCTATACAGACCTGCCTTCAAATGTCTTCTAAAGGTTGTAGAGTTACTTATCTCCCTGGCTTGGGGGTTGCAGAGTCCCATCTTCCTGGATCAGGGCAAGTACCACAGGATCTGGCGTAAACCAGTCAGAAGTGGACATCCCTGTGAGAATGGTGACTCGCTTATTTTAACCAATGGAAGGGAGGCTGCCGCATCAGGGAGGTGCTCTGAACTCTTCAGAGGATTGCTCAGATTATCCCTGCTCCTGGCCCCGCTCTCTTTGAGGATCTGTCTGTGCCCTTAAAGGGCCACTATCTTTTTTCTAGGGTGGTTGGCTCATAAGGCAAGCTGGGAGATGAGGGCTCCCCCTGGGAATGAATCTTCTGAATCTGAGTAGTCCTGTGAGACACTGTCCTCCTCTGGCCTGGAGTGGGGGACGGCGGCCCTTCCAGAGCCTCTACTTCAATGCCGCCATCTGTGCTTGTGTTCGGGCCATGGGTGGGGATCCTCGCAGGTGGGTGGATGTGAACTGACAGGCAAGGCAAGGCTTCGGTACCACTCACCAGCCTACCTCTTCTCCCTTGCAAGTGCCACACTGTTAACCAGCAGGCCAGCATTCTATACATAGGGTGAGAGCAAAAGGAGGCATTATGTTGGCAAATGTGTGGTCTTATTTGCTCAAGTAATGGGAGTGCAGGGATCAGTAGGCAAGAGGGAGGGATGCTGAACCCCTTCCATGCCTGCAGGGTCATCTTTCCTCACTTAAGGCTGTTTCCTCCTCCTCCTCCTCCTCCCGACTTCCAGGGCGTTTGGGAGCCCAGATTAGGAGTGGGGATGTCATTGCTTGTTTTCCTAACCACTGTGTTAGCACTATGATGATGGAAATGCAGCCCACATTTCCTTCTCAAAATCATTCCAAAAGACACAGTCGAAATGCTGTTTGTCAAGGGAGGAGGTGACCCTGTTCCCTAGACTTTATGGTACAGCTGAAGATGTTGCCTTTCACTGACCATCTTCTTGCCGGGTGCAGCTTGTGTGAAGTGTTCTGCCTGCCTATGTGCATGTGGAAAGAAGCTGTTTGCACATAAAATGCAGCCTGACCTTTTCACCTCTTCTGCTAGTTTCTATGGTATTGGGGCGTGGGGCTCCAGAGCATGCAATTTGCTTTGAAAAAACTGATCTTACTTTTCTGGTCCTGCCTATCTGGTTGCTTGTCTGTTTCCCCTATGCTGCGTGTGTATATTGGTAAATCAATAGATATTGCAGTAATCATGAGTCTCCAGTGGTTTTCCCCACATTCAGGCAAACCCTATAATGTTGCCCTTTTAGTTCTTGTCACCTGGGGAAGTAGGGCACCATAGTTTGTGACAAGAGTCCTGCCCTCCACTAAGCCTAGAGAATAAGGCACCTCCCTTCCTAAACACACAAAGTTCCTAATTAAATCCTGTCTAGCAAGGTGAGAGATGGGCTGTGGCCATGTAACCTTTTGAACCCCCAAGCTGCAACAGATGCCTGCAGCTTCCAGCACCAGAGGAAGTTCTGCAGCATTAGTTTGGATTACGTGTAGGATTAGTTAGCTCAATATGCTGATAAAGTGTTTCAGTTCCGTTTTGGGGCTGCATACTTTCTCTCTCTCTCTCTCTCCCCCATTACATTTTTCAAAATCCTCCATCTGAATGACCTGCTTTATTTGATATCTGGGCTGCACTGGTTTCTGAACACCCTACAGGGCTGGTTTGCCCCCAAGGGCTGCTTGGGCTGCACCACTGGTCATTAAAGTGTCTGGGAGAGGGGAGGGGAGACGGGAGTCTTGTGAAGCCAGTGACTTGGAATTCAGCTGTTTCCTAGAGGAAACTCTAGAGGAAACCAGCATAAAGCATGGGCGGGGGGCAAATCCTGTGCCCCATAAGCAGCTGGCATTAGCAGACAGAAAGGACTACGATGGGTTCCCCAATGCTACTACCCTAGCAGGGTTGGCACTGGAACTAGGGACCTCCCTATGGTTACGTATTTCACATAAAAAAAGAAAGTAAATGTGGCTTCTTCTCAATACTTCCTCCTCTTCCTCAAATCCTTGAACACAGTAGATACAAAGAAATCCCCTAACAAGAATCCACTGTGTTACGTAATCTAATATCTGCCTGAGCAGCTTTCATTCCTTGCATAACTGCTGTTTACATAATATCAATGAGGTCACAACAGATAAAACACCAGCAACTCAGATGTTTCATATGGTATATAGGTGGGAATGCAGACTGTGCTTGCAGTAGAAACGTGAAGAAGTGTGGTTTCATCCTATCTAAAGAATCTGCTGGATCCCCTGTGACCACTGATTTTGTTTGTTTCTTCCATTTTGTGGGTCACCTCCCAATAAAGCTTCTTAAAACAGCTTAAAAATCTGAAAGCAATTTAATACATTTTGTGAGAATGGAATTTAATCCATATCTGATGTCTAATTACTTGGGGGGGGGGGTTCTAAGCAATATTCCATAGTACTATTACAAACAATAAAATTGTGTACAGTTTCTTTATCAGTGTGGAGTTTTTTTATTGTTAGTTGTCGTACTGTTTTGAAAATTCATATATGAAACATAAATATAGTCTATTTAAACAATTTATATCCTACCCTCTACTGTAAAAATATTTCCAGGGTATTACTTCTTCATACACAAAATGTTTGTGGTGAAAGCCACCAATTTAGATGGCTAAGGGATTAAACAAATTAATGGATATTGAATGAGGGACCAATCCTATAGAAAGATCTGCAAGGATGAGTAGGGCTATGATACAACAGATCTCTGTCCGATTTAATTCCTTCATCTTCAGCTCAGCCAGAGATATGCCTGCATCCTTCATGTGACCTGGCAAACTTGTGTAAATCAAGCCAGCAAAATGGGTGGTGTAAATTAGAGGCTCGTTTGCTCTCTGCCAGGCTTAGACTGTCTCAGTCAGCTCCATTCCTGAATGGGGCTCCTGGTGAGCTTTATGCTACGTTAACTTACACCAGAATTGCTTTATGCCAGTTTCTTGTGTCTCAGGCTATCAGCAGCTATTTTTTATGATGGCAACATGCTTTATCCAGAATTGGGGCAGCCTGTTCCTGAATACCAGTGGCTGAAGAGCATCAGCAGGCAAGGGCTATGTTGCAGGAGTGAGGAGCTTGTGGATGTACATGAAAGAACTGGAGATGTTGGCTTTCATCCCCAGCCAGCATGGCCAATGGTCAGGGATGATGAGATTTGTAGTTCCACAGGCTCCCAACTGCTGCCTACACATATAGCCTGGCAACTGGTTGTTCACTGCAGGGAATAGGATGCTGGAGTTAACAAGCCTTTGGTCTGATCCATCAGGGGTTTTCTTGTGTTCTTACAATTGAAATATAAACAAAAACATAGCAAGAAACATACTGGTATGTTGCCAGCTGGTTGTTATTTTTTAACATACATGCTCAGCAACTTCATTATCAGAACAGATAATATCATGAACTAATGGTGCCACCTTACAAGCCGTTTTGAACTCTATGCGACTTGCATCTGAGTAGACACGCATAGGACTGTACTGTAAACTTTGAGGCTTGGTTAAGAAGTCAGAGGTGAAATGAATGGAAAGAGAAGCCAAAAATTAGCCAAAGGTGAAATAGCAATAAAACTTAGGACCATAGAATGTTTACATGCACACAGAAGATAATATCAAGGCGCAGACATTCTTTCTGAGGCTCTTTGGAAAGTATGACCTTCATAAGACAATGTCACCCCCTAAATATGGGAAATGTTAAAAAATAAAGAGTTACAGGTTTCCAGAGCTGGTGCGGTATGTGAAGAAGCGGCAACCCTGCATCTATGATACTAAGGGACACGTCTACATACAATGTCGTCTTTTAAATGAACGTGCATTTATTTGCATATGTATTCTGAAATATATTGATGTTGATTCATTGATTTGTTTCTTTTCTTCAAGCTTGCCAATGCTGACAGCAGCATGGTGAAGCACCCTGGCTAGAGGGAACATATGGGAGAAAATTGTATGAATTTTAGGTTTACGTATTTAAAAATAAATTCAGAATAATATTTGTGGTTTTTTTTTAAATGATATTTATTAAAGTTTCAAAGAAAGGATTACATAAATAAAAAGAGAAAAAAAAGAAAACGACACAAAAAGGGAAAAAAAATACAAAATACAAAAAAGATAAAAAACACTTAAAAAACACATCAGTCTTTCCATGCCTTACATTTCATTTCCTTACTTCCCTGACCTCCTCACACCTCCCTTTTTTGTATTCCAGTTCTGTTAGTTAATTCAGCAATTCCTTTCCCTCTTTGTTTTTGTCTTAATCCTTTAACTTAATATATTATAACTTTGGATTTTCACCTGTTAACAATCCATTTTTACATACACCTTTATAACATTACTGCTAAAGCCACTTAACTTCATTCTGACATCATTCTAACATTCATTAATTTTGCAGTATTTCTGTAAATAGTCTTTAAATTTCTTCCAATCTTCTTCCACCGACTCTTCTCCCTGGTCTCGGATTCTGCCAGTCATTTCCGCCAGTTCCATATAGTCCATCACCTTCATCTGCCATTCTTCCAGAGTGGGTAAATCTTGTGTCTTCCAATACTTTGCAATAAGTATTCTTGCTGCTGTTGTAGCATACATAAAGAAAGTTCTGTCCTTCTTTGCCACCAATTGGCCGACCATGCCCAGGAGAAAGGCCTCTGGTTTCTTCAGGAAGGTATATTTATATACCTTTTTCATTTCATTATAGATCATCTCCCAGAAAGCCTTAATCCTTGGGCATGTCCACCAAAGGTGAAAGAATGTACCTTCAGTTTCTTTACATTTCCAACATTTATTATCGGGCAAATGATAGATTTTTGCGAGCTTGACTGGTGTCATGTACCACCTGTATATCATTTTCATAATATTCTCTCTTAAGGCATTACATGCCGTAAACTTCATACCTGTGGTCCATAACTGTTCCCAGTCAGCCATCATTATGTTATGTCCAACATCTTGTGCCCATTTAATCATAGCAGATTTCACCGTTTCATCCTGAGTATTCCATTTCAACAGCAAGTTATACATCTTTGACAAAATCTTAGTTTTGGGTTCTAACAGTTCTGTTTCTAATTTTGATTTTTCCACCTGGAAGCCAATTTTCTTGTCCAAATTGTATGCCTCCATTATCTGATAATAATGAAGTCAATCTCGCACTTTTTTTTAGTTTCTCAAAACTCTGCAGTTTCAATCTATCTCCCTCTTGTTCCAGAATTTCCCAATATTTCGGCCATTTGGCCTCCATATTGAGCTTTTTCTGAGCTTTCGCTTCCATCGGTGACAGCCACCTTGGGGTTTTGTTTTCCAATAGGTCCTTATATCTTATCCAGACATTAAACAATGCTTTCCTGACAATATGATTTTTAAATGCTTTATGTGCTTTGACCTTATCATACCACAAATATGCATGCCATCCAAATACATTATTAAAACCTTCTAAATCCAAAATGTCTGTGTTTTCAAGAAGCAGCCATTCTTTCAGCCAGCAAAAAGCTGCTGATTCGTAATAAAGTTTAAGGTCTGGCAGGGCAAATCCACCTCTTTCCTTTACATCCGTTAGTATTTTAAATTTTATTCTAGGCTTCTTGCCCTGCCAGACAAATCTAGAGATATCTCTCTGCCACTTCTTGAAGCAATCCATTTTGTCCAAAATTTGCAATGTTTGAAACAGAAACAACATTCTAGGCAATACATTCATTTTTATCGCAGCAATACGGCCTAGCAGTGAAAGCTCAGAATAATATTTGGCCTATCTAAAGTATCTATGGAATGCTGTAGCATTATGGTGATGAGCACAGTGATAAATTATATTGGGGCAAATGTGTACTGGACGATAAATTTTCTGCCTCAGCAAGACACTTTTAAAAACCACATTCATCTTACTAAAGGAAGCGCATGCCTTAACGCTTAATTACCAACCCAGACACAGGCTGACATCCATTACCCATTTAGGCTTCATAGGCTCACTTCCCCAAAGGTGCTTAGTCAGCAACTCACAAACCTTTTCGGCTCTGCCAGGCTCAGTGGGGTGCAATCCATCCAAAGTAGAAATAAAGTAAATGCTCCCACTACTCTCACCAGCTCTAAGCAAAAAAACAACACTGCCTGCAGTGGAACTGCAGGTAGTGCATGATTTTTAAATAGGAGATGGTGGGGCTCAGTCTCCCTGGAGTCAAATGCTGCGGATGGTTGGTTCTGTCCTCTAATTTCAAGTGCATGAGGCCTGGCCATTACTCAGTAGTGAAGGGCACGAACTCTGTATATTTACAAGTCCCACATGCAGAACAGGTTGTGGAACTATATTCTAGGCACGCATTAAGTCCTGGCCAGAACCAGCCTCATAGAAAACTCTCTTAAGTCAAGTAACACTTTAAAAAGAAGAAGAAAAAGAACCAACTTTATTTTCACTGAATGTTATGGGGACTGCATCCAATAGAGTTTACACTGGCTGTGATCCAATGAGCTACTTTAGGAATGCTGGAGGGCTTGAGTATGCCTAGAATGGTTTTAATTTGAAAAGTGAAACACAGCACTACATATTTCGTTCCACACCAGAAATTCCTTTGGAAAGTCACCTCAGTTGCAAAAGGAGCTTGCAGTGTGGCATGGGGTGGTACTATTGAATTTCCTCAGCCCCAAGCTCACTGTCCTTGAGGAGGACCTCTAATATAATATATTCTATTGTTATGAGCTGGGGGTGGGCAGTGTGGATGAACCCTGGGTTCCCTTCCAGAACCTGTGATCCTGCATCCAGGACAGTAGAATGCAAAGGAAGCTTGTCAAACCAGTTCCTTTATCAAGGTAATGGCTTTGGCTGGTTGGTTGGTTTTAGCATAACCAAGTAAGTAATTCTGTTCAGCTTCACTAATTATGAACACAGAAATTTGGGGTCCCCTGCAAACCAGTGCAAAATGCTGCAAAACGACTGCAAAACTTTGGCACCGGTTTGGAGGAGATATCAAATTTTGGGGTTCATAGTCAATAAAACTATTATCTGTCATACAACTAATGAGTGGGCCTTTCCCCAAGCAGCTCATCTAGCTTGCTACTTGACAGAACACTAGCCATAGTTGTGTGTAGGCTGGAAGCAGGCTAAAAGCTGCAGACAGAGAAAGATGTCTTGCTCTTCACTTGTTAGACTTCAGGGCTCCCCGGAAACCTAAAGCAGAACCAAGATCTGTGGGGATGTTAATGCTGTGAGCCCCTCCATCCTATACACAAGTTTCTTATATGTGTGAATAAAACCATGTATCCTAAAATCAAAACAGTCAAAGAATCCACACCACAAGTAAACACTGGAACCCCTGGTGCCTCCCAGGCTCGGAGACTGGGGTGGTGCGTGACGATATTTTCTGTGTACTGTTAGTTCTATGATATAATATAGAATCTACACTATACAGAGTTCTTGTTTTATAAATGAATGGAACTTGCTGACCCAGATCACACCGCCCCCTCCTGCTCCACCAACCCCTGAACACATAATAGCAAGGAATTCAATCTCACACCCACCCAAAGTGAAGGTCGTGTAAATCCAACTGATGTCAACAGAAGAGCTATGTGCATATTTAAATCTCTCCAGGTGAAATCAACGGGCGTTTAAAAACGTTCCGCTTTGCCTGGATCGGGCCCAATAACGGCAAGTTACTCTTGCCTAATGTTTCCTCAAGGAGTTTTGGATGGGTTTCAGCTAAATCATGATAACGTTTATTACGACGCTAACACAGCATGTGCGGAAGGATGCGGTCAAACCAGCTTCCTGCGGCAATAGGAAGCCTTTCTCTGGACGCGAGCCAGAGCCAGAGCCATCGCTCTCGGGTTGCCTTTGCCCGCAGCGCGCTTCAGCTCCCGTCCAGATATGTGGACGGTGACTCAGAAGCAGCAAGTCCCACAGAGTTTATTTTGCAAGTCCTGTTGGCCTCAAAGGGTCTTACTTCAGAGCAGATCCCGATAGAATTGCGCTGCTAGTTGCTCCTCCATAAACGTGCACACGATTGCCGCCTCAGGGCTAGGGTGGCCCCGAAGCAAAAGACGAAAAAAGGCTCCTGAACCTTTAACAGACGCGCAGACTTTTTGCCGAAGAAGTTTCCTTTTCGCCACAACTAATTAAAGGCGCAGGAACCTATTTCGCCTTCGCACGTCGCAACTTGGCGCTTGAATTCAAAGAAAGTGACGCGCGTCAGGCTTCCTTGAATTCAATGGTCAGGAAGCGACGCCACACTCTCCCGTGTTGACGCTCCGCGTTGGTTATCTGGCCGCAAACAGCGAGAGCGTCTGGGCCGAGGAATCTCTTTTCCTCTGGCTGCGAGACTTTCGGTGTCTGCAGCCGTGCGAGGCGCTGATAAGCGGGGCGCTCAGGAGACAGGCGCCCTCTCGGCGCAACCTCGGGGAGACACACGCTACTACTGCAGCCCAGGTTACGAAGCGCCTCGGCCGGGAAAGGCAGCTTCCCCGCAAGGCGTGCCTACGCGGCCTGGCGCCCTCTCTCCACCAGAGGGACTGAGCCGGCGGCGCTTAGTAACCTGAGCCCTCCTCTTCCTTGGGAGAAGTTTCATGCTGGCGCTGGAGAGGCTCGAGGAGGAGCTGCCACTCCTGTTGCTGCCGCGAGAGCGAGGCGCGGAGAAAGGTGGGTGCCCGGGAATTGGCTACCGCTCGACATTTTCCTGACAAACCATCCCGCCAAGGACACCCCACTGAGGTAGATTCGGCGCAGCTACGCCTGGTGTGTCTGTAAATTGCGTGTTCGCGCGCTCTCTCCCCCGTTGCCACTCAGTGCGCAGGGCAAAATAGGACGACGGAGGGGAGTTTCAGCGCCGGGTGAGCATCCCGGGTGAAGCAGCTCCGAGAGGCGCGGGAAGGGAAAACGGGGCGCCCCCGGGAGGGGGGATGCGAAGCGGAGAGGAGACGAGGCAGCCCTTCCTGCGCCTCCGCGGGAAAGGCGCGCGCTAGCGGGGAGCAGATGGCGCCTGCTCTCGCCTCGCCAAGGATGGGGCCGCCTGTGCCCAGGCAGGATCAAAACGTTTCGCCCCTGTCAGGTTGAAGCCTGACCCCTCTTTCCACCCCCCACCCTCGCCGCCCAGTCCTTCCCGGGCTGGGGAGATGACCCCATCCCAGAACAGGGGCGGGCGGAGCGGGCAGCGGGCATTGCGCGGCCGGCCTCACTGCCTGGCTGTGCTCACTGCGGGAGCTGCAGGGCGCAGCGGGAGTGCGGCAGCAGCAGCAGCTGCTGGCTCCGGCGGCTCCTCCCTCTTCTGCTTTCTCCTCCGGCCAGCCGGCGACTGACTCCTGTCCGCTCTGGCTGGGGGAAAGAAGGCTCCTTGCCTGCCGCCCGCGCCGGCGAGCCTCGGCGAGCGTCTGCCATGACTTTCCCCGGGGCGCTAGGTAAGTGGCGGCTTCTTTCCAAGCAGGAAGTGAACGGGGCGGGCATGCAAGAGCTGACCTTGCCGGGTAGCAGCGGGTTGCAGCCGCCGCCAGAGCCGGAAGAAGCTGGGCTGGCACCTGCAGCAGACCTGCTCGGCCGGGGAGAGCAGCCTGTATCCTTGGCTCCCATCACTAGGAGGAAGACCCGTCGCCTTCCCTCCCAGCTCCATCGGCTCCACGTCCTCCCTACTTTCTTTGCCACAGCAGAATAAGACTCATTTTCATGGCATGCGCTCATGAAATATTCAGGATCCCCCATAGCTGGGTTCCTGAATCAATCTTCTGAAAGAGGAAGAACGATAACAGTTCCTGAAGAGGTTGATTGAGGACAAGTTATTTACCTATCCTGGCCCCCCCTCCAAAAAATATCCCGAACAGAAACGAACTAATACTTTATTCTTATTTTAGAAAAAACCATTCTGGAATGCACTGACTCATTTAGTTCCCACAGTTTCCAGTTGTAGCTTTGGCCTTATTCATCTTGTTGCTCTGCTTCTCCCCTCCCAAAACAGAGCAAGCCATTTTTGGATTTGGAAATCATAGTAAGTTTCTGGATTTTGCTAGTTTGGTAAGAGCACATAAACTGATGTGCAGGGACATCACCTAGCCTAGTTCGCTCCTTGATTCTTCAGTACTGCAGAGCGCTAGCCTTGCATGTTTAATTTATTGTATATCGCCTAGAGAATTTATATGGCGAGGCAACTAATAAATGTCAAAAATAAATAAGTGTTCACTGAATTCAAATAATAAATTAATAAATGTATTTATTACTTGCCCTTCATACTAAGATGCCAGGGCAGGTCACTACAATTTAAAATGCAACCTTCCAAACAGTTTGAAATAAATTACAATTACAAGAATAGGGTGGGTCTTTAAAAAGTACATTGCAAGTGTCAAAGGCCAGGGTTGAGAGACTGCATGGTGAAGGTGTCAGACACTCCTCTGGGGATAGAGTTCCACAGTTAATGGGATGGCTCAGAGAACACCCTCACCTGGATCACACACACCACCTCTCTAAGGGTGCTGGAAGTACCAAGAGGGAACTCTGCTGATCTTAATACCCAAGAGGTTATGTAGGGAAGGATGTGGTCTTTCAGTTATTTGGGGTCTAAGTCTTTAGGGCTTTAAACATTTCATGAGCATCTGTGCCCAGAAACAAACTGGCAACCAACTCAGCTGTTTTAGAACAGGGATTTAGATGAGATACTAATGGAACCCAAGGCTGTAATCCAGCTGCTGCATTTTAGAACATTTGAAGTTTCTGAGTCATCTTGAAGGGCAGCCCCACACTGAGCGCACCACCATAGTGCAGCCTGGAAGTTACCAGAGCATGGAGTACAGTAGCCAAATAATTTTTGTCCAGAAAGAGCCATAGCTGCCAAACTGTAGCTGTAGCTGAAAAAAATGTACTCCTAGTCACACCTTCCAGAAGTGTGCAAGCCCATCCAGAACAGTCAGTCCACGTCCACCCCCCGCATCCTGGACTTGAGAACTCAGGACATGAAACACATCTGTCTTTTCAGGATTCAAGTTTAGTTAATTGGTCCACATCCAGCCCACTGCTGCCCACAAGAACTGGTCTTAACACCTTAACTGCCTCTCCCAAGTCTGATGGAACAGAGAGAGTGAGAGCTGGGTCTTGTCTGCATAATGATGATACCTCACTCCAGATATCCTGATAGTATATCCCAGGTGCTTTGTATAGGTATTAAATAGCAGGAGGACAAGATGGAACCCCTCCCAGGTCTCACAACTCTGTCTGAATCTGTGCAATTCTGCCCCTCTAGTGTCTCAGTGTTGTTACAGCAGACCTCCAAATGTGTCGGAATGCTAGTCTCTTGGCCAGATAACAAAAGCCCATTCACCGCTTGGAAAAGCTCAGCTACATAGCTACTTGTTGATGCACTGGTGGTAGAGAAGTAAAGTGTTTTTTTGCCACTGCTATGAGGAAACTAGTGTTTGTTCAGGGTTGGGTTAGGATTTGCATCACTTGCACTCTTACCTACCAACACTGCTTCATTTCATGCTGGTTACTAGAATACCAAGGCAACCTAAGTGCTCCACAGAAATGGTGAGGGCACCCAGGAATGGTTGTGTCAATCGCTCTATGCATTTCACCATTCCATAGTGAGATGAGAGCCTCATTAGGAGTACCAGCCATGTCAGCTGGAAAATCCCCCGAAGCATTCAGGTTTCCATAAATCTCCAAGGGTGGGGAATCTCACATCTTGCAGAATGGAGTAGCTGTGTTCAGCTTTAGCAATAGTAAGAGGACATGGGTTTCTTTATCCCTACTTTCTTGCTTAAAGGAATGCAGATTGAGACCTTGGATGTATAGTGGCAAAAGAAATATTTATTTTAGTCTACAGCAGGGGTGGGGAATCTGTGGTCCTCCAGATGTTGGATTCCAGCTCCCATCAGACCCAGCCAGATGGGCTAATGGTCAGGGATGATGGGTGTTGTCCCACAGGTTGCCCATTTTGAAAAGACTTCCTGGGACACTCAAGACCTTTGGTCTGAGCAATAAAAGACACCACCTGTGTTACAAGACTTGATTGTTCTTGGTGGATAGTTATAGACCTGGACTTAGACCTTGTACAATATGTTGGTTACAATAGACTTAGCAGAAAAGCCAGTTAGAAACCTTGTTGCAGAGACCAAAAAAGGGGGAGGAAGGGAAGGGAAACATCCTGTGCAGTACAAAGAAATGGGAATGTTGAAATACTTTGGCACCTTATTTATTAGCAATCACTAGAATATATCAACATGTAATGTTTGAAATTGTTCTTAGACTGAAAATAAATCATTTCCCAAGCAGCCATCACAGCTAGTAGCTATTAATAGAAGATTGTTTCCCATTTAATAACAAGCTCAGATGCCAACAGTTGGAAAGTGGAGTCATGCATGTAGGAATAGCATCACATAAAGACTGTTCCAAGTTACACAACTTTTGGGAATGATTTTGTTTTCAGGATAAATGTTTTCTTCCTCGTAATCAAAGCAACGCTGATTGTCTGGGTAAGGCTCCTAATAATGCTAAGCCCTTTAAAACCCTTTGATTTCAACAGGAGATATTTCAACACATGCTTTAACACTTTCACTGAAATTAATAGGACTTTAAAGTGGTTAGAGTTCAGCCATGCCTTTGGCTTTGAAACCTGGGATAAATTTAGAATTCAATGCCCAGACCTCCATTTCCACACAGGGTTTTTAAAAATAGTTTATTGGTTCGTGAACATTTTTAGTAGGTGTTAATAGAAACGTTGGCTTCATGTAGTAACTGACAAGTACAAGGAGTTTCAGATGCATTTAAAAAATTGAAGCTAAATATTGCAAGGTTATATTCCAGAGTAAATATTATATAGCTTATTTAAGAAGAATGGTTGATAAAAAATGAACTTTAAAAAGGAATGTTAAGGAGTTTTCTTTGTTACTTAAATTAAAGCTATTCATGAATGAAGGTTGTTTTGGTTTATATAGAGAATGCAGTAAATATCTTATGGGGGAGGGAAAGCTTTTTAAAATTACTATTAATGCTGATCTTTCTCTTTCCCCACATAGAGTTTAAAGACAGAATATAATCTTAGAGATTCAGTTTAAACACTCTTCCTCTTATAAACACAAATTATTCCATTGCAAAATTGCTTGATATTTATGATAGAAAAATGGTATGAATTAGAATGATGAATATTTGCTATCATTTGAAACCTTCAACCGTTTGGCTGTGAAAGAATGCTAGGAGGGCACCTGAAATAATAAACAAACAATTTATTATTTATATTTTGCTCTTTTACAGTCACAACCAGAGTGGCTAGCTGCGTATATAAAATTCAACCATAAAATGCAACTAAGTTGGTTTTCCTTAAATCAAACGCAGATTTTAAAACACAAGATACAATTCAGACTGAAACTCAGGCAGTAACAAAATTAAATATGACTTCAAAAGATTAAAGACCTGGAGTGAAAGAGATGTTTTCAAATTCTGTTAAATGATGTCTGTACTGGGGGGCTGATGCAGCTCAGTTGGAATAATGTTCCAGAGCTGTATTGGCACCATTTAAATGGTACTGTTTCTCATGCTGTCTCATGATGACACGGAAGTGGTACCTCCGAAGCTGATGCCAAGGGCCCGGTAGCTCATAAATGGAATTCAGTGGTCCTTAATACAATCTTAAGACAATCTGGTTGTAGACCAGGGTGGCGCTATTTTTAATACCACGTGGATCACAAGACTACTTTGACACAGAACCCATGCCACACCCTGCCTTGTCACCCAAGGGAGGAGCTGGGTTTTGGTAAGGAGGCTTGAGGCTCTGCCAGGTTCCTAGAGCTCTACCACCTTCTTCACAAAGCTGTGCTAAGTCCTAAGCACAGAGGTGCACAATACAAGGAAAGATGAATCAGCATTAATGCTTAAACCTGTTGAAATCAGTGCAATTACTCATGTCTGATGAAGGATAAATCTAGTTAAGTTCAATGGGGTGGGCTTCCAGGTAGGTGTAATCCTATGCCACTTACTTGGGGGTATGCCCTACTGAACTCAGACTTATTTCTGACATGTATAAGGTTTGCATTGCTGTATGCCAAATACGGCTGATAGTAGATGCAATTTAACGTTGGCCTGTCCAGTTCAGCTTCATTTATTTCAGTAGGACTGAGGTGTGCCTAATACATGCTGGATTGCATTCATTATTTCTAAGTTTTACTAGTTTCCGGTGGATATTGCACCAATTCACACAGCCAAATGGTTGAGAAAATACTGTGCATCTAAATTCAATACAGCGTAAGTCAAAGCAATCACTGCTCACCCCAAAGCTACAGTGCCCTCCCGAGCTGCTAAAAGTGAGTTGAGTGGTGCTATGGTAATTGTGGATGGAGTTGTGAGATGGGTGCTTAATGAAGGAATCATTCAACCACTTCATCACACATTGTACTTCGTATAAATAAGCTAAATTTGTGTTCTTTGTTTAGTCAGCCCAATTCATGAAAATTGACTTGTGCTTCAGTAATTGCCACAATCTAAAACTGTGCTGTCTTGTTTTATGTGCCCAGTGAGTCTTCTATTTTCTTCCATTGACAGCAGCCTGCTACACGGTTTGAAATGCCTATTTTGTAACTCTGGGAAGTTTCAAATGTGATTTCTAGGGCTGATGTTTGGAAAGAGTGAGAAACTCACAGTGCTTTACACTTGCACACAGCTAATGAGGCTTATTTAAAAAAATGCATTCAAAATGTTTAGGATTGGAGTATAGTGAGCATAGGCATCAGAATCAAAACTAGAAAATTTGAAATACATCATGCAGGAGTGAGTAGAGCATTTCTTCATCTGATTTTGAAAATTCTTGTTGAGTAGTCCTAAGCTCCAAAACTGGTATTGCCATATAAGAAAATTATTGCTCTGGTGACTGTTAAAAAAACATAGTGTTCACTGTAAATCATTACAGTGGTGTAAAATTGCACAAATTTTTAATGACTCTAGGATTAACTAAAAGGACAGTGATTTATTTTTGATAACTAACTGTAACATGTAGCCTATAATTCCATATTTTCCCCCCTTAGCTGAGATGCCCAGACAGTTCCCAAAGCTAAACCTCTCTGAGGTTGATGAGTCGGTGCGGCTTCTAGCCGAAAAGGTTTTTGCCAAAGTTCTTCGAGAAGAAGACAGCAAAGATGCCTTGTCACTATTCACCGTGCCTGAGGATTGCCCTATTGGGCAACAAGAGGCGAAAGAAAGAGAGCTGCAGAAGGAGATGGCAGAGCAACAGTCATTGGAAACAGCAAAAAGGTTTGTTCGATGACAATGCAGAAGTAACTTAAAGTCTTTAGTTAATATGCATAATGGCAGGACATTTTTGAAGTAAAATTTAACCATAAAGCTGATTTTGTTGATCTCAAGATGTGTCTTACTCACTTACGTGTTATTTACTATGGAAACTTAGGAAGAAAAGTTTCAAGATGATTCGGTCCCAGTCCTTGTCACTGCAAATTCCACCACAAGAAGTGAGAGCTCTGTCGGACACCCCAGTTGTGTCTCCTCCTACTCCAGTGCTTCCAGGTTCTTTGCAACCCACCCAAAGGATGTATGATGTACCAGAATTTCAAAGAGTTACAATTAGTGGGGATTACTGTGCTGGGGTAAGAAATCAGTCAATTTTTCCTTTTTTAGAGAGAGAGAAAGGGGGGGGGAGTTAACTGTTGTGTTCTTGTGTAATGTGAAATTAAATTGTTGTTTTATAAAGCCTATATTTGCCTAGTTACTCTAGAGATTGTATTTCAGGGCTAGAGAACCTCTAGCCTGCCAACCCCCTGTTCTTTGTCACCCGTAAAGCCATTTTGACCCAGCTATGCTCACCTGACCTATACCTGTCACCCGTTGCGGGGCAGGTAAACCTGGCTCAGCTGAAAGGGGTTTGAAGGCACAACTGATGGGCAGTGACTGCAGAGGGCTTTGCAGGCACTGCCAACCAGCTGATCATTGGGTCTTTCATAGAGATGTGAAGGCCCAGAAACCAACATTTCCCTTAAATTCTCTCCCCTCCCCATTCTTTTTCTGGGCCTTCACATCTCTGGTCTTGCAGAGCACTTTGCAGTGGGCTTTGCAAAGCACTCAAACTGGTTTCAGAATGTGCAGGCAAAAAAAGGACCACTTGACAGCACTGTGATCTCAGGTGACTGAAGGATAGTCACCCAACTCACCTGTCAGATTTGGCCCACAGGTGGTAGGGAAGATAACAGTCTTACTTGTTGGTCAAATTCAGTTCCCCACCCTGCTCTGTTCAGTAGATGTGTAACACTTGTCAATTAACAAAAACATGATACAGTATTACCATCTTGCTTTGGAATACAGATATACATTATCACCTGTGTCGGATGTAAGATAAAGAATGACCTGCACAGGGATCAAAGGAGGCCTTTATTCTCTCATCCTCTTTTCTTCCTGGCCTTCAGTTAGGGGCACAAAGAGCTGAGCAGATTATAACATGCCCAAATAATTACCTGGAATAGGAGGCCCATGCATACCTCCCCTGGTGACTTCCATATTCCATTTGTGCAGGTAGGCGGTTTCTTCTTGGTGTATATGTAGCCGGTGCATGTGTGAAGCAGCACTTGGCTCTCCAACTTCAGATAATGATCAGACATGTTGACATGAACATGTATTGCTACCTGGCAGAGAGCTGAGGTAAAGGGGTTCTCTTATCCCAAGTGATTGTACATCCTGTCTGATCACATTGCTATCATTTCCAAAACTACTATATACAGGTAATTCACATCTTACGCAAGGGTTTCAGGGGGCCACGAATAAACGCAAAAACACGTAAAGCAAGGAACCCCTGGAACTGCCTACCCAACCCGCTGCAAGGTGGAGGAGCGCTGCTCACCTGGCTTTGGGAAGGCAGCGCGAAGGCTCTGGGATGCTGCCAGAGCCCGCTTGCTCTGCCTTCCTGAAGTTGAGTAAGCCTGTGCTTGTAGCTATGTGTGAGTGGGTGGAGAAAAATAAATAAATGGAGAGTGGGTTTTGTCCACTCTCCATTTATTTCTTCCCATCTGCCCCCTCTGTTCAAAGCTGCAAATATGTAGGTAAAAGAAGCGTAAGATGCGAGTTAAGTATATATCCAGGGTGCTGGTAACCTGGGTTAATGTACATACTTTCTTAAAAGCTTCAAGATGCAGCTAAAGTTCACCATTACATTACTGATCTATGTAGGGAAGTATTAAGACACAGGTGGATCTGTGCATGAAGTATTTACATGCTATCATAAGAAGCCTGTTGCTTCATCTGGAGGTAAATGCATGAAGAATTTTGATTGACAATGTAGGGTAGATTTGACTGTTTCTATAATGGTTTGGTTCACTGGTCCTCCTAGATGAAATTCTAACATTTGTAGGCTATATTGAAATCTCTAGGTCTTAATGCCTGTCACTGAGATGGTAAATATTGAACAATTTTACTTCACAATACAAGTGGAGGCTGCCACAATTGAATGCTCATCCAAATACAGTTTTTCTTCAACATAGTTAATGAGATTTCAGAGAGCAGGGCTTTGCTGGAAGTCTCCATGTTGTACTAGTTTTCTGTGGGTAGATAATTCTTGTGTATAGAGGAACACCCACTTACAATCTACAGTGGTACGACCAACACATAGATTTATTGCTTCAGTGAGAAGATTTATTGCTGTCAAGCAAATGTGTTTCGGATTAGTGTTTATAGTAGCATTAAAAAAACCCAACTCTAGTGATTAATTGTATAATTTCTCCCTTCAGGTTACTGTTGATGATTATGAGCAGGCTGCCAAGAATTTGGCAAAAGCTCTCCTTATTAGAGAGAAGTATTGTCGCCTTGCTTACCATCGCTTTCCAAGGACAACAGCCCAATATTTATGCAGTATGAGAAATGAACAATGGAAAGATGAAGATGAAGTACTTCCAGGTAAATTAGCTGCAGTTTTTTTAAAGGTTTTGGTGCATGAAAACCTAAGAGATGATTAACTTTTACTGTTCTTAATATGCCCACTTGATCAATATTCTGGTAATAGTATTACTTCCAGCCTTGCATTAGGTTTTACTCTAATAAATGTGTTGCCATTTTGTTCTTAAAGAGTAAATAATCACATAAAGATATAGGGACAGTGCAGTTCTGTGCAATATATTCACTGCTGCTCAGAAAAATGCTAGTCAAGTCCATACACTATGCTTGGTGGCAAATTAGCAATGCACTTTCAATATTTAATTGGAGGTTCAGCAACCATCACTCCAGTAGGAAACATTGTTAGTTGAACTAATCACCCACAGCATTATACAAGTAAGTCAGTTCCTCTTGCAGCTTTGCTAGATGGGGTTTTCCCCAACCCTTGTTTTTGAGGAATGGTGAAAGTGGGGATTAGCTTGTAACCCTGTTCAGATATGAACAGGGATTTGCACACCCAGCTTTCACGTTTAGCACGCTCTATCCTTCTTGAACATATTGGCTTCAGCCCTAAGCAACTGTGCAAATTTTGGCCACAAAAATTCTTCCCTCTCAGCAGTGCAAACATTAAATCACGGGTGGACAACTTGTGGCCCCCCCAGATGTTTTTGAATTTCAACTCCCATCAGCCCCAGCCAGTATGGCCAATGGTTACTGTAGGTGTAGTCTGGCAATATTTGGAGGGGTCACTAGTTGTACGCCCTATACTTAAGACTGCAGAGATTTTACAGAGCGTATTTTGATTTGCATCCCAATTCAAAATGTTTATGTTGGTGTATCAGCCCCATGTATAATATCGCCTTTTTTCATACTTTGCTTGGATAGCTTTCATATAACACATTCTGAACTTCTGGATTTTGGGCCATGGATGCAGTTTGGTCCATGGTAAAGAACATTACCATAAATATCAAATATCACTGAAATAAATGGTTAAGCATGAGTTGGGTTTCACTCCCATGTTTTCGGGCTGATAGGTACCATAGTACCATGTCGCATAGAGTTAAGATGACATTCATGTGACAGTAGGTAGCCTATATAGCACTTCATAATTTTCATAAGTCTATTACTGCTTTTTTGTTGTTGGAATATTGTGAATAGAAACAATACTGTATTTTGAATGATGACAGAAATTTATTGATTCGGACATTTTTATAGATTTTCATCCACCCCCAAAAGACCTGCAGGACCTTTACAATCTTGATGATTCTCCAGGGAACCTGGATTATGTTGTAAAGATGAAGGCAGGCATTTTCTTCGTTTATGAGAGCAAAGAAATGATGGAAGCTGATGAGCCGTGGAACTTGCCTTATCCTGATCTTCAGACTTACACCCTTGACCTCAGTCATGTGCTGGCTCTCATTGCAGATGGCCCAACGTATGGCTTTGTTCCCTAATGCTATCCTATTGTATGCTTCAACAGTTGCGTTGCTGCTATGAGTGTCAAGCCTATTATGTTAAATGATGTTCTGGGACGTACAGTGTTAACCGGGGGGGGAGGGACCTCAGACCCAGGGGTAATCTGTGATCTTCCAGAACTCTCTGTCTGGTCCTTGGACCTGTCTCCAGGCCACACCCACTTCCCAGCTACAGTCCTTCTCCTGAGGTCATGCCTTTCTGGCTTTGCATCCTCCTTGAGTGTTTTTTGTTGTTTGAAAGGTGCCCTTGATCTCTGATACTGACTTTTGGTTGTCTGTGTGAAGGACAAAGAAAGAGGGTCTCACTTTAGTAAATGTGTTTAGGATTGCAGCGGTGAGGTAGTATTAATAGTCTGAATCTCTCAAATGTGGGATTGGAACAGGGTTGATCAGTGGCAGTGCTTGGCCTATGACTCCAGTATTTTGCAACACCTTTAAGAAGAAGAGAAAGTTACATTTCTAATTCTTAAGTGGATATCTGATTCCTGCATTGCAGGGGGTTGAACTAGATGACTCTTTGGGTCCCTTTCCAATTCTATAATTATTTAAGTAAAAGCATTCTCATTTGCTGTCGGACCATACTTAAGGTACGGTGTTTCCTTTTCTGCAGAAAAACATACTGCCATAAGCGGCTCAATTTTCTAGGATCTAAGTTTGGTTTACATGAGATGTTAAATGAAATGTCTGAACTTAAAGAACTCAAGAGTAATCCTCATCGGGATTTTTACAATGTGAGAAAGGTAAGTACGAAAAAGATTGGTCTGTGACTTATTCTAATCAGTGCCACTTTTTAGAAGCATTTGATGTTAAGTTGAATTAAATGTTATGGAAAACATTATTTCATCTTGCGGCAGTATGCTTCATAATCGTATGATATGAGTAAGGAACAGCAATAAAATGTTGCAAGAAATAGCCAAAGCAGAGAGGGTTGAGCTGCTTGGTCAAAGGATGAGATACAAAAATAATCAAAATCTGAATTGCTGACTTTGAGAAAAGAAAGAATGTATAAATGAAATAGGGGATGGGAGAACCAATTTGGAACGATAGTGCTACTAAAAGAAAATCCTATGCCTATTGGATTGTCTGCCTTTAAAAATAGTTCAGAGAAACCACCTTCAATGTCAGATGACATGGTGTGCTATTACATGGATTTTGACAGTCAACAGCCTAAGAATGTCTGGCAAAAAGATTGCATGTTCTTAGTAGGGGCATAATGACCTTCCTTAGGCGTTGATGGCGTAAACATTACCCTCATAGAATTAACTCTGCTTTCCTCCGGCTTGCTGTGAACTAAGAATCTCAACAGCCAGAAGTGTTGCTTAATTATTGCTATATAACATGTCTTGACTGTGAATAGGTGGCAGCTTTGCCGAGAATTGAAAGCAGCACAGTAGAGATGAAGTAGTATATGTTTGGTCTCACGGGGCTTTTTTGTTTTAATCTTAGCCTTTATTAATGCAAAGATTTAACACTTAAACACTTTCTGTAGATAATGCAACCACAGTCCTCTCCAAACTTTATAGAGTCCAGGCTAGAACTGTGAGTTCCTAAAAACAGCAGCTGAATTCTGCTATTAGTAAGTCATAAATTAAGACTTTAATTTTTATTGTTTTATTGTATTAATGCACTGGACTCATAAGTTTGTGAATGTATAGTATGAGTAAGGGTTTGTGTGGGCCTTCAAAATATGTGCTAGTTTAAAGGGATTTATTCTCACTAAGAATAAAATGTTTCCTGCTATCTAGCTGGCACAGATCCCTCAACCAAAAAAATTCTTCATTTGCATGCCCTTTTCTGATCTACAGTACAAATCATTCAGGGCATAACTCCACATGGTTGATGGAGTTGGTTAGAAAAATAATTTTAGAGAAGAAAGAAACACTGAAAAGTAAAGGAAAACTTAGTCTTCCAGGCCCTTAAGAGCTGTTCTTTTCATGGCGGTGTGCATAAATTAATACTTTTATTCAATGGCTCTGTGGTGAAACTATGAAGAATGTTGAATAGTGCATCTGCATTAGTTGATAAAGCCCTGTCTTAATGTAAACACAGAAAAATATATTTATGTACAGCATATTGTGATATAATGACCTATTTTTTACAGCGCAGAGTCAGTATATTGTTATATTGCTTCTGTTCTCTGGTTTCAAAATAGGTTGTGCAAGAAAAGAAGTCATTCCTGGAAAGTGTGATTAAGGCAGTAAACAGAACAGGTGGAAGCTTTTCCAAGTGAACTGCCAATGTTCCCAGATTCATTGGAAGTACTTATTCAATGATTTATTTACAGTAAAGTCTTTTGCAAAAACAACACACACTATGACAACCCCCTCCAAAAAAAGAAAGGAAAAAAAGAAGACCCTTAGAGGAAATCAGTGCCATGCTCTTCTAATTGTTCATTGAGTGCAAGCATTTTGGCTTGTCATCTGGAATGATTGCCCCTGTCCTCCTCCTCAGGTCTTGAGGGAACCCTAGAGGAATAACGGGGGAGGGGAAACAAAATAGGGGGAAAACATCCAACTTACAACTACGCTCCACCTTTACAACATGTGTGCTACTGACTCTCAAACTTCGGGATTGTCGGAATAATATGCAACAAAAAATTAATCAATTTGCATCATGCAACTCAAATTGGGTCCACTAGACCCAGACTTTTAAAACAATGTGGACTAAAGTCACTTCTGGGGCTCCTTCGGGATTAGGGGCGCCAAAGCTCAAGATTCATTTCATAGTAAATCCACCCCTGGCAACACCCCTCATTGCTGGGACAGAGGGGTGTCACAGTACAGAGCAACTGGAGGGGCACAAGTTCCCAACTCTTGTTTTAAAAAAATTGAAGCTGAAGCCATTTTAAGCTTTCAAGAGCCAAAGTTTTGTAAACTGCTTCTGCTATTAGGCTAGTATCTTATGATTCCCCAAGGTGGAAAAACTAGTAGTGTTTATAGTGAGAGACTATGAAAGGAAAGTGCTGGAGAGACATAGATCATAATTCTGAACAGGGTGACCAAGACCCTTCTGTCAATGTAATTATCACTGATCTAAATATGGAATATTTATCTATCTTGGTGACAGGTTTAATAGAGATGTGTTCATAAGAGTATCAAATGACACCTGTGTCATTGAAATGTTGGAAGGTGTCAAAATCGTTCAGTGTGCTTGAAAGCTTAGCTTGGGTTGGAAGATGTAAAGTGCTCGTTTGTAAGATTGTCCTGTAGGTAGATTGCTGGAAACCACAGGGAAGGAGATTGCTGTTGCTCTCAGTTCCTGCTTGTGTGCTTCCCACAGGCATCTAGTCGGCCACTGTGAGAACAGGATGCTGGCCTAGATGAGGGTGGGGAGGAAAAGGTGGATGGAGAAGATTATGAGGAAAAGAATAAGATGGCAGCAAAAATATATTAGTGTGATGCACCTCTGTTTCAGTTGCTTGCAGCAAACCCTCCAACACGTTGAATCCCAAAACCGGGATGTGCCTCTTCCTGTTTGTGCTCCCTTGCGAGTCACGCGAACCACACAAGATCACAGAGCCTAAAAGATGAGCATTTTTCAGGGCTGTGCTCTCGTGGTGCCCAAAAACGTGCATTTGGGGGCACCTCACTTTTTTCAAGGTGAGATCTCGCCTGCGAAATCACGTGAACAAATATATATGTACCTCTGTAGTAACTTTGCTAGGGTGTGCAGGAAGGAATATATATAAATACCTTGGGATCTTGAATTAGACAATAGTCTGAAAAATATAGAAAGGCAGGATAAATTTTTTATTAGTAAAAATTGTTTTAATAAATAAATACATTTCTGTTAAGAGGAAATGTTATCTGAGGACAGGTTCGGATAACTATAATGGACTTAAGATGACTGTGGCAGGCAAAAAATAATTGGCCACACAGCCTTCCAGATCTTGTAAGGGTATAGTTCACGTATATATTGTTTTTCTGCCTAAAAATTATACCCTTAGCTCATACTTCATCCTCCTCTAATAACATTAAATGTGCCAAAATAAACTTAATTTTGCCTGTTTAATGGCTGCACAATTTTGAATGAACAGTGATTTTGTGATTAAATATCTTACTTGTGTTAGTAGATGTTTTAAGCATCTGTTTTAATACAGCTGTTGATGAAACTCTCTAGGTTTTAGTGGAAGTTGTTACAAAGCACATTTAATGGAAAATTAAAGACTAAATCCAGTTATGAATTATGTACAGTGATCATAAGAACCAAAGGTTAATGGCATGTAGCCTGACTCTGCTTTTTGTGGAAACTGATTTGCAAAGCTGATTTTAAATTATGATGGTGAATAATAAGTGTGCGCTAATGAACTGTCTGTTTATAGAATGCTAATCAGTTACATGGCATTTACTACCCTCTGAAAACTCCAGGAGCTTCAAAAACTGGTTTTAAGCTCAAGAGTACATTATGACCTTTAGATAACATGCTGCTCTGTGTGGCTTAACATTTTATTAGGTACACTTGTGGAGATGGTGATGCAGTAATGAGATCCTATTGGAAAAGTAGTGTTCTAAGAAAATGGTAATAGCTAGGCATTTTCTTTTACTCAGAAATAAGTTCCTTGTGTTTTGTGGGATTCTGTGGAAAAGCAGGAAATTTGTCAATAACATGGAACTTCTGTTTGTGATATGTGATGGCTCATTCACACATGCAGTAAGTTTGGAATCAGCTCACAATTGTGGGACAGAAGTAGCTTACCATTGCTTCTGCTAGGACAAATCAATTTCCAGTGATCTTTCCTTCCTCATTGTATAAACCAGGTATGGGGACTCTTTGGCCCTGAAGATGTTGCTGAATTACAGCTCCCTTCAGCCATAGCAAATGTGGCTGATGGCCAGGGATTGTGCGAGTTGCAGTTCAGCAACATCTTCAGGACCAAAGGATCTCCACACCTGGTACAGAATCATTAGTGATGCCTTCTTGGATCTCTGCATTGAGGCCAGAACTGCAAAATGAGCTGTTGAATGTGAGGCATTTCCCCCCTCAACAGTATAAACATCTTGCAGGTGTTATGAAGATTCTATTCCTTTTCATGGAACAAGTTTGGCTTGGTCGGGGGCGGGGGGAATTATTAAATACAGTGGTACCTCTGGTTACGAACTTAATTCATTCTGGAGGTCCATTCTTAACCTGATGTACCACTTTAGCTAATGGGGCCTCCCGCTGCTGCCGTGCGATTTCTGTTCTCATCCTGAGGTAAAGTTCTTAACCTGAGGTACTACTTCCAGGTTAGCGGACTCTGTAACCCAAAGTGTTTGTGACCCGAGGTGTTTGTAACCTGAGGTACCACTGTATGCAGTCATTTCCATTTAACATCCTGATAAAGGCTGAATGTACTCTCTGTAATTTGCATACTCAAGCTATTACTGATGTTCTCACTTTCTTCTATGGAGCTGATTATGGTTATCAACAATGTATAAGACATCAAGTATGAGACTGCTCCTCCATGAAAGCCCTCATTGGGTTGGGTGTTCTTAAAAAAACCCATGACCCTCGTGCTTGCTATAAATAAATATTATATCATTTACGGAGCCAAATACACTGTAGCTGAAACTTCCAGCAAAATCATCACAATATTGTTGTTAGATTTACTACCCATTCTTCACCAAAACGTCCCAGGGTGGGTTACAGCAATATAAATACAGTATTAAAAACAGTTGCACACAAATTACAATAACAGCTAGAGTGAAGGTGCCAGACATGCTTCTGTGGGGAGGGGCTTCCACAGAAAATGCCACTTCCTAGGTCAGCCCCCTGCCCAATGTCTGAGGGCAATGCAACTACCAAGAGAGCCCCTTCTGCTGGATGATTGCTTTTGTTTTGTTATCATGGCAGGATGTGGGCCAGGTATCTCACTCATGCTTAGCTGTCATTCTGTTTTGTACTTAGTGTAGCGTGCTGTACCTTGATTTGTAATCAGACATTCTCTACTAAAAGTATTAATATCTTTTGTGATGTATGTAGATAGTCCTCCAGGCTAAGAAGTTGTCAGGATAGAGTGCCTCACAGATGATTTCAACTGTTTATTGGATTGCTACCTATTGTTTGTTTCATTGAGTCTGCAGAGTAGAAAACATATATTTTAAATAGAACTTGCTTTAACGTAAGAGCATGGGCAAGAGAAAGGTGTTGACAGTACTTTCCTGTCACTTCAGGGAGTCTGAATATATTCCACCTTAGAGCTGAAATTAATACAGGCTTCTTGAATTTCACCTTTCCGGCAAAGGGGTTTATCTAGACTCCACTTTAGTGGTGAAGGGAGCACTCATTACACACCTGGTGATAATGTGCAACATTTTGCCTAAGGTCTGTGGCAAACATTGCCAAGAGCTGGAACTGACATTGAAAAACATTGAAAACATTTCCCCCCTCACTCCTGCAGAAGTAGTTTAGAGCAGCCTCTTTGCCCTGGAAGTGAAATTGACATTGGAGGCAATAAAACTGAGAGGTTGCAGAGATGAGGAGAAATCGTGTCAATTCCATCTTTCCTTTTCCCCATCTTTGAAGTCCTTGTAATACAATTCTCAGAGCCTTAGCAGATGCTACACACCCAGTTTTTCCCTTCTGTCCTTTCTGCTGCTACTGAGAGATTGTTTTTTTCTCATGGAAACAGGAGCATTCCATCAGTCCCTAGGGAAACAAGACAAATGAAGATGTTAAAATGTGAAATACTGTACCTTACTGAATAAAAAAAATAAAATCCAATGAATTGTGTAACATAATAATTAAATTCACTACTACTACTACTAATAATAATAATTTGATTGTTTATACCCTGCCCATCTGGCTGGGTTTCCACAGCCACTCCTTAGTATGTTTTTATTATTATTTAAAGTATTGCAACGCAATGATGTAGCTTCAGGATCATAACAGTGGATGACTTCACCGCTATTCTATTAGCATAATTGTGACAGACATCTTCACTAGAGGTCAGGGATATGCTGAGAAACGGGAAGTAAAATCAGGTCAAAATAAGACATATTTTACAGGAAAGGGGGTGGGAACAGAATAACACATTTGGAAAGAAAATATAAATGTATAAATGCAAAGTCACACCAGGAGGGTCTGTGCAGAATGCATACATAATGACTTAGATCCAAGGGACTGCACAAGGGGTGGTGGAATTCACTGATTTCTGGTGACTTCTCCCTCCTGCTACAGCCTCCTATTTAACATGCATTATGTTTCAGAATAGCCTCCCAATTTTCAGGAGTAGATTTTCATGAGGCACAGCAGGCTGCAGGAGCAAGGAGGAGATGGAAAAGCCCATTCTGTGAATGGGTCTCTACTCACAAAATGAACATTCACTAACTGTAATGCAGGTGAATATGTGTTGTGTCTCACAAGCATGTTGAATTTCAAATGAACATCTTTCAACTAGTAGGACTCTTATCCTTAATAGCTTTGACTGCATATGTATTCAGAATAGGCTTCCTCCTTTTCTTTTAAGAAGTAACATCTGACCAGAGCCTGAGGGCTACATTTGACAAGACAATGGGAATTTTGTGATCCGTAGATTACATTGTTGGTGAAAGGGGAGTTCAACCATGTAAGAATATTCTTCCTCACTCCCAAAAGCTGATACCTGATGACTCTTGTCCTTGCTGAAGTTAGTGCTTCATAGCACACTGAGAGAAAGGTGTTCAATATCTTTCAAATTACCTGCTGTGCCAGATGGCTAATAGTAAAATATGCATGCTTGATGTCAGCTAAGCCAGAATAATCTTGTTTGTGATTTCAGGTTGACACCCATATCCATGCTGCTGCCTGTATGAACCAAAAACATTTGCTGAGGTTCATTAAACACACATACCAAACAGAGCCAAACAGGATAGTGGGAGAGAAAAAAGGCAAGAAGTTAACTTTAAAGCAGGTGTTTGAAAATCTCAACATGGATCCCTATGACCTCACTGTAGACTCACTAGATGTCCATGCAGTAAGTACATTTTGACCAGTAGATGAAATTGAATATGGAGATCAGGATTTTGTACTTGAGTCATGTATGGAGGGAGAAGATTACTCTCTTGGTTTTTGTGATATATTTTTTCTGTTACTTAAAGAATGCTTTAGTTAAGAATATATATTGACATTTTGATATTTTACAAGTAGATGCAAATATATATATTGCAATAATATGACTTAACAATACGTGAGTTATTAAAAACTGATACTCAGCTTATTGAATACGCATTTCCCTTCTTATCTCAGGATCGCCAGACGTTTCACCGATTTGATAAATTCAACTCCAAATATAATCCAGTTGGTGCAAGTGAGCTGAGGGACTTGTACTTGAAAACAGAGAACTATATTGGTGGTGAATATTTTGCTCGTATGGTGAAGGTAGGCAGCTTTTGAATCCTTTCAGTCACTGTGTCTCTTAGTGTCTTGTAAAAACACTTGTAATGTGAAATATACTAATTGCAGCGTATGCTGCTGAGCCAAGGAGGTGCTGAATCCTGAAAGCAACTGAACTCCACATAGAATACAAGATGTCTTGTGTGACAGACACGTACATCTCTATAAGCTAGACGTGCTCTAAAGTTGCAATGTTTTCGGCTCACCCTTTTTCACAGGAACTGTGGTATAGAGATGTGTGTGTGAGGTTAGGAATGTACTAAAGGGCTTTTCAAAGCTGGTAACTTTACTATTTTTTTCTGCAGTGCATCACAAAAAGGGTGCTTAAGAGGTGTACAAGTCCCATTCTTTGTGTGGTTTGGGGGCTGTAGTTTGAGCAAGTTAGAAAGAAATGTCAGTGGACATGAATAAATTTGTAAACACGCATCAGGGTTCTCTGGATCCTGCACAAATATATTGGGGGGGGGGGACTGCACAAAACATGGCTAACACTCTAGATCATTGATTTCAATGGACATATTTCCAAATTAAGATCTGTGTGTAAAGCTTTTGTGATTATGTGTTGTTCCTGGCAGAAATGTAATAATGGTTGGTTTTGAATAGGAAGTTGCCCGTGAACTGGAAGAAAGTAAATACCAGTACACAGAACCTCGGCTGTCCATTTATGGACGTTCTCCAGATGAATGGCCAAATTTAGCTAAGTGGTTCATCAGGCACAAAGTTTACTCACCGCACATGCGTTGGATGATTCAGGTCCCTAGAATCTAGTAAGTATCTTTGTGTCATAGTTTTTTAGCCTTATGGGTGCACTTTCTCTCTCTATCTGAATAGTGTTTTTTTTCCCCAAGCATTATTTCATCATGTGATTACTTTTTCAGAAACAATGAGGAAGTCTGATCTAATCTTCTCCTGTTGTAATGCAAACAGCCTTGCCTCATGGCAGCTACCACAGTATCCTGTGTGAAGCAAAGAGGACAAAACTGGACAACTCAATTTCGCTTTTTTCTATCAGTCAGAAACATGTTACCTTAAATCAAGTGGGGAACCTGCAGCCATCAGCCTTATTTATGAGGAGAGGTGAAAAGGGGGTGGAACTGAGAATGGATGGAGTAATAGGAAGTCAAGGGATGAGGGACTCACTGCACAGGGCCACCCCTACCATTGCACAGTGAGGAAACTGCCCTAGGTACCGTATTTTTTGCTCTATAACACGCACCTGACCATAACATGCACATTGTTTTTAGAGGAGGAAAACAAGGGAAAAAACATTCTGAATGAAACAGTGGATGTATCATTTTTGTGCTTCATGCTGTGGCCACAGACATGTGATCTGATGGTGAATTTGGGGTGACCCAATGCAAAAATCCTGAGAATCCCTGTGGATCCATGCTTTGTAACCACGTTTTGCACCATTGCAGCCCCAGGCAACAGTGGGTGCGTGATTTTTGGGGGGCAGGCTGTAGCCATGGACATGCTATGTGCTCTGATGGTGAATTTGGGCTGACCCAATGCAAAGATCCTGAGGATCCATGTGGACCCATGCTTTGTAACCACATTTTAAGTGGGGAGGGAAGGAAAAACGCAGAAGGGACAAGGAGCACGAGAGGAGTGTGCAGAGAAGCAGCTGGCTAAGAATGCAGGAGAGGGGTATAACGGGAGGGAGAAAAGGAAGGCAAAAGTTTCCCCCCACCCACCCACCCAAGCCAGTCAGCTCGCGCTCTCTCTCTCCCACCTGCATGTTTTCCAGCTGCCTGATATATATATTTTTTAATTGCCTTGACAGAAGAAAGCATTTTAACTGCTTTAAGAACTATTTAGCAGCGAAACCTAAGCTTTGCCATCCCTTAAGAGGTACAGACACTGTAATCTTCCAGATCGCATGAATTTACAGGCAAAACACTGTTTAAGGATTTCATCCTTTTAAATGGAAGAAAGCATATTTGAATGCTGTGTGTCCTCAAAAACAAAAGCAAGAAGTCAAATCAGAATTTTAAGCTGAACCTGTAATCTCTCTTCCCTTCACAAACATTGTTCCCTCCGGAGCATGGAGAGGAATTAGAAGGAAGGACGCTCTGCTTTCCCCTCTGCTTGCCTGGAGAGGAGGGGCTTTCCCTGCTCTTTGTTCCGTTTGAGCAAACACAGCAACGAAACAGAGAGGGTGGGCAGTAAGACCCTGAGGCAGAATGCAGGAAAGCAGCCGCTTCCTCTTTTCAGGTTTCCCTTCTCCGAGACACGATTTGATTTTTGCCTCCACTCGCGCCATTCGGCTCCAGGGACCACACATTCGCTCAATAACACGCACAGACATTTCCCCTTCCTTTTTAGGAGAAAAAATCTGTGTGTTATAGAGAGAAAAATACGGTAGTTAATTTTGAGTGTTATTACTGTATTTTTACTCCAGTAGAAGAAGTGTTGGTGGTCTTTTCTGTCTCAGGCACCAAAACAACTTGACCCCCTTGATTTGGGGTTTCATTTGTTATTCTGCCTTGGGTACCAAAATATATTGGGATGGCCCTAGGCCTGCACTCAGTCAGTTCAGGCCCCTGATGAGCTATTTGTCCATTTCCCTGTCAGCCACTTGGGTGGCGCTGGAAGGGGTGGAGAGAGAGAGAGGAAGGGGTATTTAAGAGAGGGAAAAGGGGGAGGCTCTGAATCAGCCCACTAGCAGTTCCTGCCCAATCTATTGGCATGCAGTCTTTTACAGGAAAAAGTGGTTCCTCACCTTGCGCTTTGTTACATGGCTGCCCATGCCCCAGTCTTTCTCTCATTAATGTTTAGGTAAAGGAAGATACATGATGTGACATTGTATTTCTGTACAAGTGTTAGCTAGTTGAACAGAGCGGGGGGGGGGGGGCGAGGTAGAGAAATGTTGTCTTTGGTCACATCTTTTGTATACAGCTTTGAGGGTTGTTGTTTTTTTTACAATCAAGCAATGTGTCACTTTTATGAAACCAACATCCCATATAAATATCACTGTTGTGTAAGCTGCAGAGCCATGTTTAAAAGCCAAACAGCACATTGCCTTAAATATGGGGCTGCTGCTACCCCCCCCCCGACTTCTTTTGGTACATCTAGTTGAAGTAGATGCAGCTTAGCTGGGTGGTGGCTGGGCTAAGCTTTTATTCTAGGTACGCTGAGCCTGTGTGCAATAGCCAGCACCACCCTGTTAATGATGCTGGCAGTGTCTCTGATGTACATATATCAGGGCAGGACTGGCGCCATTAACAGGGTAGGACTGGCCTGTATACACATGCTGAATAACCTGGGAGCTTCTGCTTGGCTCCGCAGCCTACCCTGCCAGTCTAGTACATGTTTGGAGACCACAATGGCGCCCCTCAACCTTTGCTGGGTCTGTTTTTAAGCCTGAACTGAAAACATGTTTAAAATGTAAAATATCAACTGCAATCCTCTAATTTTTGTGATTGTTTAATCAAAATGCACTTCAAACTAGCAATGGGAATTGGTCTACATATCAGACTAAATGCAAGCTGAAAAATCAGATAAATAATTTTCATACAAGTCTTTTAGTGTGATAGGGAACTAAGGCTGGCATACTTTTAACTATAAATTTTGCATCTGTAAGTACGGTATCTAAGACATGGTTATTTGCTAGAGATTATGATGCATGGCCAACATGCATTGACTGGGGAGCTAAATAATGAGTCCACAAGGCACTTCAAGTCCCCATAAATCACATTACTCATTAGGAAGCAGGTTGCCATCATTAGTTTTTCTACTCAGCATAATGCAAACAAGTATGCATGCTGCATTAGTCACTCAAATTGAAGCTCTCATTAGGAGAGATTTCAGGGCTGAATTTTGAGACAACATATTTTGTTTCGGGGCAGGTTTGTAGAGGAAACTAATTCTCATCAGGTAATTACTAGGTAATTTTATTGATTGATATTTGAGTTTAAATCTTCTTTGCTTATAATAAAGAATTAAAAATATGACAGGTCAGTTAAAGCATAAGTGCTCTGTGTGTGTGTGTGTGTGTGTGTGTGTGTGTGTGTACACACACACATATATATATATATACATACACACATACTGTATGTAAACATTAAGGAGAATGCAAGTTTAGTGGTTAATGTGCTTAACATCGGGCCATTGTGCACTTTCCCTGGGCCTTGTGGAGAATGTGCACATAATCCATCCATGAAGAGGGAATTGTGTACATAATATACATAATCCCCAACAGGCCTTGGGAAATATTGGCTGGATTTTGTACATTCTCCAGCCATTCTGCATAGTCCCCACATGCTTTGGGGAATAGGCATATCTTAACTGCATTCTGTACATTTTCCAGGCATTATACACATCCCTTGGTCAGTATACTTGGTCTCTAAGAATCATGCCTTTTTTCTAAGCAAATAAATATTAAATAAATAAATAAATTTTAAATAAATAAATAAATTTTAAATAAATATATATTTAAGATTCTTGTTTCTTTCAGTGATATTTTTAGGTCAAAAAAGATTCTGCCTAGCTTTGGCAAAATGCTAGAGAACATCTTCTTACCTCTGTTTGAGGCAACTATCAACCCATTGGAACATAAAGAGCTGCACCTCTTCCTTAAATATGTAAGTATGTGGATGACCCTTCTTCAGGGCTGCATGTATCAAGTCGTTTTATGATCACACTGCATGCCTTCATTTTGTATTGGGTGCAGAATTAATTGTTCCAAAACCCATAACTTTTTGTTTTGTTCTCTCTCCCTGCTTCTAAAAGCAAGTTTCTCATCCTTAAAACTGCAATGTTTTGGAAGTACTTGGTGGGATGAAAACTGAAAGAGCCACAGAGACAGACAGGGGTCTGAGCAAGGCTCCTGGTGAACAGGGCAGCCATGTTCTGCATACTGCTTTGGCCTGCCCCGGGGATAGCAAAAACAAAATAAATTATGCAAAATGAGCACAAGTTGCATAATTTATACAGGTTGCCAAATTCAGTTTCTTTCTTGGTGCAGAATTTCAGCTACTTCGGCACAAAGTTCTGGTTTTTCTTTTGAGTATGTTATTAAGGACGCCTGCCCCTTCTCTGCCTTGCTCCACAATCTCTCACCACTAAGAGCAAGAGCCACAGGCTCATATCAGTAGGATTTGAGTGTGTTACTACTGTGTTTAGCCGTTTCCCCACAACTATGTGCCAGTCAGATGTTGGAATTCAGTTCAGTAACCCATCCGCTGATTAGGTACCTGCAGTTGTCAAAGCTGCCACCGCCTGCTGATTGAGACTGTGCACATTTCCTAATACTGTGGTACCTTGGTTTGCAACCGTTTTGGATTACAACTGTTTTGGATTACAACCACGTCAAACCTGGAAGTGCGTGTCCCTTTTTTGGGATTACAACCCTTTTTTGGGGGGAGGCCCCATTGGCGAAAGTGCACCTTGGGTTACAACCTGTTTTGGTTTACAACCGGACCTCTGGAATGGATTATGGTTGTAAACCAAGGTACCACTGTACAGTAACAGCAACCTCTTATGCTCTTCTGGCGCAGCTCCCTCTGCTGGCGAAAACTTAAAAATGTTTCAAGTTTTATGATTTTACCATCTTTGGTGTGAACACTGACACATGAGTGTCACAGAGCTGTTGTGGGCCCTGTGGCTGTGAAAGAGGTGTTTGCTTCTAGAACATGCAGCTCTGCCTTGATTGGCTGGCCTGAATGTTCAGGGCCTCTCCTAGTGTGGCATGGAAAGTGCTGCTCTTATCCATGCGAAAGTTATATCAGATGCTGGAGACCTTACAGAAGGAGATTACAAGTGTGGCTTTTCCCTACTTCACTGCTGCCCCAGTTTCCAGGAGGGCTAATACTGGTGTCGGGAGGAGGTGCTACTGCATGGGCTTCTATGTGCCGTGTTAGGTACTGCTGACATTACATACATGGTACAGGAATGCAACAGGCCTCTTCCATGAAAGTGATGTGAGAAGAAGCCGCCCAGGATACCACCAGAAAAACAATCCTTGTGACAGGTGAACTTAGGCAGTTTGTGAGGTCTGGTTGAGGTGGAGTTGCGGCAGGTGTCGACACCTGTATAGTATTATTCATATGTTTGTTTGTTTGTTGCATTTCTATCGCACCTTTACCCCCATGGAGCTCAAGCCAGTTTACATAGTTCTCTCGCTCCTCATTTAATCCCCACAACTACCTTGTGAGGGAGATAGATTCAGGTAGGTAGCCATGTTGGTCTGACGCAGTTGATGTATATATATAATTGTCCAGTAGCACCTTAGAGACCAACTAAATTTGTTCTTGGTATAAGCTTTCGTGTGCATGCACACTTCTTCAGGTACTTCTGTTTCAGTGTATCTGAAGAAGTGTGCATGCACACGAAAGCTTATACCAAGAACAAACTTAGTTGGTCTCTAAGGTGCTAGTGGACATTTTTCTTGTGAGGGAGGTTAGGCTGAGAGGTAATGACTGGCCCAAGGTCACCCAGCAAACTTCATAGCCAAGTGAGGAATTGAACCCTGGTCTCCCAAGTACTAGTCCAGCACTCTAACCACTGCCTTGCCACTGGCTCCACATGTAAAACTCCACTCTTCCTCCTTTCAGTAGGCAAGCCTTCCCCAACCTGGTGCTCTCCAGATGCTTCAAACTGCAATTCCCATCATCCCTGACCACTAGCCATCCTGGCTGGGGCTGATGAGAGTCTATCATGTGGAGAGCCACGTGTTCCACACCTCTTCTGTAGAGTCTGCAATGCTTTAGCGGTGCAATGGGTTTAAGGAAGACTGCAGTAGGACTTTCTCATCACATACCCAAAGTGTTTTCTTGCTCAGCAGCCGTCAGTCTTGTGACGTGGGAGCATAATGACACCCTGGGCATGAAGAACATTCTATTAAAATAAATAGTACCCAGGTGCGGTGGGGACTCTATTTTTAGTAGCCATTTTCATTGACAGCAACATTTCTTTTGTAAACATACACATTCTGCTCTGTAGAAATATTAACGACACTACTTAAGCTAGTCCAATGCCAGTTTTATATGGCTGGAAGCTGAACTGTTTCTGAGTAAACCATTACAATTTGGGCTTTGGGTTCAGCTGTGATTCAGACTATTCTGGTTCACAGTTTAAACCAATAAATTCCCCACCCTATCACAAAAAAGTATAATGATTATGTTTCTTAGCTGTAGTTTAACTATTGAGGGCACACACTTCAGTAGGTAGTGTTTGATTGTGTGGAATGTCTTCTGCCTTTGCTATCTGGAAGGAAAAGGAAAAAATTGTGGAATTTCTGGCCTAAGATACAAGCATTAACAACTGAGTGCCCACTCCTTGTAGTAGTGACTTGCCATGCAGACAACTAGCCAAGCCCTGACTTTATATATATATATATATGTGTTCATGCTGAAGTTGATTCACACACACATCTGTTTTTGTTGGATTCCTAGGTGACAGGGTTTGATAGTGTGGATGATGAATCCAAGCATAGTGACCACATGTTCTCTGACAAGAGCCCCAACCCTGATAACTGGACTAGTGAAAAAAATCCTCCATATAGCTATTACTTGTACTACATGTACATAAACATCATGGTTCTGAACAACCTTAGAAAGTAAGTAGTGACGTTTTATATCTTCTTATCTCTGCATCTTTGGTAGAAAGATATAACATGGAATTTGAAGCATAGCTTAAATCAGACTAACATTGTCAACTTAAATGTAAGTGTTTTTATGATCTCCTTTCTAGAGCTGCCCCCCCCCCCCCCCGCTTCTAAGGCTTTTTAAAGACCACCAATTCAGTCCAAAAGGAGGAAATGATTGTGCAAAACAGCACTGTGCAGACTTATCCATCAGGTTAGGATTGTACACGTGTAGCCCTGGGTGGCAGCTTCTGTAACAGGGCTGATCATCTGTGGGCCAGAAGAAAAGGTTGAATCCACCTCTTCTGTCCCTGCTCCTGCCATCTAGGCAGAAAATCAGTACTATTGAAGAAACTAACCAGGACTGCACATTCACAGCTCTTGCCCTAGTGTCAGACTTTGCAGTCTGAGGAAGTATGAAAAGAGCATATTTTTGTATGTGTAGCGTCTCTTGTTGGCTAGGGATGAAAAGTGTTTTTTTAAGAGACCGGTAGGCAGTCTCATAGACCAGGAGCAGCTAACTTGAGGCCTGTAGGCTGGCCCATATCTGGCCCACCAAATAGGTTTTTTGCAGCCCCCAAGACCTGTCCATACTTGTACTCCTTTTCTTTAAAAAAAAAAGTAAAATAGAGTGCTTGTTTTTTAAAAGTATTGACTTCTGCTTTGTGCCCCCACTGCAATACTGTGATTTCAAAAGGCTTTTCCTGCCCCCACTGTGAGCCTAATACACCCACACCCACAAACACCCCAAAAAACCCACATTACTAACCAATCTTGTGGGTCCATCAGCCTGGAAAAGGTTAACCCCCTCTGTTGTAGATCTATCAACTGCCTAACATACACACACACAGACACTTTTCAATCTTATGGTTTCTGGATCAAACACACTTTGTAAGGTTTTGTTGCACTTCAGGCAGCATCTGGAGAGCATCTGAACCAGCTTTCAGTAGATTATAGAAGTAATCAGTACTTCTTCATTAGATGTGTGCCAAAAAACATCACTGACACCTATAAAGTAGTGTCCATAGCATCATTAGTGATCCTCTTTGTCTTGCCAGGATTAGTTTTGTATATTGGCACAGTGAGATATGTGTAGCATGTTCCCTGTTTTTGCATGTGCTTTCATCCACCCTTTAAAAAAGAATAATGCAAAGCAACCTGTATTTCCAAGAAAAGAAATGCCCCACCATTTCAATAACATTTTATATTTTAAATTAATTTAGTCTTGAACATTTTTTGCTTGAGAACATTGTCTTTTAAAAAAACACACAAAAAACTATAGGAGTGAAATTGACTACACTGGAACTTGCTTGCTGTCCAGTCTTGTGATTTAACTACTTCTTTGGGTAGGTTTGTTTTCGGTATGGGAATGAAGGAAACTGCTGCAGTTAATAAATATGATGAAATTGGTGAACTCACAGACATGCATCTTCCCTGCCTTTTGTTTGTTTTCAAGCTGATGCCATTATTATTATTATTATTATTATTATTATTATTATTATTCCACCCATCTGACTGGGTTGCCTCAGCCACTCTGGGTGGCTTCCAACAAAATATTAAAAACATAAGAAACCTTGAACATTAAAAACCTCCCTGTACAGTGCTGCCTTCAGATGTGTTCTAAAAGTCATATAGTTGTTTATTTCCCTGACATCTGATGGGACGGTGTTCCACAGGGAGGGCGCCACTACCGAGAAGGCCCTCTGTAACTTTAATTTCTTGCGGTGAGGGAACCAACAGAAGGCCATCGGAGCTGGATCTCAGTGTCCAGGCTGAACGCTGAGGGTGAAGAAGCTTCTTCAGGTATACAGGGCTTGAGGCCACTTAGGGCTTTAAAGGTTAGCACCAACACTTTGAATTGAGCTTGGAAATGTACTGGGAGCCATTGTAGATAATTTAGGACTGGTGTTATATGGTCCCAGCAGCTGCTCCCAATCACCAGTCTGGCAGCCGCATTCTGGATTAGTTGTAATGCTAAGGGAAAAGTTGCCTCTGTTATTCCACAGAAACTACAATCGGCCCACAGTTTAGTTACCCTGTGGCCTGAAATGAGTCCTTTGGGCTGCAATCATAAACACACTTAACGGGGAGGAAGCCTTACTGAGCACAGTAAAGCAGGGCTGGCCCAATACTTTTTGCTGCCTGAAGCAGAGAAGCAAATGGCACTTTCCCATCCCTAGTCAAGATGTATCATGGCCAAGACCAGCCAAATTATTTTTGTCACTTGAGGTGGAAAACCCCACAAGCACCTCTTGCCCTTCCATGACGGTAAAAAGATAAATTCAGTAAGTAATAGTTAGCTGCCAAAATAATAATAATTAGCCCTTAGTTTTGTCTTAATGGTGGGACTGGCCTTAATGGTGGGATTGTTTATCACCTTAGGCCTCACTTCATTCATTGTCTCAGGTGAAGTTTGCTTGCTAATGTAACAGATGTTGTGAGCTTGAATAATACAAGTTATTTTATAATTACTTGGGAATTAGTTACAAAGTGTGAGTGCATGATGACAATTTTTAAAAATTTGGTTTATTTTAAATTTCTGTAGGGAAAGAGGCATGAGCACCTTCCTGTTTCGGCCTCATTGTGGAGAAGCTGGATCGATCACTCACCTGGTGTCAGCATTTCTTACTGCAGACAACATTTCCCATGGATTACTGCTGAAGAAGGTACAGCCCTTTGCAATTCATCTAGTATAAAATATAACCATATAGGGTTAGAACGTTAGAATGTCAGCAAATATGAAAGATGTCATCTATAAATTTTTAAAACAATTGTCCACTGGGTGGCAGACTTGAGACAATACAATTCTAATATCCACAGTTTAGAAACCTTCATCAGAGCTTTCCAAACTGTGACATAGTAGTGTGTGCGTGAACACTCCCTGCACTCCTCCAGGCACTGGAAAGGGGTTAATTTAACCTCATTTTTCTAGAAAAACTGAATTACTGTGTCGCGAAATGACGCATGTCTAAAAAGTGTGTCACCAACATGAAAAGTTTGGAAACCTCTGCCTTAGATGTTGTTAGAAAAACAAAACTGTGTGCCCTTCTGTGAGAGCAGTTAAGTATGCCATTGTTGTTCTATTGCTGGGGGATATCTAGATGCCTTTTCCCAAAGGAGGAGCTGCTGTGATGTTATCCCCAGCATTCATGCAGCAGTTCTGTTTCTCATTCTCCATTTTTGGTCCTCTTTCTGAATCCACCTATGCTTTATTATTCCTGTTCTCACTGCCTTCATGGAGCTCAGGTCATTTCTCAAAATACAGACTCTGTAACAAGGAAAATGTAGTTTTGGTTACATATACGAAATCACACTTTGGTCACTGAACGTGGGGCTGTCATTTGGTCAAAGATTTGAGGTTTTGCATTGCAGAATCCTGGCTTTTAAGGGGCTGGGTTGTTCTAAATTCACAGTTCATTTGTTACAAACAGAATGCATTTATATTTAACACTTCAGTTCATGGTAAATCATTGGTTTAATATCCCATGTATTTATTTATTTTTTAAATTGCTAATAAACTTTATTTAAACAGATAATTGTAAAGTACACAAAATAATAGTACAAAAGCAGCCGTCACAATACTAGGAAGAAAAGGAAGGGTTAAAATGTTCCCAAGTTTAATGATTGAAGTCAAGCGTTTTCCATTTCCTCTGACTGAATATCTCCTTTCCTGTTATCTTTCTGTACCAATGAATAATGGCTCTCTCTGTTATTTTTGTCCAGAGTCCAGTTCTCCAGTATCTTTTTTATCTTGCACAAATCCCCATTGCCATGTCGCCTCTTAGCAACAACAGCCTATTCCTGGAGTATTCAAAAAACCCACTCCGAGAATTTCTACACAAGGGACTTCATGTTTCTCTGTCTACAGATGACCCAATGCAGTTCCACTATACAAAAGTAAGTAATTTTGGAAGTTCACTGCATTTCAAAATGAATTAATATAAATCCCCCCCATCAACCCAAGAAGTAGCCCAGTCAAATGTATGTTTAGGTGGAAGAAAGTCCTTCTGCATTCCATGAGCATAGGGTTACAGCCATGATATAATATTCAACTCCTACTCAGGGTAGAATCATGACCATTAATGAACCTAAGCTAGTCATGTTTACTAACTTCAGTGGGTCTACTCTTGAGTTGGACTGGCATTTAATATCATTCATAGTCCAACAGTCGGTTCCAGAACAATCCTATGTTAGCTGTGTGTGTGTGAGAGAGAAATACTATCATTTGCTGAAGCCAGGAGGACAGTTTTTCTTACTTTCCCCTCCTCTCAGTAGGAGGGAATTAACTATGTCAGTCCCAGGACTTTGCATAGTTGAGGGTTCTTTTTGATGGGATGCCAAGGGAACAAGGGAGCTTAGAATCCTGCAGGTCCTCAACCACGCATTTCTAATGACTCCTCACCTGGCTCTTGGCTGGCTTTCTGTTTGCTTCCTTACTTTGTGCTTAAATCCTAAATCTTGAATACATAAACATATATATTGTCTGTCTCCAGGCATACCTTCCTAAGAACTACAACTCAGTTGGCAATGATGTCTGCAGTTCTCAGCAATTAGCTCACCACTTGAGATGGTCCAATAACCATTAGACAGTTGTCTTAACTGAATTTATTTACAAGTATATGAGTGTGTTTACATAGCTAGTAAATAATTATGTTTTATGTTTGAAGGAAGCACTGATGGAGGAATATGCCATAGCAGCTCAAGTGTGGAAACTGAGCACTTGTGACTTGTGTGAATTAGCAAGGAACAGTGTACTACAAAGTGGTTTGTCGCATAAGGTAAACTCCGTGCGCTGCAGGAAGTTCTGTTTTGTATGTGCTGCTGTTTGTGTTACACGTCAAGCTAGAATCTGAGTGCAGCTGGAAGCCTGATCAGAATGGGGACTGCAGTCACGTTGTATTAAACATATGGATGCATATTTATCATCTGATAGGATAGTCTGAAAGCTGAAAGGGAAGCCAGTGGCTGAATATCCTGACTGGGTTTTTTGACAGAGGGGAAAATTGCGTGATTGACTGCCCAGAGTTAGAGAGTGAATGGAGGCCAAGTTATATAACAAAATGGTTACTACATGGTGGCTTTATGAAATGGCTCCCATGGAATTGTCTTAAATCCATTTTGTGTAGGAACGCATTACAAGGACCAGAGAAATTATTCTCTTACGTCCGTGAGTGATATGGAATCATCCCAGATCCATGTGTTTAGGCACTATGCAACATGTACAAGGAAGCTGCTACTGGAAGCTATTCAAAGCAGCCTCCAGATGTCAGCCATTTTGAGTCAACAATCCCTCAGATTATGGCATTACAACTGAAGTCTGTATTACTGCCATCTACCTTCTCATCGCCCTCAGCTGCTGTTTCTTTTTTGGCAGTTTTTTCCTCTGCCAGAATAAATGCTGCTGCTGAGATGACTCCCTCCATGGTGTGGGTGGTTAACATGTTGCCCTCCAGATGTTGCTGGACTTAAACTTCATCAGGTCAGCCAGCATGGCCAACACTTAGGTGTGATTAGAGTTGTAATCTAACATCATCTAGGAGCAACCACTGGTCTCTGGTCTCTTTCTTGCTTTTGCTGGGTAGGAGAGACATCTATTGTCCCATCCAAGCCCTAATGGGTTTTTTTAAAAGAAAAAAAGCATTTCCTTTAAAATTCAAAGCAACTTTAAGTTGATTATCATCTTTAAACGTTGTTTCATCCTTAGGAAAAACAGAAGTGCATAGGGACAAACTATTCCAGTGAAGGGCCTGAAGGAAATGACATTCGAAAGACTAATGTTGCACAGATTCGGATGGCTTACAGATATGAGAACCTATGCAACGAGCTGAGTTTCCTAGCTGATGCAATGAAGACAGAAGAGATTACTGCACTGTCAAAATAGCCACGGTATCGTGCAAAGGACAGAAGCCTATGAACATAAGAGGACATGAGCAACTGCAGGGGGGAGAGCTGCCTGGTGATCAGGAGTCTTACGTTGCGTCAGACTTGGCTGCCAAGTCCAGTTTCTGTAAGCATAGTTAGGGCTGCTGTACATATTCAGATGCAGGGTCTGAATCTTCTTTATGCTGCAATTAACGTTTAAAAGTGCACTCCAAATCTAGGCATAATATTTATAGTGTTTGCATCTGGGATACGTGTCTGCTTTGAAACAAGCAACATGCTGCAGCTTCTGGTAGCACACATGCACCTCTTTTGCCATGCTTAGCTAGCAGTAGGCAAGGATCTATGGCACTTTAATCTCTAGTTTGTGTACACTCTTTGATCTGTATTGCAATGAATGTAGGGAAGAAAAAGAATATGACCAAAGAGCTGCATGTTTTTCCTGGTTGCACATGATAGGAAAACCTATTCACCACTTTTACTTTTGTCTACATTTTGTCTGTCTATACCCCACAAAAAAACCACAATAAATCGTAGGTGTGGCCATTGCTCTTGTAGTTTCATTAAATCTTTTAAATTGTCCTTTGGTGACTAGCAACATCAGTCATAAATGTTTATGCTGATTTACCATTATGTTTTCTTATGGTGTACTGGCATAGGGTCTGAAACTTATAGAGCAGTCCTATGTATGTCTACTCAGAAGTCTTCTCTCCCTTGGCTGTCCAGCATTGTTCAAATCTGTCAGTCCCTAGAACGTAACCCCCACGTAAATTGCGGGCTTACTGTATTAAGAAATTAAGAGTATGTGCAGAAAAGTCTGCATTTAAAACTTCCCTTACGGCTGCTATACACATGGTCACATGGTGTGTACCAGCTGTGCTAACTAGGAAATTATATAAGATTTCTTAGTTTTGATTAAAGGTTTATGGTTGTTTTACATTCTAGTGAAACAGAATGGCTGCTATGGTACTAAAACAGTGTCACAGCACCTTGTTGCACTGGGGAAGCTATTTACATACCCCTGTCATAAGGCTTGGGTGGAAATGTATGTGATTACTTTAAACAAAGTTTCGTTCTCCAACGTAAAACACTATCTTGAGCATCTTCTCACAAATCCATGGAGTAGGTTAAGTATAGGGAGAGCTTGTTCCCCCTCCCTCACCTGTTGTCTTTAGACTGACATGCCTACTCTGTGCACTAGGTAACTTAAGCAGAAATCCTAAACATGAGTCCTACTGAGTTTAAGCATTTATTCTTGAGTAAGCGGGCCTAAGAATTTGTGGAAAGTTCACACTTTTGAATTATTTTTATGGTTATGGAATGTCCTACCCTTGAACAAGCATTTTGAACAACCAAGGACAAGCATTTTCTTGAAAGATCTTCATTATAGCTAGTATACAGTATTAAGCAGATGTTTATGAATTGTTTCCCAGCTGGAACCTCTGTATTCTAGAAGGCTAAGATAAACAGGGTCTCAGAACCCTTCCATTGCTAGATTTAATTTTCCAGAAGAGCCAAAATGAAGATTATATTTACTTGTAATCCATAAAAATGGTGGTGAAAGAATGTGACAAATACTACCCTAATTTAATTTTATCCCTGAGGACCTACAGTAACACTTTGGAACTAAAGGAAGCAATCTATCACACCCATAGCCACTTTTGCTGACTTTTTATTTACCACAGCACCTATGTTCCAGTGTAAACCCCCTGCATTCAGGGACCTGATGCCTAAGAAGACAACTAATTTATTGAAATAAACACAACAGTTTTCTCTATAAGAAACGGTTCTCTTCTGAGGTCTGGTGGCAGGATTTTCAAGTATTGCACAAAGCTGAAGGAGACTGAAGTGTTTATTGCACAATATTCACAACAATATAATACATTGGAAAGTTTAATAGCTATTAACACTCTTTATCAAACCCTTAAGAAATATTCACATTAATGCAAAACAGGGAAGTAATGCATTTTTTTCTTGAGCTACACATAATTCAACTTTTGCTGAAAATTCACTGTTTAAAAAAGTCATAGTTCTAAAACTATTCAACATTATTGAATTGACAAAGCAAGTTTTCTTCCAATATTGAATTATATTACAGTTTTAAACATAAATGGTGTTTTTGGTGGTAACACATACTGGGTGAAATCCAATGTACAGCAAGGATTTCTTGCTTGCATAATGGACCATTTCCCCCTGTGAGTGCCCTAAATCTGTCTGACTGGTTCTCCCAACTGTGCAGCAGATTTGAGGGCACAAGGGGCAGTGGGGTCCCACTGCACAAGCAGAAACCCTTGCACTATTGGGATTACTGCTCATCTGTAAGTTCAAGCAGCTTTGTAATTTTGCCACGTGCAGGGTGTCTGTCAAGAGCACATGGGAAAGCTGCTCAGTGATGAACAGCATCTTTCTCCATGGGCTTCGGAGTAAACTCTCATAGCCTTAGAGAGCTGCCAGTCCTTTTAATACTCAGAGACAGAGACAGGGACAAAACTACAGTGACATGGAGGCAGAAGAGAGGAACAGTAGTGGCACAGAGGAGTAAAGTGGCCTACATTTTAACAAGATACATTTTACAGTACTTCCACCACTGTGTATACTTATTAATTTAAAATGCTATACATATCACAAAGTTTACACCTATTTACAAGCTTCATTATTAGTGTTAGAATCAAAAGTACCCCTGCATCTTTACATTATAGACTACATACTCATAGCCTTGTTAGCATTTCAAAACAAGCCAGTTTGTTTTTGTAAGTTTAATCATTAACACACCTCCACTTCTACCATGCTTTCTCTTCCCACCTTGTTTGAACAATCCATTCTATGGCTTATGTGGTAGAAATGTAGATAGGTTTTGCTACACACACAGCAAGTCACAACAAACCTTATTTCTGGCTTACTGCTCATGGGAGGGGGCAGGCAAGTTCACAATTAAAACGTCAACTTATTGTGACATGCAAACCGGGCCAATTTCAAGCTGCTTGAGTCTGGTATGCAAGGCTTTATCTAGGACTCAATGAACTCTATTCAAATTAGTCCTACTTCAAGTACACTCACTGAATATAATGAACCTAAGTTAGCTATGTCCATTAACTTCACTGCATCTACTCTGAGTAGGACTAGCATTGAATATTACTCTAACATTTAAAAAAATCAAAGTATAAATCATATTAACAACAGATAAGATAATCTTCACTAAAGAAGGAAGACTTAAGAGCTTACTAGGTTTAAAACGCTTGCTGTTAAAACATTAGGCACTTCTGCCAATTCCTAATACTTTGGACAAGGGTGGGGAAAATTAACATGATCACTTTTACAATCAACAAAAAAATCCTCAAACCCTTCAATGTTCACTATGATTTTAAACCCATTGAAGTTCATCAATTAGCAGTGAGAACCATTTCCAAGAAAATTATATCAGGATTACAACCTAACACTGGAGTTCAAAGTCAAAGATGTCACTGAATTCAGTAATCTAATTTGCTGTCTAATTTCTGATTTTGGCAAGTCATTCTAGATGGGGGAAACAACTTGAGCCATATTGTAATTGTCTAGATTGAACTCGATGGCTTCAAACAAGCCAGAAATATCTGTCATCTTCTGTAATGCAAAGTTCAGATATATTCTACAAGTCTTTAACCAGTAATTTAAACCTGCAAGTAACTTGAAGTATCTGCAAAACTTTAGCATAATCTCAAACAGCAGTGTTACAATTCACACATTTCCAGCAATCCCAGATGTGCAGCAGGTAAGGGTAGAGCTTGGCCAAAAGGGTATTTGCAGACATTGCCAATCATGCTGCCTGCAAAACCCCTTTCAAAGTGCAGGGCAAGACAGCATTTGACAGTGGCTTCTGTGAACATTTTCAGAAGCTCAACTTCAAGTCTTATCTTGCCCTGTTCTTTGAAGGAGGCTTCTGTAGACCCCTATGGGCAAAAATGTCACTAGACATCGTGACATTAGACAACTGACAGGTGTGCATCTCTAGCCACTGGCCACCTGCCAAACTCCTGCACAAGGTGGGGGCATTAACAACCTGGACCACAAGGCTAGAAAGGTTCCCCATCCCTCCTCTAAGTTGTCATTTTCCATAATGCCTCCATACAGAGTTCCTCCAGGATGCTGTTAGAAATGTAAAATGGTTGCTTGCAGCCATCTGCCACTAACAAAGTAATCTGAGGGCCCAAAAGAAGATAATCTGCTGAGTGCCACCCTTAAACCTGGATCCAGTCCTGGTACCAATACTCCTGAGAACAAGTAGTACAGGCTTCAGGGTTACAGATTCCATAAGACATTAAAGCAAAGCAATTGTGGTCAAAGAACACATTCCTTCTTGTTACAGTAAAGCATATTGCACCTGTAGAAAGGAGTCTAGCACCATCTATTTACCTCAGATCACCATCTTTTTTCCCCCCGGTTATAATGGTGATTTAACAATGGAAGTCTAGAAAAGCTTGAAAGCCAGATGCTACGTTGCGTGATCAGAAACTTTGGGTCGTCTGTGATCAGCAAAGGTATGAACACATTTATTCCTGAATGCAAGCAGCTCTGACTTGGTGAACCTGGGAAGTTTTTTGAAGTTATTTGATGTTGACTAGACAACTCATTCTCCCTGAACAAGAATGCAAAAGCCATTTTATCAAAATTGTGTGCCATCAGAAAATTTTGACTCAAAACAACATGCTACAATTAGTGGTGATTTAAGGAAGCATTTGTCAATACTAAGCAAGCCACAAGGGGCCAGTAGATGTTACTGAAATGTAAATGTGGGACAAATTCCTATTCATGTAAGCAGGCAGGCATGAGCCATACACACATACTTGCATAAGGAAGGATTGCTTCTGAGTGTTAGAACAACAGGCCCTCAGCAACTTCCCACATTCTTCTGGACCATCTATATTGAAATTCAGTTTCAACAAATGATCACAGAAGAGCTTATACTAGAACTCAAATATTAGCTATTCCAGTGTCTCATAGAAAGTCAGAAAACTCTTAACATATCTTTCTGCAGGTGCTACGTGCAGAGAAATTATTGATGAGCATTTAAAAGTATAAACGTGTACAACTGGCTCATAGACAAATGGTCACTTTTAAAGACCTATGACTTTTATAGAAAGCAATACAATGAGGAAATGAAACAATAAATGAAATCTTTTAAGATTTCAAGGCAATGGGCTTTGTTCCTGTCAGGGTCTGTGAGGCTGGCCTGCCTCATCTACCATGTTGAGTATGTAGGTAGCAATATCTTCTTCTGTAGGTGCATCTGATACCACCCAAGAATCATTGGCTGCAGTCACCTGCAGACGACATATAGGGCAATTCCTGTGGTGACCACTCCTGTGTAACAAGCCAGAAGAAAAAAGTCAGTATCACACAGTTTAAGAAGTATTAATAATACCCATTGCTACCTTTGCTTATAAGTTAGAATGGAATATTAGAGGCATGACTAGAGAAGATTTACTGCAGTATGTTAGAACTACCATAGAAGAGAAATATCCAAACAATCCTCAATACATGACTAGCATGCCTTTTCTTGAAATCCACCAAGGAACAGTACCCCTATAACTGATTATATTCTGTTGCTTTTATCATTGGGAATTTCCCCAAATAGGATCTTCTCCAATTATTAATCCAAAGCCAACCTTTCTGTAATTTAAAACCATTACTTCTTCTATAATCAGTGCTTAGGGTACACAAAGTCAATCTATACACCCTTAACTTCCTTTTTTCCTGTCCCCCCCTCCCTTTTCCTCTTATGACCTCCCTTTGAAATCTTTCAATTCAAAGGGCAGCACTGTGGATTCTTCCCAGTTTGTGAACATCCTGAAGCTGTTGTGTCAAAACTGAACAATGTTCTTGCAGGAGGTATTTAGCAGTGTCAGGTAGACTGGTAACATCCCCTTCCAGAGTCAAATAAAAAAAATCCCTGGTAAAACAACAGAGTGCTGTGGTATGAAAGAATAATGCTGTTTAATGTTCATCTTGGAAATCACTAATGCCCAAATGTTAACAGAGTTCCGTGAATGTTTTTATTAAAATTTTATTCCAATGGGGCCCTCTAGAGATTCCTGAGATTCCATTCAGTTTTCAAATGGAACTGGCAGCCCTGTTTATCTTCGGAATCTAGACAGACTAGAACATGAGACATTAGTTATTTTAAAAAGTCACAAGATTTTAGGTTTTAAATCCTGAAACCAGATTACATAAAGCATTTCGTCTAGTTGACTATTTGCTCAAGCCTAGTTTGGAATAGAGTCAAGCTGCATCTGCTTTGCACCACAGGTGGCTGCTGCCCTAAGTGCAGAAGCTATCTTCCCTGCTGCAATTCTATTAAAGACATATCATTTCTTGGATACTTAGAAGCTGTTTCCTACACAAAGCATCATTAGTTAAAGGTATATAGGTATAATGTGCTGTAATAATTTCAAAGGGTTGTATTCAATCTTAGTCATACTCAAAAGTATGAAAGAAATGGACTTGACTAACTTAATTTCAATGGGTCTATTCTGAGTAGAGTTTATACAGATACAAACCACAGTTCAAAATACCTTCAAGCCTTCATTTTTAAGGTTCTGAAGTAACTCCATACTCAAAACAGAGCAAAAGCTCCAGTTTGAAGCAGTTTCTCCATTATCTGAACACTGTCAACATTGGGAGTCAAAACTGTGCAAAAGCACAAACTGACAATGCACACATTTCTGCTCTGCCCTTCCCCCGTGCACTGGTCTGATTGTGGGGGCAGAGCTCCATCGTGTAATTAGGACTCACACTGGCTTCAGCTAGTGCAACTGTTTAGTTGAATTCAGTCCTTTGTTTTAAATATATATATGCAGACTGATGCTGACATGAACAGCAATTTGATTTGACATTAGCAACTTGCCAGGCATTTGTCCTGAAGAGTTTATCTTTTAAGAGATTAAACAGGGAATGCCCAACAAAGGAACACATTTTCTTGCCAAAATCCACTTCGCTTGTTGCTCCCACATAACACATCCCTTACCTCATGCTATCTACCAAAATCAATGGTTTCTATTCTTGTTGTTACAAGACAAAGCTAGTGATGTGTTAGTTCAGTGCCTTTCAGCAAATTTATTCTAGGGAAAGTGGTCAAATTTCACAGGACCGCTTCACAGAATAATGCAATCAGAGCCTGTGTCACAAACTTACCATTTATCAATGCATTTCTGACAAAAGCTGTGAGCACATGGCAAGATCAGATCAGCTCGTCCGTCCATGCAGATGCAACATTCTTCCTCATCAGTCAGCTGTTTCACCCTACAATACAGATAAAACTATTATTCCCAATCATAGCAATTAGAAGTGGGATAAATTTATATTTTGGCATTGCTCAGCATGTTTCTTCTGTATAAACTTTTATTTTTGTTGTGCATGTTTGTATTTCATAATATGGTGTCCCGCTCATGGGTGGCTATGCCACGTAATATCTACTGCATTACATTTAGGTTTTCTAGCCTATCTCAACTGGTCTGATCCAGCAATCTCCTGTTGCATACAAAACAGCTGCTCTCTATAAACAAATCCAATATAAAACCAATACATATAAAGCCACTAGCTTCCGGAGCACAATTATAGAGAAGAGAACTTTCTCAAAGGGAGGTATATCTCACGCTCCTCTTTAATGGCCTTCCATAAACTATCCAAACCAATCTTTGTAAACGCAGCTTTTGGCTTCTAGATAGTTGTTTCACTGAAATAGTTTTATGTTTCTGCTTGTTTGGAATAATCTTTATTGCTGGTACATTGTTATTGCTTTTCTACAGTTGTTTTTAGTTTTAATGTTTTTATAACTGATGTTATATGGTTTTGTTATATGGTTTTGTTTTATGGTTATATGGTTTGATTTTGCAGTTAGTCGCGTTGAGCAAGGTACCAATGTTTTAAATAAATAATAAATCAGCATAATATATGCTGAGTGTTAAAAATCAGAGCATATCGCCCAGAAAGGGTGGATTCAATGCTTCTCCACATTTGTAAGTGGGCACAATTCATGTGGGCTAGCCACCTTTGATCTTTATGCATTTCTGCATATATACATGCATAGCTATTGGTTCTACTTCATCTGAACACAGGAAAATGTGTTCTGTCTGGTTCCAGCAACTTCCATGCAGAGCATTATCAGGCCTGTCTTTCTGGATAGGGGACAAAATGTTTGCAAGATGCAAGTTGGCCAAAGCACTCCCATTAAACAGTATTAGCACTAGTAGTTATATGCATCATTTAAATGCAGAGACAGATAAAATCGTAATTCTCCCTACTAAGAATAAAGAGAATGTCTAGACAACTGTCAATACTGGGGTTTGCTTCACTACTGGTATAGTTTTGTTGCTGCAGCTCTGAACACAAAATACAGTGGTGCCCCGCAAGACGAATGCCTCGCAAGACGAAAAACTCGCTAGACGAAAGAGTTTTCCGTTTTTTGAGTCGTTCCACAAGACAAATTTCCCTATGGGCTTGCTTCGCAAGACGAAACGTCTTGCGAGTTCTTGCGAGTTTGTTTCCTTTTTTTTAAAGCCGCTAAGCTGTTAATAGCCGCTAAGCCGTTAATAGCCACTAAGCCGCTAATAGCCACTAAGCCGCTAATAGCCGTGCTTCGCAAGACGAAAAAACCGCAAGATGAAGAGACTCACGGAACGGATTAATTTCGTCTTGCGAGGCACCACTGTAAAGCTAACGTGTGCATGAAAACACAGGACAAACAGCATTATTATAGTATGCACACAAGATTATATTATGATATTCCTCTGCCCAGAAGAAAACATTTTCCTACAGCAGTCAAGTTCTTGGCACCCTATTTTTGTTGCATGAGATCAAGAAATTCATTTTATGTCCTTGAATCTATTCCCACTTCTTCTGTACTCTGTATTTATTTTTCTATGATCACATGTCAACTGCTGTTTTCCATTTGAATATTTGATCTAAATATCAGGTATTTTTCATCCTCCAAGATATGTCTGCACACGAAACTCACAGCCGCTAAAGTAAATCACTGCTGCAGAAATGTACACCCAGGGTTAGAATACTATATTTTCATATTTTCCATTGTTGAGGAATGTTATTTATGTAACAGTTCTCTTCTCAAAACAAGAATCCCTCTAGATTGCTCCTGATTAAAAAGATGTTTTATTTACATTTGCCATAAGCACCACTAGGCATTAAAACTACCTTGAACAGCTAGCCATCCCTCAGGACTAGCAAACACTCTTCACTTTGAATATCTAAAACAAAATAGGCACAGATTCCAGTAACTTGCTGTCTACTCATTAGAAAACAGGCTACCATTTATGAACCAGTTCCCCAAGTCTTCCGGGTTTAAGTTGAAGACCTACCTAAGAAGCAACTTTCACATGCCAAAAAACATAAACAGCCAGAAAGAACAGTTCTGACTGTTGCTCAGATTTAAATAAAATTTCTTCAAATTAGATTCAGAATGCAATGCGCAGCTCTATCCTTGCTACTACTAAAAGTTAAGGTGTAATCCTAGGGCACCCTGGAGAACGTAAGATGATGTGGCCTTCCCTCTCCACAAAGCTCAAGGATTAGTTCCTTGTTCTATACTGGTGGACAACTATGGCATTCAAAGAGACTGCTTTATTCTGAACACCATACAATGAACAAAAGAAACCACCCATATCACATCAAACAAACATAAGAGTTGAAGCAAGAGGAAGTAACAGAATACATGTCTCAAGGAATATGGATTGAAGAATGATTCCTAGGAACATAGAAAGCTGCCTTATCCTGACTCAGACCATTAGTTCATGACAGTGGTTCTCAAGAATTTCAGGAAGGGGTCCTCCCTGGGTTCTGGCTGGAGATGCTGGGGATTGAGCCTGTGACTTGTTGCATTCAAGGCAAGCCCTCTAACACCAAGATACAACCCATCCCCTTTCCAGAATATTTCAGTAAACCTAAGATTCATGTGGGCCTATCACTATATGACACTGTTCACTGAAACCAGACCAGGGGTAGCCAGAATAGTGTCCACCACAGCATGCCAGCCCCAGTTAGCATGGACAACAGTCAGGGATGATGGGAGCTGAAGTTCAATAAGATCAGGAGGGTGCCACATTGGCCACCCCTATGTATAAAATAGGGAGGGGGGAAGTGTTTCAAAAAATAGAGTCATGGAGATAGCCAGATGTTGGAAAACCAGTGATAGGCTGAACATTGATTGAGTATGGTCAATAGCACTGGCTGAGAAACTAACATGCCAGGTGAGAGCGGCAAAGGGCAAGCACAATCCATATTCCTTTTATAACATATGGCAAATGTTTATTGAATACATAAATTGTTCAGACTGTGGCAGGAATCCACTCAGCACTCATGGGAAAATGTGGTGTGATCTCTTAGAGTAATCAAATGAAACTTTAACACATAGCATAGCATAACATAGCATAACATAGCATAGCATAGCATAATAAAAGTATGTAATTTTATAAGGACAGGTTACTTATTGTTTACTGCTGTAACAATTGTTTTATCAAAATTTATCTTCTGTAACATGAAAATAAATAAAAAAACAGTATTATTGGTTTTTTTTAAAAAATAGAGTTTCCCCATGTTCCTACTGTTGGCCACTGATTCAATGCCAGAGAGTTATTAAGGCCATAGGTGGCCTAGTGCTTCCATTTTATTCAAGCCATTACATTTTGTTTCCAGACAAACACCTTAGATCATCGTAAGTCTGCAACCCAGTTTAAAGCACTGTTTCATACATACTTGAAAAGAAAAAGATTCTGTAATGCTATGTGAAGTAAAAAGTAATTCTGCTCTTTATAGGTAAGAAGCATAGGCACACTTAGGGTTCCACTGCTGCCATTGTATTTGTAGTTGTACTCGTCTTTAACAGGAAATATAAGAACATTATGCAACCTGTTCAAGGTAGCATGTGTGCATTTGTTCAAGAGTTCACCTTCAGTAAAAGTGGAAAGAGATAATATCTGGAGAAAGACTATGCTTCAAGCAATGTTTCAAAAAGGATAGCCAGTTTACATGGCAAATAGATTTGCTTCTGTTGCAAAACAGATGATTTTCATTATACAAGCTCTTTGCAGGAAGAACATGTCTCTATCTCAAGATTATATACAAAATTTGAAACAGCCTGCCAAGTGCTCATTCAATGCAGTACCAACCTACCAATGTATTATTTGCATACAGCTCAAAACAGAAGTTTGTAACTGTAATAGTTAATTAGACGTACTGTCATCCAAGTTGAGATGAAAGACTTACTAGCATAATCATTAAACTTTTATTCTATGCAAAATATTCATATATATATATATATATATATATATATATATATATGAATGAGAGAGAGAGTTTGAATATGTATACATAATGAGCTGAAGAGATTTGTGTGCTCAACTTCAAACATAAATGGATCTCTTAGAATACTGAGATACCTTCCCATCAAAATGCTGGCCTGACAAGATGCAACAGATGACAGATCCTCGGCAGCTCCTTCTGAGGCAATGTTCTGCGAAAGAACACTTGCTGCTTGACTCGTGACATCTTTATAAAGCTGCATGAACTGATATAAGTTCATGATTCTTGATGCTTCGACAACACCACTTGTCTTGTTTATCTAAACATACAGAAAGCAGTCTTACCATTTTTGCTTCAACACCTCACTATCTATGCTCAGCATTCTTTGTTTATAAACATACACACTCCAACTAGGACATAAACAGAGAGTTCAAAGATGGTACAAAGATCAGAGATTTCTCACACTGTGGGTGGCTTAAGAATGCTCACAATGACCCTGTCATTTGAAAGGCCATCCATATAGTTTCCCTTTTAGTGACTTGGGTGAATGACTGTAAAGGTTGCATTAAACAACACAACACCGAGACTTTAAAAGTAGTTACGTATGGGACCAAAGTCCAACCAAAATATATTGAGTTCTCAATATATTTTGAGATGAATCAGAGAATTAACAACTTTCACATACTTACAGAGATGTGACTTCCGGGAGTGGGGTGGGGAGAATCTGGATACCTTTTTTCTTAACCCTCCCTGCCCCACCACCGTAGTTTTTTTTGTTTTTGAAATGTTTTATTTAGGGGCTGGCGAGACCTGGGGCCACTGCCCCTCTGGCCCTCCCCACATGACGCCACTGCCTCTTCCTCCTTCCCTCTCAGCTCAGGATTTTGCTGCCTTTTGAGATAGTAAAATTCACACTGTTCATACTGGTTTTGCTGTTTCTGTTCCTTTCCTATGGTGGTTTTATGGGCTCCTTCCCCTTTCTTTAGTCTTTCAACTGTTTCCTCTTCTGTAGAGGAGCTGTCCAGTGTGCTGGACTCTTCCAATCCTGCTTCTTGTCCTCTTGATCTGGTTCCATCTTGTCTTCTGACTACTATGTCTCTTTCTTCTGGCTCATTCACTCTAATATGCAAACATGCTACAGCTTCTCCTATTCTTAAAAAAAATAATCTACTGATTCTTCTCTTTCTAGTTATTGTCCCATCTCTTTGCTGCCTTTTGCTTCTAAACTCTTGGAGTGTGTTGTCTATTCTTTCTGTCTGGGTTTTCTTTATTTTAGTTTGACCCTTGATTTTATTCTCTACTGAGATGACTTATGAAGCATACTAATGACATTCTTGTTACCAAATCAAAGGGTTTACGTTCCATCTTTATTCTTCTTGATTTTTTTGTGGCCTTTGACGTGATTGATTGTACTCTTTTACTGGGTTCCCTTAATGACCTTGGATTTTGTGATGCTGCTCTACTGATTTTATTGTATTGTTTATATTGTTTTAGATCGTATGAGCCCCACCCCCAGTAAAAATTCCTATCTTAAATGTGTTCAGAGCCATGTACACAGATGGTGCTATATAAGCAAATGTTAATAATAATAATAATAATAATAATAATAATAATAATAAATTCAGGTATTTGGCCAAGGAATGTAATAAGGGATTCTGCCAAGCATATCCCTCCCGCAAACAAGGCCTTTGCACAACACAGCCTCTGATGCCTATTGCTTCTTATCTACTTAAGATTTCTCCATCTTCTGCAGCATGTGAAAGAAACTGATCTGTTTGGAAACACTCACATCAAATCAAGAAATACATTGACATGTGAAAGCGTAGAAACTTGTAGCAGCTATGGCAAACTTTCAGTTTTTAGAAATCCATGATAAATAGGATGACAAATATGAAGAAACAGAAACTGACAGGGAAGTCTTAGAAAAAGAGACAGATTAAATTTCATGTACTGTTCGTTTGAATTTTGTTCCCCCTCACCTCTTTTTATGTTTGCCTGACACTACTGAGGACTGGAGAAGACATAATAATTTTCTGAATATGTAATAATTTGTTTTACTATAATGATGGTTTCTGGGTTTGTTTGTTTTTTGCCACCTCCTCCTAAGCTGGCAGAACCAAAGAGATACTAGATTCCTTGCAGTTCAGCAGTTTGTAACTCCATTTGTAACAAAAACTTAAAAAATAAATTCAATTTGCAATTATTGTCTGAATAAACAGTGCTTTTAATATACCCAACATTCTATGGAAACCAAGTTATACACGACGCATTTTATGTTCCTAAAGTAACAAAGTAACTTTTGATATGTAAAGAGCACTTTAAAAAACAAGTATTGAAAAAGAAATAAATTCAATTTTCCAAAAATATCTGTTCCACCCCTACCAAAGATATAGGAGAAATGCTACCCCCACCCCCCGGCATCAACATTTACAGAAATTTTACCATTCTACAAACTTACCTTAGTACACACTACTCGAACAGCTACCTTCCAGAGAGCAGTGGAGTCTGAACCTGGCTGTACTTCAAATAACAGGTGCTTGTCCTGGCCAGAACCCAACTTGGCAGTTCTGAAATTATTTAACATCCATTTATTTCACAGTATGAAATAAATTTGTAAAGCACAATTCAATCTAGATTAAAAATGAGAACAGCCACTATTCTACACTTTAATCTAGAGATCCAATTCTAGTACATACACAAGAAACAGACATCCTTGAGGATGTACAACTACCATCTATATTTTAATACACAATAAAATGACGATGTAGCTTTCATAAATCTTCCTCAGCTTGGGATTCCTAAGATAACACATTACCTATGTCTCCTATCTCTCATCCTCATCTGTGCCCCTACAGAGGGCATATATTTTAATGCAATTAAAGAATATGAATATATGGAGCTACCTTACAGATTATTGGTCCATCTAACCCAGTACTGTAAACTGTGATGGCAGCTGCATATATAATACCTTGCCAAAGAAATTAGTTCTTCTTCCCGCTACACATATGCTGGCTAAAATACTTTATGAACATACACTTCATAAGGTGGGTTGTAGCCAACACTAACTTATACCACTACATTATTGTTAGATACCACAATGCTTTCCCTCTCTGCAACATACTAAAATGGCTATCCATGTGGAATTTTATAAACATGCACATTTCAACGTTAATGTAACTGCTAGACTATATTTTACTCATCTACAATCAAAGAGACAGAACTATCTAGCACTGAATAGAACATCTGATGTATATCTTTCATTAGGTTTCCCACCACCACCAGAAACAGCTAACACATTCATTTTGGAATACAGGCAACTTCCCATTTGTGCAGGGGTTGCATTTTGGGTCATTGCACATGTCGGTCATTCCACAGCCAAAAATGGCACATGTGTGGGTGGTCAGGCATGTTCCAAATATGCGCAAACAAGGAGTTGCCTGTAGTGTTAAGGAGGATGTTCTTTCAAATACTGACTCATCTTAAATGCAAAAGAATAAACTGAAAAAGCCTTACGTGTCATTCATTTCAGCTACCCTCCCCAAAAATTCTTCATATGTCAAGAAACCACTTTCTCGAACCAGGGATACATGTTTGACTACTTTTTCTGGCAGCTTATTAATAGCAGAGTGTGTCTGGCTTGAGAGCTGCTGGCCCATGATAACGTTCTTTAGCTCAGCATCCAAGAAGGCAGATCCACTTATTTGGAGAGTTTCTGATAAACAAATTTAAAAACGTTGTACTGTATTAGTATGAAATAATCAACATTGGATGAAATACTCAAGATTGGGCTTTTCTTTTACTTTTAATAAATTGCTAACAGCTATGCACCAAGATCTGTACAGATACCAAGACCAAAATTGCACAACCACAAGCACTATTGTAACAAGAAGGCAAATTTACTTAGTCCCCTGTGAATATACTTACTATGTGAACAGAAACTGTAATACACAAAATGCAGTTACAGTCAACCACAATGCATCTGCTATATTAAAACCTTGTAGACCAAAATGCAGCACCTGCTCATGAATTGCTTGGCTATTCATGTTAAGCCATCCAGAAAATAACAGGGTACAGCAAGTTTTAATAAACTGTTAATCGGAAGAGCATCTAAAAAGTTGAACATGGAACACACTTCCTAAATTATACATGTGGTTTAGAAACTACTACAATTTAAGCTGCAATTTGCCATGTTAGTTTTAAATATATGTATTTTAAATAAGGACTTACTAACATGTACTTTAAGGACTGAGAAATAGTAGTTTAGCTTACAAATTCTTTTAATCACTGCCAAATAGTAAATAGACCAAATGCTTTAATTTCCTAAAACAGATACGCAGGGATACAACAGACTCCTAGGAATACAAGGCAAAATCATAATGAGAATGCCAGATGTAAGAACTGCAAGACCACGGCACACTCTGTAAAAGTCTTATTTACTTTGCAGTTCATTTTTGCAAACTTCTAGAAGTTATATATAGAATAACTGAGATTCATGAGCAACCAAATATCACATGCTCATAATAAATCCGAGGCAAAACTTTTTTTTACCTAACAAAAGTAAAAGGATATCACATCCTAGGTACCTATTTTTTACACAAAAACAAACAAGCAGAAAGAAGCTCCTTAAAACAAATGTTTCAACCATTCGCTAACATGTAATTCTAGAAAAAGGCAATCCTCTCCTCACTATTTCACCACAGTGAGCATGTAAAGAAAAGCATGTTTGATATATCTATTATCAAACTGATCTTTTGTTAAAAACAAGTAATTACAACACTCTTTTGGGTGGCTGAACAGTTACACCAACCCCAGCCTCCTCCTACGTTGACATCACAGGAGAATCCAGCACTTCAAAATAATATGGGACACAAGTGTTTTTGTAAACCGCTTTGAGGTTGTTTGTGTGTCTGTGCGCTTTTTTTTTTTACACAACAAAGCGGTATACATATATATATTTGACGAAACAGATAAACAAGTGGCTCAAAGTCCTTTCGAGGTTGGAACGTGCTTGGGTTTTCTGACCCTCGCTTTAGCACAAGAGGTACCGCGAACGGGTATCTGTTGTTGTCAGCCACTTAGGCCCCACAGAGCAGGGCAACAGCTTTACTTTCCAAACTCGGTTTTGAAACAGAGCGTGCTCGTGAGAAAGGGGAGGAGAATCGGAAGACCCGGCCCCAAATCAACAAGAAACCGCAGAGAGCGGCAGGGCAGCCGGACCCCTTGGGGGGCTGGCACCTGCCAAGCTGCGCTCTGGACTCCGGAGCGAAAGGCAGCCCCGCCGCGCCCCCCTTCTCTCCGAGGTCCCAGAGCTCACGGGGCCGCGCCCAGCAGCGCCACACCCACCCGGAGCCCCTCGAGGAGAACCGCCGCCACGACGCCGTCTCTCCTCCCTCCCCGCTCGCGGCCCGAGGCGCCCAAACGCTGCCGGAGGGAAGCGGAGACGGGCGCTCCCGGGCCTCCCGGCGCCCGAGGGCGGGGTTTCCTCAGTTCCCGAGCCCGCGAAACGAGGCTTCTGGGCAGGGGCGGCGGGTGGGAAGGGCGGCTCGGGGCGCTGTATCCGCAGCCAAGAAACGGAGGGAGCTCGAGCCTCACCCGCAGCGCCTCGGCATCCTGCTCCTGGCCGCGGGCACCGCCTCCCTCCGGGCGCAGAGGAGGCCTCGCTCCTCTTCTTCTTCTTCGCGGTTACAACTAGGCGAGCGACGCGAAAGCTCGACATATGGGCCAAACCGGCTCCCGTCGCGTTCGGCTTACGTATCCTCGCGCTCCCCTCGCCCGCTCCCCCGCGCGCCCTCTGCCTGCCGTTGGTTTTTCTGGTTGCTAGGAGACGGACAGAAGCGGCCCTCGTGAGAATTCCTGTTGGGATTCTCTTCCTGGGCGTGTTAGTAGCCCCTCCCGACTTTGGTTATAAAAGGGTTAACACGCTCCCCTTCTTCTCTCCAGTTCCAGTGAGGCAGTTCGCACTTCGTCACCCAACTCTTACAGTTTTGCGATTCTATATCGCCTTTTTGCCAAAGCATCCAAAGCGGGCTACAGTTTTACAGTCCCGCTTGGTTATAATTCTCCCACCCACTCTCCCCCAGCCCTTATTCGTCCTTCTCACAAAGAATAATAATTTCCACCGGAGAGCTATAGTGGCCACACTGCCAACAATTAATGTGCTTGAAATAATACTTAGGTAAATAACAACAACAACAACAACAACAATAATAATACACAAACCCTTTCCATGGATGTAGCCAGGATTTATTTTAGGGGGCACAGGCTTTATGTAAGGAGGGGGGCAGAACTGAGTTACCTGCAACGCAATTGGACAATTAAGTATTTTTATTTATTTATTTATTTGATTTAGGGGGGCAGCTGCTCCCCCGGCTACACCTATGGCCCTTTCTAAATCCATGGCAAAAAAGCTGGGTGAGTCTTGTTTGCTTGTAGAGGATGAGAAACAGGATCAAAGGCTGAAATTTTATACTGTGCTTAGTGGGATGGGGAATAAGTCCCAATCAACAGGGCAGACCTCTGCAGAAATGTATAGGATTGCATGGCAAATAATTTATAACATGGATATCAGATTCGAAAATGCACTTAAAATTCGCTCGTTGAAAACCTAATTTTCTCCCATTGTTGGGACAAGAGCTATGTTGGAACTGACTGCCTACCTGCATACCACAGAATCTTTCCTTTTCTCAAAATTTGGCATTTTGCTACTGCAACCACTCTTGGGAACGAGTCTGTGTTCCCATCATGTCCACCAGGATCCTCAGTAATTTTCAAGTGGTCCATGGAGAAAAGTTTGGGAACCACTACTAAAAAGGACTAAACAGAAGTTTTTTAAAAATAACATGCTGGATCAATTACATTAGTAGTTTTAAAATTTCCTACCTTCATGAACCCTTTCCACATGGACTTGTTTGCTGCAAACCCCCTACATGTTAAGAACTGGGGGGCATTCTAAGTGCACATTCAGTTCATGCAAGGCTGGGCCTTACCACATGCGATTTGGACTGGTAGATTACTCCCTGCGGCTGCATGAGACAGACATTCAGTGGTGATGGACAATCCACAGTACAAAAAATCCTGATAAACAAGGAATCCCTGGCAACACACTGAGAAAATCAATAATGAGCATGGGTAATAGTATCTTGAAGAACTGATTGTGGCCATTGGTGTACTAAATGGTCTGTTAAAGTTATATTCAAGAAAACTATTTGCAACAAAATCTGGTTTAATATTTTCGTATCTTGCATATTTCCTGCAGGAAGTACATAGTCAAGTCTCCCCCTTTCCATAAAGGTCAACAAACATCTGGAGATCAAGTGTGGGAATCCTACATATGTTATTGAAGAATGGCAGCTTGTCAGTTTCTATTGAATGGGTTCATTTCCAAGAGGTAGAGTAAATCAGATTTCAACAGATAATTTATTTGTCTTTTAGGTGGACATGTGTGCTTCAGTGATGCTTTGTTATGTTAAGAACTGTGTTGTTCATTGAACTTTGACTACTGATTCAGGCTTGGCAAAAGTGTTGTGTAACAGTTATTCAGGATGCTAAAAACATAGCTCTGTAGTGGGAAATGAAGTGGAACTTGGATCTTATCCATTGTGTTTACTTGCCAATTTCTTTCCTATGTGTAATTCCAGCCCACATCCAAAATCAATTCAATATGCATTGCCCATCTTGAGAAGTAAAATTTACTAGGTAGTCCCACTGAACCTTCTTGGATTTACTTACTTCTTGTTGTTTAGTCGTTTAGTCGTGTCCGACTCTTTGTGACCCCATTTACTTACTTACTTTGGTGTAAATATAGTTAGACTCCTATAAGTATCAATGGTTTGTTCGAAATGCCATCATTAAACAATTTACTATGGTCTGACATATACACTTTGAGTTTAACTAATGGCAAGACAAGCCAATTTTGTATGTTTTTTTGGATTGTAGATGATCTCCATATAACATTACAAAAATGATTTCTGCAAATTTTTTTATTAAGATGGAAAAACCTTCCATAACAATTAGAAACCAATCGTGTTGTTTCAAAAGATTGTATCCAAATATATCCCCCTGGAAGTTGTATAGAAATAATTATATTGTCTTTTCAGAGCAATCTTAATAAATAAAATGGTATACCGTAGTATGATAATGAATGTGACAATGGCAACATATTTTTTTGGAGTGATATATTATGCTTTAATCCTAAACACAGTTGCTGCAGAGAAAACTCTATAGAAGAGGATGGAACATGCCTCAGAATGTCATGCAGATGATTGCTCTGTTATAATTGTCTTTGGTTTAAATAGAGAGAGAGAGGGAGAGAGAGAGAGGGAGAGAGAGAAGACTGCCTGCTTAAAGTGATTCCTATAGGGAAGTGTTTAGTACAATTTTATCTGAAAAGTTGGATACAACATTTCATGGTTACAAAGCTTGTGCCACATTTCCCATGTGAATCAGATCTTTTCTCTCCTCTCCACATTAACCCTTCCATTTATGGAATTCTGTAATGAACTAGGCATATTTTTGTAATGACATGGTATAGCTGATATGCATGAAGTACAAATTGCATAGAGAGACAAAAATATTGACTTTGGCAGTATTTACAACCATCCATTTATAAACAATTTGCTAATATCTGTCATTTGTTCATCTAAGATATGTCCATTTGGATGCCATTTCTTAAACTTCTGCTTCCAAACATTTTACCCGTGGTTCAGGCTTGGCTTGAGATTCTTCTGTGTTTTTCCCGTTTCCCTTGGGTTCCTGCTCTGGGGTTTTGACGCTTGTCTTTGTTTCTTTGATGTTCTTGGTTTCAATTTCTACCTTTTTCTCCTCCTTGTTGGAAAATGGAAATGTTTTCTTGTATCTTTAAACAAAATTTGGAACAAGTTAGGAAATTGGACGAGTAACCATAAGTCTCCAATGCTTCCTTCTCCAAAGGAAACTAAGCACTTGCACTATGTCTGGAACATCTTGCCACTCAAAGAATTGAAGCAGGCAATGAACATATTCTTGAGAAGGTACAAGGACAACTCAAATAACCCTTAGGATGCTGTATAGTTAGCTTTAAACTCACCAAAGCCACATAAATGCCTCTGTGCAGCACAGCAGTTCCCAATTCATGTGTTTATCCCCCAATAGAATTGAGGGGTGTATTTAGGTAAAATCCCAGGACCAGATCAGAGCACTAGTGCTAGGTTCTTTTATGAGCTGCTGTTCCACAGAGGGTCACAGATCTAGTGGTCAAGAGACACATGGGCGTAGCCAGGATTTTTGTTAGGAGGGGCAGGACTTTTGTGGGGGGGGAGCAGGACTGACGTGATTGGTCAGTTAGTTAAATATTTCTATTGTTTTACTTGATCTGGGGGCAGCTGCCCCCCTGCCCCCCCGCTACATCCATGAAGAGACCGTAACATGCAGATTATGTAAATGCACTTCCCTTCCATGTGCAGAACACTGTATATGAACACATGCCTTTGAGCGTACATTCATATGCAAATGTGCTTCACCTGTATTATGTTTCTACTGCATAAAAGAATATACATGCCAATAAAGGTACAGGGTTAGAGGCTGACTTGCACAAAGCATTCTACCTGCAGAGTCCAAGGCTCACTTCCTTGGTCAACATGTTGAATGTGCACATGTCAAGGCAGCCGATGTATAAAGATGCATATGGATATTTATTGTAGCAAATAAAACAAAAAAGTACCCTTACTTTTTGACATAGCAGACTGCTAAAACAACTGTTGCTGTGAAGAAGATGAGGGCAAGCACAAGGAGGGCAGTGGGTACACCTAGAGAGAGAAACAGATTGTTTTAGAATCAAAGAGTGTGAAGGGTAATCCATCGTGTCTGGTGGTTTCCAAAGGCTCGTCAGCACACAACATTGATTTGTGGATGGGAATTCAAGGGGGCGTTTTGGACCTATACAGCCTTTCACTGCTCAGGACCGAAGTATTTGAGGAACTAGCTTGCTCTGTGTCAGGGACTCGCTTCTCATCAGTTGACTTGTCCTCTCTGCAAGAGATTAGAAGATATGCAGCCAAGAAAGGGACATTTACTGCTACACTCCTTGCATTGTGGAATGTTGTTTTCAGGAATTGCTTTTCTCTCCCTGTTTTTTAAAAAAGTATCTAATATATTTCTGTTTTAGCTTGTATTTGGTTTTTGTGACTGGTTGAGTTGTGGATGTCCTTTGTTCATATTGATGGATCTGTTGGTTTTGTTTTCATTTATGTGATTTTATATGAAAAATGTGATTTTTAAAATTAAAAAACCATGTTTTGTTTCTACTCCAAAAGTGTTATAAAATGTCTTAAAGCAGCACACTTTAAAATATATATATACAAAATATTTTGTGGCCAAAAAAAATTTCCCTGGAACTTCACAGAACAGCAGGAATTTTTGTCATACTGGCATGCTTTTGTTGCTGAACAACTTGTCCCCACAGAGCATGTGCAACTAATTAGTCACCGTGTCCTGGCATATGATTCAGCCTGGGCGTAGTTGGTAGATTAATCTTGGCACTGATAATTTTTTTAACATTAAGCCACCCCAAAATGCCTGTTAGCATTACTTTGTTTCTGTTCTTGTCCTCTCAGAGTTGGAGAAAGATGATGTCATCATCTAGACTGACGAGAAAAATCTAATGTTGCAGTGCTATGCACACTTAAAGGTAAAGGTAAAGGGACCCTGACCGTTAAGTCCAGTCGCAGATGACTCTGGGGTTGCGGTGCTCACCTCGCTTTAATGGCCAAGGGAACCGGCATTTGTCCGCAGACAGCTTCTGGGTCATGTGGCCAGCATGACTAAGCCGCTTCTGGCGAAAGCAGAGCAACGCACGAAAAAGTCGTTTTACCTTCCTGCCAGAGCGGTACCTATTTATCTACTTGCACTTTGACGTGCTTTCAGACTGCTAGGTGGGCAGGAGCTGGGACCGAGCAACGGGAGCTCACCCCATCGCGGGGATTTGAATGGCCGACCTGACGGCAAGCCCTAGGCTGTGTGGTTTAGACCAGAGCGCCACCTGCTTACCTGGGAATAAATCCCATTTCATGATGGCAAATTCCATTAGCAGAAATTATGATGGCCAGATGCAAAAGAGGACAGGGCTCACGAACCTTTAATAATTAGTAGAATAGGGAATTTTTAGCCACCATAGGTTGCACAACAGTAGGATTAGCTGAAGATCCCTCTTCTAATCAACTATTAAAGGTGCGGGAGTGTGGTCTGCTTTTCTTTCTGGCCACCCTGGCAGGACATTTCCATAAAAAAAGACTTTGAAACCACTTCTATAGCTCAGTATCCCTGGACTGAAATGAGATTGACTAAGAATTCTTTGACATAACTACTTTGTCGTGTCATCAGCAGCCACGATGAGCAGCAACTGTCTGTCATGTCCTTTTGGATACGTGGGAAGAAGAACTCTCTTATATCTCAAAATTAGCACATCTCCCACAAACAAGTAAGCAGCAGAAACCCACCCAAACCTGGGGGAGGGGGCAAGTTATAGCCCTCAACCACATTTCATGCAGATATCAAGGATGGGGGAATGGGTGGTGGAAAGAGAGAAAAGGTGGTACTCACCTATCTTGGACTCTGTCCTCACCCATTGCTTGTTTTAATTCCACTCATTGCCAGCACTAGGCCTATGACAAGATTACTTCCAACAAGAGACCCTTGACTTAAGGGCGCCGGCTCACTCAAGGGCCCTTCAATATATTTTTTTAGGGGGCCAGGCCCCCTCAATGTTTAGAAGGCCCTGTGTACGGTGTCCTGATGTCACATGACTTCAGGCATGTGATATCAGAACGTCACGTTGGGTCCCCTCAATCCTCTGGAGTAGGTGGCACTTTTGCCTGCACTTAAGACTTTACCTTTCCTGATCTGTGGCTTTGAACAACCCGCAAGCATTCTTCACTTTCTCTCATCTACCTTTTCCCTAATCTAATTTTTGGGAAGTTTACTCTTTTGAAGTCAAATGCAACTTTCTTGGACTTTCCTGGCAATAGCCGACCTACATATATGGTGAATTTGAGGCCACTGTGGCCACTGTTTCCAATCAGTTCAACACCACTTACATCCTGCCCTAGGTCCTAGGCACCACTAAACATAAAAATCCTGGGTAGCCACCCCTTGGTCGATTTGTTGTTGTTCTAGGCACAGCTATTTAGCGTTTCTAAACATTTTGCCTCTTTGCCATGACTGGATTGTGCATATTCCAAGTCTGTATGAAGGTAAGATTCCCATTGGTGTGAAGCTGGTTTGAGAAACAAATCCTCAGACAGTACTGTTTTATAACAACAGGATTCATTTGCATTTTGGATAATGTCATGTGGAAAGGCAGTGAGTGCACAGTAAATGAAAGTGGGAACACAACCTTAGTGGGTTCATGATGAAGGCAAGATTCAAACCAGGGGCTTCCTCAGCCATACTAATGCGAGGTGTCAGTTGTTTTTTTTCCAAGGGATGTAATATTAAAATAAGAGTCTTCTGAAATAGATCTAGGCTAGGCCAAAAATAAATAATTCTTAAAATACATCAGAAATGAAGAATCCCCTTCACTCCTGCAGGTCTGGTTTAGTTTACATTCTTTACAGCTTCTTGCTTCAAAATGTCACCTTTCCCTTACCTCCACTCAATATGGATTTTTTAAACCTCAGATGAAGCCCTAGCTTTCCTTTTATTTGCATTAACACATCTACTGATGTTTTGTTATACCACTGGAAAAGACCAGAAGGCATGGGGAAAGTATGAAAACAGCCATACATATAATTCTCTAAGCTAAATAATGGGATGTTGCTCTTACCTCCAAACAGAGAATCATTTCTAAAGGCAGTTTGTTTTGCCGTGAGATGTAGGATCACATCCTCCGTAGTTGGTGCTGTTGGTGAAATGGTCTGCGTTACACATATAATACGATATAGCAGCTTTGAAGGCTCTTTAGTTTTCTGTGACTCAGATGTTTGAACTACTGCTGAAGTGTCCTGAGGCAAGACTGCAGAAGTAGAGTTTGCCTCCATAGTAACGTCCAGGGATGCAGTTGTACTTTCTTCTGGTATGCAGGAATTAATCCATGTGTCTGAAAAGATGAGGGAAAGCGGTGCAATGAGATGTATTGACACTAGCATTTTGCATGCAGCTGAAATGACTTTTCATACTGAATTGCAGTGAACGCTTTCCTCCTTGCTACAACCATCATAAATCAGGTGGTAATTTCTATTTCTTTTTGTTTGTTTGTTTGTTTGTTTGTTTGTTTAAAGTACACTTCATCATCCTCACCCTAGTGCCTCTAATAGCTAAGCTGGATGGGAACTGCACTGTCAGCGTAAGTGGGATCCCTGAGAAACAAGAAGGAGGTGTCAGCAGCAGTATGACAGTTAACAACAGGGAAGGTTGAATATCCATTAGAAAAAAAATGTTTTGCTGTGTGCTCTTTCTCCTGCTCACAACAGGAAAATTGGGAGCATAATGGGAGTCGAAAGCATTAAATTCCTGCACATCTGATCCTAATAGTGGTTATTTAAATGAAACGACATACTTACTCATTGCTTTCACAAAATTAACATCTCATCTAGTTTGGCCCTTAGGCCAGGAAAAACATTGGTTCAGAAAGTTACCCAACCCACTACATTGCAGTGGTACTTAAAACCACATTTTAAAGGCATGTTTTGTGTGCGCCTGTAGCCTGTAGGTGCTTTGATATATTAAATGCAGCAAGAGAATTGAGCTGCCAATGTGATCCTGAGGAATAACTAATCCCTTATTCTGAAGGTCGTTTATATAATTTACACAGTTTGAAAGCTATTATGACACCAATGGTCATTCTGAGTACATTTTAATATAATAGAAGGAAATGACCTCTTTACGGTTCTTCATATGAGTCCCTGGTGGAAGCTTGATGACGCATTTTCATTGACTGAATAGGATGCTGAATGACAGAGTAATATTACTTTTATCACCAGAGTCTTTAAGTGATGCCAAAAGTCACAGAGAGGACACAAATTTATCCAAGTACATTTTACACCAAGACTGTTAGAGATTCACACACTCATTATTAGGTAGTATTTTTGTGTTTTTATATTGTAAGATGCACTGTTATCCTAGGATGAAGCGCAGTACAGAAATTTTATCAACATCATCATCATCATCATCATCATCATCATCATCATGATGTGAAGGACAGAGACACTCTGATCCAGTATCAACCAGTAGGGTATCTTTTTCTATCACAATTTGAATTGTATGGAATGTAAATTGTCATACAAGAAATAAAAGAAGCAATAAAATACAATTAAAAATCATGCACCATCTAGCAGAGTGTATTGCAATTGGTACACCATCAGTAATTTTCAAGAGGTTTATGAGGAAATAACTTGGGGAACTTTTAGAATTTAGAGAGAAAAATGTTTCTTTTTAATTTTGCCTATATGCTCTCCCCTTCATTCCTTATATTTCCATCCCATCCCTAATTCATAGAATCTTAGAATCATAGAATTGAAGGGATCCCATGGGGTCATCTAATCCAACCCTTTGCAATGCAGGAATTGCAGCTAAATAATCTCTGGCTAATAGCCATCCAACCTCCACTTTAAAACCTGAAAGAAAGGAGAGTCCACTGTAACAAAGCTTGATCTGAAACCTTGACAACAACATACCATGACACACCCAATGATTCTCCGCCCTGCCTGCTTCACTGCCCTTTCATACCATACACTTTGACCAAGGGGACACAGAGAAGTTAGCGGATAGTTTCCTCTCTCAGGTTGAAAGTTTATGTGAAACTTGTAGTTCCTTTTATCCAAGAGTCAGGGTAAACAGAGATGGTGGAAAAATTAAGTTGTGGGGTGGGTGGCGCAGGCTGGCCATGATCTCATGGCAACTGGATAGCCTTCACACGAAATGTCGCTACATCCGCTTAAGAAAGAGATTTGATACAAAATATTATTGCTTGATTCATTATCTTGGCTCACTCACCTGAAGAATTGTAACAGTAAGCATGGGCTCGATAGTCATGTTTGGTTCTCCAGACGACTATTCCAGTGTTATTCCTACCACATTTTTCATTGGGAGTTATCCGGGAAATGACAACATACCCTTCTTGTATCCAGCCAAAACTACAACGGAAAACATTGTTTTTCTGTTAAGCGTATGCCCATATCAAAGAATGTACTTGATAAAATTTAGCATATAAAAGCTAAACTGAACGTTTATTCTGGTCACTGTGGGCCATTGAATAGCTTGCTTACTGATTGATTGATTGATTGATTGATAGATAGATAGATAGATAGATTAATTGTGTGAGGCCCAAGTTTTGTTTCTCCCTTAGAAACAACCTACTCTGCAACATGGAGCTTTTATAGAAGAAAGGAAAAGCAAATAACGCTGTAGAAAAGTTCTCTCACAGGTTTATCTTTAAAAAGATAGGCAATATTTTCTACTGTTGACAACTTTATGGATTTGCAATCCAGGTTCCAAGATTTGCCATTTGTAGTCTAACACATGAAATTGTCATATGTTTAAATAGGGGGATGAAATGCCTATGAATGGGTCTGGACTGCATCACTGTGCAATTTGGCTTACTTGCAAATAAGCATGTATAAATTTAATACCAACTTCTTGCTGAATATGTATTTGATGTGGTTCTTCAGCATAATCAAACAACTCATCCAACAATAGCAAGTGTCTGTCACACACGACTACACTATCTCAAGGACACAGAAAGTTTTCTTCTTGGTTGTTTTTTTTTTTTTAAAAAAACTTTATTTAGGGCAGCCCACCTAGGAGGCAAGATGAGGTGACCAATTTGGGCAGCGGGATCCATAGGAGTAGCAAATGCAACCTCCAAAGAATGCAATGCCCGCTGCCACAGTAGCAGTGATAGCTGTGGCATGCGCCTTGAAGACTGGATCTGCTGCCTTCTCAGCATTCCCTCATGCAGCAACCTCTTGGCATAGGGAGGAGCTCCTCACACCCATGTTCCGATGCATATATTTATCCTGCCCCCATTCCCGATGTAGATCTTCACACACCACTTCTTCTCTGGTGGGGGGAGGAACCATTTTGTGCTTCACCGCAAGTGTCAAAACGTCTTGGGCCAGCCCTGACTTTAGCGATTTCTGCACATTGAAACCCTATACACATCTGTTTAGAAGCAAGTCCCATTGTGTTCAGTGGGGCTGACTTCCTAATAACTGTGTTTAAGATTCAGACTTAATAAAATTGGCAAGAGGAGGAAATGAAAAGCTGTATAATGTCACAGTCAGGATGTTACATGGTAAGTAATGTAAAACAAGAGTGTAAACAGAATGAAAGACATGTTATAAAAATGTGCAAAGATGTCAACTATTTCTGAGATCTAAGGATCCACACAAACAGTTTTGTGACCCTAAGGAGGCTTTGGGGCTTACAAGTATTGAACAGCAACTCTTCCTGTCACATAGCCCGTCTCTTTGGAAACTTGGGGACGTTTCAAAAGGAGTTTGTGATATGGGATAGCAGGATCCTGTCAATTTTTCAGTTGGTCTACTCTGAGTACGACTAATGTTGGATGTTACTCTATGGACTTAGACTTAAATATTTGAAATCCCTTCTGTGAAGGAAATGAACAGAGACAGTCACAGCACAATCCTAACTCAATGTAAGTCCTATTGAATTCAATGAGGCTTACTCCCAGGTAAATGAGGTTAGGATTGCAGCCTTAATCACAGAATGTTAATGTAAGAAAAGTCAGAATAAGGTGTAGATATTTAATTATTTCATGCTTTAGATTCATTTATAATAATATTTTTTAAAATATTGTATCTACAAAGAGATGTCTATTTGCCAACCTACAATAAAATATTTTAAATGTTGAAAGATTTTCTGTACCTGCAGGTTTCAAAGCCATGCTTCCGAGCCTCTTCAACCTGAGATTTATATGCCAACTGTAACCCCAGCTGCTGGCATATTTGTCGTGCAGTGACAAAATTAAATACACCTTTATTGTTAACATGTGAAGCAAGAGTTATTCCAGAAATCCTGCACTGGAGAGTCTTAACATCTGCAAATAGAGAAGAAATACATCAAATGATTACTTATAGAAATTTGATCTTTAATTTCATGTACTTTGAAGAGTGGAAAAATTATAAGAGCTACTTTACATAAAGTCAAGTATAATTACACCAACTAGCTGAGTCGCTCCAGCATTCCAATCCAGGGTCATGCCTATTCCCAATAACCGATATTCTTTAACTAAAAATAACTTTGGTTAGTAAGGATCAGGGAGAGCTGGGTTTGAACTCTCCCTCAGCCTAGTCACTCTCTTAAAGAATTGTTGTGAGGGTACAATGGAATGTAAAAAGAATAATGTACACAGCCTGGGACCACCTTGATATCCAAGGATTGGTTTGGGAACATGTGCTTTTAAATGTGTTCATAAATGATCTAGAGTTAGGGGTGAGCAGCGAAGTTACCAAGTTTGCTGGTGATACAAAATGGTTCAGAGTGGTTAAAACAAAACAGGATTGCAAATCGTCTTAAGCAGGGTGAAGGAACAGTAAAATGGCAAATGTCATTCAATGTAAGCAAATGTAAAGTGATGCGCATCAGGGCAAAAAGTCTTAATTTAATATATACACTTACAGGATCTGAACTGACAGTGATTGACCAGGAACAGAGGCAGTTTTAGGGGAGCAGGACTGGTTTGGGCGCCACGGTGCAGGGGTGCCTCAGCAATGCTGTAGAGCGCAAGAGATGGGTGTGTGGGTGCTTGATTTTAGTGTCGTCGTACAGGGTGCTGCTGAAATTTGAGAGCTCAAAGGCTGCCACTGCTGGGAACAAGACCTTGGAGTCTTGAGAAAAGCCTGAGGAAGTTTATGAGTATAGGCTACCATATGGGGGACTTTTTAACCAAGAGAAAATTTGAGTAAGCAGGGACATTATAGAGGTGCATTAAATTATGAATAGCATGAAGAAAATGGATTGAAAACTGTTTTTCCCTTTCATAATACAGTGGTACCTCAGGTTAAGAACTTATTTCGTTCTGGAGGTCCGTTCTTAACCTGAAACTGTTCTTAACCTGAAGCATCACTTTAGCTAATGGGGCCTCCTGTTGCTGCCACGCCGCCGGCGTACGGTTTCTGTTCTCATCCTGAAGCAAAGTTCTTAACCCGAGGTACTATTTCTGGGTTAGCGGAGTCTGTAACCTGAAGCGTCTGTAACCTAAAGCATATGTAACCCGAGGTACCACTGTACTAGAATTCAAAGTCACTTGTTGTTCAAAAAGAACATTTGACAAATGAGGTACAGTCAAGATGATAAGAGTCTATCAGATTTGGAGGGAAGGAATATCTGCAGTATTCTGCAGAACAGTCAGCCTTGGGAATAGGAGACATACTTTCTTTTAAAATAAGGGAACAGGGTTTAAAAATAAGCATTGTGTATCTGAATCTTGACTCCTCTTTCCTCTTTAGTCATCAATTTGCCTCAAACAATACTCTACTCCCCAAGGACCAATTTTTCTTACCAAGCTGAGTGCTCTCGGTGCATGCAAATATTTGTGGTGTTTCAGTGCCAACACTACCATTAGGCAGGAAGGGACAGTACATATTAGAGGGCATAAGATTACCGGTATTTAAAACAAATTTAATTCCATGGCATCTTTTGGAGTTTCTGCTTCAAATAGCAACATGACTTTGCTATCTTTTTTTATTAAGTGCTTTACTCATAACCTAAGTTTCCTAAGATTAGGAAGTTTACTTGAAACAGGAAAATTAACTTAATTGAAAGAGCTCTGTATGATTTCTTGTGCAGTGACAGATAGAACTGGAGAGTTTGATCACATTATAAAGCTATATTAGTCATTCCAGCGGCTTGGCTGTTCTCTCTCAGGACTTGAAGTGGAAATGGGTGTGGCTGAACTTGCAAGGAAGGAAAAGGAGGAAGGGAAGGGATTCTATCTGAAACGATGGGAACAAGTAAAGGAAAAGGGAAAATTATATTAAGCTTGTGGCGACTGGAATTTTTTTTAGCATGGATAGAGTGCTGGACTGTGCTCTATGGCAACTATAACCTGGGCTGTGAACTTACTGGCTAAAAACAGGTGGCTGGCTAGCACTCAGCAGAGCAACTTTAAATCATTTTAAAAGTCATTAAACTAACAACCAGCAAAAACTTTTGAACTGCTCAGTAGATTCAAAACCTTGTTTTTTTGTGGTTTGGTTGATAAACACATTTTGAAGATAATAAGAGGGAAGGGAGGAACAAATCCAAGCAAAAAAATAAAACTAAAAAAAAGAAAGAAAGAAAAATATCTAGTTCTGCAGCTAAGGTAACTGCTGCATTACTTGTAACACCTGATTCAGGATTTCATTTTTGAATAATTTATTAACGTTCTAGTTGCATCTTTAACTGGAGACACTTAAGAGTTCTTGGCTGCTTCCAGACAGCCTGTTTATTGAGTATCCTGATTTGTTTGCATAAAGTTTATAGGGCGGTTAGGTGACGTTGGCTATTTATTGAGAATTCATTTTGATTTGTTTGCAGGGAGGTTATACAATGTTGGGCCAAGCAAGTGTTATTCCATCCATTCCAGTGCATCTTTATTGCAAAGAGTCCAAACTTTGGGGGCCAGAAACAAGTTGTGTGAGAGCATAAAGTCAACTTTAATGGTGCCAGCCAAATTTGCCGCTATGTGTCTGAATCCCACCCCAAAACAGTGGCAGTCTGGAAGCACCCCTTATTGTTTAGGTATCCTCCTGCTCTGTGTTTCATTTTACCGCAATCCGGGATTAATTTGCAGAGCTGTGAATAATCTTGCTGAGAATAGTGTGCTGGATTTGATTACCTTGTCCTTACAGTGCTACAAAACACTTCAGAAAAAAACAGTACAAGCAACATACTAAAAACATACCTTCCAAAGGAAAATTGTGCTGGGTTGTGATGCTTGCAATCCAGGTTGAGAAAAAGAAGATTGTAACTCCAACGTGAGATGCCATCCTCGGGAACAGGAGGTGTCGAGATTCAAGCCAGGTTGCTTCCTTCCCACCCTGCAGTGTTGAAAATGCGACGCCTGGCGCACCTTGTGATCTCCGAATGAGGTCCTCTCTTGAGAACTGCTGGACAGCCACTGTGCTCCACCGCAGGCAGGAACGAACTTGTTGCTGAGCTCAAAAGCCATCCCACAGGTCAAGGTCACTAAGTGGAAACGCATGACACCCCCCAAAAAAATGCTAGGGGGCAGCCTGGAAAATAAAACTAGTGCTGACTCAGAAAACGTACAGCTGAGGAAGAGAGATAACACGATGTTATACTCTTCGTCTTATAAACAACGGGAATATTTTCCCTATAGCTCTGGGGTGCTCATTCTGTGACAGTTCCTGTTTAGGCAGTTGTGAGTCACTTATCCTTCATTCAGCCTAATCACTTGTTAACCAGAAGCTGCGGGTGTGGTGTGTAAAACTGTTGATTACCTTATATGTAAAAACATGGAAATAAGAACTTTTGATATAAATTTATAATTTAGATGCATGGTTGAAAGATGAAAAAAATGACTATTTGACTGAGGTAATGGTTTACAAACTCTGTTTTTGGGAAGGGATAGAATCATATAATTGTAGAGTTGGAAGAGACCCTGAGTCGTCGTCTAGTCCAACCCCTTCAATGCAGGTATCTCAATATAGAATCAAAATTTGATTTGATTTGAAACTAGATGCAGTGATTCAACTTGTGCTTATACTTAGGATCCAGTCTCTGACAGACTCAAGTTTTCCTGCCTGACTGTATCTCTTGTCTTTCTCCTTGTCAGCAGTGTCACGATCACATCTAAGGTAGGAGAGATGCCATTAGGGCGTGCACTGAGCATGGCCAAGTGACTCCTCAAGAAGCTGTGAACGGAACATGACAAAATAGCCAAATGCACACAGAGAGTGTGGATCAAAGCCACCTTCCTTATTTTAAAGCAAACTGATGAGAAAATGTGAAGAACTGAAGTCTGGAAAAACGATTAACAGAGAGAAACCAAAAGTGCCTGAGTCGTGGTGTTTTTCATGAAGGCTTTCTCTTGCTTCCAAAGGATCACCCCCCTTTAGTGTGTGCTGTTTCCCCTCCAAAAAAAAGATGAACAAAGTGTTCACCCATTGTGTTGGGACAGGTATCGGAGGGGTGAAATATGCCCCCATTGCTAAGAACAAGGCAGCCTAAGTAACACTCCGAGTCTAGCTATAGAGGCAAGCAGGGGTGGGACTTGGTAATCTGTCATAATATGGTGACCTGTGCAAGGCCAAAATTTTGCTCCCCCCCAAATGGATCTTCTCAATTATTGATCTTCTCAATATTGTGCCCACTTAGCTTAATGACCTGTGTGGCAGAACAGCCCACACCACCATGAATCTAGCGCTGAGGAAAGAGTAAGGGTGAGCAATGGGAAAATAATGACGTTGACATCCTAGCTGAGTCATGTTCTATCCCCACACTGACCTCACAGCCATTTTGAGCTAGGGCAACGATACAATGCTATTGACTTTATTTTCCCTTAGTAATGCCATCATGTAGCCAAAAGCAATTGACTACATAACTCCAGTGAATCACATTCATTACGTCATCACAGAATGGCTGTGATCATGTAGCAAAGGGGGTGAAATAAATCTTAAAACAACATGGCAAAAGCAAAAGCACATTTATAAACTGGGGGATTTTGCAAGGTTGGGTTGATGGACAACATATTGTCCCCAGAGTCAAACCTTGTGTCACAAAAAGGTCTGTGCTTTAAAAACTACACAGTGTCAATTGCACTTAAAAGGATAATGGAAGCGTTTAAATTTATTCCTGATTGTTTTTGTGTTTCCATTTCCATTTAAACTTGTGTTTGTACAAAAAGCACACTTGAGAAGATGAGTGCTTCACCCTGTATTACTGAAAACAGGGTAGAGAGAAAGAAAGAAAATTTCAGCACCTATTTTTTCTTAAAGATAGCTAATCATTCCATACATACAACTTGTGTTCTCTGATGGAATTCCTAAGTGCCCATGCACAGAATAAATAAGTCACAAATGACATGAGCAACACAGAGGACTCTGAAACAATATTTTATTTCCAAATCTCAAGTATGTGATGCTATACAGTACAATACTAGCACACCTGTGCAAAGTTTTACAAAATTTAAAACAGGATACACAAAATAGTGCCTCTCGAGTTCCACCTACTTTAAAACATCAGTGCTGTGCACAAAATACACATGTGTCTTGTTAAAGCCAAATAAATAAAATATTGCACTTCCAAAAAAACAACAACCCCAAAACAAAATCCTATTTTGGTGTGAATGGTGTAAGATTGCTGACTTGCTCTTTGTAGCCACATGAGTCTTGTGAATTTAAAGGAACAGAACTTTTTTTTTAGAAAGACCCCCCAAAATGCATCATCTTTTCTTTGTCTCAAAAAATATGGCACTGATTTGTAACCCATTGAGCCAATACTTATTAACAATTTAATTATGTTTGGTCTAAAATCCTGTTAACAAGAAGACTGGCATTTCAGGTGCTCTATACATTAAACTGTTTTCCCAATAATTAGTGAAACAGTAAATCATTTTTGTAGCAGTTAGATGGCCCCATGTGTCAAAGCTATGCATCTTAAGTAATTCTACTTTTAAAAAAATGCAGTGGTTTCACAGTAGAATTATTGTAAGGGAAGAAAATGCAGAATGAGGTGTTGCCTCTCAACTTACATTGGTATTATCCCATAGAGTTGGTTCAGGTTTAACATTTCTGCTGCCTTAACCATGCTTAAGGACTTGGGACTACATGCTCTGCCCCACCTGCATGCTCAAACCCCAACCTCCATATATGAATTCCTTCCGTTGGCTTTAACCATGATTAAGGCTTACATCAGTATTGACTTTAATGATGGTTAATATACTAATTAGGGTTTGCTATTGAACAGAAAGTGAAAGTTTGTTTTAAAATTCTGGTTAGCAGCAAACAGTGGTTTAGTTCAGAGGTAATGTAAACTATAGCAGTAGTTAAGATTGGGAGGAAAATGGTAGAGAATTCACTCCAGAAAGGTCATGGAGCTCACTCCTGCAATTTATGAGCAGATCCATGATCTGATCATAGCTGAACAAAATGAACTACTAATATCAGAATTTAATTTTGTAAAGTTGGTTGATCACCTCATAAGAAACGTTCCACTGTCTAGGGAGTTAACTTTTCCCTTTTACTTATTGAACAAAATATATAAACCACCTACTTTAAATAAATAAATCAAGCAGTTTACATAAAAGAGCTTTCTGATTTGGGTTTTTGCAATACCATTGTTATTCCTAATTTCCTGATTGTCTGTAGCAGAAGGTGTGCCTCAACTATATTTCACTAGAGTGAAAAACTACATTGTATCTATTCCATATCAAAGTCATTTCATCCAAAAGCCAGCAAAAAAACTTTAATTTGATTATTTGCCCACCTTTAATTCCCCTCTTCCAGTTTGAGATCAAATGACACACTTTCTCATTAGCCTTATTAAACGTACTTAATCACAATATTTACTCTTCTGGAGCCGCTTAAGAGACATATCTGAAAATTCAAAGTTGTGTTTCAAACAGCTGCTTGAGTCAAAATTAAAATCATACCACACTTCTATTTCCTGAGACTCTAACGCTCATTAAACTGAAGATAAATTATCAGGCATCAAATGACATCAGTTATAAGTTTATACTGGGCTCTACCTCTTTATCCTTCTCAACGCATAAAACAGATTCCTGCAAGAATAAGTTCCTACAATATGTCTAAGTGTTCAACAGAGTTTTGAACTCAGGCCCAGCTAGGAAAAGCTATTAATATCCTGTCTGAATCAGAGCTCACCATGCTTCCAACACTTCCTTCTGTGCCTCCAATTCCAATACAAGAGAAGTTATCAATTTCAAACACAAATGAAAGCTAGATAAGCTTGTGCAAAAGGCTAGCACAGTATGAGCACAAACATCACTCAAGATGCTTCCTCCAATAGAAAGCTTCATGAATGATGAAATATACTCAGAGTCGAATATGAATTTCATGCTCAGTACATAACAAATGGTAAAACCACATCTGTGTTGTTTACATTCCATTGGCTGAAATGTTCCCTGACAGAAATGTCAGTTCTCCTCTGCAAATATACCACGCCTTCTTATATTAATGCAATCTAGTTCTTTTAGGTTTGCTATGCTTACAGCAGGTTACCAGTTATCACCAACGTGGGTGACAGATTTTGCAGACCCAGAGCCATTCCACACTTACTACAGCATGTCTTCTGTATGCATAATAGAGATTGTATGTGACTGATTGGGCACCTCCACTGAACCCCACCATGTGTATCATGTACCGCATGCACATGACTCTGGTGAAATCTCCCCATTCAAAAAGAAAAGAATGAACAAAGTATGTGTAAAGTAACAAAGACTGTGTTGCAAGTTATGTTGTATGTGTGGTGGAGTGACAAATGTTCCTGCTTCCATTCATGCCGAGAACCTGTTTTGAGACCATTGGCACCAGCTTGTAGCCAGGACACAATGCCTTTAGTATTTTTCCATTTAATCTTTTGCTTATTCCTTATGATTGTGAAATCAATTCTCTAATCTATTATAACGCTAAGGGCTAAAAATAAATAAATTGAAAAGCCCCTGAAATTTATAGAAGGAATCAGTGCTGACATTTATATAGGAAGAAGGCTGCGAGTGACATCCCTCAGAAGCACTGGAATTTGTGTTCCACCTATAACCTAGATGTCAATGTCCAGTTTTTGGTCAAACACTATCTTTATATTCTCATGTAGTGATATTCAGGCACATCAATCAAATAACAATTAGCATGAAAGAGAGAACAGCATTTATTGGCTGGTGCATCTGGCTAGATAAAAATCACACGGCATTCACAAGTCTGATGGCACAGACGAAATTAAGCAGTAGGTTACTGATCACATTTAACCACCACAAAAGTGACAAAGCACTGCTCTGCTTTGTGCACCTCGGTTCTCAAACAGGTGCTTACTGCTGTATCGTTAAGTGGTTCTCCTCCCCATTCATGCTTTTGTTATTCCGTGCGCTGATCATGTTGCAGTCCTGAGTTCCACCAGAAGTATTGCTGGACAGCAGAACAGGTAGCTTTCACTCGTGGCCCAGTCGACAACTCAGTACAGGAGGAAAAGTAGTTGTATAAACTGGAGATTCCCAGCACCACAGCAAAAATGACGATAACAGCAGCTACAATCCAGAGCACGTTCCAGTGTTTATGCAGTTTGGGGTACAGTATTTGTACATAGTGGATAACAACTTCAAGTTTGCTGTAAAATGAAAAGGAATCAAGCAAGTATGTAGAAGTTACAAGTTAGGTAGTTCCGTTATTTGGAAAGCTACCATATCAGACTGAATGGCTTAGCAGTACAGATGGCTATCCACATCAGGCCATATGCCACAGGATCAAAGGTACAGCTGTCCCCATGAGCATGAAGTAGTTCATTATTTTTGTCTCAATTTTAGTACTTTTATAATACATATCTTTTCTCTTTTTGTTTTTTGAGATGAGAATTGACATATTCATATTAAAAGTATTACAGTTGGCATCAGAAGAAAATGCAATATTTATAGCATCTACAGTCATTTAGATTTTTCATCATGAGATGAAACTGTCGTCAAAGGTTCCAATAAAAACTAGATGAGAAGCTGACTGTCAAGGAAGCCAGTATATTCATTAAATTTGACTTCGGTTTCACAGCTATACCATTTAAAACTTAGGCTAAGAGTATTGAAAACAAACAGGTAACACACAAGTATTCTAACAGCTCTTGTTCTAACTCAGTTTGTAAAGAGTATTACTTCTTGTTGTTAGCCGCTCTGAGCCTGGCTTTGGCCGCAGAGGGCAGGAAACAAATAAAAATTTATTATTATTATTTATTAGCGGTGTTTTAAAGGGGTAGGCCCAAGCCCTAGGACTTTTGTGCTGGCCTCCATATCTCCTCCACTCCCACCTGCAAAAAACGTTTTTCAAAACTTTGCTTAGAGGCAGCAAGGCAAACCACAGTACCATTAAGACCCAGCCACTTGGCATCTTAATTAAGGCAAATTAAGTCCTGACAGCAAGAGTCAGAGTTTGTTCCCCCCATGCTCTGAAACTTGGCTTCAGTGTGCATTTTTGGTTATAGAATAGCATACGCATATTCTATGCCAATTTGCCTCATAAGTCTGTGCCCAGAGTCTTTTAACTGCTTAGGATATTCCTACACAATCCCTCACTTTCTCCTTCATGTAACATAAATGTATTTTAGAGGCTCAAATGTGCTTGAATCATCATGTATGAAAGCACTCCTTGTCCCAATGCCTTTATAAATTTTACCCACTGGCTCATATGAACAATAAAATGCCAACCTGAATTTATCTGTTTAAATTTCATCTTTCCAGGAACAACAGTAACCTTGCCTCTGTTGCCCATAAAATTATTTTTGCTTGGAAGAGTTGTTCTAAAAAAGCTGGTTGGAGTAGCTTTACCACACTGATGGCATTCTTCTGAATCAACCTCCAAAGCATCCCAGAAGGCAGCACACATTTAATGAAACAAATTAATATTCACTTTCTAAATCAGAGGAGAGACCTCCAGCTGTTGTTGGACTACAACTTCCATCATCTCTGATCATCTGCTATGCTGGGTGGGCTCAATCAATGGGTGCTCAAGTCCAACAGCATCTGGAGGGCCACAGGTTCCTGACCCCCTCTCCAGCTGTTTTCTCACCTGTGCTGCTTGCTGATTTCATCGTCGCTTTCACCTGCTACACATTCTTTGGGGCTCTCATCTATTTTCTCTTCATCATCTTCTTTCAGCTCTTCAAGTTCTTTGGTTTTCTTTAAGCCTTCCTGATAACTTTAAGAGGAAAAAAGAAAAGAAAAAAGACGCGTGTACTCTTCTTTTTCATTTTTAAATAAAGAGTGTAATTCATTCATGCTGCATGGCTCAGACAAAAAAATTAAACAATCACAATGACCTTATTAAGTCTGCCTCATGCTTCTACTGTACTTGCTCCTGATGTCACCACTGTCACTGTCCTATTTTTAAAAAATATATCTGATAATCTAAGGTTGGTTTCCAAGTTACCCAGGTATTCTATAATAATAAGGTATGTATTTTGAACAAACCTAGAAATTCATTGAGGAAAAGCAGAGTGAAGGAAGGCTTTGTTTGTTTGCTACTATGGCATTTCTCTCTAAGTTTGAATCAGGTGGGTAGCCATGCAGCTTCAGGGGCAGGGCCAATCATACGGTTCCACTGCCCCTTGATTTCATGGAGCCCCTTGTGGGTAATCAACATGCAAATGGTACTATAATGTCACCTAAATCTGACCTGAGAGGCTATTGTTGTATCAACTAGCTTTAGAAACAACCAACGTAAAACAGAATTTGCCAAAAATAAGGAAAACAATTCTCAACTAAATGTAGGACAAAATACAACCTCATCCAAACACAATAGCTGGGTCTGAAATTTGCTTCATGATCAGTGGGCTGGCCTTGATAAACAGGGAATGCTACCAACAAAAGCAAACAGAATACTCCAACATGCAGGTGGGGAATGGGCTCAGTTGGATATCCATGAATCGTGATGAACAGAAGGAGAGAAGAGCACAGGCAAGCTACCCACACATAATTATAGCTAAATGTAATTATGAGAGTTGAGGAAGTCCTGTTTATTTTGAGAACATGTCCCTGCTAAAACGCCACACAGTTGCTCTTCCAGGGACTGCAAGTTAAATCGTGCAATGTTAACTGGTGACACCTATAGAGGCCATAGTCCCCCTATCCAAATTATCAATGCTGGAAGACACATGATAAACTCTTCAGATCAGTCAAGATTGTTAGATTCTAGTAGTGTAGTAGAGATTATAACATTACTCTTTAAGCACTAGTGATAACTGCAAATAATCTGGGCGATGTGGAATCCAAATCAGTTTCAAACTGGTTTAAGTGGTGTGGCTTTCTTCCAAAGACCATGGGAAGCTACTTTGTATTTGCTAGCAGAAGTATTCAGTCTCTTTCCTGGGCTAACAGTTCTAGTGGTACAGAGGCAGGAGCCAAGTTACATAATAAACCACTGTGTTTGTAGACACATTCTAAATGGGGAATTCTGACCTTCCTACTTGTTATGGAATTCTAAACATGAATAGAGGTTGTATATATTTAAAATTAACAGAAGTTATGTCTTATTGGTTTATATGCTAAACACACACACATTACCTCAGGGTTCTAGTTGTCTCACCAACAACAAAGCCCCTACTTTGGAACTGGCTCTGCTACTCAGATATATGAGCCCAATGACTTTCAGTGAATCACTAGACATGATTTATGATGTGAATCATGCTTCTTTGGTTACAGTTTTGTTTTAATTCTTTTCTCAACTTAATTTTTATTAGCCTTCTGAATACATGGTGCCCTTCTGTTTTTGCTTAAATGTAGATGCACAACTGCTATGGCAACGGAAACTGATGAGAAAACAAAGGAATGATATGTGACTATCATCTCACTGAATTTTGTGTGTGTGTGTGTTAATTTGTTCAGTTTTGGAAATCCCATATTTACAGTATAAGGACAAGCATGAAGGAGGTTTTCCAGCCCGCTCACAGGTCCTTATAATATCAGTGGAAACAGTTGGTCCTGGCAAGTATTAACTGCTTTCAATTTAACCTGAGGACTGCCATTTGTTTAGTTTAATTTTAATTTATTTGAATTAATTTTGGGATGCATTTTAATCGATTGCTTATTTTTATGTATATTGTGTTATTAATATGATGTTAGCTGCTCTGAGCCAAGCTCTGGCAGGGGAGGGTGGGATACAAATAAAAATTAATTATTGTTTATTATTATTAGAAAGATTCTACATTTCTGCAAATCATTTATTTGCATAGCAGCCTATAAAATTCATGAAAGCATGAGGAACCCATACACAACTGCACTAGCTAATAATTAATAAATTGCCCATAATGTAGCCTCTCTCTTTAAGGATTCAGAATGCACACATACTCACCCTTTGTTATAAGCCTCTTCTTCTATTTTGGCTTTTATCTCTGGGCTGATCTCTTCCAAGGCACTCTGTACTGGTGCTGAAGGAGGTGGTTCACTCTCAGGGTCCCCATTTGATTTTCCACTAGTAAATTTAAAATTAAACACAGATAACTTTATTATCTCATCTAATATTATGTACCCCCACCAGAATGCTTATGGGTCTCTTGATCTTTGGGAGGGTCTTTGACGTCCATACAGTGCAAAGCCTTATAAATACAGCTGGGCTGAACACTTGATCCAGCCCTAGTTGGTCTTTTAGTGGGAATATTACATACCACAAAGCTCAGTGGGTCAAGCTGCCATTTGACTCCTCCCTTCCCAGAATTGCCTCCTGCAGTTTCCCAATATAACCCTGTAGGGTATTATGAAAGAGTGATTGCCTTGAATTTTCCTCTTCCTTTCTCATCCCTTTTTATTTTATGTCACACTCCCTTGCAATTACTTGAAATGGTAAAGTGCCATTATGTGTACACATCTTCAGATTTGTTGTGTGCTCTGTGCTTCCCCTCTGAAATCCCTTTTCCATTCATAACTTTTGCCTAACCAATTCTATTTCATCTTCTCTGTTTTGGTACTTACCATGTTCACACGCTCTGGAGCCCCTATTGCAAAACTGAGTGCACATTCTGGCTAAGTTAGTTCTACGACAAATAGAGTAACAGCACTGTCACATTCAGTCAGCAGGTTGTTTTGGGTCAGCTTTACTAACATGAGGTGTTCTTTCAGACCTGCTTGGCTGGTCTGGATAGCCAGACAATATACGTAGATTCTAATAAAATTCAAAAGACAGAAACAGAAAGCATTGTCCCAAAGGAAAGGGTTGCAGCTTGATGCTAAGCTTCCCTGTCCGTTACGGAAGCAGAAGCTATGCAAAAACAACTTGGGGGATTCGCCTTGGTGATGTCAGAGAACTGCAGTCCTGTCTTGGGCACTGCTGCCTTCTGATTGCTGCTTGGCTGCCAGCACATGAGGGAGGAGAGATTTTGTAGGGATATTGTACAACTCCAGCAATTCTCTCACCTCTAAATAAAAATGATCCTGGAGAAACTCCACTGAAATTCTCATTGCTGTGGAAAAGTTAGATACTTTATATAAACACAGCATCATCTTGGACCCTTCAACAAATCACTAATCATAATTCTGAAATGTCAGCAAGAGATTTCCTTCAAATGTGCTGTATTTCCTGAAGGCAAGTGCTCTGCCCTGTGAGAAAAGCTGCCAATATACAGTAAACTTTCTAGGAAGTACGTTCATGCATGGAGTTCCAAAACACAAGCACATCCTGTGTTCTTAAGAAAAATCTTTCGATAAAACCTGAAACAATGGCTGGGCTGGGCATTTGTTATTCTCATGTTTAAAAGCCTTCGTTCAGCATATTACTTTAGGTTGTATCTATCTAAATTCTACTCAGAACACAATGGACCCAAATTAGTCATGTCAATCAACTTCAATGGGTCTACTCTGAGTACAACTAACATTGGATTAACCTTTTATAATACACATTATTCTGGGATGGGTACAGATAACTTTTTGAGAGACGTAACTGCCGGGTTATAGCATGGACACTGTCTGTTAACTTTTTTAAAAAAGGTATAAATAATGCAGATGGGCAAGATATTTAAATTACTGTATCTACCTTCATTGGCAAAATATTGATCCTATTCCATCAACTTAAACTCTTTAAGGAAAAAAGCTCTTTTTATGCCAGCAGGAATTATCTGCTCTACAATTCTCAATATAGTAAATATTTGTTAACTCACTTCTCTATAAGCGCTGATAAGACGGGAGTTGATGTCAGATTGCTTCTTCCATTTGATGACTCAGACTGTGGATAAAGAGGTCCATTCAATTTCATTCAAGCAGCAAACAACACAACTGTATTTCTTACATGAAGGTGTACTCAACATACATACAACAAAAAATTGAACGGTCCCCAAACATAAACTAGGTGTTTTCCTGCGTACAGGAAGCCTAGTATTGTTTAGAACATCTCTAAATACCTCCTCTATAGAAAGGACAGGAAGCCTACACCCCTTCAGATGTTTGTTGGACTCCAACTTCCATCAGCCACAGCCATGATGGCTAATAGTGATGGATGGGAGTTGTAGTCCAACAACATCTGGAAGGCCGCAGGTTCCCCATCTCTGATTAACAGTATATTTCTCACCTATGTCTGTGTATCAACATAGTTTACTTCTGATGCGAATCTTTTTTATTTATTTATATTACTGTTGTATCAAATAGCCTCAGATTTATAAAATGTAGCACAGTCACACCTGTGTGCAAAGGTTTTTCTTTAAAGCTTTGGTTTCTCTAGAATGTTAGAAATTTGAAAACCTTACCAGGGATGGCATCAAAGGTATGGGCGATGCAGTAGGTGACTGGCCAGGGAGCTCAAATTTTGAAACAACAGCAACACTGACTCGTCTTCGAGGCATCTATAATAATAATAAAAAATTATTTCATTACATAAGTGACTCCAAGTTCTATTTTCATAGGCTGCATATCAGGCAGATTAGGGGAAAAGAGAAAAAAAGGACAAAACCATGGGTATGAAAGTTCTTTCAGGAGTGACCTTTATTCATAGTTTGAGCCTAAGGGGTTAAATCTGACAGTGTGGGTCCTGCAGAAAAGTAAAAGACTTCTGGGAAATGATATACAATGAATTGAAAAAAAACGTTTTAAGATAACTTTTGTCAAAAAAAAACACAGAAGCCTTTTTACTTGAATTAACAAGGGATGAAATATCAAGGGACTTAAAAAGACTATTCATGTATGTAACAACAGCCGCAAGAATGTTGCTTGCCCAGAAGTGGAAATAAGAGAAGGTACCAACAAAAGAAGAATGAATAACTAAGATGATGGACTATGCCGAAATGGCAAAGATGACCCTGAAGATCAGAGATCACAATGAGAAAAAGTTTGAACAGGAATGGAAGAAGTTTATAAACTATTTAAAAGACCATAGTAAATATATTAAAACGGTAGTAGGTTTGATATAACATTTATGAAAGCATATAATTGGAAATTAGGATGAATAAGAGGGAAAACGAAGAGTTTGGAGAAATAAAATAAGTTGCAAGAGATTGGGGGGGGGGGCAGAAAATTGAAATCCAGGGGAGAGGCAGGGGGGAGTCTATATTGTATCTTTGGAAAAGTATTGAACTTTTAAAATATTGTGATTATAAAATTGGAAAATAAAATGTTTTTAAAAATCAATAAATAAAAATGAGTGTGACTGAGCAGCCACTTATGCAGCTGAGCTTTTCCTTCCCCTCCTTCCCCCTGGCAAATCCCACATGCTCAAAAAGATCTGCTCTGAGGGTTGGGGGTTACCCTCTGGAGCAGATTTTGGGACATGCAGGGGGCTGGAGCGGGGAAGGAGAGAAACCGTAAGTCCCACTGTGCAAGTGTGTGGATATAACTGAATTTCACCCTAATTCTATTCCAATGCAGATAACTAATAAAGAATTGTTACTGTAGTTTTCTAATATGTCCATTTGTATACCAGTTGTATGCCAGTTACAAAAAGGAACCCTGCAGCATTAAATCCTAAGAAGCCTGAAACACCAAAGCCTATGCGTGTTTACTCAGATGCAAGTTACATTCCATTCAGTAGGACTTGCTCCCCAGTAAGTGTGTCTATGACTGTAACCTTAGGTAAGTAAACTTAGTTTGATAGATTTCTAAAGGCCAAACTACATATTATGCTCCACATCCTTTTTTAAACAACAACAACAACAACAACAACATGCTTTTGTTTTGAAATAAAAGTAGCCATGCCGGGTCCCAATTCTGATTGAAGCTTTGTGCCAGTTCTCAGAAAATCCTGACTTCTACTGCTATTTGCCTCCCTGTTGACTTTCTACTGCAACAGCAGCTTTTATATGTGAACTGGTTTCCTGAATGCTACGTTTCAAGCTGGGGGAAAATATTTTGGAAGTGCTTGAAAAAAAGAAAAGAAAAATGAGCAAGTTGTTTGGAGTACATGGAGAATCTAAGTCGCTGGAATTTTTTTTTTAAAAAAAACACTTATTAAACTAAAGCTTTTTAAAACTTGGAAGAGTACCTTTCCAACAGAAAGAGACATGGATCTTGATGTACGGGGCACACCATCTTCTGTACCATAGTAAAACAAAGCCAACAAAAGTAAGAATAAGAATTAGTGTTTGAAAACAGACATGCATTGCCAGCACTAAAATACAGTGGTGCCTCGCAAGACGAAATTAATCCGTTCCGCGAGTGTCTTCGTCTAGCGGTTTTTTCGTCTTGCGAAGCAACCCTATTAGCGGCTTAACGGATTAGCGCTATTAGCGGTTTAGCGGCTATTAAAGGCTTAAAGGCTTAGCGGATTAGCTGCTAAAAGGCTATTAAAGGCTTAGCAGCTTAGATAAAGGGGGGGAAAAGTGAAAAAAATATCTCAAGACTCGCAAGACATTTTCGTCTTGCGAAGCAAGCCCATAGGGGAATTCGTCCTGCGAAGCAACTCCAAAACGGAAAACCCTTTCGTCTAGCGGTTTTTCCGTCTTGCGAGGCATTCGTCTTGCGGGGCACCACTGTAGTAAGAAATTTTTTATATTGAAACAAATGTGCTTTTAAAGCAAAACAGTATATTATCTAAGACTAGGACGTATATCTCTTTTTGTTACAAGTGCAGAAATTTGGGAAATGTTCAGTTCAGTACATTACTATCTATTATCAGATTTTCTAACTTTTGTTCTTTAATAGAATATTGTGCACGGATTTAAACGAAATACGTAAAAACAATCGAGATACACAACTTTTGTTCAACAGCTGTAATTAATTATATTCTGTCAAATACCTTAATAATCTGCTTTTATATCTATGTAGATTTGAGAGTAGTCAACTATGAGTTCAACAGCAATAAAGACATGCTTTAAAATATTGTGTGGTGGGGAAGAAGAGACTATTTTACCAGGTGAGCCATAACTTCTGCTAGAATTTTGATTGGCGAGTTTCTTATACTCCATGAGCTCAGCGTGATCTTTTTCATATGTTCTCTTCAAGTTCTCCACATACTGCATCATAACTTCAGTGGCCTTTGACATGCGCTTCTCCTGCAATGAGGAGATCAAGCATCGCACAGAAGTATGTTTTCAACAAGAAATGAATGACATCATCTCAGCTTTTAGCAAGACTGAGATTTTACTCATAAAGAGACCCTACCACTAACCTTCAGATACATCTTAACTCCCACTAATAAGTGAGTGGCTAAGAGGACCAAGCTAGAAGAATGCCTGAATCTAATGCTCACCCTTTTTGGCCAAATTATGCTGCAAAAATTAAGGTATGCATTAGATTTGATGACACATTTACATTCTCCAGCAAAAAAAAATTTTGGTTTTAAGATTTCGAAAATTGATGTGCACATTAGATTCAATGATGCATTAGACTCAAATAAATACGGTAATACAACACCATCATATTATGTGGCTACAGTACAAAGCAGAGGTGTGGTCCTAACTTTACCTAGGAAGAAGTGACTAAAGATAGAACTCAAGGGAACTATTTTTGGTGCTGCAAGCAACCAACCTACTTTGTTACCTTGCCCTATGGGCTCCTCTGCAGGATGTCAGGATACCCCACCTCATTGGGGCATTATTTCCTATGATTGCTAACTTCCTCTCATTGGGCCACCTCTGGGTATAGCAAACTCCTGAACCAAAGTAGTAATTTGGAAGTATGGCTTGAGATCAGTTTAAAGGGAAATTCCTCTGGAAACTGCACAGACACACCTCTAGCAATAATTTCCTAAGTGGCTCCTGTTATGTATTCAGTAGTCTATGCTTGCCTGAGCTTGAGTCTGGACTAAGAATTCTTAGCCCCTGTGTTCTGATTCAATACATGATATCCAATCACAGAACATTTCAAGATTTGGGCCTCTGCCATTGGCCCTTAAACTCATTCATGATTTGCAGCTTGGAAGTTTAGACAGCCAATCACGTTGGGAGTGGGAGTGCCCCAGGCCTTCAGAAATGTATATAAGCAGTTGCTTTGCCTCTGTTGGCCAGTTCTGTGAGTTCCATAAAGGTTCTTGCTGTTATCACTGTGTCTTGCCTTGCCACCTACACTTCAGCTCTCATTCCAGATCTGCAGCTAGCTTTTGAAACGATGGTTTTAGAGAGCCAGAGGGCAGAGACCCACAGCTCAGTGGTAAAGGATATGCTTTGTTCAGTCTTTGGCATCTGCAATTAAAAGGACCTTTAGAAAGTCTCACAAAATATCTGCCCGAAACCTTAGGGAGTTGCAGTTGGTCAGACTTCAATGGACCTCCCTCTACCCTCTGTCCAGGCAAGCAAGAGGCATGGTCACAGTTTGATAACCCATTCCAGCCAGACAAAAGCGCCTCAAGCAGGTGTGGAGCAAGGTCAGTGAAGGCTGTTCCATGAGAAGAGGGTGTGTGTCCCAGGGACAGTCCCACGGGCCAGAGGCGGGCCCGGAGGGCCACATTCAGCCTTAGGGTATGAGATTTCTAACTCTGCTTTAGGAACATGTTTGTCTCTCCTGACTATAGCCAACGCTTCCTACAAAACTTTATTTTTTCAAGTAGTGAAGTCGGAACCGATGCAGGGTATTTGATTCCAAGAGTCTTACCTGGCGAACAGCTCCAACCATTTCCGCTCGACTAGATAATCTAGAGGCCAAACGATGCAGCACTGCCATGTCCTCCAACAATCTCTGATACATGTCTCTGTGCTCAGAATGATGCCACAAGGAAGCCGAGGACTGAAGCGAGAGCATGAACTAATGTATCAAATCAAGGAGCATGTATAGCAAATGAAGTCATTGTGGTTTTACAGTTCAAGGGTTGTCCACCTTTGTTGTCCCTTGGGTCCATTAAAACTATAGAAAGTTCTTGCACAACAAACATAAAAAGGTCCCTCTGTTGTACAGCTACTTACAGTTTCCAAAACCTAAACAAGGCTTGAAATTCCACTACAGATATCAAATCAAGATCTTATATTCTAGATATCATTACACGTATTGACTACAAAGAATCAAACTTCATGCTATCATGAAACAAGGGCTTACCCACACTCACCTTTCCAGGCGTAGTCCATCCTTTAAAGCTCTCTGTCCAAGCACTCTCTTTTTTTGCTCCAGAGCTATCCCCATGAAAACCTACTCTTTAAAGCTGAATTGGAGAAAAGGACAATCCACTGAAAACCTGAATTGCCATTTGTTGTGTTTCAGCTTTAAAGAGTGGGTTTTTGCCCTTGTAAGATAAAAAGTTTATTATGATGTACAAATTGTTTGTTGGTTAAGGCAAGATACTATTTGTGCTTTGTTAATCTCACAGCTCTCTAAACAATGAAGAGTAATAAAAAGTTGACTGCAAGCAAAGATTTGTTCATTTTTATTTTTATTTAAAAGCACAGATAATCCTTCAATGGGGCTTTAAAATTCCAGTGGAAAATCTTGTAAACATTACAATCCTCAATTAGCTCATCTTCAGTTTCTTCATTGTGCTACCCTTCTTGGCGAGTCTTATGACTGATTTTGCATTTGAGATGCAGCCCATCAAAATCATGTGCATACCAGCCTACAGCTTAGTTTATCTGGTTAACCAGAGATAGAATAATGATTGTGATAAGCAAATTAGAAAGTAAGAAAACTAGGGCTTCTACTACATTGTAATTACCTCCAACCTCTCCTTTTTCAAAGTTTGATACTTGATTAGGGCCAGCAGTGCGCCCTTTCTACATTTTCCCATTGATAAGAGTATTTTCATCACAAAACAAATAGGGCAGTGGCAGTGTTCCTCACCTCATGGAAGAAGCAGTTCAACAAGTAGAACAGCAATTTTCTACTATTGGAAATTGGAGATACGGAAAGTGAATCCTGCTGTGTGAGTTTCAGTAGGGTTGCCACATTTTAAAAAGTGAAAATCTGGACACAAAAGTTGTTGATGAGCGTTTTTAGTTTTGCCCAAAGTTGTTGAGTTGTTTTTGCAAAATTTAAAAAATAAAAAATGAGTTGTGGACCTATTTTTTAATGAAATTTGCCAAAATCTACACTACTGACATGGGCTGCCGTGCATCCAAAACTAGGGTTGCCATGTGTCTGGACATTTCAGCAATTTCCGCCAGGACGCTGTTTACAAGGGCTTAATACCAGCTATGTCCATGAAATTCCGGACGTATGGCAACCTTAGTTTCAGTATAGTACATCCAACTCTAAAAGTGCTGCGCTCCTGAACATGAGTCAGCTTCAGATATACAGCCAAGAAACATAGCCCTTGATTGATAAACACGAGATTTACACATCAGATTTCCCATTTAAATGAGAAAGCAAACATAGAAGCCAAACAATTTTCAGGCTCAATGGGAGGAAAGAAGTCAGTGTGGGTGAAAAATCCAGTACCAGAAAGGAAGCATACTTCTTAGATGACATTGCACTTTGATGCCAGTGGAAGCACACATACTTGAAATTGTTTTAGAAAAGCTACCTATTTCATGCAATTCCTGACAAAAGTAATTCCCATACTGTGAAAATGTGTGAATTGGCATCGCACCCCGACACCAGTCTCTACTACATCTATTTTGCAGCACAATCACATACTTATCTATCCACATTTCAGCCCTACAATGTCCAGTGGAGCTTACCCATAGGCAAGCGTGTGCAGGAGTGCAGCTTCCATTGTAGCTAAGTCTGCAATCCCAGACACACCAAGCCCAATGGGTTCCACTCCCAAGCAAACATGCTTGGATTGGGCTGCAAATATTTTGTGTTTGAATCAGTTTTTACCTGAGAAAGAAATGCATGAACAAATAAGAATTGCTTTGCCCACTCTTCCTCTGAAAGATACCAGTATAAAAGATGTATACATAAACGATTATAAAGAGATTTATGGACTTCCTGCAGAAATTCCTCGCTCCTCGCTTCCTCTATCTTTAGGTGCATTTACTCAGGGCATTTTTTAGGCATGAGATTACACATTCTTCACTGTATGATGTCAAGTATTCAGCTGTTCCCTGCCCAGGAACATAAATAGTAAAGAACAGCAACTACCTCCTCCATGTTTAGGATGGGAACTCCAGGAAATACTGCAGGACTGATGCATAAACAACATATGCAATCATGATGCCAAACCTCTCTGCAATAAATGGTAAACTATGTAGCAGAATTTTGCTGCTTTCATCTAGCACATACACTGCTTTTCCTTCTCAAACAGCATTGAAACCCAAAGTAGAAGGAATGGTGAGTACAGAAAAGGAGACTGAAGAAGAGATCTGAGCTCCATGACATAGGGTCCTTGAGTCTGAACTCTGTAGAACAATCTGACTTACAAGTGTATGTTGGGATCACAGAATGCTGTGTAAGATAGTAAGTCTGCAGGCTTGAGTTTGCTAGCTGATGCAATCAGCCTGCAATACTTTCTATGGAGGTGCTGGGTCAGAATGACTCAGCAGTAGTGTGCTGACAGTTGACTGGCTGTCATCGGTTTAAAAGGGAAACCTGTCCAGCTGTAAGGTGGTGGTGTAGAGGAGTGTGGTCAGAGAGAAAGAGTCTCTCTATTTGCCTTAAGGTGCAGCCAGGTACTCTGTCTGACTGTATGAACTGCTTCTGTAGATATTTGTATATATAGCTCACAATAAATAATACTGCACTGAAGAACCTGGAACTCTGAGCATTTCTGCTAAAGCGCTGCGAAGAATTCGCGACAGTGTATGCTTCTAACTGACTTACTGTGAAGCAGGCAGATAACCTGTGACCCTCCAGAAACTGTTGGACTGCTACTGATGGCTGGGGCTGATGGGAGTTGGAGTCCAACAACTTATGGAGGGCCACAAGGTAGCCCCCCCTTGTGAAGTCTGGTATTTTACACCTATTACACCACTCATAAACAATATGCTTCTTTTGTTTTGTTAAAAAAGCATAGTGGTACCTTGGTTCTCGAACTTAATCCGTTCTGGGAGTATGTTCAACTCCCGAAACCATTCAAAAACCATGGTGCGGCTTCCAATTGGCTGCAGGAGCCAATGTTCGGGAGCCAATTTGTTTGGCAACTAAGCTGTTTGATAACCAAGGTATGGCTGCAGTTCCAAGAGTACATTATTTTTGCAACATTCAGTTCCACCTACTGCAAAAATCAACCTACCACAGAACAAGAAATTCTAGATTATGGCACAGAATTGAAATGTGGCCATTTTAGAGATTTAAGTTGGCTGATAATCAATATGAGTACTGAACAGTTTTTTTAAAAAAATGATATTTATTAGAAATTTTTTTAGAGTTACAAAAGAAAACAAAGTAGAAAAAGAACAAAGAAAGAACAAAGAAAAACACAAACCACATCCAACAATACAAATTCCAAAAAAACAAAAACAAAAAAACAAAAATACACCGCAAACATTTAAAAACAAGTCCATTATTCTCAAATCCTCAACTGTCATTACCTTCTTTCTTTGACCTCCTCCTCCTCCCTTTGTTTGTATCCTAGTTGTTAATTGTTGCAGCAAATCCTTTCCATATTTCATAAAATTCTGGCATTACATTACCTTAAACTATTTTAATCTTATCTTACTATAAAAACCTTGAAACTTAAAACTTAAATCTTATTTTTACCAACTTCTCATAACCATAATATTCTTACATAATTCTTTAAACATTTTTACTAAAGCCAAGTAATTTCATTCCAACATTTTTCTAACATTCATCAATTTTATAAAACAATCCTAGTAGTAGAAAAAGAAATAAAATCCAATCTTCATCCAGCGTCCCTTCCTCCTGGTCCCGGGTTTTGTCAGTCCTTATTATCCCATCGATCTAGCGCATTAACCTGGTAACCTTATATCCGAGGCCCTTAAGTCTCTTCCATGTCCCTTCCGCAGCTCTTCTTCATATTTGTAACTGTATTTTCCCTTGTCTCCTGCTCGTTTCACTCGTGGGAACTCCAGCTTAACAATATTTTTGACCCTTCTCGACGGATCAGCCCCTTTTCCATAATCCACACTAAATTCCATGTGGTATTTAAGAACATGTTTCAAAATCCCTCCAAAATTAGGAGCCCCCACAATCCCAGACATCTCACGGCCCATTGCCAGACTTGAAAAATCCAAACATCCCTGCATAGGGGGGTCTGTCCAGCCCCCCATTTCCAAACCAAACCAAACTTTTTCTTTCCAAATCTGGCTTTTTCCAAGTTCATTTGTCAAATCCGAAAGCTCATGTTCCTGTTGGGCCTGTTCTATCAGGGCACACTCCTGATTTAATTCCTGGGTGGGCTCCACATATTTTCCCACTGCCTGTTCAAAATTTCCCACTGCCTGTTCAAAATTTCTGATCGAATCAGCCATCAAATTCGTCTTCTCATGTAGCTGTTCCAGTAGGGCATTTGTTTTATAGAAAGCACACAACAGAGCTTCTGAATACATTGTCCTACAAGGTCAGATGTCTATTCCCACGATTGTAATCTGTAACAGCTGCCAGCTCCCCGGAGTTGGTTACAGTTTCACAGTCTCCCTCTAGGGGGAAAACTTCTATTTGTTCTTTTAAAGACAAGTCTAGCAACAAAAGTTTCCTTTTTCAGATATTTTGTCAATATTTGTTCCTTTAAGAAGCGAAGGTGAACAATGGAGTCAAAGTTTCTCTTCTTATAGCTATCTGTCAAAAACGTTGTCTCTGGTCAATGAGCTTCAAGAAACGTCAGTCCTAACACCCCGCTCCAGGATCAGGACGGTGGAAAGTTACTTTACTTTACCCTCACTTCTGCAGGTTTAAACAGTCCGAAAAATCCCCCTCTTCTCCTGCGTCCGAATGGGGTTCAACAATTTTAAATGATGAAAGTTAATCTTTTACAGGCAATTTTCTGAGCTCTAGTTTGCCATGTCTTTGCTTTAATCTATCTACAAAGAAACAGAAGGCTGACTTCCTGTTTAGACCTTCCCGTTTCAGCGCCAAATTAAGGTAAACTTTTAAGTCCAATTTTCCTTTCTGTTCACAAGTCCTTATTTAGAGTCCAATTGTCCGAATTTAGGTACTCACGGGTGATTATTTTAGAAACCAGATTGTCCCAGGAAAAAGGCAGTGCTCTCCAGCAACGGCTGTGCGGCTTTGCTCCACGGAAGAAGCAGTTGACTCTCAGCACCGCGCCACTTCCCCTCTTCGCTCCGGAGCCTGTTAATGGGTTCTTTTGCGGGTTGGGGGGGCGCTAAGGGTGCCCGCCGAGTCCCATGGTCACAGGCTTCATCCGCCTGTGATTTTTGAATGGGTCCCCGCTTCACCGTAGCGGAAAAGACCCGATTCCCGTGGAGCTAGTCCCTCCAGTTCAGAGGGAATCCGCCATTGCCGATGGCGCCACCCCAGAAGTCCATGAGTACTGAACAGTTAATGATAACATAGGATTTGGGGACATATTTGGCAGCAGCCTTCAAAATACCTACCAAAATTCACTGAATTCTAACAAGTGTAAACTGCAGTGAATGTTCACCATGGTCCTCTTACCGTAATAGCAACTTTAAAATGATCCAGTTCCTTCTCTGTGTTCTCCTCAGCAAGATTCCTCTCCCTCTCAGCCTGGTTAATTCTTGATTCCAATGTATAACTATCATTTCTGAAAGCCAATGAAAGTTGTACAAACACATTCTGTTGAGGGAGGGAAAAGAAAGGCCTCATTGAATTCTGTTTACCAGTCATATCCATGTATAAAAGGGGGAAATTGTTTTGCATAAAGTTGACTCATAGAATTATAGAATGGTAGGGTTGGAAGGCACCTGAAGGGTCTTCTAGTCCAGCCCCCTGCAATGCAGGAATCTCAGCTAAAGCATCCATCACAGATGGCGATCCAACCTCTGCTTAAAAACCTCCAAGGAAGAAAAGTCCAAAACCTCCCGAGAGAGACCATTCCATACACTAGTAGGAATTAATTTCCACAAAGAGAAGTGTCAAATCCACTTCGAATCATATTCTCCAGCTTGGACGACTAGGCTGAAGTTACTTCGCAGGCAAGCACATTCATTTCTTACTTTCCAAGGCTGTACTGAGACCACAGGCATTACACTGACCAATGTGAAATCAGTGCTTGCAGTAGTAACATATCAGTTCAGTCCTTTTACTCCTGACCACAACTATAACTTCTAAAGCTTTATTCATTATTTATTTAGCAAAATTTAGCTATCACTTAAATAAAAGATATATCTCAAAGCAGTTCATTTGATAGTATGAAATATTCATTATAAATTAATAAAAACAGGCGTTAGAAACAGCAGACAGTAAAATTATCAACACAGACATAAAATATTTTATATAACATAATATAATTTATATGGGGCTCCTCAATGGATGTTAGAACGTAGAACAGCAAAGCAAATGGAGAAGAATGGCACTCCAAGAACAACGTTAACTTTCCTTGCTACTTCCTACAGCTTTTAAAAATTGCTCTCTCTGTCTTATCCAGACACCATGTCTATGACAACATGGTAGAAAGAACAGCAGTGAATACCAGTGAATACCAGTTTGGCTTTATGATAAATTGCTATTGTTTTATTTTCTTATTTTCTATGGATTTTTTTATAGATACCACTTAGAAATATGAATAATTAAGTGGTACAAAAATGTTTCAAATAAATAAATAGCGGTAAGGTAAAGGTAAAGGGACCCCTGAACATTAGGTCCAGTCGTGACCAACTCTGGGGTTGCGGCGCTCATCTCGCTTTACTGGCCGAGGGAGCCGGCGTACAGCTTCCGGGTCATGTGGCCAGCCTGACTAAGCCACTTCTGACGAACCAGAGCAGTGCATGGAAACGCTGTTTACCTTCCCGCCGGAGCGGTACCTATTTATCTACTTGCACTTTCAAACTGCTACGTTGGCAGGAGCAGGGACCGAGCTACAGGAGCTCACCCCATCACGGGGATTCGATCAGCCGACCTTCCAACGGCAAGTCCTAGGCTCTGTGGCTTAACCCACAGCGCCACCTGCGTCCCTTATAAATAGTGGTAACCATTCATGAGATTATGATCCATGATTCTGCCTGCCCTCCAAGGTCTTTCAAAGAGGCCCAGCTACTGCCAGAGGTTCACCAGGCCCCTCTATAGTGATTTCTGATATTTAGTGGAGGCTGCCTTATTGAAGACTGTCTTATCCCCTGATTGGGATAGCTCTGATGAAGACTGCTGGCTCTGCTCCTTATTTTAGTTTTGTCCATTTTGCTGATTTTTTTAATGGAATTTTTATGTTTGTTGTTAAAAATAATGACACTTCTCTGACTCCAGTTTGGATTAGATTTTCTTCAAAGAATGTCTTGAGGGGAGCCATGGAAAGGTTATCTACAAAATGTTGCTTGGTAGTATGTTGCACACAAAATATGATGACGAAGAGCCTTCAAGCATTTTACAGTAAAAAAAACAAAAGGAGACTTACCTCAACCTCTCTCTCAGTAAGCGGAGGAGAGCTGCAATAAAACGGGAAACTAAGTTATAAAGTTTGCCCGCGCAGAAAAAATGTCATTAGGAACCATAGAGGCACCACTGGTGCATATGCTGGATTTTCCTACGGCCCTAGCCCTGGGGCATTGGGTGATTACTTCCCCAGTGAGATAAGAATGGCAGGGGAATAAGCCTCACTTCACAGTGAGCATCAGGCTTCCCTACTACTGTACTTAGATAAGGAAAAACAAGATATGCAGCTGCCTACTATGTATTAAATACAGGTCCTAAGTGTGCTGTATGTTCCTTGGCAAATGCAAAATTATTAGACTCTCAAGATCCAAGGTAATGTTTTTATAATGTTAATTTATTGTCACAGCATTGTGCTATATAAACACCACAAAGGCTGCTTCACTTCCTGTATTGGTGTAAAAGATAACACCATTCTGAAGAAGTTGGCAGGCCTAATATACTGTGGTCTTGTTTCTTACAAAGACTGAAGTGAAGAGGAAATATAATTTCCTTAATTTGGCCAGAAAGACTCAGTAAGCATACAGTCATAATGCAAGGTCATTTATATTTTGAGCTGCTTGACCAAGTATAATTTCTGCTTAACGGAAGTTTTCCTTGCTACAAAACATAGCACATGAACTCATTCCCAAGAGACGGTATCCTAAATAACCTATCCTAAGTAAAATATAGCTTTAGTTAGTTTCTGATTACAACTTTGCATTACAGTTTAGATAATACTAATTCAAATGCATAGTTTTCTTATTTGTTAGATCTCCATCCCACTTTCCTTAGACAAACTCAGGGTGGGATATGTAACTTTCCCCACATTTTATCATTACAACAATCCTGTGAAGTAGGTCAGGCTGGGAGAGCGCAACTGGAGTTTCAGAGCTTACTTGGGATTTGAATATCAACCACTGTAGTCCAGCACTAACTACTACACCATGTAGTAGGCATAAATGGAGGGAGAACACCTACACATTGCCTTTCTGAATCTAATGCACTTAAGTATCTCTTCCACAAAGCATTTGGGTGACAGTGTGAGTATCAGCACAGAGTGGTTTACCTTCCTGGAAGAGAGGTGTGCACACGGAGTTTTCGTAAAAGAGTGTCAGGAATGTTGGGCATCACCTCACATCTACTTTTCGCCTCTTCCTCCTCTGATGAGAAAGGCACTGGTGAAGACCCTGAAGAAGAGTTCAAAACTTTAAAAAAATTATTATCATTATCATTATTGCCAACACCACCACTTCTCTACTATTGCTACTACTATTCTATTGCTTCAGTAGTGCATTGTGAGCTAAAGTAGTTTAACACATTACTAAACTTCGTACTCTGATGGGCCTAATCAGAGGTGGATTTACGGGAGCACGACTGTTTTGGTTGAATTGGGCATGGAGCCTCAGGGATGCAACAGGGGGCACAGCAACTATGATTTACAATGGAGTGAGGGGGTGCCAAATTTTGGCATTACACAGGGTGTCATTGAAATTTGAGACCCCAAGATCCGCCCCGGCCTAATGTTTGAAGGGGATGAAGAAAAGGTATATTCCACATTCTGCTGTAAGAAACCAGTATGGGAATAGGGCTAATCGGAAAATTCAGCAAAGGCACTACTGACTGAAGGTAAAATCCAGCTATTCAATGTGATTGTCACCTAGCATTTCAATACTGTCTTATCAATAATTAAGTGGAACCAACTTTCCTCTGTCTGGAAAGTGGCAACTGGGATACAACTTTTATTGCCAGTGTCTGTTGACAATAGTTTTACTGACTTCAAAAAGGCCGAGATTACAAGCACATTGTACTAAATGGGATCCATTGTGATGGATGCAATAATTTCCACATGCAACAATGTGCTCTTTTCGCTCCCATACCCACACAAGTAGTCACATATGGTGTGGTCTTCAGTGGTGTATTCTAGCAAGAGGCCTCAGTCTGTTAAAAAAAACTCCACTGTTGTGGCCTCCTCCCTCCTAACCACAAGTACATTTCCCATCAAATGTTATCATATTTCACCTCTCTCCTGTTCAGCAGCTTCGCTTAGGTCAGGGAGCTTAAGTCCAATTAAATTTTGATTCCGCATCAATATGTGCTCCTGATTAGGTAGGAAAGAACTGCATTAATTCTTTACAAGAAATAACAAGCTCAGTGATATAATTATATAGTACATTGGCAAAGATGGTGGTAATCAAGTTGCTGGGTTTTGCAACATGTCACCAATAAATTTACATTGCACCCTTTAGCATAACAAATTTCCAGTCACTAAATCTAGAAACAATGGATTTAGACTTAGTCATGCTTAGAGTAATTACTCAAATGGGATGTAAGTTAACTTTAGTCCCATTGATCTTAATGGATCTATCATAAGTATGACTAAGTACAGTGGTGCCCCGCAAGACGAATGCCTCGCAAGACGGAAAACCCGCTAGACGAAAGGGTTTTCCGTTTTTGAGTTGCTTCGCAGGACGAATTTCCCTATGGGCTTGCTTCGCAAGACGAAAATGTCTTGCGAGTCTTGAGATTTTTTTCGCTCCCCCTTTATCTAATCCGCTAAGCCTTTAATAGCCTTTAATAGCCTTTTAGCAGCTAATCCGCTAAGCCTTTAAGCCTTTAATAGCCGCTAAACCGCTAATAGCGCTAATCCGTTAAGCCGCTAATAGGGTTGCTTCGCAAGACGAAAAAACCGCTAGACGAAGACTCTCGCGGAACGGATTAATTTCATCTTGCGAGGCACCACTGTATAGGGATCCAACCCAAGGTACCAATACAGTGGTACCTTGGTTTACTAACTTAATCTGTTCTGGAAGTCCATTCTGAAACCAAAGTGTTCTTAAACCAAGGCATGCTTTCCCATAGCAGTGGGGGACTCAGTTTACAAATGGAACACACTCAACAGAAAGCGGAACATGTTCAGCTTCCAAGGCAAAGTTCACAAACCAAAACACCTACTTCCAGGTTTGCAGCGTTCTTAATCCGTTGTTCATAAACTAAGCTGTTCTTAAACCAAAGTACACTATACCAGGCAAGCACACCTGATAAAAGGGTACCACAACCAAAAGAGCTTTTCATTCAATCACTACCCACCTCATCTCAAATAGTGACGGCACTTGGAGAAGATGGCCTGAGTGTATGGGCAGGCTTATGTTGGGAGGATACAGTCCTCCAGATGCTCTAGTCCTAAGCAGCAAAGAGCCTTAAAAGTGAGCACTCTGAACTGGTGAAATTTATTCATGGTCCTAGACAGCAGCCTAGTGGCCATGTTCTAAACTAACTTTAGAGGCAGTTCCACATGCAACATATTACTGTAATCTAGGCTGGAGGTTACCAGGAGTGCCGATCACTGTAGCCAAGCTTTCCCCCCATGTCCAGAGGGAGTAACAGCAAGTTTACCATCCTTGGCTCATGCCAAAAATAAGCTACCTGCACTTCCCGGACAAAACTGAAACCTATCCCTTTAGAGGAGTGAAACCCTATCCATTAGAGGTTAAACTCTGGATAGATGAAATGCTGACCAAGGACTCTGCTATACAGCTGCAAACAAAACGTCTTAAGTGTGTTTTAAGTGCAATATAAAATGTGACACTAGATGGAGATGGCGAGTTTTATGGAAAATTTAATGAAATTTTTAACAACGCTTTTTAAAAAAAGCATTTTCAGGATGGTTTTTATATGTGTGTAGATTCCACCCAACACGACTTCCATTTTATTATCATCAATTACTCAACAACAGATGAATGGCCAAAGTGCTTGGCAAGATTTGAGAAAACCAAGAATCCACGCTCATTAAGAATTTGAAGACTTTTGTGATGCACTGCTGTAGAATCTGGTATATGCCAAGAAATACTGAATACTGTATAATTATTTGTGCTTATATAAACTATATCTTATCTCCTGGTGAAAATAAACACATTTTATGAAAATAAAACTTTGAAAAATATTTTTTTTTAAATCCTATGAGAGAGTTTCTTGCTGGAAAGACTTCTCTTCTTCTCTACTCTATTACATTTGATCCAGTTAATAAACTGCCAACATTGTATCAGAGTAAGGAAAACTATTGCTTCTTTGCTGCCAGAGCATAGGCCCCCAAATGGACTTTTAGCTCTCTAGTCACGGTTCTGCCTGAATTTCTTTTCCCCTTTATGCATGTAGATTATTTCAGCTACACAGAAGTAACCAGTTGTCTTGAGGCCTGCAGATAAGAATGTGATGTGATGTCCTGGGAAAGAAGTGTTGAAAGCAGCAAGAAATAAGACACAAAAGAAAAGGAAGCACATGAACAGCAGAAACACCTGAAGCAATGTTTAAGATGATTTGTTGATATAGCTTCAGGAAGGAAAGGTTTTTCTGGATGTGAAGAAATCTCCTAAGAGATCAAAAGTAGCTTATTTAATTCCTAAATACTACTTTGAAAGATGACAGGACAGTTCATCAGCTTCTTCCTGTTTACATATTGCATACTTTATTAGAGACCAAAGTACCTCTGCGCTGTATTTTACAATCACCTTTAAGCGGTAAGCTTTTGTTTCACTAAAAGGCAAAAGACTGCTTTCTAATTTAACATTAAAGCTGCAGAGTTGAAAAGCTAATTATATAGGGAAAAGAATGTGTCAATTTAGATATGTAATTCTGGTGTAGAGTTGGAACACATTTTAATAAATGAATTTACCAAAATTAAAAATAAATCCACAGGAACAGCACCCCCTCAATCCAACTGATAATCAAAATATTCAGTCAGTGTCCTCTTACTTACAGGTCATATCTGACAGGGATCCTATGTTACTTTTTATATGTGCCTAAAAGGAGGTCCGTGAACTGTGGTGACAATGTTCATAGGATCTCTGTGCTTCTTCCCCATAAAAAAAATAAGTGCCTAGCTTTCACAATCCAGTAGATAAGCTTAATGAAAAGGAAGTTAAAGTTTTTGAGACAAGAGATTGTGGGTGGTAGGTGTTTCTAATAATCAAGAGATAGAGATGCTCACTTTCTGCTGTTAACGCTTTCCTAAAGACCTCAAGTTTTGCTTAACTAGAAGCACAGCAATATGACAAGCCCTGACTCACCTTATTCTACCTTTGAAATGTGGCCTTTGGTGTAATGAACTAGAAAACAATTCTTCATTTCCCAATACTTCAAAATGCAAGGTTCTACTCTTATTTTATCAAAGCCCAATCCTGTTATATCACACAATTTTGGAACAACAACAAAAGACTAAAATAAAATCCTGCTAATTTATAGAAACTCACCTCTCTGAGCTTTGTCAATTTCTGCATTCTTACTGGTTGAACTTGTATTTGGAGGTCTTTGAAGGCTGACTGTTTAGTCGATATGTTGTTGGGTTTATTGTTAATGGCAAAGTGTCTGTCATCTTCAGATGGACATTTAAAAGGTACCTTTTCTATATTACCAGGTTCTGCGTGATCCCACGACACAGCTCGTAATAGAGGAGGGCGGGAACCAGGTTCTGTTTTACAAGAAACTTTTGAATCCTTTGATAATGGTGCTACTGATCCCTTTAACTTTGGGTCCATGGTAAATATCCCTGGTCCTTGTAAATGGCCTTGGAAAGGAGAATCATTTTCTTTTATTTTTTTAGGGATTAGTTTCTGAAGTTTGTTTTCACAGGTGCTTGGGCTGGTATTTAGAGATACTCTGCCAGTGTCATAACCTGAAGTACAGGATCTGGGTAGGTTATCCATAGGCTTATGTGGATCAAAGTTCTCCTTTTGTTCCGTCAACTTCTTTGGATTTTCCAAAGCAGTTGTGTGTGTAACTGGTTTTTCCTGAGAAAGTTTTCTTTGATCATTCTCATTTCGATCAGTTAATCCTTTTGTGGCATTCTAAAAATTAAAAATAATCAAAGAAATAGTATAATGAGTTTGTTTACACATAACACTAGGCCAAACTATAGATTAGTGCAAATGCGCAACTATGCAGGTTCTTGGAGAGACTGTGGCCCCTGCACTCCTTTCTTTTGTCTCCTGCTGCCTCTCTGCTCTGAGCTAAGCCATAGTTTGGAATAGCATGTTGTTCAATCCTGAGCTCATTGTTTGGCTCACTCCAGACAAACCATTACCTGCAACCAAGTTTTGGTCTTATGTTTACAGTTTGGCTCAGATGACATGCTAAGCTCACAAAAAGAAGCAGTAGAAGCTGTTACAAGTCAGAATTGCACATATAAAAGTCCTTATTCAAGAAACATTTACACTGAGCCAGTGGAAGATTCAGGCCCAAAAGTAATGAGATGATTTTTAGGAGACAATATGGGGATGCAGTACCGGTTAAGCACATGTTCTCCCATTGATAAAGCCCCCCAACACACACAGACACACACACAGACACACACACACACACACACACACACACACACACACATTTTCTTGTCAAGGTAATGTGTTGTTATCCTGATTGATTGTATGCAGTGCTCAACAATAATCAGCATTAGAGCATTCTTACCTGCAGTGGAGGCACTGAACCCAAAGCAGATGGGCATATATCAGAACCTACAATATGAAAAACAGGTGATGAAACTTCCACCACATACTGTAAGATGTCATAGTTAGCTCTAAACTCAGTGGCCATATGGCTACTACAGGCAGAAAAGAGTGCTATTCCCGTTAACAAAAGTCCTGAACAATTCAACACACCCTTAGCTTATAGGACTTCTACTACAATCACTACTGCTTCATAGAACGTGTCAGCCCATATGAGCCTCTCCAGCATTTCAAAAATGTCTAATGAGGTTCTGCTGTGGATTCCTTTTTATGAGAAGACTTACCCATTGCAGCCTAAGAGGATTTATATACCATTTAATCATTAAACCCTATAAGCGGTTTACAAAAAATATACATTAAAAATACCAATAAAACCTCTGCTAGGTTTAATAAGCCTAGAGGGTGTGGAGGAGTCAACAGAGCATACAGCTGCCAGCACATTGTCCACCTTGCCATGGAATTTCCTTCCATGAGAGCTCATACTGCCTCTACCCTGCTGACTTATTATAAGGCAGGTAAAATCTAACTGTTTCATATAGGATAGAGTGGACATTGTCTTAAAGGACGGCCAAAAATCTTTTAACAGAACAATACCACCTTAGAAGTGGGAGGTGCCATGGGGCCATATGGCCAGCTCTAAAACCTGTCAGGTTAGCCCCTGGGGAAAAAGAGAAAGACTCTCTTGGTGGGCGGGCGAGTGGGTAGGTGGGTGACAAAGGGCTCTTCACACCCTGCTTTTTGGATTCCTAGAAACATCTGTCTGAACACTGTTGGGTGCTGGACTAGATACAGCTTAGATCTGATCAAGCTTCTTCTCATATTTACATCACATTTTGCTGTAAAACATTCCCTATTCATTTGCCCAGCAAGATTTCTAGCTTACCATTTCGGGGGTGGGGTGGGGGCAGGGAATATTACGAGATCTTATAATGACCAAACATCTATGGCTGCTCAACTAATATGTATATAATTTGAACATGCAACATTAATTTTACCTGTTGGACTTGGCAGAGTGAAAGAGTTGCTCCGAGAGGCAGCAGGTGAAACATTAGGGCTAAGTGCTGGGGATATAGCTGCATTAAAGTTATACACAACAATGAATAGTTATTCTGAGTGGTTAGTTCTCATTTTCCGGTTTTAAGTAAGCAGATCATTAAATCTGCAACAGATAATGAGCAGGGCACCATGCTTTTGCTGAGTGATGTCACAGGAGAGTGCTATATGTACAAACACTGAGAGAAGCACGTTGGGGTTGGGCTACTTTGCATGACTTGGTGAACATGGGAGCAAAGAATGTCCAAGTACAGCTAACATGAGGAAAAGCTGAAAGACATGTGCATCTTTAAAATCTATGAATGATGTCAAGAATAAGCGGGCAAAAAGCTTTCGGCACCTTATATGCTACAATATATATTTGCCTTTATGGTGCCACAGGCCTCTTACATTAAAATGACCTTTGCTAATTTGTTATGGTAAAACACACGTTGCACACAGGCTAACACTGGGTTCCATTTGCATAATTTCAAGGTAAAGGTAAGGTAAAGGTAAAGGACCCCTGGATGGTTAAGTCCAGTCAAAGGCGACTATGGGATTGCGGCGCTCATCTCGCTTTCAGGCTGAGGGAGCCGGTGTTTGTTCACAGACAGTGCAACGGGACACTGTCACAGAAACCAGAGCACGTGGAAACACCGTTTACCTTCCAGCCACAGCGGTACCTATTTATCTACTTGCATTGGCATGCTTTCAAACTGCTAAGTTGGCAGGAGCTGGGACAGAGCAACGGGAGCTCACCCCATTGTGGGGATTCAAACTGCCAACCTTCCAATCGGCAAGCCCAAGAGGCTCAGTGGTTTAGACCACAGCGCCACCCACATCCCTAATTTCAAGGTATGGGATTTTAAAACATGTACCTGTGGGAGATTCTGAAAGGCTGCTTCTTGATTTCCTTCCTCTTCGTGTGAGGAACCTCTCACTCACCCTCTTTGCTTCTTCTAACAATTCGAGATTCTTCTTTTTATCTTCATCAGATATTTTAACATCTGGCAGCTGGTCATTCACCAAGTCAATTACATTACCTCTGTTATCTAAATGGAAAAGTATCCAAATTATCCAGTTGTATCATGTAACAGCATTTGAAGTCTTTCATCGCTTGGTGTGCTATATAGGTCAGATTTTACTCAACATACTGCCATCTAATTACACACTGAGTGAAATACTGAATTTATGGAAACCCTGTGATGTAGCTGAGCTCTAATGAAACTCGGACTTGCTGCAATGGTGACACAATGGTGCACTATACTCCCACACACAACAATCTTTGTGTTAAATGGTACAGTATATGCAGCTATTGAAGCTTTGCCAAGGAGTTATGCTAACCACAGAAGTGCATATTGGGTGTGAGCAGCTGACCTAAGGCAGAATTCCACATCTGGCAATTGAATCAGACCTAAGTAGCTTTGCCCTAAACCCCTTGAACCCTTGATAGATAAAATGCAGGATTGCACTGATCCATGCGGAGCTCACTAGGATATCAGAAGCCTGAGGATTCTATTTTATTTTATTTTGCATTTCTCCCTTCTCCCCCTCCACCAAATCTTGTACAGAGTTTGCATATCTTAAATCAAGCATATAAACAAGTTTTCATACCATTGCAATGTTGCATATTGAACGATGGTACAGTCATTAAAATCTCTACAGGGCAGATAGGCAACTGCACATTTTCATCAAGCAATTGCCAACGTGTGTGTGTGTGTGTGTGTGTGTGTGTGTTTCTTACCCACAGATGTCAGTGAGCTAGCTGATGTCCTAGCATTTCTGTGAGAATGCCGCAGATGAGGACTAACAGGTCTGGAGGGGAAAAGAAAAGGCCGGGGGAAATGAGCTTTATTAAAACTAAAGTAGCATTATATAATTCAGTTTATAAAAGTATTAAAACTAAATACACACACATTTAAAATAAAAACACCACACATTTAATTCACAAACTAGTTTGGCCTTTAGCAAATGTGAATTTGGAAAGGCACACTTGCCAAGTCAGCATCCTACTCTGCACTGAAATAGCTCCTTTGGGACATCCCATAGAGTTATGAGAGAAGTGCTTCCTATATGGGAGCTGGACAAAAACCAGCAAAATAGGATCAATTTTCACATCATGTGTAAACCCCAAGAAATCTTCTCTCATCTTGAATATGCAATTTTTTCATTAAATTCACCTCAGCTTTATTTTGTGTGAACAAAAATGATGTTGCCATAATTGTTCCAGAAAATTCAGCTACATTTAATTGGTAAGAATAACTTCTGTTGTGTTAAATGTTTCCCATGCCATGCTAAGAACAAGATGGGAGCCAGATACTGCAGCCACGGACTGACTGTTGACATCTCCATTCCAAGCTGAGATTTTGTGACTAGCCTCTAGCTAGCTGATACATTTAGATGAGCTGAACTACCGCTGTCAGTAGGTCAGAATGGTTGGGAGTGGGGAAGGTGTGCCAGCCTACACTGAATGCTCAGGAATTAACCCAATGGCTACATTGCTACAGTAAAAATAGTGCTTGAAGTATAAAGGTAAAGGGACCCCTGACCATTAGGTCCAGTCGTGGCCGACTCTGGGGTTGCGGCGCTCATCTCGCTTTATTGGCCGAGGAAGCCGGTGTACAGCTTCCAGGTCATGTGGCCAGCATGACTAAGCCACTTCTGGCGAACCAAAGCAGCACACAGAAACGCCGTTTACCTTCCCGCCAGAGCAGTCCCTATTTAACTACTTGCACTTTGACGTGCTTTCAAACTGCTAGGTTGGCAGGAGCAGGGACCGAGCAACGGGAGCTCACCCCATTGCGGGGATTCGAACCGCTGATCTCATGAAGTGGATAAGTCGGCATGCTCTGGTGGTTTTTTTTTTTTTTTTAAAAAAGCTTTGCTTGTTACATGTATCCAGAGCAACAGTTCTGTGTCCAATTATTCAAATCTAGACTTCATTACAAAAAAAAGAGATTTACACAAATGTCCACATGAGATTGGACCCAACAGTATAATTTTCTAGAGGAATGAACTTTCAAATCTATCCTTACAAGCTGTGTATATGTTAGAATGCTACAAAGTTATAGAGGCAAGAGGCAAACAAACACACCAAGCATATAGAAAGGCCAAATCAGTTTATAGCAAATGATGCAGAGAAGGCATTCCTGATGTAGAGAGCTCAGCATGTTGCGCCATAAAGATCATTGGCCATGCTTTCCAGCACTGATGGGAGTTGGAGTCTAACAACGTATGAGGATTGTGCAGGTTCCTCATTTACCTATGGCAGAGTAGAAAACAAATTGTGTGTACTTATTTATGTATTACCTGAAAGCTAGATTTTTTTCTCTTTCTGTATCTGGTGTGACTATGTTTTCTGGAAGAACGATGGAAGGTGTGTTGCATGTTGCTGCTTCAACAGGGGACTCCTGAATGGTTTGTGACAAAAAAAATATTTTGAAAATTTAATTTGGAATATAGAAATATACCATAGGATGATTGCAATGGAATAAACATGACATTTTCACATGAAATTCTAGGCCTAATTTATTCACAGGCTCTGCATAATTCAAGTCCTATGCTCTAATGCAGACCCTACTATCAGGCCTGGTCGTTGTCCTCTTCAGATCACCACACAAACACTTCTTGTTCTTTTATAACTTTTTATTGTGTATTAACAAAACAATCTTATAAACGGTTCTTAACTATTATTCCTCAGAGTCACTTATTTCAGATACCTTCTGAGCTCTGCTTCTCCATGACCAGCCACTCTCAAAATGGCAAAGGTGCCCTTCCCTTCGCTTTCCGCTCTTTTTTCTAACCTCCTGGCTAGAGCTGGCTTGCATCTCCCCTCCTCCGAATCTGAGCTAGAACTTAACCCTTGCCTTTCCTGGGAACAGCCAGTCCCTCCCTGTTGTTCCTCTTGCTCTCTTCTGTTAGATTCACTGCTCTCCTTCCCCCCTTGGCGAATGCTTTCTCCCTCTGAGAAACTGGAAACTTCTAACTCTTCCCTGACACCTACCTAATTGCAGGAGTAACTAATACACAATTCTTGATGAATTAGCATTTGTGAACAACTTTATAAAGAACCCAGATGTTTCAAATCCATTTTAAAACAATTGAGGACTAGCTGCCATATTGGACAAGTGAGATTAATAATACCAATAATACTACTACTAATATGAAGTAATAATAGGTGTGTGTGTGTGTGTGTAAAATGCCTTCCCAGGTAACAAAATGTTTCTTTAAATTTCTCATGAACAGCTCAGTGCATTTGGCCACCTGGAAGCAAGTCCTACATTCTACACAGCAATTAGTTAACTCCACTTTTTTTATTTTACCACGGCTTTCTTTGCTTTGCCTCCTGTGAAAGGGGTGTGTGTGTTGTTTGAAAAATCTTTATTTAATTTTGTTGTTGTTGAGGTATTATGGCATGCACATGTTTCATGAGAGCTTTTTCCATGTACATCCAGTGATTTCTCCCCAATATCAACGTGTGGCCAACCATTCTAGCTCACATTTGTTCTTCACCCTCTAGAGTCACAAACAGCCATGGCATCCTCTGCCTGCTCCTGTGGAATGGAGGGATTGGCAGGGTCAATCTAAATGTTTACCTTTTTATAATACTACCTAGGACATATAATGGCTTTTTCTAGGTAGTAATACATAATGCTGTGGGAAACAGGAAACCCTTAGATGTTGCTGACTAAACGAACTTTCAAATAAGCAGCAGCCAGCAGCTGAAAAAGAGGCTACTGAGCAGGCTCTCACAGCATTAGTTTCTTATAGTGAACAATTACCGTTGTTCTGTACCTGACAACACTTTAAAGACACACAACTACATGCAAGATGGAGCAAAATCAAGATCTCTTTGACCTATACTGTATGCCTTCCATTAGACTGATCACCAGAACTCACACACGTGGGCTGTTTATCTTAAATCAGGAAACTAGCCCTCAGCACAAATGTGTAATGGTGTCAGAATGCATGACAAATAACTGCACAGTTCACTGCTGACAACATTTTCCTAGGACGTTGAAAGGAAAAGCAGCGGATGTTTTTATCCAAAGAGTAGAATACTGTGTCCTAGGTTTAAAAGACAATGATAAAAGTAAAACTGAACGTGCCAGATATACATTGGCTTTAAAGTTTTCAACACATCTCAAGAGAACATGATGATCTGTTTTGTGTTGCTATTTTTTTAAAAAAAGGGCAGTTGATAACATAAATCCTAAAGAAGCAGGCTTGAAAATCATTACGCTTGTTGATTCAGTACTGCATATTAGCAGAAGGTCCCTCTTTTACACATTTTATGCAAGTCATCCAAATGATGTGCAAAACATCAAAAATATTTTTGAGGGGAGATTAGAAGGTCAGGAAGTTCTCTGTGAAATCATCAACTGTGTTGACATAGTTGTCTCTGTGTGTGCAATGTGGAGTGTCACATGCTGTTAATATTACCAGAAAGCATGGGTTGATCTTACTGCTAATGCCAAATAGGGCTAAATCTTTTTCTTAAAAAAAAAAAGCAAAAAAAAAGCAAACATTGCTCAGTCCAACTTTGGTAGCAACTACTACCATTTCTGTTTCACCCCAGCTAGGATGCCATTCATACATTGTCTCAAGGAGCACTAATTGTTCAGGGACTACTTCCAGGGCTGGCCATATAATATGGATAAATATGGAAGGGGGGGGGACACAGCAGTCAAAGCTATTCCAATATATTTTATAATAGGATTAGTTTTAGAGCCAACATTGGCTAAAAAGTCATGCAGAACAAATTGCAGAGCATCCTAAACTATAACGTCATAACAGCCCATTCTGCTAGGAAATGGCAGCAGCCCTGAGTACAAACTAGAAAAAGTGAAATTCATAATCATGGTCCAGCCCCACAAATAAGAATATTCAGACAAGAACAATAGTCTTAAGAACCAGAATAAAGATCAATGAGTGGTGATGTAACACCATATGACACTACATCAATTCCCATTTTTCATCAGTGTTAAATTACATTGCAATGTTAGGATAAATATGCTAAACAGTGTGGGATGTGGTCATAATCTTGTCATAAATATCGCAAGAACTGCTGCCAATGCCTCGTTCTTCCTTCTGTACCATGTAGTAGAACTTACCTTGGGGTTCTGACAACATTCCATTCTTTTCCCCTACTTGTTATTAAAATTCAGGTAGTGATGAGAAAGCATAGAATATTGTGATGTCACAGAGGGGGAAAGCAAGACTAAATTACACGCCAAAGCATATTTTCATCAAACTCAAGGCACAAATTATAGTAAAATAATAATAATTGATAGCTAATGTAAAGCAGTCAGAAGTCACTGAGGATAGCATATTTATAAATGTTGCTTACTTTGATTGGAGAAGGCAAAATGGGGTTCTGTGTCTCTGTTGGCTGTCCCTCATCTTCAGGTAGGGTTGGCATAATGAGAGGTGAAAGACACGCTGGATTGCAGTGTTGACTAAAGAGGCTATGCACTGATGGGAATGTCTGTTTCGAGTTAACCTCTGAAGATAAGCACTGTGGGGCCTTGTGATCCCAAGGCTATAGCAGATGCCAAAAATACAAATTAAACCCATTTAAAGTCCAGGCTGAGATCACTTTATTACAGCAAGCAGCAATAAAGTTTAAAGTAACAACTTATGCTTCTCCTTGTGTTTTATTAACTTGGGGTTTTGAAAGGTCTAATGTAACATAGTAAGGACATTAAGATAAACCTTTTCAACATTCCTTGTATTATTGCATGGAAGGCTTCGTTGGCAAGCTTTAAAGTGCTCTCATTTCCAATTAAGATAGACCTCCTTGTCAGTCCTTCATAAAACTCTAGGCAAAGTCAAGGAATGATTGTGTTGAAATCAGAGTACTAAAAATGACATTTTTTTGGTAAATCACATACATTTGACATGGATATTGCTCAGTGCACAAAAATGTTTTTGCACACATGCATTTCAGTGATGAGCTTATTGTGGACTTGTCATTTTTCTGACACACTTTCAATCTTTTTGACTGGCTTGGAAAGAAGTGGTTCCTACTGTCTGGAACAGAAACCAAAATTTGCATAGCACTGATTGGCTGACTTTTGTGCCAATCACTAATACCATCACCAACCATAGAAGGCCATTGTGCAGGCATAGCAATCTAGCCAAGCCCTCTGCCTTGGTAGGTAGTACACATTACATGATCTATGTACACTCCCTTCAACTTCTACCAGTTGGATTTGGACTGTTGCTCAAAGTTCATACCCATTAATTCAGAGTTCGAGAAACTGTGGGCCTCCAAAAGTTGCTGGAGTACAACATTATCCCCAGCCATTGGCAAGGCAGGTAGGAGTTGGGGTCCAACAGCATCTGCAAGGCCACAGGCTCCCCAACTTTGCTTTAAATTATGCTCCAGTCTTTTAATCTGGCATTTAAAGGAATTAGAATCCAAAAGGAATATTGGTTTATTTGCAGACAATATTGTGATTCATCTGAAGAAGCAGCTGAAGAATTACACAGAGTTTTACAGCAGTACAGAGAGAGTGCAGGTTTCAAAATAAACATAGAGAAAAGCCAATTGCTTATATGGCCAAACAGTGAAAACAGGAAGTCAAAGATCACAAGTAAGGTTGGAGATGGAAAGCGTTGGTTTTGTAAAGCCATAAAGGGATATATAGGTTTTGTAAAGCCATAAAGGGGTGCACTAATGCAAAGCAGTTTTGGAACTGCGTGGTTGAAATTATAAGGGAAAGTTGACAAGCTGAGTTACTGTTAGAACAACTAATCTGCTAATTAAATTCTGTAAAAAGTCAGCCTCTAATTTCATATAAGATCCAGATTTTACAGGTTTTGACCACTGCAAAGCTGCTCTATGTCAAAGCAAAGAAAGCAGAATACCATCATAAAAATATGAGAGCAATTGAGCTTGATTAAAATTTTCAACAATGTTAAAAATGGAATTAATTATCATGAAGAATTAAACAAATGGAGTCAGTTAACAGCTTTGGTAAAAAGAGAATTTGACATTTCAGGTGTTGGCATGAGCTTTGTTGTTGTTTAGTCGTTTAGTCGTGTCCAACTCTTCGTGACCCCATGGACCAGAGCACGCCAGGCACTCCTGTCTTCCACTGCCTCCCGCAGTTTGGTCAAATGGCATGAACTACTTCATGTTATTAAAATATATATTTAGTTTAGGAAAAAAATAGCTATAAATGGAAAATACAATGAAAATGTTGGCATTTGAAATGTGAGATTAATTTATTCCATTATAACATTGATTTTTTTTTCCTTTTTACTATTGTATATATTTCATGTTAATAAAGTTTGTTTAATGCATTAAAATAATTAAAATAATTTTTAAAAAATAAAATTAAGCTCCAATCTGAATATGGAGCCTTTGCCCCCAGGTTTTCATAGGTCAGCTTTGTGTACACGATTACAGAGAAAGCTCCTAGGACCTGCTTCAGACAGTGACTTTCTTTGGACAGACAATATGCCCTTTTTCTGATTCAAACGAAGGACTGATTGCAAATACTGCAGTCAATGTCGAGCCACCCTGGTGAATAATGTCCTAGAAGTACCTCTTCCCATATGATCAACTACCTAAAAAGACCCTAAACATCTCAGGACCAGGATACCACAAGGGCGACTTTTTCCCATCCAAACCTAGATATTAGGATTCTTGTTAATTGCCCTTTCCTGGGTCTCTGTGCTGTAGGAGGTGGGGGCAGAACACACCAGAAGAGGGTCTTTTAATGTTGTGGTGCCCAAATTTTCAAACTTGCTCCCTGGAGAAGTTTGCTTGGTGCTACCACATACGTTTTCAAGTCCAGGTGAGAACTTCCTTAAAATCCTTCTCCTTGGTTTATTAGATTGATGGGAGTTAAAATGCTCTTCTGTTGGAATAATCTATTTCAGTATTGTATTACACTTTAAAGCATTTAATTTTGTTATAAACCACTTTGGTTTTGGGGGCACTGAAAAGCAGAATATAAACACTTTAAACAAGCAAAACAAAATGCTGAAAGCCATGAGCTCTTTTCAGTAGTACTGGTATTTTGTGGATCCATCATGGGTGATTTGTTTGTTTGTTTGTTTGTCTTGATCCTTTCTATCTCTGTTTTCCTCTCTAGAAACCAAAATGAAACTAATTTTTGAGAAACATGCAGTGTTTTGTGGTTTCTATGGTAGAATTAAGAACTTCCTGACAGAGAGCCTGGGATACCATCTCAGTGTCACAGAGCCTGGGATTTCATCTTTTTCCCACTGAAATCAACCCAGAAGTCGTACCTAGAAAACAACTACATGACTTTAAACAGTTCTAAGTGCATCTTTGTTCTGTTGCATCCCTCCCCAAACAAATCTTTTTTTAAAAACAGTAATTCTGGGCACTATAGCTATGTCTATGTGCTATTCTAAATAGAAAAACCAAACGTTGACAGTTTTTGTTTTTTTAAGCCAGGCATAGGCAAACTCAGCCCTCCAGATGTTTTGAGACTACAACTCCCATCACCCCGAGCAAACAGGACCAGTCGTCAGGGATGATGGGAACTGTAGTCTCAAAACATCTGGAAGGCCGAGTTTGCCTATGCCTGTTTTAAGCCCTATTACTTCCAGTACACACTCTGCATTCCTTGTCCTAGGAAATATTTAGAGAGACAATATTCCACGCAAATATTTATTCTTCTCCATTACGTTTTAGAAGTAGGTTTTAGAAATGGAATCACAGAATCATGAAAGGCGCCTTTTAGGCAGCCTGGTCCAACACCGTGCTTAATGCAGGATCTGCAGCGCCTGATGAAACTACAGCATCCCTGACACAGATGGATGTCCAGGTGCTTAAATGCCTGAAGCAGTAAAGGAGATCCCACGCACCTTCCTCGGCAGTCTGTTCCACTGCGGAAGAGATCTTAACATTAGGAATGTTTTCCTAATATTTAGCTTGGCCTTCTCCAGTTTGGTGTATTCTAGGAGTTTTGGACTACAACCTCTCATTACCACTAACCATCCAGCATGGGCAATGGTCAGGGATAGCGGTAGTTGTAGTTCAAAACCAGGAGCACCAGATTGGGAAAGGCTGATTTAGGTGAAACTCAATTCCCTCCCATTTCCACCTTGTTCGTGCTTTTGGATTTCACATAGTAGATGATGGGAAGAGATTTCTCTCTCCCTGAGACCCTGAAGGGATGTTTATTTATTTACCTGTTTATTTATCAAAATCTATAAACCACTTACTTGTAAGAAAACATTTAAGTAAAGTAAAACATGGACATTCTTGATGAAAAACAGCTAAATCAAGTATTTAAAATAATTTAAAAGATGATTAAAATCAAAAGAGATAAAAGACATGCAACTTCTACATGTACTGAAATGTGATGTACTAGGTGCTAGCCAATCAATTCTGGGCAACCTCACAGAACTAGTTTTCCAGAGAAAAACTGTTCATTTCTCACAAACCACATTTCTGAGAGTATACTGGATTTTTCGGTAAGCATCTAATTCCAAAGCTTTATTGGAAGTTCTGCTTAGAATTTGCCTATTTGTGCAAGACTTACAAAAGCCAATGAATGGATTAGAAGTTTGAGAAACTTGCCCTCAGTTCAACTTTATTCTTCATCTTTTGTATTTCTAAATTCATTTCAGTGTGCCCTTTTAACTTTTCAATTTGTTCTACATGAAGTGTGTTTTTATAATAATATTCTTCTACTTAAGGGGCAGGCTTTTTATGGAAGTATGTCCCTGTCAATGATGATAAGAGTTTCCCAGGAATAAAACTTTATAACTATATAGGTCTCTTAGGAATCAATTTTTTTCCCTTTCCCAATCATTTCCTGAAAACTTCCCCCACCCCCAAAGATTATTCACTGTACAGATGGCACGAGTGCTATAATGTTAGGAGAAATGGTGTTCAAACAAAACAGCATTATAGTGATTACCACATCTGAGGTCTTCAGCATGAAAATTAAACTGGAGTCTTTCCTCCCCTTTGCAGAACCTGTTTTCCCATCTGCTCCCTCTTTTCCCTAAACATTTTTTAAAAATAATTCATTCTATTTAGGAAGACATAAAACAAAACACAAACTGGGGAGCCAATAACCCTATACAATATAAACTGAAATGTAAACTGAAAATTTGACATTCATTTTGCTAGTTTTGACCCAGTTCTCCAGTCTGTTAAGGTCATATTGAATCTGAATTTTGTCTTTAGCTACCTGTCCCAGTTTGGTGTTAACTGAAAATTCCTACATCCAAGTCTTTTATAAAGATGTTGAACAACAACAGGCCCAGGACAGAATCCTGCGGCACCTTACATATCACTTTTTTCAAGACAACAAGGAACCAATAGTGAGCACTCAGTCAACCAGCTACAAATCCACCCAACAGTTACCTCATCCAGCACACATTTTACCAGTCTCTCTGCAAGAATATCATGGGGGATTTTGTCAAAAGCCTTACTCAGATCAAGATACACTATGTCCACAACATTCCCTAATGCACCAAGCTTGTAACTCTATCAAAAAAAAGAAATGAGATTTGTCTGGCACAACTTTTTTTTTTTTAAACAAACCCAAGCAGAGTTTTAATAATCACTTTAGTAAACCTTCTCTAAGTGCCCGCAAGCCAAATGTTTAATTATCTGTTCTAGGACCTTTCCTGGTATTGCGTCAAGGTGACTATTTGGTAGTTACCTAGGTCTTCTTTTTCCTCTTTTTGAAGATGGGGACAACATGTGCCCAGCTCCAGTCTGCAGGATCGTCACCTGTTCTCCAAGAATTCTCAAAGATAATAGACAGATGCTCTAAGATTACATCTGCTGTTCCTTTAGTACAATTGGATGCAGCTCATCAGGCCCTGGAGATTTCAATTCATTTAGAGTTGCTAGGGGTTCCTGTACTACCTCTTCTCCTATTCTGGGCTGCAGTCCCTCCTTGCCTTGTTTATTCTGTTATCACCAATTTGGGCACTGCTTTCCTCTTGGGTGAAGACAGAAAAAAAGTAGGTGTTTGACCAGCAGAGGCAGAGCTAGTCCAGGGGGTGCTTCAGCGGCGCGCATCCCAGGGGGTGGTGCACTGATGTCAAACCTCCTCCTCAGGGATGACACCCGAGGCGGACCACCCCCACCTTTCTCCACCACTGTTGAGCAGTTCTGCCTTTTCTCTGTCACCCAACAGCATTTCTCCATCTTGTCTATGCAGAGGACCTGCTACTTGCTTGTTCCTTCTCTTATTTCAAATATAGCTGAAGAAGCCTTTTTAAAAATTATTTTAAACCTCTGTTGAAATCCTGAGCTCATTCTGAGCTTTGGCCCACCTGACCTTCTCTCTGCAACTGTTGGCTACTTGTGTATACTCTTCCTTTGTGATTTCCCCTTTCTTCTATTTCTTGGGCCACATCTGAAGGAATTCCCCTCCCGCTTCTAAAGACCTTACAAAATCACACTGAACAAGCAATTTCTAGCCTCATAACAACATCAAATAGTAATTGTTTTGTAACCTCTAACACTGTTATTCTAGTTACAGATAGGTAGCCGTGTTGGTCTGCCATAGTCAAAATAAAAAAAATCCTTCCAGTAGCACCTTTAAGACCAACTAAGTTAGTTCTTGGTATGAGCTTTCGTGTGCAAGCACACTTCTTCAGATACACTGAAACAGAAGTTGCCAGAAGTGTGCTTGCACACGAAAGCTCATACCAAGAACTAACTTAGTTGGTCTTAAAGGTGCTACTGGAAGGATTTTTTTTATTTTGACTGTTATTCTAGGTTAATTTGGATGCATAGGACAAATCTAATCAATCAGATGTTTATCTTATGACTGTCCTGGGAGAGGGGGTTCTGAGGAAAACAGAATCTGGTCCATCCCACTCCCCCCACCCCAATTTGGTACTGTGCACAGTTGTAATTGACACTAGAGTGAAGAAGGAAACCCAGTGGGAGTTAACTGGGCATACAATCCAAGGAGTGACACATTCTCCCTTTCGTGAAGCAGATTTTAACATTAAGCATTTCATAAACTGTAGAACATTAGTTCAGCATGCGTATGTTTTACATTAATCAGAAAAGAAAACCCCCAGGCCACTACATTCTGCTATTCTAATATTATGCAATACAATATAAATAGGTTTTGTTTAGTTCTTGCATGTTTCATAATATCTTTGCTTAAAATAGAAAGACAGAGGATTAATCCTCACCCCAAGGCTCAGACCTCATCACGGGATACAAGGAAGTTTGTGTATCACCGAGCAATTTTAGAGAATACAATATCCAGGAAGTGATGTTCTAGGAGTTCTATTCCATAAAAGGAAAAAGTATTTAGAAATGGTTGGCCTTCTTCTTGCAGCTCATTAGACCACAGTAGGGAAAGTCGAACACAAATAATCAGTAAACTTACCCTCTGAGTCACAGCTGAATACCTTGGCAAAGACTGAGACTGAAGGTGCTTCACTCCATCTTCAGTGCTGGCCTGACTGTTGACCTCAACTGCTCTGCTCAACCACGGCAAGCGTAAAAAGGGAAGCACAAACACAAGAAGCTTAAAAATCATTTCCCGAGTATCCTGGCACTTCCATGTTTTCCTTGGGCATGGCACAGGGCTCTCACTACTTCCTCCAGCGACACAGATTTAAAGATAGCTTTAAGCCAGAGACAGGAAACCTGTGGTGCTCCATATGTTGTTGGACTACAACTCTCAACCCTGTGCTGCCAAGGGCAGAGCCAGCTGCATTATATGGGGTGAGAGCGGACCCGAGTCAAGACTGCCGCACTCAGGTATGCTCCCAAGCCCCGTCCCCAGGTTGCCACAGATTGGTGCAAATGTAAAGTGGGTGTGGTGGGAACTCATGATGCTCCACAACTGGCCTGGAGGAAAAGCCAATGGCTGCTGCCACGATGGCATTGCTCAGGGGTGTGTGGAGCTGGAGCAATGAGTCACAACCGCGGCCCACCCTGAACTGGATAATCAGCCACTCTCATCACTCACACCCATGCCATACATTTAAAGCACACTGTTTCCCCTATGCATCCATGGAACTGCAGTTTACCTCAAAGAGCTACAATTCCCAGCACCCTTGATGAACTACAGTTCCTAGGATTCGGGGGGGGGGGGAGAAGCCATATGCTTTGAATGTATGGTATGGATGTGACCAGTCTTTCCTAACCATTGGCCATGATGGCTTGGAGTGATGGGGATTGAAGTCACATCTCTTAGACCCCTTGCAGTGGGAATGGATTCACCACCTGGACAAAATAATAATATGGGGGCCCATTCCACACTGGGGAAATGCAATCACCAAAAAAAGCACCCTCTGTGTGCAAAGAAATCTGTGCCACGTGCAATAAGCAGGTAAGAATTGGGTATGTGTTTCACAAAAGCTTGAGAATTCATAACTGAACAATGGCTCAACACAGGGAAGATTTGGCTCTCCAGATATTGCTGAACTACACCTCCCATCGGCCCAAGCAAGCATGGCCATTGGCCAGAGATTATGATCATAGAATCACAGCATCATAGAATTGTAGAGCAGTGGTTAGTTATTAAATTTCTATACTTTCCTGTCAGGAGCTCGTCCTACACTTGAGTAGGACCCTGGCAGAGACACACGCCCAACTAGCATGTTCTCTTCCTCCTGGTTGATCGTTCGGGAGCTTCAAAAGCTTTCTTCAGCCCGAACATCAGAGCGACTGATGCCAACAGACATCGGCACACTTAGGGATCCGCAGAGTCTTCGCAGCTTGTGTAACAGACATCAGCAACTCAGCATTTTGGCTAATCTACTTTATTTACATATAAACACACACAGAGCACTGCAACATGGCTCCCTCTTTCTCTAGCATCAGACAGCAAAGAGAAAAAGAACAAAGGACAATAGTCCCACTTCACGGAACACAGTAACACAAACATCCTGTCCCCATCACTTCCCACTCTGTGGAGTCAAAACACACACCGTCATGTGATAGACGAAACTCGCATGACTGCAATCATGGAGCAGGAATTCTAACAGGGCAGTTTACAATATAAAAACACAAAAATGCATAACATAGTAACAAATGAAACAATAACCCTCCCCACAAGGTTTAAAAGACCACAGAGTGCTTAATTAGCCAAAGACATGGGAGAAGAGGTATGTTTTTGCCTGGCGCCTAAAGGTATGTAGCCAAGGCGCCAGGTAAACCTCCCTGGGGAGAGCGTTCCATAAGCAAAAGGCTACTCAAAGATGCTGGGAGTTGTAGTTCAGTAAACATCTGGAGGGTCAAAGGTCCCCCCTCCCACACCTGATGTAACATGTCCTCTTTTCAAGAGAAACCACAGGTGCAAACCGATTTCCCATCACAAAAAGAAAGGCTCCGCTAAATTTTTATTGTGGCCGTGGTATTCAAGCACAGTTATTTTTGTATGGCGGTCAACAACATATGGCTGCATTATTAGTTACCATAGGAACCTATTGTGGATGGCTTTCAATATTCCAGGATCAAGAAGACACAGGAAGATGCTACATCTCTTTATTTGCCATGCTAGAAAACAGTTTGCTTCTCAGCAGTAGGGATCTTTTTTGTTTGCTTTTTAGTACTCCAGTGGTTTACTTCAGCCTTATTAACTGTCCCTTTCAGACTTTTAAAAAAAAATGTTTCCTAATGGGAATTGCTAGAGAACACCCGAAAACAAAAGTTTAATAACTCACTTAAACAAAACATCTTCCTATTAAGGCATTCAGGTACATCATTTTAGCAATAACATCTTCTGATAAAGTGCTTGCTGAAAAAGATCTTGAACTTTACAAGTCATTTTAATAAGACAATGCTCATACAACATAAATAGGTTCTCTTTACCTTTTATTGTCTTGCCCATGTTCTGTTTTATAGGCATGCCTCTCCTTGTTTAAGAGATTTTCTTTGGATCCCCGTCTCTGGCTCAGGAAGAACAGATTAGGCAATGTGCGACAACATCTCTTTCGAGCCGAAAAATGTTCTAAATTCAGTGCATCTGTGATTAACACACAATATTTGAAGATCAGAAACTAGGAGGCAACATTGTGCCATGTAATTTGCAAATGCCTTTTATGCCTTTTTGGTATAAGGATTAAAGTTGCACTAACCAAAAAATGATGCCATTGCAGTTTATTTTAAAAGTACATGTTAAATCAAATCTGTTGTAATCAGAATTTTTTTTTGGGGGGGGGACAATGACTTTGAGTTTATTTGGAAAGGAGGAGAAGGGAAATCATTTTCAAGGAATAACTTAATTCCAAAATGTAGCTCATACATTTTTTTGTTATTATTTGGACATTTAAAGAAGATTTTGCTTGCCCTTCTCACTTGTAAGATATTATAGCTACAGGACAAGCAGGTTTAACAGGAGAAACCAGTAGCTTGCGACGTACCTCTGAACACTATTAAAATGTCCTTTATTATGTATCCTACCATCAGATGCAATCTATCCCACTGCTAATAGTTACCTACAGTCAGTACTAAGAACCAGGGAGAATAAGATGCCATCTGCCTGAGGGCCTGCAAAATGGAGACTAATAAGATTGATTGCAGCCAAACCACCCAAGACAAGAATATTCAACTTGAATCCATACTGGTTTGCAGGAAAGAAGGACTAGGCCAGGCATAGGCAAATTTGGCCCGCCAGATGTTTTGGGACTACAATTCCCACCATCCCTGACCACTGGTCCTGCTAGGTACTGATCATGGGAGGTGTAGTCCCAAAACATCTGGAGGGCTGAGTTTGCCTATGACTGGACTAGGCTAATGCTGATAAACACCATGTATGACATAACTGATATACTGTATCCCTTAGGTTTAAGCCAAAACAGATTCCAAGTATACATTAAACAAGTGAGGCCCTACAACAAAATGTTGCATGGTATCCCTGGCCCTGGTGTGTACTTTACGTGAGTCTGTGACTTTGGGGCTGGAGGGAAAACAAAAGTTAGCATCAAAGTAAACAGTCCCTGCTCTAATGTGGGCCTTACTTCATGGGGTTTTGTTTTAAATTTTATTTTTAATTAGTTTTTGAACATTTGAAAAGCGCAATCAATCTGCACGTAAGTCAATGGAACATGAGCTGCAGCTCCACCTCTGACATTCGGCATTGTTGCATGCCACCCAAATCACTGTGGTGCAACATTCCAAGGATTCCAGGTGCTTCCTTAGGGTTCAGTTTCCTTGGAATGTGGTACAGCAGAGCCTGTGGTGTCCATAGTATGGACCATTAGTATAGGAAAGGTGAGGAAGGGGGCCCACCCATTTGCCTTCTGGCACAGAGCAAATACTAACGACCCATACTTATGGCCATTATGGCTAATTCAACAACGACTGCTCCCCACATCAAATGGGGGGCACCTTTTGTGTGCTCACACGCAGCCCCCTGGATCCCAGTGCGGCTCCTGGTAGTATGGGCTGGCTTCGCCCTCCCCAGGGTGGATACCTGGAGGTCTCCGCCTACCTCAGCCAATCGCCCAATCCCGCCTGGGGAGGCGTTGCCAGGGGATCAGCCAGGTAGGGGGAGGGACTGTCCTGCCCACACAACAGAAGGTGAATCTTACCTGCGAAGCCTCCGTTGGCTCCAGAGCTTCTACAGAGAGGACAACAATGGGATCTTCCATTAGATACCAACCTGCCCCCCCCAAACTCACAACAGTATTAACAGTGGAGGACACTGCAGGGTTGCTGTGAGCTACTCTTTCCTTCATACATGGTACACACGTACAACCTGAGAAAGGTCCAACAATTTATGCCTTCAGGGTACCCAAGTCTACTGGTACTTCTCCTGCATGTTCTGGTGGTTTGGACTACATAACCATGAGCACAGGAAGACCTGAATCAGTATTACAGATGAATACAAATTATTAATTCTACCAAATGGAGTCTAGGATGAATATACTATCCTCATTCATCAGTGGTACTTTTGCTATCAAGGTAAAGGTAAAGGGACCCCTGACCATTAGGTCCAATCGTGGCCGACTCTGGGGTTGCGGCACTCATCTCGCTTTATTGGCCGAAGGAGCCGGCGTACAGCTTCCGGGTCATGTGGCCAGCATGACTAAGCTGCTTCTGGCGAACCAGAGCAGCACACGAAAACGCCGTTTACCTTCCCGCCAGAGCAGTACCTATTTATCTACTTGCACTTTGACATGCTTTCGAACTGCTAGGTTGGCAGGAGCAGGGACCGAGCAACAGGAGCTCACCCCGTCACAGGGATTCGAACCGCCGACCTTCTGATCGGCAAGTCCTAGGCTCTGTGGTTTAACCCACAGCGCCACCCGCATCCCTATCAAGGTACAATGCCTCAAAACAAAGTCTTAAAACTCCAACTAAAAATAATCTTTTTACTTTTGTAAGAATAAGCAAGAAGTCAAGTTCCTAAAATACACTGGACTGAGTTTAGGAGCCATAGAGACTTTTCCAACACAACTTTTATACGCAGGTCTCAGGAGACTATTTATTGTAAGTTTCCATGGTATTCATGGCAGCATTCACATCCACTTTAAATGCTTTTAAAATTGGCACCAGTGTGTTATTTCATCTAAACTAGTGGACTCCATGTTAATAGAAAATACTTGTTACTTGCCCAATTCTATTTTGTTTAATTGAAGGATTTTAATTTCACAGTGAAGCCACTGAAGTACTGTGAAAAGCATTTCATCAGTTTTCAAAGTTTAAGCGATCAGAACCTTAACAGAACTAGGTGTACAGTACTACTGTCTGAAACAAAACTCCAAGAGGCAACTGACCAGAATACTGCCCCCCCCCCATTTCTACAGTGCCTGCTAAAGTTAAGTATCTAAGGACTGATTCATATGACCACATTTACTGCTATAACTAAAAATCTAAAAGTTTTATTAGTTTAAAATAGATAACACAGGTAGAGCCTTTTATTATCATGCAAATGCAGTTTTCCAATACAGGGCCAAAAGTGTTTAGATGACTTCAGAACTACCAACTAATCTGGTTCTGCGAACTGTTGCACAGTGCCACGCCACAGTTCTAAGTTTACAGCATTTGCAGATAGTGCTGTTCTTAAGCTGAGTACCTGATTTGTCTGAACCTACAAGGGAGCAGACCCATACCACTATTTCAAGACATAGCCATGTCTTGCAGATTCATGGATTCCTGGCCTCAGTGCTTCCATTCTGGGGGGAAAGGGTGCCAGTCACTTGGAAGTATAGCCTGGGAGCCAAGCTCTGGCTCAGACAAAGCTCATAGCTTAAGCAAAAAGTTAGCCTAGGCTCCTGCTGTGTAATACTAGTTAAAATGCAGGGCAGAGGTAGTCAATGTGGTACCCTTAAGATGTTGTTGAACTCCTGCTCCAATCATTCCTGACCAGTGCCCATGCTGGCTGGAGCAAATGCAAGTTGGAGCCAGTTCGAAACTCCCAGTGTTCTAGGTGCATTTTGCGACAGGGAATTTCATTAGTGCGAGCAGTTTCTGAGCTCTCGGCGCAGTACCTTTTTCTGCCTCACTACTTCTAGATACTCTCTGAAGACTGAAGAAGAGAGCCTCTTAAGAATATTAGGGGGGTGGGCAGGGGAAGGACTAGACCATGTGAAAAATGAGCATAATACTTTAGCTGCAGTTCATTCATTTTCAGCTTTGTATTCTTGTTATTAAAAAGCACATCTAGACATTCCATTGTTCTGCCCATAGGCTCAGGTTGTATATATGTGTAAACAAACCATATATCATAAAGACACCACAGTCCCTACTGAGCCTCATTTCCAAAAGGAAACACGAACCCTGGGTAAAGCACACCTGGAATCCCTGGAATCTTGCACCATTTGGGAGATTGGGGTGGCATGCAACAAAACATAAGAACTGTCAAGTTACTCATGGCTGAGCTGAGCTGAGTTGAAGGTGGGGGAACCATGATCACTTGATTCTTTGCCTAATGTATATACAGTAAGTTTAGAAATTAAGTTGTTCATACCTATAAGTGATGTCGGAAGTCTGGAATCATCATTTTCAAGGAGGTATGTAGCTTTCAAGCTCAAGAAGGGAAAATAAATTGGCAACACAAGCGTTGACTTAGAGCAAGCAGCAGCCTCCTGTTTAATATTTTAAAAAGAGCAAAGGTCTGTGAGAGAGAAACTTAAGTTTTACCCAACTACCAACTTATGGGAGGCAGATCCTCCTGTCTGTCTTAAAATACTTTCCCCTGGTTCCTTCCAACTTGAAACAATTCTCTAAACCTTTTAAATGCCATTTATTGAAATCAGCATTCACTATGGAATAAGCATTAACTTTAGACACAACACAACCATCAATTTCAGAAGGGTAGCCAAGTTAGGTTGTTACATCAGAGAGTCTGATGGCACTTTAAAGTCAGATTCACTGTTGGATGAGTTTGAAGTCAAGTAAACATCAGTAGATACACATATACAGGGTGGTGGGGAGAGAAAGCAGTAGGCCAAAAAGCTACTGAATGCAAGCAGACACAGTCTGTGACATTTCTAGGCTGTGTACACATTACTGGTCTGGTTTAAAACACAGGCCATTTTCTCAATTTGGATAGAGGTGCACTAAAGTAAAGAGAAAACATACTTTCATTGTTATGGTCTTTGTGATAGTCTTGGTAGCTATGCTGGTCCATCTGAACAAGAATTGAAATAAGTGGGACAGTAAGTGTAGGCAGGGCCGTCTTAAGCATATCCGGCGCCATGGTGCAAAGATCCCTCCGGCGCCCATTTCCCAGAGTTGTCGACCTTTTCCCAAGCCCCTGCGGGAATCGCTCTCCTCCCACAGAGGCTTGGGAAGGAAGCTGCATGCCCACGTGTCATATTCCTAATGGGGAGGAGCCTCTCCCACAACAAAGTGACGGGGCTCTTTCCTTTCATTTAAAGCACACCCGATGTGTTTGAAGCACATGCCTTCAAAGAATCCTGAGAAGTGGTGGTTTGTTAGAGGGCGCTGAGAATTGTAGTTTGGGGATTGTAGTTCCCAGGATTCTTGGGTTCGGGGTATCGAGCCATGTGCTTTCAATGGGGGGGGGAGGTCCTGATCAGCTGCCGTGTGCCTGGATCCGGATGAGAGCATCCTGAGACACAAAACCCCCTGGGGAGAAGGGAGCCCAGGCCTTCAAGCTGGGTCATGATCCAGCACCCAGCACCACTTCCTCCTCCTGCTGTGTGACTCACCCTGTGCCACAGGCCACATCGAGCACCGTGTTGCAGCGGTGGGCGTGCAGCAGCGACACCAGCCAGTTCTTGTACTCGGTGGTGCGGCTCTGCGTGTCGCCAATATAGAGCTGCCAGACCCGCGCCGCACAGCCGTCGGCATACTGGTCTGGCAGCCGCCACGCCCAGCGAGTGGGTCCAGTAGATGCTGTCCACCATGGTGAGCACACAGAGGCTCCTGCGGGCACTGACGGATGGACGGGAGAGTGCACGCATCCACGAGCACGCACCTAGCTGCTGCTGCTGCCGCCAGCCATATAGTTGGCAGGGCAGGCGCAGCTTCCATCCTAAGCCTCTGCAGGGATCGCTCTCCTCCCGCGGAGGCTTGGGAGGCAAGCTGCATGCCCGTCAGCCATATGGTTGATGGGGCACAGCTGGTGGGCGTGCAAGGAAAGGGGAGGCCGCCAGCAAAGCCGTGCAGCTCCCCCACTCACTGGGGCACCCCTGAGAGGCCAGCACCCTGGTGCAACGCGCCACTAAGCCCAACAGGAAAGACGGCTCTGAGTGTAGGTGGGTACTGTCTCACATGCTCTACAAAAATAATAATAATCAAATCAATACACTGTACTTAATTCCCACTTTGTGGGTAGAAAAGGACAACAGATGTCTGTGAGTCAAGGCCAGAAGAATAACCTCATAGTATTTCAACCAGGTAGACACTTGAAAAAATTAAATGGCACAGATTAGCATCTGCCGAGACTCAAGAGATCACATGAATGCCATTTTACAATAAAGCAAACAATACCAAATTAAGCAATGACAATGGCTGATGAACTTGAAAACTAAATTATAATGCACGGCATTTTGCATATTTGGTCTCCTTGTTCCTCATTCTTGGCTGCATTTTATGTCTTCCACTAACCATAGAGCATACAGAGCATACAGAGTCATTATTTTTCACAAGCAAAAGGAACACTTTGCCAAATGCATTTACATAAAAGCACAGCACGCAAAAACTTGAAAGATAATTCAAGACAGCCAGCCATACGGGAGTATGTAATTTGGCCAGCTGCCCATGGGTTTGGACACCAGAGAATACCACTGGGATTACAATGAAAATGTTAAATAGTTATCCCACATTGCTTATTTATTTTTAGTGGCATCAGCTCTAGTTCAACCAAGAGTTCTTTGACCAAAAGCCTGTTTACATAAAGTGCAGGCTGCTTGCATGACAAATTGCTTGGTTCGCCTTGTACCACTAGCCTTGGTAGAAAGACTCCAAGGAAACGTTAAGTATTCTGGTTGTGGAACTTCCTGGTGTTCTTCATGCCCACATTCAGTACTTGCTTGCTCTACGTCTAATGAATGAAGCAACCCCCCAACTCAAGTCTTTATTAGAACAATATACTTTTGGATAAATATGACACTTCTGTTTAAAGAACATGAAAGAGTAAATTGTCACGCAGCAAAGTTACTTGGAAATCTGTTTTAGTTAATTTCTATGTAATGTCTCAGCTTCCAATGATTAGCTAATTCCAGTGTCAAAGAAAGACACTTGCTCCCCCACTTAGGCTAGCAAGAAGGGAACCCTAGGAAAGGAGAGATCTGCCAAATGTCAGTCTTGAGGTCTTTAGCCAGCCCTGAACATGTCTCTATCCTGCATCTTGGAATTCCCTAAGCTCCAAATACCTTTTTAAAAGGAAGTCAAGATCCTTCTCAAAAACTGCAACCAGATTTGAGTTTGTGATGGAGGAAGAGCTTAGGCCTCGACATGAAATGTCTGATCAGTGGTTTCAATTGGTGTTTTCTAACTTAATAAATGTGAGTGATTTAACTTTTTTTTATAAAAAAAACACACACCACCCCACGCATCTTTTTTCTGTAAACAGGTGTTTTTTATGAAAGGGGGTGTAGGGAAGGCAGATTCAGAGATAAAGAGATGCCCGTGTGCTGACTCCAGTTCCTTTATTTCTGGGTTAGCGGAGTCTGTAATCTGAAGCTTATGTAACCTGAAGCGTATGTAACCTAAGGTACCACTGTATCTAGCAACTGCATACACCTCATACAGAGAAAGTTTGGTCAGTTTCTATTTCCGATTAACAACATATTGTTCAACGGGGGGAAAAACAATGATTAATACAGAAATGACAAATCTGACCACCTTATTCCAAACAGTAGTGGTTATCAGCTCCCTGTTTACATTTCTGCATGCCTACATGCTTATCCAGCTTTGCATTCCAAAAGGCTCATTTCATTTGAAGGAACACCTTATAGATTCGTAGCTCTATGAAGTCTAATTAAGGTTTTTTTCTAGGGTGTTTAATGCCCTTATTCCTCCCCAAAGCACACAAAAACTTTCATAGCTCTCTAAAGCTTTAATAACATTTCAACCATGTCATTTATGATACTGTAGTTCTAAAAGCTCTATTATCAGAAGCATGGGAGAGCACTTTACCAGTCTAGAAAACCTACAGCTCAAATGTTTTATATATTTTGTAAACCACTTTGAGTTTTTTTACAATCAAGCGGTGTATAAATTTTATGGAATGAATGAATGAATGAATGAATTCTACTTGGCACAGACTGGAAGAGAAGAATAAGAAGGGAAGGCATCAGTCCAAAGACAAAGGAGGTGGGTGGGTGCTTAGGATGCCAAAACCCGTTTAATTGGCCCAGCGCATTTCAAAGAAAGCCTTTTTACAGGAGTAAGGGCTGTAGCTCTATGGTACAGAATCGGCTCTGCATACATGTTCAATCACTGGCAGGTCCAGGTATGGTTAGAAATGTCCCTAGTCTGAAACCCTGGAGAGCTGCTGCCAGTCAGACAATACTGGGTGAGATGGACCAATGGACTGAATCAGTAAAAGGCAGCTTCTTATATGCTGTTCTACATTTATCACCTAACAGCTTAAGGTTGCAGTCTTATATGATCTATTGAGCTCAGTGAGACTGTGGTTGTGTATACATGATACATTTAAAACACACCTATCCTAAGAATCCTGGGAACTGTAGTATACCCCCCCCCAATTCCCAGCACCCTTAAGAATGGACCGTTCCCAGGATTTTTAGGGCTGGTTCTTTTAATGTATGATGTTGATGCAGCCTTACTTCTCCATATAGAATTGCGCTCATTTGGGTCCACAATATGCAACACTGAGAAAAGCAATACAAAAAAGGTCAATTCCAACCCCATGGATTTCACAGTTCTGGGTTCAGAGTTTGAAGAGCCCAATATACAGCCCACTCTTAAGCATGGCTGCTCAGAAGTAAGTTCCACTGATTTCAATGACCTTTGCTTTGAACTGCATACTGCAGCACCTAAAATGCAGCCACACCCACCCACCCTATAAAGCATATGGCAGGTGGTGGTGGTGAAAATCCTGTCCTAATATGATTGGTTTCATAGAATCATAGAATCATAGAGTTGGAAGAGACCACAAGGGCCATCGAGTCCAACCCCCTGCCAAGCAGGAAACACCATCAGAGCACTCCTGACATATTTCAGAGCACTCCTGACATTCTTTACAGGAAACTTCCTGTCCAAGAAAAGGGTGGCAATAAGCTATTATCAATTCTCACATCGGTTAAAGAATATAATTGCCATAGTAACAAGGAGTAGGCACTTAAGCGGGGCAACAGACTTTTTATAGCATCTTCTTGGCTGTCAAACTGGCATGTGCTTTTATATTCACAGCAAATATAAGGTGGCAGTGGTGGGAGGATGGTACAGAACGTGGTACAGGATTCATCCTGAGTAATGCAGAACAGCAGCAGAAGGGAGGAAGCCTTCAAAACAGAAAAGCAAACACAAAAACAGGACATTTAAATTAAGACCTTTTTTTGAAGGAAGGCTTTTTTTCTTTTTAACCAATTCTCATCAAACCTAGTATGAGGGGGAAATAAGTTTCCTTTCCTAATGCTTGAGAGGTAGTGGTTAAATTAACAAATCATTAGTTGAATGTCCCCTATTCAGATCTCAGTTCAAAAGAGGATCTTATAGAATAGTCATAAGTAAGTCACTGCCTCTCTCTCTCAGCCTTCCACATGTAATAAAAGGTTAAATCCTGGGAATGTTTTACAGGACTCTTCTAAGATTACCAAGATACAGTAATGAAGGGGAATTAAATCTGTTGTTATTATTATTAAATCTGTTGCTGTTATTGGTACTACTGCAGCAACAACAGGAACACGGGTGGCGCTGTGGGTTAAACCACAGAGCCTAGGACTTGCTGATCAGAAGGTCGGAGGTTTGAATCCCTGCGACAGGGTGAGCTCCCGTTGCTTGGTCCCTGCTCCTGTCAACCTAGCAGTTCGAAAGCACGTCAAAGTGCAAGTGGATAAATAGGTACCACTCCAGCGGGAAGGTAAATGGCGTTTCTATGCGCTGCTCTGGTTCGCCAGAAGTGGCTTAGTCATGCTGGCCACATGACCCGGAAGCTGTATGCCAGCTCCATCGGCCAATAAAGCGAGATGAACGCTGCAACCCCAGAGTCATCCGCAACTGGACCTAATGGCCAGGGGTCCCTTTATATGACAGGACAATCACAGGGATGGCAAATCCCAGTGAAATATGACTTTTTTCAGTATTCACAACAGTTGTTATTTGTAATGTTTGCTTGAATTATTTCTGTATAAGGTTGGTTTTTGTTTTATCATCTAATTTGATGTGTAGGCTCTTGAGAATGTACAGTACTTTATTTTATGAGGTAACGACTATGGACTCCTGATTTTTTACACACACACACACACACACACACACACACACAGTCCCTCCCCTTTCTTTATATTTATTTTATTTCATACTTCACATGGGAAATAACACTGGATTGTTATTTTAACTTCATAATAAAGTCTAGATTTAAAAAAGAAAGAGCACAAAATGTCACACCCACCCACATGTTACAGAGGGAAATTGGTACAATTGTTTTACATAGAGTGAAAAACTTTCAAGCATACAGTGGTACCTCGGGTTAAGAACTTAATTCATTCTGGAGGTCCGTTCTTAACCTGAGGTACCACTTTAGCTAATGGGGCCTCCCGCTGCTGCTGCTGCCACCGCCGCGTGATTTCTGTTCTCATCCTGAAGCAAAGTTCTTAACCCGAGGTACTATTTCTGGGTTAGCGGAGTATGTAACCTGAAGCGTCTGTAACCTAAAGCGTCTGTAACCCAAGGTACCACTGTACAAGCCTTATTTCTATAAAATCTGATGCCACACACCTACTAATTTTGAAATATGATCTTTACCATGATATATGTTTATTTCTTTCTTTCTATTAACCACTAACCCAGTTCTCATATAATGCTTAGCCAAAACATGGCTTAGGACAAATGAGTAAATATGTGGGTTCCCAGAATAAAAATTACAGCTGCCTGGAACTTAAAAATGGAAAGCGTAATGCTGATGGTCAACAAAAGAAGTTTAAAGACTGTCTTAAGGCAAATTTTTAAAAATATAGTATAAACACCAACAATTGGGAAACACTTGCCTGTGAGCGCTCCAGTTGGAGAACAGCCTTTACCAAAGGTGTCATGGGCTTTGAAGACACTCAAACTCAGGACACATGGGAGAAACGTGCTAAGAGGAAGGCACTCTTGGCAAATCCACCCCATGATCAACTCCTACCCTGGAACCAATGTCCCCACTGTGGAAGGACATGTGGATCCAGAATTGGCCTCCACAGTCACTTATGGACTCATTGTTAAAACCGTGCTTATGGAAGACAATCTTTCTCGGCTACGAGTGATTGCCAAAGAGAAGAAGAAGACTACTTCTGCACTACCAGGGCTAAGCCAAAGTTTGTCTTAACATTATGCCTAAATCCAGGCTTCTGATTTATCTCCCTCAGACAAACCATGAGCAGAAAACCAAGAGAAAACTTTGGTTAGAATACCCAGTTTGCCTGCAATGACACATACCGTAAGCCCAGTTTGGATGTGACCCTAAGCCAAACCATTGGGCTAACCCTCAGTAACAACAGAAGCAGGACCAGGGGAGGAATACAACCAGGGCCAGTCCTTTCATAACGCAAGGTGAGGTGACTGCCTTAGGCAACAAGGGCAGCAGATTCCAATGTCAATATTTCTTCCCCGCTTGTTCCTTATGTAGATCTTCATTGACCCCTTCTTCCTTGGTGGCACCATTTTGAGGTCTGCTTTGCAGGCCCAGGCAGTGCACTTCCCCCTCCTCTGTTCAGGAGAACTAGCAAATAAACAAGACCACACAGCTGAATGGGATCGAATCAGGCCACAACTTTATTGACCACAGATAAAGTGGTTTGGCATAGGCATTGATTTCCGGCCCGTCTGCAGGGTCAACTCGGCAGTGGGAATTCCCATGACTTACATCAAATAGGGGGATCCCTGCCTCTGGGAGAACAGAGGCCCAAGCCCCTGTCTGGGCAAATGGACAGAAGCAACTCCATCATGGATCCCTTTAGTGGATCTGACAAAGAAGAACTGGGTGTTGGGAGCTGGTGCAGGCTGTTTTAAATCCCCCAGGAGCCGACCTGAGGGAAGCCTGATCAGTGAGGTTATCCTGAAATGAACCATACTCTTCTTTAAGGGTGAGAGATTAAACCAATCTGGCAAGAAGAGCTGCCAGTGATGGTTTGAACAGCTTGAATTTGGCCAAGGACAACTCACCTCTACATGAAGACAATTTCTATATGAAAAGCCCTTTATCGTCTTCTTCATTTTGCTGTTTCTGAACAAGATAGCCATTAGAATTCAGCCTTTGAAGAGAGCAGCTTTTAGAGCTTCCATCACATCTCACCATGAATATTAGCAAAACTACATACTGTAACTACTATAAACTACTCCCAATGCCAGGCCCCAAACCTGCCTTTGTGAAAACATTGTCAAGCAAGAACTGTAAATTATTTCCCCCCACAACTCCTATCTGCAGATTATAAAGGGCTAGTTATGCTTACTAAGAGAAAAATACTTTGTACATGTTCAGGCATGCTCCTACGGACTATATTAATTACTATTTTATATGTCTCAAAGCTGAGCATTGGCAGTAACATGGAAACAATTTCCAAGATTAGTTCCTAGCTTCAACTTTTTTAAAGGAAACAAAATATGACTTATTTTACAGTGTTCTCTTTATGACCAGATATTTAAAAGTCGAACCCAATATCAATACGCTATGCCAGTGATGGCGAACCTTTTAGAGACCGAGTACCCGAACTGCAACCCAAAACCCACTTATTTATCTCCCTCTGCTGCCGCAGCCACAACAGCAACCACCGCTGCCTCCAGCTCTGGAGGCGCTGAGTGAAGTAAGGCTGGACTGGGGCGGCAAGCGAGCAGGCAAGGGATGCTGCTGCCACCCCCCCCCAGCCTGCTCGCAGGCAAGTAGAAGTGGAATTGGGCTGCTCTGCTAGGCAGCGTTGCTGCCTGCACAGGAACAGGAGCTGGGTGGGGGCTGCTCAGCTGGGGAGGTGCAGCCTCCGTCACACTTTCCATTGAGGGGTTCATAGCTGCACTCCCCTCAAGGGAGAAGTTTAAAGGACCCCCCACCTCTGCATCAGATCCCCGGCAACCCCATGAAGGCAGCCAGGCTGAATAGTTGCTGAGGTTGGGGAAGGTGGAGGCAGCCCAGAAGCTGCATCTGAGAGCCCCTGCACCACCTGAAAGCAGCCAGGCGCTCCTCAGCTGAGCTGCCCGATCCTGTTTCTACTTGCGTGCAAAGCAGGGCAAAGCAGGAGTGGAGGCGGGGATCTCTCAGAAGTGGAGTGGAGGCTTCACACTCCCCAGCTGAGCTGCGTCAGCATGCTTCTGAGCATAGTGCTGTGCCCTCCCCACCCACAGTGGAGGCTCCCCAAGGGAAAACGTGCGCCCAGGAGGTTGTTGCTGCGTTTTGCACACACACACACCCCGACTCCCCATCTGAGGCGCTTCTACTTGGACACAAGTTGAGCTGAGGATTCAATGCACTGCCCTTGCCTTCTGTCGGCTCTGTGCTCGCCACCACTGCCCTATGCATTTAGTTCAGGATAGTATATAGTTATGCAGTTCTGAATTTTATTAGTTCCATAGACTTGGTCCTGCATAGTCCCTGGTTCAAGTCATACCTGATTCATCCATGAACTCACTAGGTAATTTTAGGCAAACCACCCTCATCCTTCAGTGTAGAATACATACAGTGATTACTCTACTAAAGTACCTGACATGGTTGTTATAAGGATTTCTGAGTTAATGTGTTTGAATCTGAGCACTCAAATGGTGATATGTAAATTTCATTGTTCACAGTTGTTTACATGGTCCCTTACACAGTTACATTGGCAACACAGATGGGAGCTTATTATCTGACATGGGGAAATGACACAGGCAGGAATGGAATAATGTGGGCAAGTGCCATTGTACAACAAAATTATTCCCAATAGAGAGCATTTGGCTTATGTTGCGAGGCTTCGTTTGATGCCTGAGCCAAGCGATGGAGGATCTCTGTTGTATAACGCCTCATCGAGGCCTGTTCCACAATAGTGTGCTTTTGCTGTACTGTGTCTTCCAATCACATGGTATTTCCATTAACTAAATATACATTCATTCTTAAGGGAAGAGAAGTTTTGCCCTTCAAAATAGAATGGCCCAGCTTGCACATCCTGGTAAACTGCAGTTAACAGGTTACTATAAAGAACTCTATTTCTAAGGACCTCCACCATAACGCTTAAGTGATTATACTATTTCACAGCACTAAAATTAGTACAACTTCTATTTTTTACTGTATTAATGATGCCACCAAGCTGGGTCCGTATTCACACACAGCAGCCATTTGAAAAATAAAACAATTCACATAGCTAATCACAGTACTTACTGTAAGTGTTAAGTGCATCACCTGTTCGCCTTGAAAGATTTAAGACTTGTTTAAAACCAAATAAACATTTCTCTAGCAGTTGAGAAATGAAAGCAGGATGGTACCCAGCTGGCCTTAGAGGGCAAGCTGCAAACAGTGCAGAAGTGAGCTAACCAAGTATCCTCCCTCCAGTAAATCTTTAGGCACCTAATCCCACTCTGCTCTGCTCTCTCACACGCAAACTAGCAAGAGATTTTGAAATGTTAACAATAAAATAGGCAGTTTCCTGCTCTCATGTTTAGATTAGACAAGCTCTCTATCAGATGGGAAAACGTATTTCAGGAATTGTTAGGCGCTTTGTTTCTAGGATCCCAAAGTAAGGTATTGGATATGTATTATAAAGGCCTTCACTTGACCTTCAAACGATCTTCCAACTTTATAACTAGATCAAGTTCTTGAATGCATAAGTACTGGGCTAGCTAAGAATATAGCATATATGCTATAAAGCAATTATAAATTAAATAAGAAAGTGAGAATTACCAGACTGATACTGTGAAATGAAACAAATGCAAGTTCTAGAATGCCGAAAAACACAGAAATAATGTAGATAGCGATGGAAGCTACATATTTTCATAAGAATGGATCAGCCATAGGAGTGACAGAAATAGTGACACTCACTATGAATATAGAACTGTATTCCTCGCGCTTTGCATTAAACATCATGGCTGCAATCCAAAAAATAGTTTGTCTGCAGTATCTGATGGGGCAGAACACAACCTTTAGCAAATGTCAAAAAAGTACAGTAACTATTTCAATATGCAAGAGTTCTTGGCTTATTTAAATATGTACTGTCCAAACTCTGATTATTCTTGCCACATTCCTCATAAAATACTCAGTACCACAAGAAAAGTTTTACCATGTAGAACTGGAATACTGGCCAGCTTACAATTTCTTGCATGAATGTGTAAACGTGAATATAAACAATATGATATTGAAACTTTCAGTTTATGGCAGCTGAAATTATGCTTTTCACACAAGTCAAAACACCCAGGAAGTATACTTTAAAAGAATTCATGACAAGTAAATTAGAGTTGCAACCCATGTGGCTAAAATGATAACTGCACCAATTCCTTCCTCTAATATATTTGTTAATCTTTTACATGAAATTAAAAAACTTCCTCATATCCTAGATCCCCTTGGCTTAGTTATACAGTAGCTTCTTTTAAAAGCAGATATGGACTACTACACCAGAGAAACAGCTCCACAAAGCTCTTCTTAAAAGACAGGTTCCAGAGGCTACAATGCAATCCATCAAGCAAGCAGTTCTGGTATATATTCTGTTCAGGGACCATGTGGCAGAAAAGCTCATACAATAGCATGCTACTGTTACAGTGAGCTCATTTTACACTTACTTGTTTATAAACAATCAGAGTAGTAGCTAATCATTTCAACTTGTTAGCAAAAAGCACAGGGCAGCTGCTAATGATTCTAAGCCAAGGACATGTTCTCTTGATAAAATTACTTAAATATCAGACTTCAGCACAGACTAAGCGCTTACATTTCTTTAGGATGGTTGTGTACTTTTAAAGGGAAGAGGATTCAGTCAAGTGCGCAGCCTTACTACTCCTGTTTAGGAAACTGAAATCCAGCACATCAATAACATTTCACCCACGTAAAGCATAAGAATGAGGTACTGTACCTTTAAGGAGGGGAAAGCCTTCCGTTTTGGATCTTAGCTGAAGAAAGCTGTTTATTCTTGGTTTACTGAGATTACTTACCTAAAACTGAGCTATTCCTCTTGTTTTCCCCCTTCGGGGAAGCTTCCCTCTCGCTCGCTCTCTCTCTCCCTTCTGCTCACTCTGGGAGCTTTTACCATTTAAGGTCAATGTGTTACATCTGGCTCCCTTAACTAAGCTAAAGCACTTTCTAACTCAAGAAAGCAAGCTGAGCAACTAACGTTAAAAATGAGTTTTGTTTTTAACTGACTCTTCAAAAAGTCTCTTCTGTGTCTCAAGGAATTAGAGTGAAAGGCTTCCCCCTTTTCAGCACAAATGCCAAGAACAAATACCAGCAGAACACCCATTTGCATTCGCACACGCTTCAGAACATGAGAATGTTACTCATTTCTGAATAACTAAATTTAAATCGGGCAAGGAGGAAGCAGATGAAATGGCAAGACTGAAGTGATGTGTTTGTTAACCCTTAACACAGGTGCACACAAGAGCAAATGCAATCGTTCTGGGATTTCCAAATACACACAGCCCTTTGGGGCAAAGGCACTAGCCCAAGCCACTAGGTACCGGTACATGCAAATATTTAGAGAACTTTGGCCTAGCTCCACATAAGGATAGTGTTTTCCTATTAGGGGGAATAAATGTAAACCCCTCTGAGGTCCTTGAAGGGAAAGTTAAAAAAAAATTAAATGTAAACTCAAGGGGCTGCTATTTACAACTTGCATGAGAAGAAAAGAGGCTATTTTCACAATCTGCTGGTATCTGTACACAAAACTTTGCCTAGGGGCCAGTTCTACAGCTCATGTAGCATAAACTAAACTGTCAGACTTGTGGTTCGTGAATCATTCCTAGCCTGTCAAGGAATCGATAAATCCTTTATTTCTATGACTCCAGACCAGGGCCATTGGAGGTCTGAGGCCAAAATCTTTTGTCTGCCCTGGATTGTCTGCCTCTTTCTCTGCTCTTTAAAAATGTGCTTATAGGGCTGCAAAGCATAATACTGGTGACACCCCACCATCTTCATCTGCTCAGAGATCTAAGCATATACACATGAATATTATCATATATACAAATAAGTGTCATAGGCCTGTGCCCTGAATCTTTTAAGTAACTAGCAATGCACTTGCAATAGATGGTAGAGCAGGGGTAGCCAGACATGTTGCTTCACTGGGCACATTCTGAATTTTGAGAAGGTGCCATTGGTGCCACTCACAAAATGGTTCCCATGTGGCATTCTCTAAAAATAAAAGAAACTGCACTCGTTTCTGTTCCCCACCCCCACCTGACAACCACCTGACAACACCTTCCATGGGAAGTCAGTTATGCCCTGCTTGTTTCGATTAAGAAGATCTCACAAAATCGATCCCCTCCCCATACAACAACAGAAAACATTCCCTGATGCCAGGGAAGATATATAAGGTAGTCACACCACACTCTTCCTCGCACCTGAGCAGCACCTGCAAGCACTCACTGTACACATACAAACCACAGACGAACATGCATATATCTCCCCCCACCCATCTATACAACCAAACATAGATCTCTCCCTCTCTTTTTGTCGCACGGCATCTCTCTCCCACTCCTTCAGACCCACATACATGCAGTGAAGTCCATGTGGGCAACAGCACAACTTTAAAAATTGATTTTCACAAACCAACACACAGACTTTTCATTTTATCACAGCGTTGTTGTTTTAACTTTTTCTTCTACTTTTTAACATATTGAAGGGCCCGGGAGACACTTAACCTTCTGATGGAATGATACTGAAAACTAGACTCACGAAGACATAAACAACTGAACATACAGAGAGGGACACAAACCACAAAGGAAAGAAGAGTTCAGAAATGGAACAAAGCCAGGGACAGCCAGTCAGTGACCTAGACTGTGTAAGAGACCAAAAAAACAAAAACAAAAACAAAACAAAACCCCTCTTAAAAGCCAAAGCATTAAAAAGTCATGGCATTGTGAAGTTGTAGCTAGAAAGAGCATGAGATTCTTCAAAGTCTATCTCATTAAAAAATAATAAAAATCTGAACCACTGATGGAGTTCTGTTCCAAGGTTGTTAATCTTCTTTCTAAAACTTCTTTTTTGATTCATAGTTTTATCTTAAAACAAAGCTTTTAATTTTTACAACAACATTTAGTACTTAATTTCTACAAGCAAGAGATACCAAAGTTCAGGGTTTTCTAGAATTAGACCTCCTGAGCTTTTCACCTCCCAAATTACTGATATATGTAGGCTGTTTGAAGTTACTCACTACTGAAGAAAAGCACTCTATATATGATCAAGGAATACTTTTCAAAATTTAAAATGGATGCATGTTTAATGTTAGAGATATATTAAGCCAATATGGTTTCTCATGCCTTATTTAACAATCTTCCATCCATTCTACCTCAAACAACCAGGAGGTCAGATGTAAAGTGAAATGCCAGATCTTTTAACCATGATAAAGGAGCTAGAAAAGTAGAATATATTTTCTAAAACACCATGTGATAGATGGGAAGAATCTACTGATCAATCTCTGAGTGACTTCCAATAGATTGGCAAGATTCTGGCAACTGATTTTCTAGATCTATTTCAATCGTGGTTGAGGCCCAGTTTTGGCACAGAACCGGCCTTGGTCACCCTGTTTGAAGACTTGTGTCCAGAAAGAGAAATGGGAGTCTGTCCCTATTAATCCACCTTGATCTCTCAGCAGCTTTCAATACCATCAACCAGAGCATTCTGGAGTGGCTATCTGAGCTGGAGGTGGGAGGCACTGTATTGCAGTGCTTCCAATCCTACTTGGATGACCTTCTCCAGGCGGTGGTATAGTATTTGACCCCATGGAGCCTTCAGTATGCAGAGGCACAGAGTTCAATTTTATTCTCTATGCTGTTTATTATCTACATGAAATTACTGAAGGGCAGGGGTAATCCAAAGAATTGTAGTACAGTGTCACCAATATGCTGATGATATACAGATATATATGTCCTTTACATCTGCAAGTGTGGCAGTGGTTAGACTGATGTATTGGCCTTGACTGGAGGAGAGTCAATAAACTGAAGCTTAATCCAGATAAGACTGTTGCACTATTAGTGGGTGGTTCACCTGACCAAATGGGTGGGAGGGACATGGCCTGCTTTGGATGAGGTTACACTCCTTCTGAAGGAGTAGGTTCAAAGCTTGGGGGTATTTCTAGATTCACTACTATCACTTAAGGTCCAGGTGGCTTTGGTAGTGTGAAGCGCCATCAATCAATTTTAGCTGGTGACCCAGCTAGACCCTTATCTGGACAGGAATAGCTCAACTTCTGTTGGCTATGATCTGGTAACATCTAGGTTAGATTACCAAAATGACTGTGTTATATGTGGGGGTGTTTTTGAAGATGGTTTGGAAACTGAAATTGGTGTAGAATTCAGCAGCCAGCCAGATTAATGACTGGGGCAAGATGGCCTGAACATAAGACCAATCCTGGCACAAGTGCACCTGGCTACCAATTAGTTTCCAGGTCCAATTCAAAGTGCTGGTTTTGGCCTATAAAGTGTTACGCAGCTCAGTACTCCAATAGCTCAAGGATCTCCTCTGCCTACATGAACCAATCTGGACCCTGCGTTCATCATCGAAGGCCTTTCTCTGTGTACTCCCTTCCAAGGGAGATATTGGGGGGGGGGGGTAACATGAGAACAGGCCTTCTCAATGGTGGCTCCCCACTTGTGGAATGCCCTCCCCAGGGAGGTACCTGTGGCACTATCACTATCTGTTTTTACATACCAGATAAAAACATTTTTATTTACCCGGTCTTTGCAGCTTTGCTCTGCGTATTTTTTAGTGATGTGGGATTGAGTTGCATTTGCTCTTTTTATGCAACATCATTAGCTCTCTATTAACCCCACAGCAGCAGCATATTGTAGAATTGTTTACAGTGGCAGAGCTTCATGCTCCGGCACCGGGGGTGGGGGGTGGAGAGCAGGCGGGGGCGGGGCTGGCGCGTGTCCCGGGGGCATGGTGCGCCGCCTGTAGGGGCGTGGCTCCCAGCGTGAGCGGGGGGGAGCCGTGATGGCACCCCACCAGGATCGCGCTCCCGGGGGCAGTGCACTCCCCCTGCACTCATCTTCCTCCGCCAGTGCTTGTTTATGCAACACAGAGCAGTTCCCACCAAATTCTACCACTCTTCAGCCATCAGATCCCAGGTATAGAATTGTACTCTAAATCTAGCAAAATTATAATGATGTAAGAGTATGCAGCCTTCTAATACAAAAAGAGGAAAATGAGTCCAGTCCTCAGTTTTGTACATGTGACAATCCAGTAATGCTATTCATTGTCATTCTTGTGCATATTTTGTGTTTGTTTGTTTTAATTCTAAGATGGTCTGAGAATTCTATTGAAGGGCAGGGTATAAATCCCTAAAAGAAGGCAAACAAACAAACAAACAAACAAACAAACAAACAAGGCCTCATTCACAGTCCAATTACATGGTAATCCTATTCATGTTTCATTGGGATTTTAAATGATTAGGAGAATGGATAGCATTCTTCTTGTTACATTTAGTTACAGCAGATTTAAATAAGATGGCAGTTAACTTTGAAGACTATTATTCCCAACAAGGAAATAAACAAACCTGGGGGGGGGGGAATCAAGTACTTTTCTGTAGTTCAATTCACTATGGCATGAAATAGAAAGCTCTTCTATCACTTTGATCTCCAGTCCATTCCTGGGAATCTGATAAATCTGTGTTTGAAAATAAGATTTGCATTTGCATTTTGATAGTCACACACAGATCCATCTGTACTATCAAAAACAACACTTGCTTGTTAACATCATCTCCCATTATATGGGTTACTGCAGTGTTTTGTTTTGTTTTGTTTTGTTTAAAGCTGCCGGTACTCACCATGAATTTGTCACAGTAAGTGTCACCCTTTTAACATTTGGAGGGGGAAAGGTGCTGGTACTGCGTACCCTCGAGTATCCCCAGAAAGCAGAAAAAGCACTGGGTGTCTATATCTGCAAAAATATCTGAGGGTGGAAGGGTTAATTTTTTTAAGCCATCTATTTTAATTCTATGGCTCATGAAAGCAGTCTCTTGGTTCACAGTCAGTACTTTTCCAAAACACTTTTACATAAGTATCATTTGCATTACACACACACACACACACACACACACACCACATTTAAAAACTGTACTGGATAAATGTAGAAAATAAAGGAACTTAGGGAAATGAAGAGCCACCTTCCAAGAATCTGATGATAACCATTGTGAAAAGCAGGCAGAATGTAAACAAGCTTTGCTGACACCAGTGCTCTGTCATCCCCAGCCAGAGCAGGCAGAAGACATTTTGCGGCCTGAGCCAGAACAGCAAAGTACCTCCCCCCACCCGCCCAACGACCCCCTACTAAATCAAGGTGCACAGTACCCATTATTTTGGCATCTGAGGCAATCACCTCTTCTCCTGTCTGGCAGGAAAAACACATAAACAAACAACCATACATTTGCTGCCCTTCACACCTAAAATCAGTTGCTTGAGGTAGGCACCTCACTCTGCCCAATGCAATGGCTGCTCATGTACAGGACTTACTCAAACTAGTTGTGTAACTAAACAATGACTAGTGTAAACTACACAATGGCAAAAGACTGAACATCCTTAAACCCTAGGACAAAGATAGAAAAAGGGCAGTAAAAACAAGCCTGAAATGGGGACATGTAATCCTTATGCAGTTTTGTAGATATTTGGGAGGCACATTCATGAGATAGAGAGCACATTCTCTCTCTCTCTCTCTCTGTGTGTGTGTGTGTCTGTGTGTGTACCACCACAGTCTCTGTCCTACTATTTTCTCAACCATATAGTCTTTCAGACTTCTGTTGAAGCTTAAACCTAATTGTACATGGAAAAGTGTGGATCAGTCCTAAGAATACATTATAATTCAGGCATATCTATTCAGCAATTCTTGCAATATTTACTAATGATGAACTAAACAAAATGCATATCCATTCATATGTAGGTCTAATAGACTCCACCCCCCTCAAAGAAAGTGGTAGAATTGACAAAGCTAGAAAATAATTTTAGGAATGGTTCCTAGCAGAATGGAAGATGAACATTTATCAAGTTTGCACAACTGGAAGTCATTCACCAATTTAAAATGATTAGCTGACATAGGCAATACAGGATTGTTGTTTTTTTACGTGAAGCAATTATCACAGATGAGCAAATATTTTTTAAAGTTCAGTAATCTGATGCAGAAATGTTTTTCTTGGAAAACCAGACTGAGAATGAAACACATTTAGTTTTTTTAATTTGATAATTAAGAAGGCCAAATACACTTAAATGTCCTAACTGAGCCAGTACTGAATATTCCAGCAGCCAGAAAAGCAGCAATCAATTTTGCCAATCAAGATATTTCATCACACAAGTATATCTATTTTTAGATCAATAACTTGCCCAAATCCTTTAGTTTTCTGAAAACAATTGTATACTTTGTTAGTTACTTTGTTAATAGTCCATTAGTCTGTAACAAAATACTTGTCTCATATTACACACAGGGACATAATACATATGTCACAGACATTTAAAAGGCTTTTTAGTTAGTATTAGTACTGCCACAGAATGTATATAACATTTTTAAGTGTTAACGGTGCCCATTTACTGTTCACCAAGAAATAGTCACACCATAATGCACAGTCACATCCTGTTTCCTCGCCACGATCCTACAGGAATGCAAACAACATCCTAGCATAATCAACAAGTAAGTTTGTATATGGGTGGAAAGTCTGTTAGCTATTGTGGCAAACCACTAGTTTAATCTACTATGAGCCAACACATGTCACTTGAGTCAAAAGGGTGCTTTACTTCCTCTTATCTATTGCTAAATGTGCTCTCTCAAAATTTTAAGGCCAGTGAATATTGCTCCCAGTGAACCTGTGGAGGCTTGTCCATTAGGGCAGATGTGGTACTGCCCCATCAACCTCTGTCTGCCCTACCTGCCTACCTTCTGTTTTATATCCGGTCCAGGGGGCAGCACTGGCTATCAGCTTCCTCCCCCTTAATGTCAGTGTTCCCAGTAGGGAGGAGGATGGGGACAGTAGAACTCAGTAGGGAGGAAGATGGGGACAAAACTAGAATTAGTTGACTCCACCTATCGTTGTTTCTGTCTCCACCTACTGCTGACCTCCCTGTCTCCTGCCCTACGAGTCCCAATGGCCGACTTCCTTCCTACCAGTAGTGCACAGCAGCAATCCTACTTCCCCAATTTTGTCCCATTCATTCTTCAGTTCTGTACCTTCCCTTCTCTCTTCTATACCTTTTCAGGCCACACTTGCTTTGTCCCTTGACCTGGGGCGGATCTACACTCGTGGTTAATAATGCGTTATTAAAATATGACACCAGAGGGCACTGCAGAGCTATGAGCCACCCACAATAGGGAAACAGCATGTTAAAGGTAAGGTGATGTTATAGAACGATATAACTAATAACGTTTAAAAGATTAATGTAGATCCAGCCCTGGTTTCTTAGCACTCTGTTGCTTCTCCCCCAGCCATAAAGTCCCTTCTGACCTTAATTGCTGCACAGATTCTACGGAGTTCTCTCCAATTAGCCCCATCTTGCCTGAATTCCCTGCCTCTTCTACCCTTTCCCCCAAGCCTCCTCCTCTTCCACCCCTCTCTCAATCTTAGTGCCTGGTTTACTCTCTTTCTTCAACCTCCTTACCTCTTCCCTCCTTGGTGCTCTCCTACAATGCCACCCTGTTCTTGTGTGCAACATTCCCTTTCTTCACAGAAGCTAGACCACAAACTCTTTTTGTTCCCTGGGCAACTGAATGCTCCATGTCATTGCACTAGCTCAGCCAATCAATGTCAGAAGCTTGACACAAACACAATACAAAAATAGACAAATCTCTACTAAGACTAGTCTGTTTCCTCCAAAAAGGCTCTGTTGCTTTCAAGCTTAACATAATGATGTTACTACCATATTACCACTGATACCAACTTTCCTCAGGCCACTGAGCCACCTTATGAACACAGAATGGAAATGTTTATGACTGGTACCTCTGGAATAATGCCTGTCATGGTCCTGGCCTTGAGTGATAGCTGAGGTTTGGAAAGAGAAGAGACTGAGCCAGTCAAGCCCATGGCCATTGCATCTTGAGCTGAAGAACATGACCAGGAGGTCTTGATACAAAACCTGAAACATAACAGCTTTGAACCTGTGGAGCCTGAACTGGGATCCTTAGGCCTGCCAAGCTCAATTCACCCAAGAGGCCAAGCACCTCCTGCTCTACAATAGCACACAGAATGCAGCAGATGAGAAGCAATTAAGACACACAGAAAGCCTGGTGGGGGTGGGCCAGGGTTTGGGGGTGGGGTATCCCTCTTATCAGTCGGAGCTCTATAGCTATGGTCTGTCTCACCAACTGCTTCATTGTGTCCATGTGCTTCTACTCTTGGTCATGTCAGGTCAAGATCTCTCTTCCAAAGTCCACAAAACCATCTTAACCACACATCTGTTATCGGATGCAAGCCAAATCTTCCCCACGGCTTAGAAAGATGATACAAAAAATCAGGGCTTTTTTCAGCCGGAACTCACCAGAACTCAGTTCCAGCAATTCTCAGGTGGGCATCATTGCCATTATATCAATCTTTATTATGGTCCAGAGACCCAACAAATCATTACAAAGCAATACACAATTCAGACAGCCTACCACCAAGTTAAACAAGCGTTTTGTTCAGACTTAAAGATAGGGATCATTGGTTCTTGCAACCACCGATAAAAACTTCTCCACTGCTTGATTGGTTGCATTACTTTCAAGGAAATGAAATGTTTAAAAAGGATCTTAGAGAGAATGGATATGTTGAAAAAGATTCAAAATTTTAAATAGAAATAATAAATAATGATTGTAAAATTTTATCAAAAATGTATAAAATGTTGTTGGAATGGCATATGAAGGACGAAGAAGTCAAGTCGGTTATGATACATTGGGCTAGAGATTTTGGATATAATATACAACTAGATAATTGGGTAAAAGTATGGAAGGAAAATATAAAATTTACAGCATGTACTGCGTTAAAGGAAAATGTTATGAAAATGATATATAGATGGTATATTACACCGGTCAAATTAGCGAAAATGTATAAAACCTGTAATAAGTGTTGGAAATGTAAAGAAAAAGAAGGGACATTTTATCATATGTGGTGGGAATGTAAGAAAGTGAAGGGTTTCTGGGAGACAATATATAATGAACTGAAAAAGATGTTGAAATATACATTTGTAAAGAAACCAGAAGCTCTTCTGTTAGGAATAGTAGGAAATGAAATAAATAGAAAGGACTGTAAAATTTTCCAATATGCAGTTACAGTGGCGAGAACATTAATGGCCCAAAGATGGTAACAGGAGGAATTACTGACCCTGGAAGAATGGAGAATGAAAATGATGGACTATGCAGAACTGGACAAATTAACTGTGAAGATTAGATATCAACGAGACCATAAGTTCATCGAGGACTGGGGAAAGTTTGTAGAGTATCTGAAAAATATATGTGATGAACAAACAACGTTTATGGGATTTCAAGAAGCTCTGTGAAAGGTTGAGGAGTATTGTAAAAAAGAAAATAAGATTGGTGTCAGGGAACTGACATCGGAGCTAGAGGCGGAGGGAAGGCTCTCAAATGATGCTGGAGAAGGGCCCAGCAGGGAGAGAGGCAGCTCAGCAGATGGGGAAGCAATTCAGCGCAGCACCAGGAATAAGGAGGGGAGATGGGGAATCGGCGAGAGGGCTCCCAGACTCTTTACCGGACACCAGCGGGGAGAGCACGGGTCCTCCGCTACCCACGCCCTCCCTGCGCAGAAGACTTCCGCGCAGGGAGAGTAGGAGGAGACTGGGTGTCAAACAACTTTTATGTTGGAAACGGTTTAAGAAACGCCCACTGACGGATTCTGCTAGCGACTGAGGCAGCCACGAAGTGAAGGTCTGTCCAGACTGAAAGGTTTAACAAGGCAACAAAGCCAGGAGAGGCGGCAACTTACGCACGAGCAACCCATACTCTTTACAATTGGGAAGGTATATAAAAAGGCAGTATTAAATTTAGGAAATGCGTAACTAAAATTTAATTACGGACGATTGGCAGATAAGCTGAAGGAAGTCCATAATATATAATTTGTGATAAACTTTAGATATGGTAATATATGTATATTGTATTGGAAATTAATAAAAACCTTTATAAAACAAAAACAAAAAAGCTTCGCCACTGCTAATGTTCTAGTGTTTGTCTGGTTTTCCAGTAGGAACCTGACATAGTGAGCCTCTGATTTTCCCAGGAAAGGTACCAGCAAGGGTAATATCAATTCAGCCCTGGCTTGCTCGTATTTCGCACAGTGCAGAAAAATATGTTTTATAGACTCAATTGCTAGGTACACAAGCAAAGTCTGTCCTGGTAGGGAACTCCTCTCAACCTGCCATCCAACACTGCAGAAGGGAAAAGGTTTAGTCTGGCTTTGGTGAATAACCTTCGATAATTTGGTACTGTCAGTTTTTAATGTAAGGTGTTAACTTAAAGACATGCCCATATTGTACTCCTACTGCCAATGGACTACAGACTGCATGTGATCGGGATCGCAAGTCACTGTGTGTATTAACCCATAATCTTTGCTTTAACATCTTTAGGGCGCCTTCATAACCCAGGTAATAGAGTTGGGGGGGGTAACAATAGAGGTGGCTTTTCTAGCCATGGTTTTCTGCCAGTTGCTGCCCACCATGCTTTAGTTGTAATTGGGCATTCACCAGCTTCTAACAGAAGTACGGAGTAGGGGACACAGTTGGGTACCTGCAGCAGAGATCATAGAAATTTTGCCTGAAAGCCGTCTAGCTTAGGCAGGTCCCCATTATTCCAGACATTTGCAGTGTACAGGAGTTGGGGAACGGATTTTGCATTGAAAACCCTTAAGGCTGCTGGAACATATTTGCTGGAACATACCCTTTGTGAAAAAGAATCTGAGTATGGCTAGCTTTGTGATTGCCGCCTTTTGAAGGGAGGTTTGCCAGTGGTACTTCCAAGATCTTGTATGATGGAAAGTGAGCCCTAGATAACTGAAGTATTTAATCTGCTCAAGGTTATGGCCATCCAGTACCCATTTAAATCGGGAGAAGCTTCTTTCGAATACTAATTTTTTTTATTTTTCGTAATTAATGGATAAGTCATTTCCAAAACAGTAATCAGAAAACTTCCTCAGCAGATATTTCAAACCCGGTCTGGAACGTGAAATGATGGCCGCATCATCCGCATATAACAAGGGGGTCCTTCTCATTCCTATTTTTGGAAGGTGTCCATCTGAGTCCATTAGGCTCACTTCTAGGTCATTTAAGAATAGGCAGAACAATGTGGGGGCCAGAATGCATCCCTGTCATTGCCATTATAAGAGAACAGGGGAAGTGTTCATGGTGAGTTCTGACACCTCTTTTTCTAGAAAAATAGCACTTCAAACAACCATGCTACCAGAGACCAAGTGTGCTTGCCCTTAGGCAGTCTATTCATCTGAATTCGCTTAGACATAGATTGGGAAAGTGTTTGACATGGAGGGGGGACATTTTGCCATTCTTGAGCAACAGAATCAAACCCCACCAATACAGAAAAACTAAAGACAAAAGGGGATGTCCAGTTTCATAAAACTATGCACCAAACTCTCCATGATACCTTCAAAACAAATGACAGAATGTGCCAAGAGCAAATTGAAGTATTTCTACATGCAAGTTTGCTTAGTTATAACACTAGAAGCAGTTTCTATTTTCTATCATCACTCCTCCACCCCAAGAGCCTTAATAAGGGACCAGCACCCTTTCACTTGGAAGCCCATTGTCCACCTAAAAGGTGGAATATACATATTGTAAATAAATAGATTTAGAGAAATATCTAGACTCAGTTTAAAAAAAATCAAACATCCCAAGCCCTTTGTTGTGAAATGTATACTACCTAGGAAAGGAAGATATGGACTTCTGCAGACAATACTACCTTCCGCAACATTCCACTGAAGCTTCTGCCCTGCTGTGCACAACTGCAGCTTCAACCGATAATGAATGTGGTATGAAAACCAATGTTCTACCACACAGTCAAGAGTGTCTGGCCATGTACATTTTGGCCATGGGTACCCCAAGACTGGATAAAGTATTTGTCACATACAGTACTGCTTTTGCCATGCATAAGGTTTCAAAGATGTTCTTGGGCAATATTTCATTTCGTACAGGTCTTAGCCTAGTTCTTATAGATACATTTGAGTTATTTTATTCCAAAGAAATTTTCTCACCAAGAAATCAAGCAATGTTCTTACAAGCTATTATATTTGAAAGTTTTTGCGGCCATAAATGAAACCTCTTTCCATAGGTGGTGTAGAAGATACTCATTCTCTCCACACACTAACAATAAAGCAAGCTCTGCAACGTCGTCCTATTTTAAAAGCACAAGGCATAAACAAATCTTGTTCTCAATCTGCCCTGAGAAATTCTAATTTTACACACAGCTTCTTGGTAGTGACAGATGTTATTCTTAGTCAAAAGTCAAAAGAGGCCTGGGGAACACTATTCTCCGTTCATTAGCAAGAGAATTTACTCCCCAAGGAAGAGAGACATGCCATCAAAAACCAAAACTGTTAAACTACAAAAAGTTATTCCACACGGATCAAGAATCCAGTAAAATAAGGGGAACGACAACTATCTTTAAAAAACTGTATTAAATGCAATTTTGAGGAGTCCTGAATGCTTTTACATTAGTAAAAGTTATTTAATAAGGATCATTTGGAAATTGGTTCAACTATTTGTTAATTCTGCAGTCAGATTTTATAAGAGTAGAGTAACTGAATTAGAATTACAGTACTGTATTTGTTTTAAAGTAGACAACAAATATGGGAGTATAACAAACTAGGCTGATGAAACTGCATTACACTATAATCCTACATTAAATGGGCAGCATTTAGTGGATGGAATTCAACACTGCACTGTGACAAACATTCTGAGTGCACAGGCATATCAGCTTGCCAGATGGAATGATCCCACGTCCTCTCCCCCTGCAAACTATTCTGGAGGTTCTCCTGAACTGCCAGAGCCAATTTTGGGAGGTGCAGGGATAGGCTGGGGGGGGGGAGGATATGGGGGGTGGGAATGCCCTGTTGTACAAGTGGGAGTCTTTACGCAGGGCTTCCACTGACAGGGTTCTGCCCAGTGTCCTGAATATACTATAACAAAATAATGTGGCATTCAGCAATTTTGTCTAGATGACGGAGGGGACGGGGAAGATCCTAAAAACATAACTGTACTTAAATCAGAATTGCATCCATTTCCATCTCTTCTTCTCTCCAGCTAGTGCAACTCAGGGTACTCTATGTTATGTTAAATGTGTGGCTAGCTATATTTGGGAGTTTTCTTAGTTAAACTGCAGGTGCCGGGGAAGGAGGCTCACTTTCATGGGGTCCACAGCATGAGGAGAATTTAAATCTAATCCTTCCTTCCCCAGCTGCAGTCCAAATCCCACCTCAAGCATGAGCATCAGATGTACTAAGAAAGATTCCAGTTCATTTGTCTAATTTTTGTAGCTTGGGATGGGGGATTCTTGCCCATACTGTGACTGCAATAGAAAGATTTAACCTCCCCATCCCACATCTGTGGTCCCCATGGAAAAATCACCCCACCATGCCTGTATTTAAATAAAGAAAAATATCAGATGTAGTCGCTAGCTACACATTTAGCATAATGTTAAATTTGAACCTGGAAACATGTAAGTCCTTGGATCTGTGTGTGGCTGGCCTAATAAGTCCTCAAACTGCCGGCTGCAGCATTTATTTAGACAATGAAATACTCTCAAGCCCTGAGTTGACTCCACCCACCCAGGCTGGCCATGATCTCTTCTTGGATAGGAAGGCGCATAAGTTGCCTCCCTGTTCTAGTTGTGCCTTGGCCAAGCAGCACAGTCTTCCTGAGCTTTGGTGCATTTTGTATTCTTTGGTGGTTTTCTAGTCCTTATTCAGGGTTTTATCCCTCAACCCCTATTTCCTGGCACAACTCCTTACTCCTAGGAACTATCTCCGACTGTTGCCTCCAGTTCAGCCTCAACCTTCATACTTACATGCAACTTTCCAAAGTTATTTCAGTTTTCTTATTCTCCTCTGTAAAATTCTTTCCCTTGAGATTTGGAAAGTTTGTATTTTACATCTCGCTTTTTTCCATTATAAATCCCAAGGTAACATACAAAGCACACATCTCAGGTGGTTTCCCATCTAGTCCCTGACTAGGCCCACATGTCCTTAAGCTTCAGCCAGGTGTCCACCTCATGTTCCTTTAGAGCATTGCAAGCATGGGCATAGCCGGAGGGGGCAGGGAGGGGCAGCCGCCCACCTAAACTAATAAAAATCAATAAAAATACATAGCTAACTGAGATTCTGCCGCCCCAAAAAAATGCCTGTGTCCCCCAACAAAAAGCCTGCCTACGCCCATGATTGCAATGGTTCCCAAGCACCAAGAGTTCTAACTATTATATTTTCTTTTCCAAAGACACATATCCCCATTTTGTCAATACCTATACACTTGTAATTTCTGCAAACCACCCATTGCCAACAAAAACCTATCTGGCAAGGCAATAAAGCTTGGAGAATCTGTTAATTTATTCCAGTTTATTACATCTGTACCCAGCTTTACCCACAGAGCACAATAGGGTTGCCAGGCAGCCTCTACTTACTAGAGCTAGACCTGCTTGCTGATCATGATGTAGTTCAATATCCCACTATGAAAGTCATTAATATAGTTGTTATTGCTTTGGAGAAATTAGTTTCAGTCTAGGAATGAATGAATACCTGTTCACTATCAATACCAAGAAATGCTCTAAGATACATTAAAAACCTCTACACCAGGAAATGAATGAGGTATGATTGCTGTAACCCCAGTTTGCCTGGAAATGCAGGTTGTTCCATTAGAGGAAACAACTCCTACATGAATATTTGCCTACATGAATATAGCTTAATTTCAAATATAAAATACCAAAGGTTCTTATAATCTCATTTCCTTACCTTGCTGGGTTTTCTGTTTTTCATTACCAATGCAGGTTTTTCCATTTCAGAGTATTTTTCATCTGCCCATACAAAGAGACCAGAGAAGTACTATTAGATACTTATTAAAATGATACCGTTGAACCACACAATAAATGCTAGGAAAAGAATGAAACTTTGAAGAAACAGTGCCATCCTTGCCTTGAACATCCTCGTTCAAGCGTATAGATGTGGCATATGTTTTTCTCTATCTCAGGCAACAATAGCCTGGCAACCATAACCCATCAGAACAACTCCAGGCAATTCAGTCTGATTATACCTAGCAACAGTTTAACTTGTCTTCCTACTCAACAACTGAAATTTAAATAATCAGGAATGATGCTCATGGAGATGCGGCATACAAATAAATTTGCTAACAAAAACTGCAACTTTGAATCCTCTATATCTGATAGACTTTTAAAGGTGGGGGGAGGATAGGAAGCTGGCAGTTGCCCGCAAGTCCAGTGGCAAATACCTGAGTTGTTGGGATGGGTAAATTAAAACATAATGACATCAGTTAAAGTAATGAGAGGGTGAGATCGTCCGGTTGGCAGGAGAAAAAACATGAAACTGAGTGACAGTCTTAACTGTGTGCTGCTGGCAAAAAAAAATAATGGGGCAAATGTCACTATTTTGCAGGAGGGATTCAGGAACAAATTGGAAATATAGGTTGGTGCAATTAAAGAGCTTTGAAATGCTCTGTCACCCTAGCATAATAAATCCCCTTTTTTGCGGTTAGGAAAGTGACAGGGACATTCACTGAAAAGTCTGGGAAGAACAAATTATCAATGGGAAGATGTGTAACCTCACTGCAAACGTATCAGGACGGATGCTCATTGTTGTTTATCTATCTCATAAGCAAATCAGAATGAATGCTCAGTAAAGACACAGACTAACACTTAAGCTTTGAGCAAGCACATCAAGACGAATGCTGAATAGCGGGTCTGGAGGAACCCTAAGTAGGAATGTCATTTATTTCTGTCTGGTATATAGGATACAATGTTTGCTGAATACTTAAAGTCAATTTCATAACACACTTCCAGGTTTATTAGCCAAATTGCATAGTGGGAGAGAGGAAACAACACTCTGTTTAGCGTTTTCTAGGGAAAGTTTTCTCCTACCACTCATTTTATTGTTGTCTTCTTGATGTGCTGAACATTGATGAGCCATTGAAAAACAATGGGGTAGCTCATTTTTCATGCCAACAAATGTTATGCTGTCACTGCTGTGATTGAAGTCCTCACAGTTTGTTGGTTCTGCAGACTGAATAAACACAATATTTTAGTTCTGAATATTAAAAGCTGCATTATCCCTGTAGAGATGAGAAAACATATGTTCTCACTATGAAAAGAAGCCCAACCAAAACCATGAAAAATAAATGCTCCCTCTCCAAAATGTCTGTAATATTAATCTGCAAGAGGCCTGTTGGTGCCATCTTCCAAGCATTAGCTCTGTGCAGCCCTCCTGAGTAATCTCAAACTGGCATGCTTTACCATGGACAATGAAGGAAGTTTAAACAAATCCTTTGGGCTCCATCAACCCCTTCCTGCCCAAACCCTGCAGAGAATTCCTAAATGTGTAGACAGTGCTCTCTACACCTACAACATACATATGAAGGCTATTTCAGACCTTATAATTAATGTGAGGAGGCTGGTCATGCTTCAGCTTGCTCCCTGTTTCCCCTTTTCATATAGTGTCTGAAAAGAAGTAAACTGTATGTTCACATTAGCAGCTTAAAACACAGCAAGGTCAAATCACTGTGTTGTTCCCATTAGAGATGTGGTGGGGATGTCTTCACACAATGCACATGACCTTTTTGGTCCCTCTCTCCCACAACCTTCTGAAATCCTATTGATCATAGAACTGTAGATTTGGAGGGGACCCTGAGGATCATCTAGTCCAACTCCCTACAATACAGGAATATGCAGTTGTCCCAGGATCAAACCTGCAACCTTGGCATTATCAGCACCATGCTGTAACCAACTGAGCTATCCAGCTCTATCCCATGAAGCTGTGCTCATATGTGCATGTGTTTTGGCTCTCAAACGTTGGGGGTATAAATAATGAAAGTATTAGTAGTAGTAGTAGTAGCAGGTCTACTCTGATTAACACTGGATATTATCCCCACACTTTGGCTGCTTTGGCTTCTATGTGCTCAAAATAGCTTCAGGACCCTCATGTAGTCACCTATTTTAATAAAATTGTTTAGCTATTATAGATAGTCTATGGGTACAGATTTTAAAAATCTTAAATGAGCTAAATGAGTACAGTATGCATGCTGCTTGTTAACTGAAGCTTGGATAATAAAGTGCACTGAAGCAGGGAAATCTTCCTATGAAGGCAACAGAAATGAGCTATTATAATGCTGATTGAGCTTCAAATTACCGGTATATTAAGTTTTGCTTTCCATACACTACCTGAGTGAAGTTTGGCATCCTTTTGTCCATTTGAAAATTCTCCTTTGTTTCTTTTGAGTTTTCCTGAAACAGAAAGTTTCCTTCCCCTTCAGAAATCCACAGCTGAAGTGCTTTTATCATCTGTTGGGCGTATAGAATTGTCACGTTGCTTTCTGATACACCCTCACAGAGATCTTTGGGAATTCTAAGAACCAGTTCTTTCAGTTTTATAGCTGCAAGTAGGTTTCCCTTCTTTTGTTCTGGCTGAATTTTATGTTCCTCTTTACATGACTCTTTTTTTTCATCTAACACAGTATTATTGTCATTTGCCAGTGTCTTAGAAATTTCCAAAATGGCTTCCAGCCTTCCTTCTGGATTCCACCATTTTTTCCCTCCTAACAATTTTTTCCATGTCTGACACTGTACCAATATTTGGTCTTTTTCTGGAGTTTGTGTTAACGTTTGGCTGCTGAAAGTGATTGCATTTACATTTTGCAAAGCTTTTTTGCTTAGATTGGCTCCATGGTACTCTTCGGAAGTTCTGATGTTTGCTCTCTCAAAGCAGCAACTGTCACAATTCATCATATAGTTTGTGGAAGCTTGAAACTCTGCTTCAAGTGTGCTTTGTTCCAATTGTTCATTTGTTTCACCCAATTCCTCCTCCTCATGAAGTTCAACATTAAGGCTATAAAATAAAGGCGGGCAATAAAGATTAGGATTTTTGTTGTTGTTGTTCCCTTATGTATATTTTATTAAATATACAGCTGCCCATATTCAGTTGAGATACCATTGGCTTCTGAACCAATATTGCCATTATGTTTTCCAGCCAAGAGAGTTGCCTTGTCTTAGTGCTGTGGGAATTCCAATGGGCACATGACTATTCTTTGCACAGAAGGAATTCCTCATTTAAAAACATGGCCTTTTCATACTGTGGGCTGTGCACTCCATTCAACCTTGATTTATTAACTCGCCTCCTGGTTATATTTAGAACAAGGATTCACTTTCCCATTTTATTTTGCCCAGCGCTAAACAAAGATGCAAGACTCTCTAAACACTAACTAAACCATAACACAGATAATAACACAATCCCACTAAAGAAAGTGAAATGTATACATGAGATTAGATGTTCCCGGATGGCAGGATTTATCTTTTCACTATTGTTAGTGTCCTTTCCCCTTCCTATTTTTGTTAGGTACCAAAAGGTTAAATTCTTTTTTTTAAAAAAGAAACAAACACCGCTAAGCAAAGTATTATAAAGATGTGCCTTGAAATCTTTAAAACAGTATTATGTTTTATTTTGAAATTTAGGAGTTATAAATAGCTGACATTTATCTAAGCCTTAGAGAAACTGGAGTGAGTTAAATGCCATTTTGGCTAAATCATAGCCTTCAAACACTAAAAAAAAAACCACCCGAAACCCTCTGGCTTCCACTCAGGCTAACTTACATTAGATATAGTTTTTCCATTTATTTTTTATGTTCTATAAATGCAATATAATGTAAATATGTGACTTCCTGTTCAAAATGAACAACTAGGGCTACAATCCTAACTGCTTACCTAGCAGGAAGCCCCATTGAATTCAGGAGGACTTACTTCTTGGTAGACATGGCTAGGATTAAATGGATGAAACCCTAACTACTTCTGATGACCCTCCCTTTTTACAGCTTCCAGGATGATTTTCTTACCATAAGTCCCACAATCCCCCAAGAGAATTACCAATCTTGCCCTCATTCAGGAATTCTTTTTAGTTAACCTTAGGCCTGTGCCCCCCCCCCGCCATTGCCTTGCAAATCATCCTGAGGTGCTCTTCTGGTTCTGAAGGAAGCTTAGTTCCTGTGCCTTTCAAATGTCCCAGATTTTACCATTCCAGAGGGGACCTCCAAACACACTGCTCAGACTTGCATCCCAGGGAGGTCACTTTGGTGCTGCTAATGTAGCAAATTGACTTCACCCCCAGAGGCGCACTCCATTGTCCCTTGAGACAGACGGATGTCAACAACAGCAACCCTCCACCTGAGCAATTTTGGCAACCTTGTGGCACACCCAAGTGATATTATCCTTGGCATCCACAACTGCCTCCTGCCACTTGCCTTCTAAAAACTGTCTACTAGGTGACATCTGGTTGTCTACTAGATACTTATCTAGGTCAGAACAAAAGTTCAAGCTTTGACAATCAAAGAGGGAGTGGAGATTAACATGAGAGATTTAAGGATTCCCCTCCCCCATATTTCATTTCGGGTGGAGTCACACAATTGGATTTTCCAACACAAAAAGACAATTTACAGTCAGCTCATGACAGACATCCCACTCACAATTTGGCCTCAAAAATGTTTTTTTCACTTTGCAGCTGAACTCTTGTTGATTATGTCATTGTTTGCTCCTGTACAAAAATCTGGCAGCCAAGGCTCATCTATGTTACCCTGAAGCAAGTCCATTTAATGTCAGAAGGATTTACTTCCAAGTTAAGTATGCTTAAGATTGCTGCCTCTTGATTTAAGGAAAAACAAAACATACCAAGGTGATTTCATCCAAAGTTGTGGCCCTTCCAGAAATGTTTCTAATCTTTTTACGACTTTGTTCCAAGTTTCAGTGAATGGGCATAAGTTGGCCAATGTCTGTAATACAGTTACTAGTGAGTGATCCATTTTCTGTTTCAGCTCCTAGAAAGATAAGGATATAGATGTTTGAAGGGGGAAAACTACAGAACAAAAGATGCTTTCAGGTGTTGAAACATATTACAGAGTCCTCAGTCCTGTGATTATAATTTATCAGCTGTAACAAGACTCATGAATAACTGTAAGACCAAGTGCAGCCTAGGTTTAATCAGAACTACAGGTCATAAAATAAATCCCATAAGATTAAAGTCTTAGAAAATAACCAAAAAGGCACATACCTTTTACTTAACTAGCTTCTACTCTGATTGTATAATTGAATACTGCCCTCTTCTGACACATTATCTAGTTCACATTTATTATTTTTGTACAAATATAATGTATTTGTTTGCTTTACATTCAAGGCAAATCTTGATTCAATACAGACATCACCGTGGTTGCTTCCAGATGGGGCTTCATACTGCAAATAGCTTGTTCAGATATTGCAAATAGATTCTTGGTAACAAGATTTTCCATAGGAAGTGTAAATCCAGATTAAAGGGCAGGAGGAGTGAATAAACTGACATTTTGATGTCAATGATGTTGAGTGAATGCTGTGAAAAACCTACGTCCGTAAAAAACACCAATCCTACAATAAACTCCTACCTGGAAGTCCACTGCGACATACACACATTCTATATCAGGCTTCCTCAAACTTGGCCCTCCAGATGTTTTTGGCCTACAACTCCCATGATCCCTAGCTAGCAGGACCAGTGGTCAGGGATGATGTGAACTGTAGTCTCAAAACATCTGGAGGGCTGAGTTTGCGGAAGCCTGTTCTATATTTGGTAATCCCTTTCTTATTCTGCCCTTTAAGAAAAGAGGTGAATGAGAGATTAAAGATTTGAGCCTAGTTAGGCAGAGGAGGTGGGAGTTTGAACATTTTTACTGCTTGACAGTCTCCACATATGAAACACCAGAATAAACATTCAGTAATAGAACTACTTACAATTTCTTCCATCAGAGCTTGAAACATGCTATCCTTCTGAGAGACTATCTCCTGTAAAAAATTCTTAAAGTGTTCCCTTGAATGCAGAAACAATAATGCTTCAAACACAGAAGTATTTCTTTCCTCATGGGCTTTTGCATTCTAATGCCAAAGAGATAGATTAGTGAAAATTACCAAAATGATTATATGATAATGTGTATATTCTTCACAATACAAAGGATGCAGACACATGTAAATGGATTTCTTGTTTCATTCAGCTGCAGACTACAGAATTTACAAAGAAGGCATCTGGAAAAGAAACACTTAAATCAGCAGCATGGTTAAGATAATCTCTTCAGGCCAACCAGTTTTTTCCCCTAGGTGGTTAACTCACTAGCACTGTAATCACCAACTGAAAAGAAGTGAAGATGTGAGTAGTCTTCAAAACAAATATGAGATATTGATCCAACAAGACAAAAGCAATATGTTGATAAAAATCAAACACCAGGCAAAAGAAATGTTTGAAATAAGATTATAGCATACTGAATAAACAAAATCGTAGTCCTCCCTTTAGTTCCCACCCCCTTTAATATTAGATGTTTGTTCAGAAGTGTCATAGATTTGTGGCAGAGTATCTGCTTCAATCCCTGGCATCTCCCAGTGAAAGACCTCTGTCAGAAACCTGGAGAGCTGCTACCAGTCACTGCAGACAATGGCAAGCTAGATGGACCATTTGTCTGACTCGATGCAAGAAGCTTTGTACATATGCCCCATGGGCAAATTTTATGGCTACCAAAAAAACCACTTACCTCCTCTAGCGAAACAAGTTTTATACCAAGGGACTTCACGCTTTCTTTCTGTTTTAAGAAATGAAAATGAATGAAAATGCATTAGGGGGTGGAGAGACTCAGGGCCCTTCCAGACAAACTACTTATTGAGCATTTGCTTACACAAAGCTTATGTGGAGGTAAGGAATGGATGGGTCTGTCTGCACTATTGAATTTAAGGCTGGAAAAATGACAATGTAGCTAATCATGGACAGGGCTGGTTGAGAAAAGGTAGCCCTTTTGTTATTACCACTGGTTTCATTAGAAAATCCCTGTTTTCATGAGTGTGTGAGAGGTATATTAAAGTGCTACACAGGCTGTGTGTACACACTGAAACATAGGACACACACACTCCACCCGCAACGGTGACGTCTCACAGCTGCATGCTACAATTTGCTAGGCACTGTATTAAGATTTGCCCTCTTGGTGGCCTTGAAGCAAGGGTCTGGACCCATTTACTTTATCCACAGTAGAAGCTGCCCCTGTAGCCCCCGGCAGCTGGTCTGGTGGTTGTATAAGCACAATGGGTAAGCCAGAATGAACAACACTTGGCTTCAAGTGTAAGGGGCTCAAAATGCCACTCACAATGGCTGGCTTCTGGGTTTGAAGGCACGATAAATTATATGGTAAGGGTCTCGTGCTTGTCCAAAGGCCTTTCTGCAATCTGGTTTCTTAAGCCTTGGGTCTCAAGCACAATAAAGTACCCATAAAAACACCAGTACATGGATGCTCATGGACAGTGGGTAAAAGGCCAGATTACCATCAAATCATTTGAAGCACCCTACATTCAAACCCCCAGTCATTTCATTCATTACATGGCAGCAAACTTGGGTTTACTGCAAAGCATACAACTAGCAGGAGTCATTGGCAGCCAGTTCCAGATATCAGGATCAAAGTGCATGTGAACAATGCATGAGTTTGAAAAATAGCATTTTTTGAATTTATACTTATCTCTCTCAAAGCAGCAACCTCAGTAAAAAATGTTCAGATTATTGGCAAGACCATTTAAAAATAAAATAAAGTTCTGAACATATTAGGGTCAAAATGTCAACTACTAATGAATTCATTATCTCTCTCAAAGCAGCAACCTCAGTAAAAAATGAGCTGTTAAATACCAGACTTGCGACACATTTACGGATCACACCATTCTCTTCATGCAAGCTTGCCATTTTATTCTTGGTGTCTTCAAGTTCACGCCATATGTTTTTGTAGTTTTCTAAAGGCTTCTGCATGCTTAAAAGAAAAGGTTATATACATTTCAGTAGAGTCTTTAGAAAGCTCTTAAGCAGCAGCAAAGTTCACAAGCTGGACAAGGCACAAAAGCAGTAAAAAAAAAGATGAACCAACAAGTTACATCAGGGTTGTCCCGCCAGTATAGCACCCACAGAAGGTCTTAGTAAACATTGCTTCAAAAAGCCACAATAAGGTTCCCACTCAGTTCCTGTTTTCACTAGCTCAGTCTCTACTGTCCTGAACGCCCTTCAAACATGCCCACATTTCATTGGATGCCAGGATTGGACACCCAGCCTCACATCTGTTCTGAACAGAGGAGAAGTGAAAATAACTTCTCTCTGTGAGCAAGCACAGTGGCAGCTGATACAGGTGTATTTTTCTACCACTGAGGAAGGGATAATGGGAGAGGGGCATGGCTGCAGCATTTTGTGGTTGTGTTCTTTTTAATTTTTTTGCTCCTTTAGATATGGCAGCCATTATGCCTTACTCCCAAAGCATCCATTTGGTATTATGCCACACACCCCACAGCATCTTTACAAAATTCCCAATGTGGCCACTTGCCTGGAAAGTCCCACGGAACCTACTCGGAGAAACCTCCTATTAAACATGCATAGGAACAGGTTGCAAACTAAATAGAACATTAATACTGCCTACTTATAAAGTCAGAAAAGGCACTGCTTTGGAAAATGGAGCCCAGCACCACCTAGCCTTGTTGGTTTTTAAACTACATGTGAGTACTGATCAGAATAGGATCTGTCAGGTTGGTCCGGTTTCTTACCCACCCACCAATCTATCTAACTACTTCTCTTAAAGTGATCCATTCAAGAAGTTGGATCTGTGAGTTGACCTTTTTGTACACTGGCAGCGCAGTCATAATAACATGCTTTCAAACAGTGCTTCAAAAAATGAGAAAAGGAGAGAGTATATGTACACACACACTTAGAAAATAATACCTTGCCAGTCTGTCTCTCAGCTCTACAATATCATCTGTCAATTGCAGATAGGATTCCTCAGACAACTCCATTACTTTCTGCATTCCCAGTAACTGCGCAGTCATTTTCTGATTCATGTATTTTAAGTCTTCAACGCTGCTGTTTAAGTCGAAAGCCCTTAATAAATTAAAATGTAGGCCTTCAGTATTAAGAGACCTTTTCCTCAGTTTATAACCTTTGGCAGGTTTACAAGTCATTAAGTGCTAATCTAATGTGTACTTAATATCCACCCACCCTGATCCAGTGTGCCCATCCTAGCTGGGATGACATGAACAGAACCTGAGGAATAATCATGCTAATACTTGCTTGTCCAAGCCTTTGCATTAACCCTGCAAAATGTTTGATTACTGATTGGATTGATTCCTGGGCAAGAGCCAGGAAAAAAACTTGTCAGATGTGTATGTGCCTAACCCAGCCTCTTGGTGAGAGATAGACTACTGGGAAATGGCAATCTGGTGAGAACATGGAAACCATTAGAGGGTACATACGCAGGATGCTCGGTGGGTGGTAATACGATACTGAGCTCTCCCACTGATGTTGAACAGTGGCCTTGGGGCAGAGGAAAAAGCCAGCAACAGCATAATGTGCCTTTAGCACAGACAGAAGGTGAGGAAGATTCAGGAAGCAGCTATCGCTAAGGTCCTGGGGTGTGGGAGGAATGGAACAGGGAATAGGCAATATTGTCATAGAAAAGTAGGGAGTAGATGCTTGACACCTGTTGCCTTGCTCAGCCTTCCCCCAACACAGACTTGGGTAGCATGCTGGCCTGCCCTCCCATCCAGTATTACTTAATGCCAGGTCAGTCTAATAAAACAATTCTCATCCATTATTTGATCATGGGTGAGGTGCCCAATCTGGTGTGTTACAGAGACCTGGGGAGGTAGGGCTGACTTTACCTAGCTTTGCATGCCTGGTTATTCAGTGCCGTGCCAGTCAAGGTTGGAGGGATAGGGAGGGAGCATGGCAGTGATCCATAAGAATCCCATCATTCTCACCAGAAGGCCAGACCATCTGGGACCTGGGTGTGATAGTTTGTACTTGGTGCTGGGAGCCAGACACAGAACAGGGTTCTAGTTGGAGTACCATCTGCCTTGCAGCCCTACAACTTCCCTCACTGAGATGGTGGAGGGATAATGTTGGAGAATCCCAAGACATTAGTTTTGAGGGTCATCAGTATCTATGTTGATGCTGCCCTATGTGGGCCACTTCAGGACTTCCTGGCAGCCATGGCAACCATGGAGCTGTCTCAATACATCATGCACCCAACGCATACCACAGATAATGTCCTAGGCTTTTGCTACAGAGCGCACTGAGAAAAATCAGTAGGTGAATATTGCCCCACCGTCATGGATATATCATTCACTAGTGAGCTTCGGATTGGCTATGACTCAACCTCCCTGCAGAGGTGTAATACTCTGTCTCTGTAACATCCTCAGTAAATTGCCCAGCAATTCACTGTTTAGAGTGGTAAACCAGCTGGTCCAGACCAGAGTGCTATCATTGACCAACCCCACCCCCCACCCCAAAAAACCATCAGTCAGTAGCCTGCTGTGAGAGATTTGTGAACCACTTTATGGGCAAAATCACCCAGATCTGTGCTAAACTTGATGCCACAGTTAGTTCAGGTCCATTGGAGGTCCCTGGACCACCATCAAATTATACCTAGTAGGATTCAGTTGTTTCAGCCAAGGACATGGACAGGATTGTGGTGGTAAGATCAACAATGTGTCCTTTTGACCCCACCCATTACAGCTGATAAAATCTAATAGGAGGGTATTGAGTTATGCCCACTGTGTTGAAAGAGGCAATGGTGTTGCCCCTCTTGCAATGTAAACAGCAACACCACGCAATGTACACAGCTGAATTCCTTCAACTTTCATATTCATAAACATTACTTGGAAATGTCCATTTCAGAATCTCCAGGTCTTCCTTCATATATGTCAGCATCTTCATCAGATAAGAAGGACATCATATCTGTTCAAGGGGGGAAAGGGTGTTGTATTAAATGTTGTTTTGCAATACGTATCGACATTGTGTTGGCGACATTGGTTGTTTCAAGCTAGGCTTTGGGAAAACTAACACAAACATGTGAGAAGTAGGCACATAAAATGAATGTGTAGGTGTTGGCCGTAATGCAAGTGTTAGGCATACTTGAGGCAGCTGAGCTTAAGCATATCTAATTTTCTTTAAATAAAAACCCAATACAATCATCGCATGAAAAACAGAAGGTGCACTTTGATGTTATCCCATTTTAACCTCACAATAATCCTCAGAAGTAGCTTAGGCCACTGAGTAAGACTTAGTGAGGAACTGAATCCAGATCTACATTCAACATTCTGTCCACCACATCCCCATTCTATCCACATTCACTAGACCAAAATTGTGCTGGGTAATGCCCTTCAAGTTAATGACAGTAGTAGTGGCAATTGTCCTTTATTAAGCATAGGCTTACAGCTTCTCCTGGATAATTTGATTAAAAATTTCCCAGGACAGCCCACAAGGCCAGTTCCAGATACAGTGGTACCTCGGGTTAAGAACTTAATTTGTTCTGGAGGTCCGTTCTTAACCTGAAACTGTTCTTAACCTGAGGTACCACTTTAGCTAATGGGGCCTCCTGCTGCCGCCGCACTGCTACCACACGATTTCTGTTCTCATTCTGAAGCAAAGTTCTTAACCCAAGGTACTATTTCTGGGTTAGCGGAGTCTGTAACCTGAAGCATCTGTAACCTGAAGCGTCTGTAACCCGAGGTACCACAGGACCTGACACAAACACTGCATTCATAGTAGTCAGTCAAATAAGTCATGACTGATTCTGCTTTTAACAGAAATAGCACCCACATCTGTGAAGAATAATGCATGACTGGAGAAGTAAGCCATCCACCTACTCACCATTGCAATGCAAATTTCTGTTAGTGGTAGTAGTGAACTTGTCAACTTCTGTTTCTGAAATGCTAGGTTAAAAAAAAAAAGCTGTTCTTAAACCGTCTGAAGACATTTGCTAATGATAAGGTTGATTCTTCAAGAACTTGCAAAATTCTTTTACTGAATTTATGCAAACAACTTCATTATATTATATTAAGCATAAGCTATAGAATTCACAGAGAAACCCTAGAATTAATGTGATAAAATATTGTGAAGTAATATTTTGACCAAAATCTTATTTGTATTAACAATGATCTAGGGATTGCACTTCAAACTGTCTCTAAGTGCTTGAGATCTTCTCCACAAGTAGCTAGCGATAAAGGCTAAGCAGAAATTGACAGTAAGAATTTCCAGTTTTAGTTGTCAGCACTATATTAGGGATGCATTTCCCAGTCACCTTAATAGTGAAGTCAAAAAATTAAGAGGAGAACATTTGGCTTCAGCCTCATCCTTATTTATATCCAGCAGAACAGAGAGGTAATATATGGAGAGACAGAATGCCCATGTTATCTATAAAATTACTCCTCTGTTTGTCTCCCTAGGCAACAATCAATCCAATTTTTCATACCCGAGTGCTTGGGAATCATACAGTACATGAGTCTGAAAGTCAACAGCAGGGAACAAAACAGAATCAAAGAATTCTACCTCAGAGTTAGTGTTTTTCTAGAAAAAGAGGTTCTCTTATAATGACAATGGCACCCACCTGAGGGTTGTCAGAACTAAGCTCCAGGTGCAAAAAAGCACTGGTTGTACTATACACTATCCAACCCCTATTGTCTCCCTCTCCATGTGTGTCTTTCATAAGCAAAATGTGTCCTTAATAGACCGGGGGGGGGGGGGAAACTATACTAAAGAAAAAGACAATAAATGAAATAAATATCATAGCAGAACCCATGGCTTATAAAACAGTTTCCCAAACCTGCCGATTAACCTGAATGTAGAGACTGAGGTGATTTGCGGGAAAGAACTTGTAGACAGGGAGGCAGTGCTCAACAGTTCTTTTATCAGTTTCCACTTTCCCAAATACAAACATCCCTCTCCGCCACCATCCCAGGCTATTTTTCCTTACAGTTAAGACTTATTCTGGAGTCAGAGCCCAGTTGGAAGAAAGCCATCTTAGGAAAACTAGCCAAAACTGTGGCATTTTTGAGGAACCAGATGTGCTCTTCAGCAATTCTCCTTGGCAATTTTTCTGCCCCCATATTACAATTAGAATGCAAATACATTATCCTGTACATTTGTAACTGCAGTTTAAAAGTAAATCTTTAGAGAATCTAAGTAACCCATGTGCTTTATAACATATAGCTCCACTACTTAAGGTGTGTGCATAAAGGGGCTTGGGCAGTGGGAAACAACGTAATGAGCAATAGCTTTACCATTCTACTTCTGGTCCCATTACCCACCCTGTAGACTATGCAGGCTTCCAGCTTTGCCCCAAAGCGGTCAGAGACCAAGAATGAAGAACAGAGTACAAGAAATAGAAGCCTTGTTGCCACTGCTTCTGCGTTTTAGAAATTATATCAAATTGTATCTCAATTAAAGCCAATGGGAAAGCAGAGAAGAGTAAAATGGACTTTCACTTACCAATCTTGACAGCATATGGCTATCCATTCTTTCATAGTTTCATGAAACGTTTCTCTGTCAACAAGAACATTTTGCCTTTTCGGGTCCAGCATGTTGTAGAGCGTGAGCAGTTTACCATTCTCAAGGCTATGCCCAGTCATATCCTCCAAATACTTTATAAAAGCATATGCAGGTACACCTTCTGTTATTTAAAAAGCAGGGGGGCAGGGAAGAAGCAGTGATTTTCATAGATTTTACATTGCAAACGTTATAAGGAAAGGCTGGATAAGTTTTATTGAAAAGTTACAAATAAATGTACAAACTTTCACTGACTCTACACACCCAATTGCTCATAGGAATAAGATCTAGAAAAGCATCAAACGTACCTGTTTCTTTAGTGTTGCAAACTTCAAAAGCAATGTTGATTAAATCATCTTCCAAGCAATTAGCAGAGAGTGACATGTTGTTCGCTACAAATTCATCAACTAAAGAGTTGGCATTTCCTAAAATGAAAGTGGTGTGGAAAGATAGGATACTTAAAAAGCACTTAAAAAACAAAACTGTAGATTACATTTTCAAGAAACTGTATGCCTAAGAACAATCTCCCTATCAGCCTTCTCTCAGAAGAAGGTATGAATTTACAATTCTATCAAAGCCAATGGTTGTGTAAGCTTTCAAATTCCCACAAAGGTACAGAACTTAAAACCCGGTGCTCATTAGTTCCCTTAGTACTTAACCTGAACCTTAGAGGGCTTAGAGCTTAACACATTACAATGGCAGTTTGTGAAAAGAGATTTTGTAATATTAACTGGCTCTGCTGAAGCATGTGTTGTAATCCTACATAACGTTTAGGACCAGATCCAAGAACCAAATCTATAAGTATGAGCACTTCCAAAACCAGAGACAAATTGAGCACACTGAAATGAACATCCTGAACAGCATATAGGCAGAAAAAATGCTTTTACTTCTGGAAACAGAGGATTGAACTATGTAAACATTGACTGTTTCCAAACAGGTGGTTCCTAGGAGTGAATAAATCATTGCTCTCTTCTACAAACAGAATTGCAATTGCATTTCCATACTAATTAGGGATATCACACATTTTCTCTATGTTCATCCTGCTGTGTTCACTCCACACCGGGAAGCATGATGTAGCTGCTGTAGGTGGAGATGGTTCAGCTCCCCTGAGCAGCAATTAAAAATTATATTAATTTCAGGTGATAATTTATTAAAGAATTATTTATATAGCACAGTGATGGCCCTACAGATTTGGATGGACTACAATTTTCAACAGTAGCTGATGTTGGACTGTGATTCTTGTATTGCAGTCCAGAAACACTTGAAGGGCCACGGTCTCTCCACCCTGATTTACCACCAAGTGCTTATCTATTTGTGTTTACCCATTACTGCCCATGAATTTTTAAAAAAGTCTTTCCACATTCATTTTGAATTGGATGTGTTTAAGTAGGAATGACACACGATTAAAAATATTTTTACTCTTCGTTTTATAGTGCTGTAACACCTTTTCATTCAATCCAGGGGTAGCAAATGAGGGGTCTTTTGCGTGTTTTGGGGACTGCAGCTCCCATCATTCCTGGCCACTGGCCATGCTGGTAAGGGATGAGGGAAGCTGCAGTCCCAACAAAATCTAGAGTGAATCACATTGGCTATTCCTGATTTAAGCAGTACTTTGCTAATATTTTAATATATTTTGAATTATGGCTGGAAAAGTGTTTACAGTAACTCTGCCTTTTTATGGCTTTATCAAACGGTGCCCACAATTAGGAAGGATGGTTATACTGTGTGTGTGATGAGGTATGAACACATCACTGCCCATGTCAAAATCATGCCTCTGAAAAAAACAACAACCTGAAAAGTATTGCTAAGGGTATCTGCTCCTGTAAATATGGTGCTACCCATCTGTCCTTCTTCAACAACATCCCAGACCTTCTGTGTTAAGTAAAGAGATGAAACAAGCATTGAGAGGGTTACAAATGGGTGATGGGTAGACACCCACTACCTGTAAAATGTGAGTGAGGCACACATAGCATAGCGATTTCATACAAAACAGCTAGCGTGGGAGAAGCCGTGGAGGAAGCTAGCTAGATCTGTAGCAAATGGATTTCTGTTCCATGCCAAACGTCTTTGTTTTTGCTCCCAGTAAGAGGCATTTTTCACAAATCCTGAAAGTTCATATACCTGAGTAAATATATAAAGTTTCTCTGCTGCCACTCTGACTTTATCACACACTCTCCCCGAAACAATAGGCAGTGCAATATTAGTGACAAAATAGGAACCAAACTGTTCCTCAAGTGGTTTGAAGGTGGGGAAACAGTTGTGGGAAACAATTAAGGAACAGAGCCATAGCCATTCTATACCTTTGTATGTGAGGGTGGAACACCACATTATCAAGAAACAGGGCTGAGAACATGTGTGCTTTCTTTGTAAGTGAAATGCAGGGACACAGGAACTATTGCAGGAAATAACTGATTGACAGGAATGGAGTGCTTAACTCTTCCCCACACCTGCTTGTTTCCTTTCTCCTCCTCAATACAGTTTTTAATGTTTTTCCAATACTGTAAGCTCAGGAAAAACAGCAGCTATTCAGTTGTGAAGTAAGACTCTTACCTGATAACAGCATGCCTTGTGAAGAAATACTTGATGTGTAATTCATGTTTAGTGAACTACAGATTCAAAGAGATGTTTTCTAATTTGTGTCTGTCCTGTAACACGAACTTCACTGAAACATAATAATAATACTTAGCACCTCCATTAGTCTTTAGAGTATTCAAAGTATTTAACATAACAAGTATTTAACATACATGTAACCATGCATGGAGTCCCGCCCTAAGCTGAGAGTTAGCAGACACAAAAAGCAGAGCTTGAGAGAAAGATAGTTGTGTTTTTTTGCAAGCTGGAGGAAGAAGGAGTTGGTGGGATCTGGCAGTTTGGATCCACTGCCATGAGAGAAACAGTACCCGCTTGGAGCTTAATGCCTTGAACCCTTTTACTGTAGGCGCAGGTTGCAAACAAGCCATATATCATAAAGACACCACAATCTCCACTGTGTCTCATTTCCAAAGGAAACACAAACCCTGGGTTAGTTCCTGTTCCAACATTTCGGAGATAATACTGCTTTTAAGTATATGAAACACTTTTATTCTTGAACAAGGATCAGTCAGTATGCACACACAACATACATTGCTGAAGGCTCTCTTGCATGTTCTGTTCATTTGGTCTGTCCTACATCTGCTCTGGAAACAGGAGGGGTAGTAAGTTGACCATAGCTCATTTTTTAATTGAAAATAATGTTCAGGCAGTGAATTTGGGTGCAACGTCAACAGATTTAGCAGTATGTGATTTAGCAGTAGGTGTTTAGGTTGTGTGAAAGAAAATGAGCAGGCTTGACAGTTTGCACCCCTGTGTTTGTACCTGTACTAATGTCAAGCTGAATCTTCTACCCCGCTCAAGAGAACAAAGTGCAATTATAGGTATGCCTATTCCTGAGTAAACCCCATTGAATTCAACTGAACGTCTACTTTTCTGGGAGTAACCCCTATTGAATTCAGTAGGACTTACTTGTGGGGAGACACGCATTTGATTGCACTATGAACTGCTGCTGCTTCTTTTAAACAACATTATAAGCACTTCAGTCTCCGGGCATGCCTCAAGCCATGCTGCCGGCCGTTTTCTTTTAGCAAATTGTGCAGAATACGCTGGTGAGGAATTCTAGGCTGCAAAATGCGGCGCAAACTTTTACTCTTCCCCGGCTTTACAATCCCCTTGTGTGAAACCAACCGGCGCCTCAGGGAACGGGCTATGCTATAAAATCCGTGACCTAATTTACTCGATTCATCTTAAGTGTCGTGTTTCGCTTCTGTTTTTTACTTTACACGGAGGCATTCCGACATTATTCCTCCGTCCGAGGGAAGTGGTCCAGAATTCCGCCTCTCCGTTCTGCATAACGAGCGGATTCCGCCTTTCTTTTCTTTTTTTCAAAGGCGTTTATGTTACTGAGGAGGAGGCCCCGTTCCCAGGTAGGCCGCTCTTTTCGGCGCCCGCTCTCGTGGTCCGCTGCCCCCTGCAGGAGAAGGCCGGGGAGAGCGAAGGCGGCGGAGCAACAGAGGCGGGAGCCGCAGACGACGACGACAGTGGCGCCGCCTTCGCCTCTCCTTCTCCACGCCCTTCCCTACGAGCACTTCCGAGGTCGAGGCCTGGAAGCGGCTGCGCGGACCCGGACGGCGACGGGACCTGCTCCCGAGAGGGCGGAACGCGGAGGCACCTCATCGAGAACGAGCCGGAGGCGTCGTGTGAAGTTGCTCGGCTGAGGCGGCCCCTGGGGACACGGTGCCCGCAGCCGCCATGTCTCGCGGCTCGATCGAGATCCCCCTCCGGGACACGGACGAGGTGAGGGGCGGCGCGGGGGTCTCCGGGGGGCGCTCGTGGTGGTGGGGGGCTCCTCTTTATTGAGGAGTTCAGCCGCTGGCTTCGCTTTTCTCCTTCCCGCCTGTTCCTTGGAGGGAGAGGTGTAATGAGGGGCTTAAGGGCGACCCCGCGCCCGCCTTCCCTCGTCACCCAGTGCGTTTTGCAGAGTTGTGGAAAGTGATGTTACAACCCACTCAGCTGCTGATTCTAGGCCCGTAAGATTAACTTTCCTCGTGTGTGTGTGTGTGTGTGTGTGTGTGTGTGTGTGAGAGAGAGAGAGAGAGAGATATACACACACACAGGACAGTACTGATAAACGTGTCGTTTTTTTCCATCCTTGCGCATTCTTAGCAACCGCAGGTGTGTGCACATGGGACCTGGGCGCCTAGTAGCCACTTCTTGGCTTTGTATTTTAAAAGCGTTTGCCTCGTTTAGAATTGCCACTGGAAATACAAACATGCATTCAAAGAGGATTTTAATGTTGTCCTTCTTTGCCTGCATGGCTATTGGTTGGGCCTGATAGGTGCTGCTAGACCAGTGTTTCCCAAACTTAGGTCTCCAGCTGTTTTTGAAGTATAATTCCCATCATCCCTGACCATTGGTCCTGCTGGCTAGGGATGATGGGAGGTGTCCAGAAACAGCTGAAGACCCAAGTTTGGGAAACACTGTGCTAGACTGATACAACAACTAGCTTAGAATTACTTCACATAAGACCTTTTCTACACAGGTATAGCGGTTGTGCAGGAAAGTACATAAATCTTGCATGCGATCCATTTCAGGGATGCAGGGGTTCTTATTTTTCTGCATGTCCCTGTGTAGGAAAGCCATATTATGTAAGGTGTCCCTCAGCTCAATAGTTTATTCTTTGAGCATGTTGAGCGGTCAGAACAGTTAAAGCATCTTTGGGAGCTAACTAGTGTGTATTACCATAAAATGTGCTTGAAAACTTTCCTCAAGGTGCATGAGCAGAATAGTACATGCCTTAATAGCTCATAAAGTTATTAATATTTACAATATCACTTTTTTTTTAGGTCATTGAGCTTGACTTCGATCAGTTACCGGAGGGGGATGAAGTTATAAGCATTCTGAAACAGGAACATACTCAACTGCACATATGGATTGCTCTAGCGGTTAGTTTTTTGCCAATTCATTGTAGCTGATTTATTTACTTACTATGCTTGTATCCCATCCTTATCTCTCACCTGATACTGCATTAGCAGAGACGATTAATTGCCAAAGCCATAGATGTTATGTAAAAGTAATTACCTCTGAGTTCAAAAGGACTTGCTCTCCAGTAATTGTGTTTATGATTAAAGCTTTCATCTTAAAATGAGCACTTGTATGTATACTTCTGAATGTTATGCATTTTAAGTTTTGAAATAACTGCTCTTGTTTTTCGTCTCACGCTCCAATTTGTATTTTTGTTCCCTGATCAAAAAACACATTTATGGGTCTCTTATATATGTGAAATTAGGACACATTAATTTCGTTAGCTGATCCATGCACATAAAGAAATCCATTAAATGAAATAGTGGCATGTTACAGGAACATGTCGTAACGTCAGTGCCTGAAACAGATTGCTTGATCAGAGTGTACCTGTGTGCTGCTAGTCATAATTAGGTCCAAAATGAGTGTGTCACATGTTACTTGAAATGAAGAATGGATGGTAGGTATTTAAAAGGGAGGTTGGCACTTTAGAAATTAAATTTAGGCCTTACCTCACTGCATGCTGCTTTCCCACAAAAATGTGCAAAATGGGCTCACAAAACAACAGCAATACGTATCAATACGCCAATCTATATCAGTACAATATAATTCCAATGCATTTCAAAACATGACAAATTTAAACAATCACTTTGATAATACTAACACATTTTAATTTCCTTATAAAATGCTCAGTAATAATTAAGACATATATTGATGTTATTTGTTCAAAATATAACCAGAATTTCATAGGATAAAACTTCTGTTATAACCAGCAGCTAGTTCCTCAGAAGTACAGGAAATGGCAATCAATTTCGTTACAGCTTGCAGGAGATGATACCTTGCATGCCCCGCTCTCTCTTATATTCTGGTATACAGTGGTGCCTCGCAAGACGAAATTAATTCGTTCCGCGAGTTTTGTCGTCTTGCGATTTTTTTCGTCTTGCGAAGCACGGTGTCGGGAAAGTTTTGGAAAAGCTTCAAAAATCACCAAAGTCTTTAAAAACCTCAAAAAAGGCTACCACACCGCGTTCTATGAGTTGCTCCTCGAAGTCATGTCGCAACTGTATTAAGGGTGTTAAGAAAAAGGAAACAAACTTGCAAGACGTTTCCGTCTTGTGAAGCAAGCCCATAGCAAAAATCATCTTGCGAAGCAGCTCAAGAAACAAAAAACCCTTTCATCTAGCGAGTTTTTTGTCTTGCGAGGCATTTGTCTTGCAAGGTACCACTGTAGTTCTTAAAGGCCCCAACAGTGATGGGTGGTGGTGCCTGCTATATCTGGAGGGCCTGTTATGGCTGCAGGTTATACTAAGCCACTTTGGAAGCTGTATGTTTTCAATTTCTCTGGAGCAGGACTCTTCCTATAGCAGTGGATCCCTTGCATGCCTGACTGTCTCGTATATTGTGATGCAGTTCTTAAGGGTTCCCATTACACTTGCCAGTCCACTACTGACAAAAACACATTTTGCTTGGGCCGCAGCACAGAATCACTGGGAGCCTCTGCCTTTCTTTTGTACCTTGAGAAGTTATGAGGACTCCTCCCTAAAACTTACTTCAGAAGTATGGGAGAATGGCAGGGACTGTCCCTGATGCTCTGCTACTTCAAGAGCAATGATATGTCTTTTTGCTTTATTAATATATGCACAGTTGGAATGAGCTCCCACCCTGCCTCTGCAGGAACTCTCCCCACCCCATACACAAGTGTACTAGGTTTCAATCTCAGTGTAATGTCAGGTGATCCTGTTCCTTCCCTCTGAGATGTGCAACAGGGAGAACAGTTTTGGCTGCCTACAAAGACAAGTGCAAGGTTTGTCAGCACCTGAAATGATCAGTGAATTTTCCAGTTCCCTTTAAGATTGTACAGATCATATCTACACTTCTTGTAACTGTTTTTATCAGTGAAGGTTATTGGTGACGGCAGCATTCCCCATTCATCACTTGCAGTAAACTGTAGAATAAGCAGTTTTTGAATTTGCTTTGTTGGTTTATATAGTACAATAGTTGAATGAACAAACACTAACATGAAAACGTTTTATCTAATATTAACCATAAATCGATGATTTCTCCCCCTAGTAGAGTTATACAAAAAAACCGTACATATGCCTCTGTATTTCCTTTTTCTAGCTGGAATATTACAAGCAAGGCAAAACAGAAGATTTTGTGAAACTGTTGGAGGCTGCTCGTATAGATGGAAACCTGGATTATAGAGACCATGAAAAAGATCAGATGACTTGTTTAGATACCTTAGCAGCCTACTATGTACAACAGGCTCGGAAAGAAAAGAATAAAGACAACAAGAAAGAACTCATTACACAAGCTACACTGTTGTACACTATGGCTGATAAAATCATCATGTATGATCAGGTAAGAACAAATAAAGTTGGAGTAAAAACATCCTTTTTTGTATGCTTGCTTTGCAACATTATAATGCCAGTAAACTAGTTGGGACGTTGAAGTAACACCCACATCTTGCATATAGGTGGTGTGATAGATAGATGATAGATAGAGTGCTGTTTTCTTAAAGATTGCCTCATCTCAAGAGATAGCAAGTGCAATGGAATGATTTACTCACAGCTGCTCTAAACAGTCTGGCTTGGGAGATTGAAAGCTGGATAACACATGCAGAACCTTATTCCTAGATGTGGTTTGCTTTCATTTGTGCAACACACATACACCACACTGTATGCTCCAGCTCATTTGCAAGCAGAAAACTTTGAGCTTATGGGTTGCTGCTGTTGCTGGAACACAGCGGATAATTGCTGAAGGGAATGGAGCCACTGTGGTCATTTTACCAGCTGTTTGAATATAACAATAAAATTGGCTTTACCTCTTAATCAAGTATAATACGTTCTTGGCCAAATTTTGCTAGTGTTTTATGGAGTCTCTTCCCCGCCCCTCTTCCGTATTCCTGACCTGTGGAAGTACCAGGAGTATTCATTTTTTTAAAAAAATAAGGCACATAAAACTACTTGGAAGTATACAGCATCCTCTTTGCATGTGAAAGGTTCCAGACTCCATGCTTGGAACAGGATCCTGTTTAAAATCCTGGAGAGCCACTGCCAGTCACTGTTTAGTCTACAGCTGACTGCTGAATTAGGTGAAACAATGGTCTAACTTGTTATAAGGCATTTTCTTACGTTTCTATTATAGTAATAGGGGAATGGGACATCCTAAACAGCAGGGGAAAGGGAGAAAGGGAAGCATGTCAGAAATAAAGACAGTAGTAGCAGTATACTGATAGTTTTCATGAGGATCTTGTAGAGAAATAAGGAGAGAAACTGGACCATGGGGATGTTTGAAATAACTACAAAACTCATATAATTGTGGGTTATTGCATCAGCAGTAAGCCCTAAAATGGGGCAGTTGAGGTGGAAGACTGGAAGCTTTGAATCCATTGGGCAGAATAGAACTGAAGAGTCACTGCCGTGTCTTGAAGCCCTGCCATTCGTACCAGTCAGGGCAGAATGTGGGGCAGTGAATTTGGTCTTCTTTGAATCTGTAGTTTACTAAACATGAATTGCACATCAAGTATTTATTCACAAGGCATGCTGCTATCAGGCAATGTGCAGCAGAGGGGTCTGTATGTATCTTAAGCATCTAGGATACCCTGCACTAAAATGCTTAATTTGGGGACTTAACTAGTGCTGGAAGAATTCACAATGAGCAATCCTTTGATTCAACTCTTAAAACATTTCTTGAAAGACAATTCACATCTGTATCTTGCTTTCCAGAACCACTTATTGGGAAGAGCTTGTTTCTGTCTTCTGGAGGGTGATAAAATGGATCAAGCTGATGCACAGTTTCATTTTGTTCTCAACCAGTCTCCAAATAATATTCCAGCCCTTCTCGGTGAGATGTGAAATATCTTTTTGGATGCTTTCCCTTCACACAATTTCTGTCTGGTTTTTAACCAGTAAAACTTTAGGCTCAATATACCTTTAGAAACCACTGCTTTTCCTTTTACCCTTGATCAGTTTCAAAGGCCATAAAAATAGCTGCCTCCTCTTTGTATAAAACTGCCTTACACTGCAGGCTTGTCAGTCCATTTGAGCACCTTAGAGAAGAGTTATGAGACTACCTAATTTGGCAGGCAACAGGACTCAAGAGTTAAGTTCAGTGCTTGAATTACAAGGCAGGAAGAGAGAGCCACATTCACCTTTTTTAATGGCTTCTTTAGGTACACATGGGGGTATGATTTGGCTAAAAGCGGGAGAAATCACATGCTTGTGGATTTTGTTGAGTTCCCCTCGACCGCTTCCCCAATAACATGAGTATTAAATCCCCAGTAACATGAGTATTAAACTGACTAAGGTAAAAGAAAATTTGGTGACATTTTATTTGCTAATGTGAAGAGTGCTTAAACCTTGGGAGGGGTTGGCTGTTGTTGGATATTTGTGTGTGTTCATTAAAGTGTTCTTTGAATGAATATGTTGCTATCCTGTATGTGCTGTAGCAGTTATCATGTTCATGAGATTTGTATAGATGTTATGAAAACAGCCATGCACACCTGAAATCTGCGATACTCCATCTTGGAGTATATTTCTAGATAGTATGGGGGTAGGAATGAATATACAAAACACAGTCAAATTTGGCATAAACTGTATATTTGAAGACAGAGATTTGTCTCTGTCGCTTTTGGAAACGAACTACTTATCATTCATACCAGTTTTGTCATACTGAACTTTGCACTATTATATTACGCTTCAGTTTTACTTGAGGCTTACATCCACTGAAATCAAATGAGTATATTTACAATTAAATGTGCTTTGGATCACACCCACTACACTGGGGATACTTGCCACTTGAGTGGTTTCTTTTATAATTGTGACCTATTATGCATATGTACTTGTAGCTGGTAAAACAATGAACTGCTATTGATTTGTTGTGGTTGTTATTCAACTTGTGTAGATATTTCTCAGCTTTTATTGCTCCTGTCTAATAGGTAAGGCATGCATCTCATTCAACAAGAAAGACTATAGAGGGGCCCTTGCCTACTACAAAAAGGCACTGCGCACTAACCCAGGTTGTCCAGGTAAGGAACAAAAAAGCTTCATTTTAATTAAAGACATTGTTTGGTTCATTGGGACCAAAAATAGTGTCGCTAAATTCAGGTAGTTTGAATACTAACATGATTTTTAAGCTTTGACATTTGTCTTTTGTCTTACATATTAAGGAGGACAATCATTGTCATAGCTGACCTTGGGTCTTGCCAATGCCACTTAAAAAGCAATAGAGTATTTTAATTAACTGTGGATTAATCCAGTTGAAGTCAAAATAAAATGAATGTGGTGCCTTTTTGTTGGACCTCTGCTGCTGAGAGAGTATAAACTTTGGAGATAAATGCATTAGTCAAGTACAGCAGAAAGCAAGTGCAAGCATAAGAAGCTACATTATTGCATTGATCTATCTGAGTCAATGAGGTCTGTTACTGACAGTAATTCTCTAGTCAGTGGTCTTTCCAATATTTGCTACCCAAGATATTTTCAGTGGAGTGCCAAGATCAATATCCTGGGGTTTTAAAACATGAGAATGACCATGTTGGATCAGACCAAAATTCATTCTAGCTTACCTAGATGCATTTCAAGGTAATAGCATCTCTCCCCAACCCCACGCCACTCACCAGCAACTGGTATTCACTGGAATACTGCCACTGAGCTTTGATGTCCAATAGAGAGATTATCACTAGTAGCCAGTGACAGACCTATTCTTTTATGACTTTTCATACACAGAACATATGCTCAGCCACTGAGCTATGGCCTCTTACCTTCTTTCAGAATACATTATTTCTGCCTCATGGGAGAGTTCCTGGATCTATAGTTTTCCAAAAACAAATTTGACAAGGGGTGGAGGTGGACTGGGGAAGCTAGGATTTTTTCTTTGGCTCAAATATTATTTCAAGCTGTAAAATAACTTTATGCCTTGTGGAGCTCACTCATTTTGAGGCATGCTTTCTAAGCCCTGAAGCTCAGTTCCAAGGCTGAGTTCAGAATTTTGCTGGCATATTAATCTGTAACATTTATTAAAAATTTTAAGAATTCTTGTTAAAAGTTGTGTGTTCTCTAGAAAAGCTTGCCTACAGAGTGAGATAATATCCTCTTCTTACTCTTTGTTATTGTTATTTGTGTTGCTGCTGTAATTTGAAGCCAGTAGTAGACCCCTAATTTTCTAATCCTTCTTAAAAAAATTAAAAAGTTATTCATGCAACCAAGAATTGGTGTACATTTGGACACATGAGGGGTAAATATGTGAAGGAGTGGGGGGCATGCAAGCAAGCCACTTGAGGACTCCTCTCTCACCGTTTTGTGCATTAGTTTCCCAAATGCAGTTAGAATGTGAGGGAGAGCAAGGACAAGCACACTATCTCTGCCTTCTCTCTTGAGTCACAGTGCCTTTTTCTGCCGTCCTCCATTCTTTGGAAGGCAAGCATCTGCAGCACGAAGCCTTCTGTATTTATGTGGTCTCCCCATGTAATTTAGAACTCTAATCATGCAGCCGACATAAGTACAGCAGGCTCCCCTCTGCAGACACTTGCTCTCCAACACAGGAGGGCACTGGAGATGGGCACACAAGTTGGAGCTAGCACACTTGTCTCCATCTTTCTTCTCCTTGCATGATGGGCATCATGCCTGAAGAGAGCTCAGGATAAGTACAAACCTTTACTTATTAGTTAGAAAGTCTGTGGGCAGGGACTGTTGCAAATTATTGCTATCATAAAGTGCCAAGTAGAGATTTAAGGGCTCTAGAAACAGTAAATTATGAACCTACGTTTCTTAAAAGGCAATCGAGGTGTGAATGGCTATGTTCTAATATATGTTGTTGTTTTTTTCTGTCCCCACCCCCCACCCCAAAACTAGCTGAGGTTCGGCTAGGCATGGGCCATTGCTTTGTAAAACTGAACAAGCTGGAGAAAGCTCGCCTTGCATTCAGCCGGGCACTGGAACTCAATTCCAAATGTGTTGGGGCTTTAGTTGGATTGGCTGTTCTGGAACTCAATAATAAAGAGGTGGGTTTGATCTAAAACGCTAATATCAGAATATGTTTCATTGAATGTCGAGTTAACAAAGACTTCTGTGCAGACATGAAAATTAACGGCAGTTGAAATAAAAACCTCACTGTTCCCCATTTTAATGAATGCATATTTCATTTTCTCTAATTTTGAGAAATAAAATAAGCTGTAAAGACAGTAATTAAAATAGAGCTGGTTTAAATATGAATCATTAGCCATTGACCAGTGACAGGATTTTTTTTACACTAGGATCTTGGATCAAAAACATGACCTTCTGAATGTATTGGGCAAAAGTTTTCAGCAGATACGTAGTCTACTGCATTGTTTGCCCGTTATGTGACCCATCCATTTTAAAAGAATGGTTTTGGAAATGGTATAGTAAAGGAACAGCTGAAAAGCTAATTAAGTTTTAAGCATAAATAAAAATTTCTGTTAATGTTGCTTTCAGGCGGATTCCATAAAAAATGGCGTCCAGCTGCTTTCTAGAGCATATACAATTGATCCTAGTAACCCTATGGTGTTGAACCACTTGGCTAATCACTTCTTCTTCAAAAAGGTAAGAGCACTTGTGGATGTTTTGAGTTGCTGGTTGAAAGTCTTTAGGCTGTTTCATAAGTGATCAGGCTTTCTATTTCAATATTCTTTATAACGCTCATGGTAACACAGTAAATTTGAATCTCAGAATAATGTTTTTAACTAAAGACGAAGAAGAACCAGGCTTCAGTGGTGCTGTTGTTTTAAAATAATACGTTGGCCAGGATTGCCTAAAGTTATTTCTTATTTTGTGATTATTGTTATTAAATATAATATATATTTAATATATTATATACATACACCCTTTCATTCTAGTTGAGATTGGTTCACACTAGTTGCAGTGCTTGTTGAAGTTTATAAGCACACATTCCTCAGGCTTCTCTATATCACATTCACATGGAGAAAGTAGTGTATAAGCCAGAAGTAGATAGATATTTTGGTTATATATAATTGCTTCAGTTTCCAGGGTTGCGTCCTCCAAATGCTTGAGGATTTTAGTATATAAGAACCATGTGTGATATTTAAAACATTGGAAGATCAGGTTTCTAGGTACTAAATGTTCCAGGCCATGATTTTGAATACCATAAGAAAATGATTATGCAAATTATATATTTTTTTCTACAGGACTATGGCAAAGTCCAGCACTTAGCTCTTCATGCTTTCCATAATACAGAAGTTGAAGCAATGCAGGCTGAGAGTTGCTACCAGTTAGCCAGGTCTTTCCATGTTCAGGTACTTGGAAAGCCTCTTTCTATACTGCATTCTTATTTTTTAAATAGATTTCCATGTGCACCATATAAACTACTTCTTTTTCCTCCCCTGCATTAGGAAGATTATGATCAGGCTTTCCAGTACTACTACCAAGCTACACAGTTTGCTTCCTCTTCTTTTGTGCTACCGTTTTTTGGACTTGGTCAAATGTATATTTATAGAGGAGACAAGGAAAATGCATCACAGTGTTTTGAAAAAGTTTTGAAGGCCTACCCTAACAATTATGAGACTATGAAAATTCTTGGATCTCTCTATGCTGCTTCAGAAGATCAAGACAAACGAGATACTGCGAAGGTACATCTGGCAGCAAACCTCTTAGACTTGAGCTGTAATTCATACTCTCTTACCTAGGAGTAAGCCTTATTGAACTCAATGGGACAGAACTGAGTACACAACTGTAGAGTATGTTATGCCTGTTTTCCCCGTAATGCTAACCCTATAGCTTAGTGCAAATATGCATGTTCTAGTAAACAAAGAACAAACTGTCAGAAAAACCACAAACCTGGGTTTGGACGTAATGCTAAGCCAAACTATGGCTTAGCCCTGGATAGCCCAGAAGCAACAGGACGGGGGTGGGTGGGCTGTAGCACTGTGGCTGAGGTCCTTGTACCAGGAGCCCATATGTTTGGCTTAGCATTGCATCTGAAACAGGTCTTAGTGTTGTGCTATCTGGAGATTTTTTTTTCTTCAACAGTGGGTAGAATTGTGGGATATTCTGAACCCTCTGGAAAACAAAATCTATGGTTGGTCTCTGATTAGACAGACATATGTGGTACACCTGAGTAACAGAGAATTTCTCCTCTTTTCAATACAACAAAAAACACCAGAAGCTTGGATAAATGAACTTACTGATGTGTGAACTGTTTTCATGCAATATGTATATTCATAAGTGAAAGCAGCACTTCTTTCCAGTTCAAATACCCACCATCTACTTCGAGTTCTGTGGTTCATCTATTCTAACGTTTTAGGCATTAGTAACACAATGTTCATTGTGATGCAGGCTGATTTCACTGAATTGACAGAGATTTATTTTTAATGGCTCTAGTTGAGTGGTATACATCAGTAAAGTATTGCCTTTATCAAGGAAAAGCAAGAACATGGAGGACCTTTGTTCCACAGATTAGGAAATTTCAAACTGTGCAGATGCAGTCCCAGAACGCCATAGTAAGACGCTGTATATTGAAAATTGTTAATCTGGCAGACTTTCATTCTCATGTTTAATAGTTGGGTCAGTTTAACAAGGTTTTTTTTATTATGGTAGTTAATGTCTGTACATCTGGAGTTTATTAACTTTATTGAAATGCCTCTGACCTAGTCAAGAATCCTATTTTTGGCATTAAAAAGTGTAAAATAAATGGTAGCTTTATTATGCTGTGTCTTCTGGCAATTTAAGAGTGTACACATACATAAATAACCTTTGTATTTTATAGGGTCATTTGAAGAAGGTGACAGAACAGTACCCAGATGATGTAGAAGCCTGGATTGAGCTAGCCCAAATCCTAGAGCAGACAGATATACAGGTATGGAGAAGATGCATAAAGTGCACTTTTGTTTTTAAGCCGAGCAGTGATGCATAGAACTAAACCTGGGCACTTTTCTCCATCTCTAAATTTGACAGGGTGCTCTTTCTGCTTATGGTACGGCAACACGAATCCTTCAGGAGAAAGTTCAAGCTGATGTCCCTCCAGAGATCTTGAATAATGTGGGTGCTCTCCACTTTAGACTTGGAAACTTAGGAGAAGCAAAGGTGTGGAACTCATTGGTTTTTTTTAATTATTATTATTATTATTATTATTATTACTACTACTACTACTACGTACTACTTTGCAGCATGCTTATAACTTGTGCTATGTGTGTACTCAGAATATATACTACTTTGTTCCCTTTCCCCTGTTTATCCTTAGAAATACTTCTTGGCATCTCTTGACCGTGCTAAAGCAGAAGCTGAACATGATGAGCATTACTACAATGCTATCTCAGTGACTACATCCTACAACCTTGCCAGATTATATGAAGCAATGTGTGAATTCCATGAAGCAGAGAAATTGTACAAAAACATCCTAAGGGAACATCCTAACTATGTTGACTGTAAGAAATCTTGTCGAAATTTTCAGTTGTATTTGAACTATGCCATTCATTCATGTTTGTCCTCATAAATGTAACTGTTCATTCACTGATGCTTTCTTTTGTGTAAACCATTGTGGCCAAACTGCAAGCAGAATGTACCTTCCTGGTCAAAAGTATTTTTTCCACTAACTTGTTCCTACAAATCTGATGTCCTTAAATACTGTCAGTATTTTATTAATTTAGAAGTCTAAACCGCTTAATTTTTCCTCACTTTCGATGTGTGTGTAAATAGCAAATATGAGAATCTCCTATAAAAGCCTCTGTAAATACACATAACCAAAAAAGTTTATAAAGCTCATCATGATACTGACATTGTGTGTACAGTGGTACCTCGCAAGATGAATGCCTCGCAAGACAAAAAACTCGCTAGACGAAAGGGTTTTTTGAGCTGCTTCGCAAGACGATTTTCCCTATGGGCTTGCTTTGTAAGACGGAAACGTCTTGCAAGTTTGTTTCCTTTTTCTTAACACCGTTAATACAGTTGCGACTTGACATTGAGGAGCAACTCATTTGTGTGGTAGTGTGTGTGGCCTTTTTTGAGGTTTTTAAAGACTTTGGTGATTTTTGAAGCTTTTCCAAAACTTTCCCGACACCGTGCTTCGCAAGACGAAAAAAATCGCAAGACGACAAAACTCGCGGAACGAATTAATTTCGTCTTGCGAGGCACCACTGTATATATAAAAGATATAGATGGAGTACATTGTGCAAGTTACCTTGAAACAGAGCAGCCTTCTTTGTTATGTCAGTTCAGTTCAGTACCGTGGGAGACATTGCAACTATAAGTGGCAGGTTCTGCATTGTTCCCATATATTTTAAGGATCATGTGAAAGTGATTAGTGTTGCCCCCACCAAGCCCCTTTTTCTATGGTCAATTCAGAGAGACAAAACTTTTTTTAATTATACATCTGGCAATCAGTGGCTGTTCATTGCACAGTTAATACTGACCCAATCTACTGCTGTCTTAAGCCAGTGTGGCATCAGTACATCTAAATGCTTGCTGCAGCTGACATGCCTCATCTTTAATGACTTCCAGAACTGGGCTTTTGATTATTAAATTTTATTTTTTGGTATTCAGGCTATCTGCGCTTAGGAGCAATGGCTAGAGATAAAGGAAACTTTTATGAAGCTTCTGACTGGTTTAAAGAAGCACTTCAAATCAATCAGGTTAGTAAGAATTTGTAAACTATCAACTAGCTTACAGGCTGCAAATAAACATTCTCTGTGAAGAATGCAGAGAACATTTTCCTGTGTCCCACATAGATCAGCTATTCAGCCTTCATTCTGTGCTAGAAATGGCATTTTGATAATGTATCTTTATTATGACTAGCTGGGGTACACAGGGAAAAATTCTTGGCAGCTGCTTTTGAGCATTACTCCCAACGCTTGACCAGAATGGAAGAGAAGTAAACTGTTTAAGGGGGGGGGGGGAATCAAATAGCTGAACTTAGTAAAGACTTTTTATTATTATAATTCTCTTCTGCACTGTTACAGTTACTCTAAACTTTGGGGATTGAAGGAAAATTAGAAATATTCATTGTAAACTGGTGAGAACTTAGCATGTTGGGGTGTCTGTTTCAGGACCATCCAGATGCTTGGTCCTTGATTGGCAATCTTCACTTGGCCAAACAAGAGTGGGGTCCAGGACAGAAGAAATTTGAAAGAATATTGAAGCAGCCATCGACTCAGAATGACACTTACTCTATGCTGGCTCTTGGCAATGTGTGGTTGCAGACTCTGCACCAGCCCACCAGGGACAGAGAGAAGGTAAATGCTGCACATGTTCAGACTCCATGCCTGTGGCCTGTTCAGTGATTGAGCATTATTTGCACCATAGACCAAGTGAGGTCCAGGGAGCCATTTTTACCATCTGTGCTGACTTTGCAGTAGGTTTGAACAGCAACAACAGGGTTTTTATGGTGATTGCAACCGTGAATATCTTCCTTTGCTATCTTAATGGGGCTAAAAGATCTCTCTCCTTCAAAAGGTTTTTGGTTGACTGAACTTTCTGAGGATGTTAGGTGCTTATATTGCGGTGGCTTTAGTGTATTGTCAACATTTGATGGTTTGAGAAAGCGGTGTTGAAATATTTAAATTGCAAATAACCCACTTTAACAAGATTTCATGTCATCATCTTTGTAGGAAAAGCGTCATCAAGATCGTGCACTAGCCATCTACAAACAAGTACTCAGGAATGACTCCAAAAACTTGTATGCTGCTAATGGCATAGGTGATTATTGTGTTTGGATTCCTTGTCTGAATTTTCTTCTGAGCTTTCTGCTGTGTTTCAGGTAGTCCATACATCTGAAATTGTCCTTGGGCTTTTGTTTTTTAGGAGCTGTACTGGCACACAAAGGATATTTCCGTGAGGCTCGTGATGTTTTTGCCCAAGTGAGAGAGGCAACAGCAGATATCAGTGATGTGTGGCTCAATCTGGCACACATTTATGTGGAACAGAAGCAATACATCAGTGCTGTACAGATGGTAATTCTTAAAAAATTGTCTGGTTTTTTTTAACTGTAAAACTAAGAAACTATTTTTCATGGGAATGATTCCCTTTTTTAGAAAAAAAAAAGCTTTAGTATGGTATCCCAGTATTAAATAACTAAAATTTAGGGAGAATTTTTCTTGTTTTGGAGGGGGCAATAAGATCAAGAACTTGTTTTTCCCAGAATTGCCATAAAATATCTTCTTAAATACGATCTTCATAAAATCAATAAGGAGCCATCTCTGTTAAACCTAAGCTACAAATATGAATCACCAGATGAAACATCTCTTTAATTTTAAAAAAAAAAAATGGATGGAAGGTTTGTGAGAGAACACTTATTTAAAAAAAAAACTGCAAAGAAGTTAACATGTTTGCTGTTCCTGTAGAAACCTTAGAGTAAACATCCTGAACAAAACTTACACAGTATTGGCAAAACAATGTTTGCCCACCTCTCACTTAAGCATCATTCTCTGTGTTAGATATTTGTAGTACAGCTGAAATGCTAGTTAGAGGTATTTGATTTGACTATGGTAAATTGTTAGGCAGAAATTGTTGCCAGACATTATATACTTTTTTTTTTTTTTTACTACTAACAGACAAATTTACTACTAACAGACAAATTTATCTTTTCTTTTAACTTGCTATTCTTTTCCTTTATCGACCTTTCCACCACATGTTAAGAGGACCTTGTAGCTGAAAGCATGAGGATGGGAACAAACTTCACCAAAGAAGTGTGGTGTTCAAACTACCACCTGGTGTAGAAAATGCCATGAAAACATAGTGGGCAAACGCGCCCTAAGCTGCCTGTACAGGCTTAGGGAATGTATTAGAGGCTCTGTATCAAGCCTTAAGCAGACAAACTTCCAAGTTCCTAGTATTGCCAATGTCATTGCACTAAAAAGGCATGAAATGTTGAGCTAGTAACATCTGTGTTCTTGAATTTATTACGTAAGCAGGAGATATGAAGGGGGGTCAAAATAAAAGCAGCTGGGGTGTTGGAGAAATGTTTTTCTGCCGCTCTTAAAAACATGTCAAGTGACTTGGAACAGTTCCATGAAATTAACACCAATATAAGTTGGTATGTTCAAAAAGCAGTGAGGAATAATCCAGCTGAATAATTGCGCAAGAAAGAAAACCAGTAATGTACTATCCACAAATATGGGAGAGTATTTCAGCATTTGCAGTCAAGAAACTTAGCACAATAGGAGTTTTGAAAGTAGTGAGAAACCTATACTTCACTCACCTTACCAATAGCTTTATCTTCAGAATGGTGTATTTCTTTATCTCTACTCTTGCATAATGTGTGTTTAAATCATTACAGAATTGTATTATTTGCATTGGAAAACCTACTTATTGGCAATATAATCTTAATTTGAACTGAGTTGGAATAGTAGTATTCTAAATCTCTGCAGGGTACAAGGTGAATGGTTCCCCTTTGTTTTCATATAGTCTAGTTAATGTGATTTTCAGACAGTGTTCTTCAAGGAAGATGAACAAAGGCAGACAAGCTTTCCTGAGAAGCAAGACTCTCCAGCATATCATCCCCTGCAGTGCACAGTTGCAAGGAAGTGTTGGCCTGCACTTCTCCCTAGTTTGCATAGGGCAGGCCCAAGGGGTCTGGACTGCAGCCCGGGTGACATGAGCATACCATAAAACACAACTCAGAGTCCTCTGCTATATGCAGGGATTCTTTCAAAAATTTGTAGGATTTCCTCAGACTAGCTGAGAGAAAAATGCTCCTGGATATGGAGTCTGAAAAACACTGGACTAGATAGCTCAGTTGGTTAGAGCATGGTGCTGATAATGCCAAGGTTGTAGGAAAGGCAGTTTGGCCCTGACGCTATAGCAGCATCGGAAACACCCATGCTGCTACAAGATTTAATCTCTGCAACAGAAACAAAAAACTCTACACTTGCACTATATAAAACCCTGCTCAACAGGAAGAAATATGATTTAGAATATGATAGACAAAAATGGAGTGAAGAGTTAGGGGTACATATAACAAATGATATATGGGAGTCAAGTATAAAATCAACAGAAATAGCCTCTATGGATCTAAGACTAAGACTTATTCAACAGAAAATAATATTCAGAGTCCAGGGGACTCCAGCAAAACTATACCAGAAGAAAATAGCAACTGTTGGAGATATGGGAGTAAAAATGAGAATTTAGTACATACGATGATTAACTGCCCGATGGTAAGATCATTTTGGTGCGAGGTGAGGATATTTATAGCAAGAGTAATAAAAAGAAATTGTTATTTAGGGGAATTGAATTTAATTCTAAATTATATTCCAGAAACGGAGATTTCAAGGGGTAAAAAAAAATATGGATGTACTGTGCTATAATACAAGCAAAAAATCTTGTTTTGATGAATTGGAAGAGCCACAAAAAGATTCCATTGAGCACATGGATTGAGAATATGGACAGATTAGCTGCATACAAATGAATTGCATGTTGATGCAAAATAAGAATGGATAAATATGAAGAAATCTGGAACGAATATTTAAGCGATAAGGCAGCTAGTGGTGGGAAGTAGGAGGAGAGAGAGGTGGGAAAATATTGTTTAAAAAGGTATAGTCATAGGTATATCAGTGTATTCAAATCTGAATTGTCAAATTGTGTTGTTGTTATGGTTTTTGTTGTATGTGTCTTTTGCGGTTGTTGTTTGTATCGAAAAAATGATTAAATAAATGTAAAAAAAAGGTTGTATGTTTGAGCAACTGCATACCCCCACATTGCAGGGGGTTGGACTAGATGATCCTCAGGGTCCCTTCCAACTCTATGATTCTACACTCTACATTCTGTAAAAATACACACACTCTCACAACTATAAATCACTCCTTAGTGAAATGGGTGTTGACTGCAGGTGCAGCATTGGATACAACCCATATTTTTTTCCCCTGCCTTGAAACTTGCATAATAAATTTCAGCAGTGACTGTTCAGATGATGTATTCCAAGTGAAGAAGTGGAAACCTCATTTTGCCTGTAGTATCTGAGGCTTCTAGGCTTGAAGTTAGCAACACATTGCATTGTAGTGCTTACTGTCTGGATTCCTGCTATAATGAAGAGCTGCAGACGTCTTAGCAGACACAAACAGTAGACCTCATAACTTATTAGTCATTTAATTAGTTATTGGCAGCAATGAGAGCTTCCTTACTGTGCAGGTTCAGGGTTTTATTTTCAAGGTTGCAATGTGGGAGGAAAAGGTTTTTTAAACAATCCTTCCCATGTGTCTGCTACTTGAAGTTGAGAAAAAGAGTCATGCATATGGAGAAGACATGATTAGCATCCTGTTAAATTTGTCTCTGAGCCCTGTGGAACTCCAAAGGACTTAACCAAGCGAACAAGCTTAGGATTGGGCTGTAAATTCCTGTGAAATCTCTTTAAGCTCTTTATTCAATGTAACTAAGTGCGACATTTCAGTCAGAATGAGGGTTTAAACATAAAACCATTGAATTTTCTCCCTTGTAGTATGAAAACTGCCTAAGAAAATTCTATAAGCATCAGAACACGGAGGTACTGTTGTATTTGGCTCGAGCTCTCTTCAAATGTGGCAAATTACAAGAATGCAAGCAAACATTGCTGAAGGTAAAAAAAAAAAAGCTTCTTACATATATTGCTGCAGTGGATGTATTGTTGCACCAGCTTGTTTGTGTCGGAGGCAAGGCTGGTTCACACCTACTAAATTTAAAGTTTTATTTGAATCTTCAGGCTAGACATGTGGCACCCAGTGATACTGTTCTAATGTTCAATGTGGCCTTGGTGCTGCAGAGGCTGGCTACCTCTGTCCTGAAAGATGAAAAAAGTAACCTGAAGGAAGTACTCAATGCTGTGAAAGAGCTGGAGCTGGCTCACAGGTAAGCAAATCTGCATTTGCTATTTTGGTATCTATTATTGCATTGTGCTGGTGTTTTGTGAAGGTGTCAGAGCAAATGCCAAACACTAGTTATTTCTTTGCACAGCTTTGTAAATGTGTTTAGACTCAGGTAGACCTCTCAGATCCACCAGATGCTGTTTCTTAACTACACTGTTGAATTAATTTTGTTAATTCAGTTTATTTTCTGCTTTTTACACAAAACCCGCTAGAGTGGTTTATGTAATAAAACTTGGAAACACAAAAACATCCAGTCTACAGATACAGATAAAACTCTACAGTATATCCAATATACAGAAAAAGAACAGACTTGAAACTGTCCAATCCAGCAGCAGCAACTCTCAATAAAATATAAATATACTGAACCTCCCGCTAAGGTCTGTATTAAAAGATGCATCTTCCAGTTTGAAACTGTGCTTCACTATGTAATAACTTCCAAAAATGAATGAATGATACTTACAGAAAGTTGAAAGACTTGCTTCTTGCTTCAATAACCTCCTCCAGTTGCTAATCTCTGGAGCTGCAGCTGGATGGGCAATTAACATGCAGTAGGAGCAGCAGTCATGAAAGTTCCCAAGAGAACCTAGAAAGCACTGGGAGCTAGAAGGTGAAGGATAGGCTTTCAGACATCCAGCTGCCGTGACCTTCAAAGGCTGCTGTATTTCTTGGCACACAAGGACAATTTTTAGACACCAGGGCACTCCAAACAGAAGTAACCTATGACTTGGGACTAGGTAGCTATATTGCTTCTATGCTGGAAGCTTGTTTAAAAGATGCAAGCTTCTAGTTATACTTCATGCTTCACTGTATATATGCAGGCAATTGTTTTTTCTCATAGTGTTACAGTGCTTTTTGCAATATTTACGGGTGTGAGCATGATTACCTGTGCCAAATAACCTGCCTCCTCTCTCAGTCTCATTTGCTTGAGATTTCCATTAAACAGTTGTTTGACAGGTTCTGCAACATCTTTCCCTGCAACAAGACTTTCCCTGAGCATCTGTGAGAATGATTCAGTCCTTCACAAAAAGGGTACACCATGCAATCCAAATCCATTAATAGCTGTAGGGATTTTTCTGTTGACTTTATACTGAGAAGTGAGATGCATCCAAAGTAGTTTGGGAATATTTTTCAGTTGGAAGTTGGAAAAATACATGTGAAGAAAGTTCTAGGATGCAACTGAAGTGTTTAAAATTTGATTCTTAACTTACTGTTTTACATTCAGATACTTCAGTTACTTGAGCAAAGTGGGAGATAAAATGAGATTTGATTTGGCACTTGCTGCAACTGAAGCCAGGTAAGAAATGTGTGTTGTGTACTTCACATAACTGATGCCTACAGAAGCTAAATATATTATGTGAATTTGCATAACATAACTTGTAGGATTTGGGCTACTTTAATACCAGAGTTTGAAAGCAAACTACATATAACCATAGCATGATTCCATGTTCCAGTGGGGTGCTAATTCAGGTCTCACATATCTCCTGAACAGGAAGCTGACAGTGATCAGTCCTCCGTTGGTTAGCTAGGAACTGGCAGATGTGGACATGCAACACTGGTTGTGTTCACATGTCACAATAAGCCATAGTTTAATGTTTAACAATGGTTTGAAGTGAATGAGCAGGATGCTGGTGCATGTTGCTCAGAAGTCCCTGCTTTGCTTCTGCCCTGCTCTTGCCCTCATCTCAAGCAACAAATTGCAAGCCTCATCTTGTCGTCTGAACTTAGGTCAATGATTTGTTTCTCTGCATTCAAATTATGAGCATAAGTTTTGATCATGGACTGTTTGGGGGAACTTGCTGCATAGACAGTTTTTCCTTATACTGTGTTCTTGTTGTTTAACCAAGTAATCACTTGCAGTTTTTTAGCTATACTCCGTATTTCTGTCTTGGCCATTGGCATGGAACACACTCTTTTAAAAAAGGTTTCTGCTTCTGTCTGCTAATCTGAACTCAAACTTGATAGGCAGTGTTCTGATCTGCTGAGTCAGGCTCAGTATCATGTGGCTCGGGCTCGTAAGCAGGACGAAGAAGAGCGGGAGCTGAGAGCGAAACAAGAGCAAGAAAAAGAACTACTGCGCCAGAAGTTGCTCAAAGAACAGGTACTTCAGTCTTTCTCCTGCTGTAATAGTACATAATACTATCCATTAAGCTGCAGCAAAGTGCAAGATAGGGAGCAAGTGTAAGGCTGCAGTGAGGTGCTTTAAGTTGTTGTGTGGCACTTAGGGGGACTTGCCTGTGTATTACATTGTATAGGTTTTGCAGCTGAAATAGATATGGAAGGGGGGTGTTGGTTTTGGTAACTAGGAACTGAGTAAGTATTGCACTATGTGCACTGCCACCTATCTGGTGTGGTGTAGTGGTTAGAGTGCTGGACTAGAACCTGGGAGTTCAGGGTTCAAAGTACACCATGAGCCTCACTGAGTGACCTTGGGTCAGTCACCACTTGTCAGCCTTACCTACCAGACAGGGTTGTTTCAGGGATTAATTATGGGGGCAGAGAACCATGGATGCCACCTTGAGCTTCTTGGAGAAAAAGGTGGGTTATAAACAAAATACATAATAAATAGCAGTACAGTCGTACGTTGGAAGTCAAACGGAATCCATTCCGGAAGTCCGTTCAACTTCCAAACGTTTGGAAACTAAAGCGCAGCTTCTGATTGGCTGAAGGAAGTTCCTGCAGCCAATTGGAAACCGCATCGGACATTAGGCTTCCAAAAAAAATTTGAAACCAGAACACTCACTTCCGGGTTTTGATCGTTCAGGAGCCGAAATGTATGAGTACCAAGGCATTCAACAACCAAGGTACAACTATACCTTACTTTTCAGTGCATGAGCAACATGCTATATGCAGTGGGTTTTCATTTTGTTTCACAGCAGATCTTTCAAAGGCAGCTCATGCACTGTCAGGTCTTTGTGTCATGAAGAACCTAAGTGACTCTTCAGCAGTAGTCTGACTTACTAAAAAGAATGAACCTGTTTTAGGTGTCTATTGCTAAATTTGTGTTTTTCATATCTGCATCAGTACTGTTGGTTAAAAAAAAAAACATAGTAGCCAGCTTGTCCTCACTCTTCCAGGAAGAAAAACGCCTCAGGGAAATAGAAGAACAAAAGAAACTTTTGGAACAGAGAGCACAATATGTGGAGAAGACCAAGAATATTCTGATGTTCACTGGAGAAGTTGAAGGATCTAAAGAGAAAAAACGTGGTGGAGCTGGCCGGGTACAGAATAAAAGCTTTTGGATTCATCATTCACCCCAAATAGTTGAAATGTGCTGTCAGGCTTTAACTTATTGTAAAATTGACCTGTGGGGTCTGACAAGAGTACAGTAATGACATCATACTTTACATGGAAAGAACTATGGAGAAATGATGTCAAATTTTAGACACTTAAAGACAAGAGTTGGAAAGTTGTTTAAACTTCTGTTTTACCAGTTTAGAATGTCATGGATTTATTTAGAAGTGCAAAGAGAAGTGGCTTTCTTTTTTAACTTTAAAGGGAATTAACTCACATAGGCTGATTTACCTTTTCTGTTCCCCTGATAGTCTGTTAACATCCAGCATAAGAATGTATCATTGTTTTCTGTCACTTACCACCACTACTTCCTTTTTAGTACATCAACCAAAAGCTATTTCAGAGTATAACTAATATCCAAATACTCTTCCCATCTTCTTGCATTTTTTCCTTTACTGCAATTGATCATCAGCTTCTTAACATTGTACTCTTCTTCCTTCTCTCTATATTGATTTTTTAAATTCATGGGCCCTTATCTATTTGTCACCCGTCTATTAATTTTGATTATCACGGTTTAATTCTGCTGTTCTTTATTTGTGATACTGCATAGAAATTTCTTAAATAAAAGATCAAATCTAATACAGCTTTAAGTTACATGCACTCTATGTGCATCTAATGTGGCTTCTAAAAGGGTTTTTTTTTGGGGGGGGGTCTTTTCAAGCAGCAACTAATAAAGGAAGTGTTTCTGATTTTGTGACAGCGTTCCAAACGAACTGGGGAATTTGATGAATTTGTCAATGATGACAGTGATGAAGATCTCCCAGTGTCTAGAAAGAAAAAGAGGAGAAAGGGTAGCGGTAGCGAACAAGATGGTGAGGAAGAAGAGGGGGAGAGAAAGAAAAAGAAGCGACGAAAGTAAGTAGAAAGAAAGAGCAGAACTCCTTTGGTGGGGATTCAGAGGACTCTAGGGGGACTTCTTATTAGTACAATGGAGCTTCTGAGCTCCCCTCTTCCTTAAGTCCCTCAAACCGCTGCCTGATGCATCACTTCCCAAACTCAAGGAAACTTAGAGAAGCTTTTGATGGGCCACAAGGAGCTTGGGTAGGATGGGGTTGTGGGGGGAGTCGAAACATCTTGGGTGTGTCTTCATTTAAATGCTTTTGTATGCCTAAAGAATGTTTAGATCCCGCGGTGTCTAGTATATGCCACAAGGAACAAGAACTAACACACAGGCTTAGTTCACATGATTAGGATACTATAGTTATAAGACTGAATTGAATTGTACTTTGTGTTTATATGTGCCTTGTGTTTTTCTCCAAAGACCCCAAAAGGCAGGTGATGGTACTGATGATGATGAAAATGACAGTGCACCCAGACCTAAAAAACGTCGCCCAGCAAAGACTGAGAAGAAAAAAGCAGTATGTTTTTTTAAAAAGTTAATAAATAAGTAAATCATTAATTGGTGTTTTGGTTTAGCGGAATTGCAGTAATTTGGGATCAAAGGTAACAAGATTAATTATGCTTCTAAGCTTTGGAAATAATTGACCAAACCAGGATTCTGGTTTGACATTCTGTCTTAATTCTGTGGTTTAAACATACCACAGTTACTCATATACAAAACAGAACTGGAAATAGCAGTTATCAACAGAGAATAGGAGTTTCAGACTTCTTTCCTTCATATGCAAGGGATGGAGCACACAAGGCCAGGGCATGTAACAACATGTCTGATTGGTTACCTCTAAATTCAGTCGTAGTCTACTGACATTCTGTATTGTAATTCAGATTTTCTTAAACTTGGTCTTTTTTAATTGCTTTTGTGTGATTGTCTGCCATATAATTAGAAGAGGTAGCTGATACAGCCATCACCCCACAGCCATCTAATACAGGGATATAGAACCTGTTGCCATCCAGGTGTTTCCAGGCTACAGCTTCCATTATTCCTGAACATTGGCCATATGGCTGGGGCTAATGAAAGTATAATAGTTGAATGTCAGGTTTTCTTTTTAATCTTTTAACACTTTTTTGTTGTTGTTATAGCCAAAGCCAGAACGACTGCCTCCTTCAATGAAGGGTAAAATCAAATCTAAAGCCATCATTTCATCAAGCGAAGACTCATCTGATGAAGATAAGCTCAAGATTGCTGATGATGGGTACATAGTGTTTATGATCCTAGAAATAGTGTTGTTTGACCCTTGTACAACGTAATCATCATCCTCATCAATGCACTTCTAATTCTGGGAGTGTGGTTTGTTTAGTCTGAGCACACATGAGGAGCCACAGTCCAGATCGGTTTAATTCATGGTAACCTATTAATTGTGGTTTACTGTGATATGCGAATTGGGCCCATTGATGAAGACTCATTAAGTAAATGTGTACATAATGTTGTGATTCCACATCACTATCCTGCGTATGTAATGTTTTGTACTCTTAACTATTGGTGCATACTTACAGCTTGCAGGTTCCATCTCCTCCTATTTCCTACATGGGTTTGTGGGGTCAAACATACTTTGTGAACCTTTAATTGGGCCACAGTGGCTGTGACTTTGTAGAGAGTGTAGAAAACACAAAAAGGCATTGTAGTTTTCACAGAATTGCATTTCCTGCACATTTCCCAACTTTCATTAAATCAAGACAAAGCAATCTTTTCATTGCAAAGATCTGTTAGGTGTCGGAAACGTGGCAGAATGATTGCTGACATTTCAGGAGCGTCAGAAGTGACAAGGTGTCCATGGGGCAGGGCTTCAGAACTCTGCATAGCTCCATGCCCCTCTCTGAGATTAATAGATGGCACAGAGTAGCAAAAAGAGGTAGAATAAACTGGAAGAGATTCAGGCTTCATTTGCATGTTGCAGACTTGAACTTGTCACAGGGTTTATATTACTTTGGTGCGGAATTTTGGGGGCTTTTTGAGCACAGCCCTTAGTACAAAGTTTATCGTTTCACTTGGGATGTTTGCCTTACTGCATTGCCTTCTGCTCTTGAACAGGAATGCCAGGAACAGCAACAGTGATTCAGATGATGCTGAGCAACCACGCAACAAACGCGTCATGTCTGACAGTGATTCGGACAATAGCAATAAGTCTGGCAGTGAAGGGGGCAGTCCCAGGCGATCCAGCGCCCGCCCTTCTGATGAAGATTCAGACAGTGATGGGTCAGCAAGAAAGAGGAGGCGATCTGAATCTGAACAGTCTGACAACGAATCTGTGCGCTCGGGGAGAAGTCCGTCTGTGCGCTCGGGGAGAAGTCAGTCTGTGCAGTCAGGGAGAAGCCACTCAGGTGGTTCTGAGAATGAATCTCGCCCAGCTTCTCACAGTGCTGATTCTGACAGAGATTCTGACAGGGCATCTGATCATGGGGGCTCAGGTAACGAGTCTGAGCCAGAGGCATCCAACAATGAAGGATCTGAACGCGGCTCGTACGGCGGATCAGATGACAGTGATTAGATTTCAGCTGCAACCTGTTTTATTAACTGCTTTGTAAATATATTTTGGTTCGAGAGGGTGGGGGGAAGAGGAGGGTATCCATATTTTATATTTGAAAACTGTGATTTAAAAACCTGGACAGCTATGTTTTAGGGAAAAGTATATATTAAAAAAAAAAAGCTGAAACATTTCCTATAACATTTTTTCTACTGAACTATACACTTGCCAGGGTTCATCTACAGTATCTACTTGCATTCTGTACTTGGAGGTCAATGTGCTGTATTGGGGGTTAAGAAGCTTACTTTATCAGAGTGCACATAAGATCTGAAGAAACAAAATACCAAGATAGTTATCCTGCATCCAGATACGTTTGCTTAAGACCTTCTGAAACAAATGGTACTTAAACAAATTTAACTGAGTGGAAGGCTGTAGCTCATACTGTCTTGCCTAGTCTGATCAAGTGTACTTTTTCAAAACTATATATGTGAAAAGGGATTTTGGTAGAACTCCCATGAATTTCTCAAGTGATATAAAAAATGTTCAGGTTTACAGAGTAGTCCTTCAGGTTATGTAGCTCTTATAAAGTATAGTTTTACGTTTTGTTAAAGTACGTATGTGCTGTAGCAAAATGCCTAAAATTGAACAAAATGTATAAAAATAATGCTATGGAAACATAGATGAATGTCAGATTTGAGACTTGGCAGTTTTTAAAGAAATGATAAATTAAGAGGCCTCCTTGGAGTGAAAAGATCTGTTTATGGCATCTAATAAAAGCTGTTGCTGCCATCTGGTTCAGAGTCTCTTACTACTGTTCTTAACATTGTTTTGTTAGCTCATATTCCAGTACTCTTGAATTGTTGAACTTGGCATAAAAGGTAAAGGTAAAGGTACCCCTGCCCGTACGGGCCAGTCGTGACCGACTCTAGGGTTGTGCGCTCATCTCACTCAAGAGTCCGGGAGCCAGCGCCGTCCAAAGACACTTCCGGGTCACGTGGCCAACGTGACGAAGTTGCATTGATGAGCCAGCACCAGTGCCGCACATGGAAACGCTGTTTACCTTCCCGCTATAAAGCGGCACCTATTTATCTACTTGCTCTTAGGGGTGCTTTCGAACTGCTAGGTGGGCAGGAGCTGGGACCAAACGACGGGAGCGCACCCCGCCGCGGGGATTCGAACCGCCGACCTTACGATCAGCAAGTCCTAGGCACTGAGGTTTTACCCACAGCGCCACCCGCGTCCCTTGGACTTGGCATACTGTATGTTTAATTTATAATTCTCTTTAGAATTCTACAGGCTTGGAAAAGCTATCCTTAAGGTGCATTTCATTACCTGTTCTCACACATCGGGTGTCTAGACAATTTTGGAAGGAACAGTGTCCATGTGAAATCTTTGATCTGTCATTTTTAGGAACCATATCACTTTGCCCTATAATTTTGGGTCAGTAGGGAGGATGGAGAAGAATACAACACTTCACCATTGAATTTTCATTCTGAGCATATCTGTTTCATGGGCCCTAGAACAAAGAATATCCATTTGTTGTTGAAGTTCTTCTGCTACCTATTCAAAAAAGCTTTTCTTCATTCCTAAAGTACTAAAGCAATGTTACACTTCATAAATTTGTGTTTCACTAATGTGGGTAGTATTAATGTTTCTGGAAAAAACATGCTTTTTATCAAACTGTTTATAGAAAAACTTTAACCTTCCTAAAGAAAACTATGTCCCCTTTAGTGGAATTGCACAGTCTCTACTGAAGTTTTTCTAAAGCAAATTTAGAATGGAAATGTTAGAGCCTGCTCCTTATAGCAACTTTCCCCAACCACCTGTCCTCCTAAACTTGGGGAAGGCACCAGGTTGGCTGCTAATAATAATAATAGTAATATTTTTTATTATTTACACCCCACCCATCTGGCTGGGATTCTCCCACTACCCTGGGCGGCTTACAGGCTGCCTTACAGTGTGAGAACCTGAAGTGTGTGGTCCCTCCCACCCATGAAATTCACGCAATCTCCCCACCTACATATTGCAAGTCACTTTCACTGCTAAGAAGCTGCTAGCAGAGCTGAGTAACGGCGTGGGAAACTGATCTATTCTATTTCCAAATGTCCAACTCCTATGATTCATGAATTTCCAGTCCAGTGACAGCAAGGCAAAACATGGGGATGCGATCTGAGTAAATGAGTCAGTCAAGAAGAAGACTGATAAATGCTCAGTTAAAAACAATTGTGATATCATCACTTTGTTCCCTGCCTCACTGAACTGGAATGATTTGGGAGCTGCCCATGGTATGGCCAGTTTGGACATGCTTTGTGTGTGAGTCTATGTGGTAGCTTTCAATAGATCTAATTTGAAGAAGCAAAGGGAAGGAGACACTGCAAGGTGGGGCTACATCATCACATGATCCTACCAAACTCTTTGTGGGGGTCTCTAGGTTCATTGTAAAAAGAGCTGGTAGCAAGCTCAGTCTGTTAACACGGCCAAAATCTATTGCTCATTCTTACTCATTCTTTATCTGCTATATTGGCCTTTAAGGGAGGGGCCTACATATCTGTTTTGCTTATCTTGCTATATTTCCCTAATTACAGTACCTAATAGGTGGAAGTTCCTTGAGTTGGCCTGCAGAGACAACCCAGGAGGGAAATGTGTACCGTTGTTAAAGAGTTACAGAGTTTAGGTTTATCAAATTAGGGTTTAAGATCTGCATGGAAGGTTATAAATGCCTGGCTTAACCCCCAGACCCTTGTGCATTTTTTAAATTGAATGGTGGTACCGTGATGGAAAAAGCTAATTGGAGTCCAAAACATGTAAAGGGTTGCTAAAGGCTGGTCCGGACTGTTGCAGGTAAGGGCTTACATGGCTTCATCCCGAGTCCCAAATAAATAATCCCTTACATATTGGGGAAAACATGACATGTTGGGGAGGAGGTTTTTAGCCTAGCTTCCCCAACTTGCTAGTCTTCTGTGTGGAGGATTGTGTGTATGTGAAGGAGAATTAAACTCTGACCCCAAGTTTACCATCTCAATCAAAACTTCACTAGGGAGGAGCAGAGAAATAGAAGCCATTATTTTGGTAGGGCAGGGACGCGGGTGGCGCTGTGGGTAAAACCTCAGTGCCTAGGTCAGCGGTTCGAATCCCCGCAGCAGGGTGAGCTCCCGTCGTTCGGTCCCAGCTCCTGCCCACCTAGCAGTTCGAAAGCACCCTTAAGTGCAAGTAGATAAATAGGTACCGCTTTATAGCGGGAAGGTAAATGGCGTTTCTGTGTGCTGCGCTGGTGCTGGCTCGCCAGAGCAGCTTCGTCACGCTGGCCACATGACCTGGAAGTGTCTTTGGACGGCGCCGGCTCATGGCCTCTAGAGCGAGATGAGCACGCAACCCTAGAGTCGGACACGACTGGCCCGTACGGGCAGGGGTACCTTTACCTTTACCTTTATTTTGGTAGGGCACATTGTATGCACATGCTAAAAGACTAGGAAGAGTTTTGGCTTTGCTCCAGCCATGGTAAAATTTTGCTTCTGAACCACCTCTCGCTGTCATAAAGTTTAATAGTTTATTTCCCCCCCCACCATAGAATTTGATCTGGGACAGGGAACCTGTGGCCCTCCAGATGTTCTTGGACTCCAGCTCTCAACACCACCAGCCAGCACGTCCCAAGTGTTAGAAATTATGGGAGTTGGGAGTCTACCAACATCTGGCAGGCCGCAGGTTCTCACCCTGACTTACATGGAAGAAACCAACAAGTGGTGTACTTGGGGATGCCAATCAGGCTCAGGGTGTAATATTTTCTCAAGGACTTGTTTCTAAAAGTAAGGACCACTATAAGCTACGGAAAACTTTCAAAAGATACTATATGAGAAAATAGTTTTCCATTTGTTCACGTAGACAGCTTCTGAGTTATCTGTGAGTGCATTCCTTCCTTGAGAAACTTCAAGGTTTTTCAAGTGTTGGATTGCCTAATACCTTGATTATAATCTTGTTGACTTCTCATGTGCTGGAGCTCCATATGAAATGTAGGCATGTCTGATTTCCTGCCAAAAAGGGGGGAGACAGTTGCTATGCTAGAAACAAATAGAATATTTGCTAGATTTTATGTCGCTTGTCCTTCAATTTTCTATAGATAGCTTGAGGGCCATGCCGAGAAAATGCCAGTGACATATGGTAGATGGCTACTTTTTACAAAAACAGGGCAGAATTACCAGTAGTTATTTTTGTGTGTGTTTTAATGGTTGCTTGTTTCATTTAATTGTGGCTGCTTTCGCAGGTTGTCAAATGGACCCCATGAGTGGGTCTTCTAAATGTAATAGAGAACAATGTGGAACAAGATGATGGACAAGAGGCAATTTAGCAAGCTTGGCTCAGCTTGCTAAACTCATTCTATAAATACTTGGAGCAAACGTACACACCTGTCTTATAAACCCTACTACTTTTTATATTAGTTGCTGGTTGCCCTCTTATAGCCCTGACCTAGTCAGTTATGTGAGAAGGATTATGTGCCCCACTAAAATGGTGGCATGGAACATATGGCCCTTCATATGTTAATGGACTTCTAACTCACATCAGCCCCAACCAGCAGAGCCAGTGATGGTGGTAGATGGAATCCAACAACATCTGGAAGACCACAGATTCCCCATCCCTGCTCTAAATTAGTGTTAGGTTCTGCACAAAACAATGGCTGAGGTCTCTGATTCCTTAAGAAACATTGATAACATGATGGGTTGGATCAGAACAGAGTACGCCCTGTGAAATAAGTTAACTCTCCCATCCAGTCTGAAGATGAAGACTCCCAAGAGCTGCATGATGTGTAAATTGACCACAAGCTTTCATTACTATCATATGCCCTGTACTATTGACTCAATTAAGAGGCTCTTCCCATCTTTGTTTATAGAGTAGCAAACTAAACTATATGGGGAAATGATACAGGATGATGTGCTTTGTAACAACATAATTTTCACCTCTGTCACAATTCGTGAATTACATAAAACTTTTGCTATTCAACTGCAATCATGGGGACAATCTTAAACCATAAAGATTGAGATGGAATTTTTGAAAAGCTAAAACATGAAGACAATAGGCATCTGCGGGGAAAGCCAAGAAATAGTTGATATTAATATGCTTATTGGGTCTATCCATTACAGTGGTACCTCGCAAGACGAATGCCTCGCAAGACAAAAAACTCGCTAGACGAAAGGGTTTTTTGTTTTTTGAGCTGCTTCGCAAGACGATTTTCCCTATGGGCTTGCTTCGCAAGACGCAAATGTCTTGCAAGTTTGTTTCCTTTTTCTTAACACCGTTAATACAGTTGCGACTTGACTTCGAGGAGCCTTTTTTTAGGTTTTTAAAGACATTGGTGATTTTTGAAGCTTTTCCAAAACTTTCCCGACACCGTGCTTCGCAAGATGAAAAAAATCGCAAGACAACAAAACTCGCGGAACGAATTAATTTCGTCTTGTGAGGCACCACTGTAATTACAGAATGTTTAGCTGTTTAGTTTTCTGCTTTGTAACCAATTTAGGCTACTACAGTCCTATACCACTTACCTGGGAGTAAATCCAATTGAAGTCAATGGGACTTCTGAGCAGATGTGTATAGGATTATCTGTCCAAAACAATACAGAGATACCTTTGTGAGGTACTGAAAGGAGTCTTGCAGTTTAGTACATGAAAGTTGTCATTCATAGCTAGAAGGAATGTCAAACATTTCCCTTTTTATTACAGTAACACTTCATATCTAAAATCGCCTCCGAAAAGAATGTGTGCTTTAACTTCTAGTCTTGGGAATTCAGTTTTGACTTCAACAATTGGTTCCTGCCATTGACTGATGTTTTAGTCAATTAATCAATTAACTGAAGCAATAAAAGCCCAGATTCTTGCAGCTTACACTACCTGGCACGTCTGAGTTCAAATCTTCTTTTGCTTATTTGCATCCCTGGTCTGAAGCTTCTATTTCTGCTGCTTTCATTCTGGGCTCCAATAACAGTTTAATAATTGATGCCAGGTGATACCTTTAGTTGATGGCTTTTTTTCACACTAGCCTTGCAATCTTCATTATCTCTCCCAAGTAGTTGGTAGAAGGGCTGTTTTTTACCAGATAAGCAGGAGGTAGTAGCTATTTAGCCAGAAAGTGTAGAACTGGAACTCTCAGCAGTTCTACAGATTTCCAGGAAACGCTTCTCAAATATGCCACAAAAGACATTATCCCAGAGAGACCCGCACAGGGCCAATCTGTCGACGAAACCATCTCTGCTGGAAAACACGGCAGGCGGCAAAGGCATTTCCGCTATCGATGGCAGCGGTGCTGGTGTCACAACATCCTTTACTAATGGCAAGCCAAGTCTTGACGGGCTTACTGGAAAATCTCCCCTTTCTACCATTTCTTTTGGGGATCATCACGCCAATCTGTGTCGTGGGGTGAGGCCTGTTTGTCGGATTCGCCCAACCAGTGCTGTGATCCAAGGAGGCTCTGTTGCTCACATTAACCGTCTGCAAGGAGAACTTGTGAGAAAAAGGAAGGTCAGTGACTATTTGTGTGCTAAAGTGACATGCCTCAAAACACAGGGCAATGTGTAATTTTGAGACATAAGTAAAAATTACTTTTAAAACTTGACTTTTAGTATCGTGGTTCTAAATGGTGAAAATAATCTTGCTATTTTTATAAGCAATCGTTATGAAATTTACAAAATAAATAAATTAAGGTCTTATGTATATAATGAAGGTTCATAAATGTACCAAGCAAACACATACATATAGGCCACATGTCTGAAGCTGCACAGGAGAGCAGCCATGGAGCCATTTTGACTCCCAGGCTGACCAGGTGTTTTCTCTGCAAGGTCAAATGGAGAAGCCTCCCCATTGTCTTTTCCTTCACAAATCCTGTCTTAAGGGTATATCTGTGTATGAATAGGGTGAGCCTATGATCTGGCTCAGGAACTAAGTATTTATCATTACAAAAGACTGGCCAGGCTCCCCAGGGTATCAATCCTGTAAACATTAACAGATAACTTGCCAGACAGGAGGTAAACAACCCACTCAGATTTCTGCTTTAGCCCGCCCTTTCTGTGATGTAAGTATGATGTATCTGGGGTGGTGGTCTTGAGCTACACCCCCTCTGTGATGTAGGTATGATGTTTCTGTGGGTGGTCTTTGACTCCAAGGTGGGCAATTTAAAATGTCTATATAAGGGCGGACACACCTTGGTTCTGGGTCCTCCTCCTCCTGTGTGTGAAGGGGGCACCCTGTTGCAACAGTTCAATAAAGAGCAGGCTTACAAGCTGCTTTGCTTCTCAATATTCTCTGGTTGGCCTCTTTTTTCCTCCGACCGATGGAGAACCTACAAAGGACTCTATAAGGGCTCTTGTGTCCCACATAAGGGAATAAGGGCAGATTTTCGTTTATTACAGTTATTTTATAAGAATGCAAGGATACCATTTCTGGGCTGGAAGGATAGATCTTGGAAAACAGAGTTTCCATCCTAGCTCCGTAATAGATTGAATGTTATCATAATTCTCTTTTGCTTTAAAGCTATTACAGACAGGAATTTTCTATTACTCGAGCAAGAATCTGTTTTCTTTTGTTATGTTGTATTGGAAATGAATAACACTCCTAGCAAAGTCAGCTGTTTCTGCTTATTCATTCTTAGATTGTTCAGAGTCCTCCATAATCTATGAGACTCTTAGTGCTTATCTGTATCTAGATTGTTCTAATGGGTGGGATTTAGCTAACCAGCAAGGACTTCCACCTGTGAACTGGGCTTTCCATGAGATGTATTCAGAATATTTTTTGCTCTTATGCCCACAAAACAAAAAAGAAGAAGAAGAAGAAGAGTTTGGATTTGATATCCCGCCTTTCACTCCCCTTCAGGAGTCTCAAAGCGGCTAACATTCTCCTTTCCCTTCCTCCCCCACAACAAACACTCTGCGAGGTGAGTGAGGCTGAGAGACTTCAGAGAAGTGTAACTGGCCCAAGGTCACCCAGCAGCTGCATGTGGAGGAGCGGGGAATCGAACCCGGTTCCCCAGATTATGAGTCCACCACTCTTAACCACTACACCACACTGGTTCATATTTATATGAACAGGAAAGCATGGGCTAAATGCCTGTGTTAAGGCCTTGTGTTTTTCAATAATAACGCTCCCTCAGCCTGAAAGCAGGATGAGCGCCGCAACCCCACAATCGCCTTTGACTGGACTTAACCGTCCAGGGGTCCTTTACCTTTTTCCTTTTTATCTGCAGCCTTGCTGTGCATGAGTGCACAAAACTAATTCAGAATCTGATTGACAGAAGGTCATCTGGTCCATGTAATTTACCTGAATGAGATTGCGGCCCCTCTAAGAAGCAAACGGCATGCCCTTTTTGTTTGCCAATTGTTGGTTCCGTGCTCAGCCTAAGATGCACATGGCCAGTACGATTCCTTTAACCTCTTTCTGCTGTAACACTACATGTTTTAAATATAGATTATTTCTCAGCATACTTTTATTTCGCTTGAAAGATTATTTGTGTGCTTTGAGAAGTGTGTTGAACTCCCCCACCCACCCACACAGCCATGGCAGATATATCTTAAGCTAACAGATTCACATAGGAACATTTTAAAAATTGTTCAATTTAGAGAAATGGCTGCAATAAATCTTATGAGCTGAAATTATCCAGAATGATATTAAGACAAAAACTACCTGTATGTCATCAGGAATGCGAGGACCTGAAGAAACAGAACAAATGCTTGTCAAATGAGCTGCATTTGGAAAGAATTTTTATGAAATCGGAAAGCGAGCTGGGCATGAGAAATCTCAGAAATATAAACCATGGACTGCAAACACTAGTTAAAGAGGTATGACACCACCAGACTGAGCTCTTTTCTGCTGTTTTTTTTACCAACATTACCTGACTAAACATAATGTAGTCCCCTTTAAAGAATATAGAGTTTGTCTGAAAACTTCCCCTGCTGTGAAATTAGAGGAAATGACGTAGCTATTAAAAAACATTTTTAACCATTAGAAAGTATTATGCTGTTGTTGTTCATAATTAAACATCAGGTACAACTTGTGACTGCTTATAGTGACTGCTTCACTATAAGTCTCACTAAAAGAAGCAATTGGATCTAAAAGCAAGGTCTGAACTACACTTCTGCAATGCAGTGGCAACTATGGCTGCATCCTAACCCCACTTCCCTGTGGGGTTTAAGTTAGGATTGCGCTGTAAGCTAACTACTTTTTCACAGCTGGCTCCATGGGCTGCTTTGCATACACAAAAATTACATTTTTAAGGTATACACCTAAAAGCAAAACTGCCCAATCCAAAAATAGAGATCTGTGCTTGGTAATTCTTCTAGGTCAAGAAATGTGCACGGAGATTGCATGTTCATACTCAGGTGCACATCCCAGGAGGTACAGCAGAGTGTGGGTGTGGGTTGTGGTTTCCCTCACAACTTGCAGGTATAAGGTAAAGGGACCCCTGATCATTAGCTCCAGTCGTGACAGCTCATCTCGCTTTATTGGCTGAGGGAGCCGGCGTACAGCTTCCGGGTCATGTGGCCAGCATGACTAAGCTGCTTCTGGCAAACCAGAGCAGCACACGGAAACGCCATTTACCTTCCCGCCAGAGTGGTACCTATTTATCTACTTGCACTTTGACGTGCTTTCGAACTGCTAGGTTGGCAGGAGCAGGGATCGGGCAACGGGAGCTCACCCCGTCACGCGGATTCGAACCACCGACCTTCTGATCGGCAAGTCCTAGGCTCTGTGGTTTAACCCACAGCGCCACCCGCGTCCCTTGCAGGTATAAATAGGAGTGTAAATTTCTATCCACCAACTAGGCCACTAGTTGTGCAATTATGTGTGTATGGTGAACTTGAGTCATTGGGCATCAGCTTTATCCTTAATCCTCTCAAAATGAGCTTGACTCTGAGACACAGACATCAGAATCCCAATATCCAGGATAAAGCATTTAATCCAAGTCTTTTAGCGGAGCCATCCTACACATGCCCACTCAGAAGTGCATCCCATTAAGCTTAATGAGATTACATCCAGGTGAGCATTTATAAGAAGAGCCTGCTGAATCAGGCCAAAGCCCCATCCATAGGCTTGCAGTCTCAGTTCTTTTTTTTTTTCTTTTTTATGACTTAAGATACGAATACAGAAAAGAGGATTTGAAACCAGTGGGGCGTGACTGGTATTGTGGAGGTTAATTGCTCAACTTATTGAGTAAAAAGGGCTTGGCACCACACAAATCACGAAAATGCAGTTTTCCATTTGACTTAAAATATTGATCTATGTTAACTTTAAAGTAATCTTTTTCATCAGAGAGAAAGAAGAAGAATATTGTGAAGAAGCATTATGAACTGCCTATGTTTTTTGAAAAGGAAACCCTGATTCCTCTTCTTTGATTACAGAGAGGTTGCCAGTGTGAACGTTACTGATGAATATTGTATGGGTAGTTTATGTCTGGCTGGGTCAGATTCAATATTTTGGCAGGAAAGCTATATTCAAGGTCTGCCAAAGTTTCTGCCCTTTGTAGAACATTACGCTTTTCTCAGTGTAAGGAAAAACAAAGTGAAAATAAATCAGGCGAGAAAACCTACTGGCAGAGAATTTGTTGCTAACAACTCATAGCAGGTTTGCTATGATCAGGCACTAAAAGAATGAGGGGCTGTAAAAAAACAAAACAAAACAGGTTTAATTTCTGTGGGTGTTTGTGACAATACTAAAAACTTTTAAGCAAAAATGAAAGGAATAAAAAGTTGACATATTTTAAAAATACATATCTATATATGTTGAAAAACTGCAGGAGGCTTTAAATCATAAGCCCCTTTGTGAGAGTTGTGAGGAGACCCTTCACAGAGCTCTTGCTCCCAGCACCCTTAACAAACAACAGTTCCCAAAATTCTTTGGGGAAAGCTATGACTGTCAAAGTGGTATAAGAGTGCTTTCAATATATGGCGTGAATAGTTCGGCAGATCCAAACTTTTCTGGAAAGCTTTTGGCACACTCCCTAGATCCCATATCCTTCTGAATCTGAAATTTGATCTAAGCAAATGCAAGTGAAAACTGCAATGGCTTCTTTGTTTCCCTCCTGTGACAAATTTTAAATTGTAATCTCCTCAGGGCATTGACCTATTTTCTTGCACTCTTTAAAGTGTTGCTGACATCAGATAGTATGTAGCAACAATTCCCTCTCTCCCCCACCCCTGAAATATTAGAGGGGCCATTCTCAAAGGTGCATGAGTTTTATCAATGACTGTGGAATAAGAAACCCCTTTCTAATACTGTATTCACATGTTCTTTTGCTCATCAGCTGAGGCAAAAGCTGAATGCCTCTCAGCAGACAGCGACAAAATACTCCAAGCTTGTGGAGGAGGCCTCTCTGGCGCAGGCAGAAGCTGAGAAAGGCCAAGCGGAGGCTGAAGCCCAGGAAAAGTTGTGTCGGGAGCAGCAAGAAGCAGTTCAACTGGAGAACATCAGCTTAAAAGAAGAAACCCAGCAGCTGAAGAGAAAGGTATGAGCCTTAGATCACATGCTTGCACCCTGAGTTAACTACCAGTTGTCGGGATCCCATATCTGTCATGGTAGAATGTATAAGAGCAAGCCTATCAAAATATCGCCTTTGCCTAGGTCATCCTTTCTCAACCTTGGGTCCTGAGATGATGTTATGCTATAGCTCACATCATTCCTGATCACTGGTCCTGCTAGCTAGAAATGGTGAGAGTTGTAGTCCAACAACATCTGGGGACCCAAGGCTGAGAAAGCCTGGCCCACAGTGATGTAGTAGAATAAATCTCATACTGCACAGGGCCAAACTTCGCATGGAGCAATGTGAATCATTCACCTCAGGCAGTGGCTTCCACGCTATTTTTCTTCCTTCAAACTCTTATCTTTGCCTTTGTTTTTATAGGTGTTAAAACCTCTACGGCTTGGCTGTCCCGGCAACTTTCTGCCTTAGAGAGGGGAAAACATGTTTTTCTGATTTGTCTCTTTCAGTTAACCGAAATGCAGCAGCTGTTAGCACAAGTGGAAAAGAGCCACTTTGAAAGTCAGATGAAACTAGAGAGAATAACAATGGAGAGGGAAGTCATCCGTGAGGAAAAACGATATTTGGAGCACGAAAGGAATGAACTAAAGCAGAAACTGAAAGGAACACTAGAAGAGAATTTGAAGTGTAAAGAAAGGTAAGGTTTTAATTTAGACACACACACACACACTTTTTTTACAGGCTCTTTCCCATCCCAGAAAACAGTTGCTCCTTTCCTGACATGACAAGAGATGTTCCCAATCTTCACAATGGTGTATGATTTTTAATTTTGTTTATTCCTTTGATTTTACACCAAACCCCATTTTGTAGGCTCTGTGTCATATGCTACCTCTCATTTTGCGGAATATTCATTCCCCTAAATCCTTAGTTGTCTTAAAATTAGGATAAATATAGTAAAGTATATAGCTTTAAACCAAGGATGGCACACCTGTGGCCCTCTGGGTGTGTGCTTGTTGAAGTCCAACTCCCATCAGCCCGAGCCAGCATGGCCAATGGTCAGGGATATTGGGAGTTGTAGTCCAACAACATCTGGAGGGGCCATAAGCAGTAGTAGCCAGTGGGGGTGTAGAGAATTGGGACAGTATTGCTAACCTGACTTCCCAATGCAGAGGTTGCTTCCAGTAACCAAGAGAGGGAGAGGGAGGCAGTGAGGAGGTCAGCACTGTGCAAGCACAGAAGCAGGAATGTTTGTTTGGGTTCAGCTGCTACACCCACACCATCCTGGCCTTGTCACAGTCCCTGTCAGTAACCAACAGTGATCTATGCATTGGGAACCCAAGTAACCAACACCACTCCAACCTCCTGCACTCTGCCAATTGCTACAGGCCACAAGTTCCCCACTCCTGGTTTAAACACTCCAAATATAAGCCTCACTATGATCTCTTAAAGGGACGCAGGTGGCACTGTGGGTTAAGCCACAGAGCCTAGGACTTGCCGATCAGAAGGTTGGTGGTTCGAATCCCCACGACGGGGTGAGCTCCCGTTACTTGGTCCCTGCTCCTGCCAACCTAGCAGTTCGAAAGCACGTCAAAGTGCAAGTAGATAAATAGGTACCGCTCCGGCGGGAAGGTAAACGGCGTTTCCGTGCGCTGCTCTGGTTTGCCAGAAGCGGCTTAGTCATGCCGGCCACATGACCCAGAAGCTGTATGCTGGCTCCCTCGGCTAATAAAGCGAGATGAGCGCCGCAACCCCAAAGTCGGCCATGACTGGACCTAATGGTCAGGGGTCCCTTTACCTTTACCTTTATGATCTCTTAAAATCCGCTGAGAGCAGCTTCTTAACAACACCATGAGGTTCATTCAGCAGTGACATTCACACATTCTCCAAGCCTGAAAACCTTTTGGAAATGTCATTTGATCTGCCTGTTTACAATAGTCTTTGGAGTTTAGAGTTAAGTTGAGAAACAAATTTAATTGAATTCAAATAAGTATTATTCTGCTACCACAATTTCATTTCATTTCATTTTATTCATTTCATTTCATTGTTATCTAGTTTAAGCCTCTAGGATGGGGAAGCCTATGCCCCTTAAATAAACATTTTTCCTTCCACCTATTCCAGTGAAATCTCTCAAAGATGTAGAACAGAAGCTGCTGAAGAAGCTTTAGAGAAAGCAACCTTGCTTCATTACGAGTCGGAAAGGGGGAAGCGCTTGCTAGAACGGGACATAGAAGAGAAGGAAAAACAGTGTGAGATGTGGATGAAGAAATATAGTGCCATGGCAGACCTCTGGCAATCCCAAGAGGAAGAAAAATCAAGAAGGCAAAACAAAGCTGTATGTACCACTTTGATACATTATGAAATCTGAATGGCTTGGTCAATGACTCTGGGTTTTGTTCTGGGAGCCCTCGTGGCTTGAGGTAACTGATCCAGTGAGCTACTTGGGGGCAAGACACAACTTTAAACATATGTTTAAAAAAATGAACCTGGACTGGCTCTTTATCTAGAAAAAGCAACTGCACGGTCCTGTCCCCGCACAGCCCCAGCTTGAATTTAAACTGTGGCTCAGGATGAGGGGAGTTTATCCCTTTCCCCTCTGTCCTCTGGCAAATAGCAGCTGGGGTGGAGTGGAAGTGATGCAAGGAAACAGATTAACCCCTACCACAGCCTTGACTAAAATGAGGGAGCCCTCAAAAGCAGGGTTTTGTTTTGCTAGCAGAGACACAAAGCCTGTATAAGCGTGTTTCTAATCCTGTGTTTAAAGTCACATCTTGTTTGACCTTGTGTGTGCTTACATCGCAGAAACCTGGTATAGCTAACTGCCAGAGCCTGGCCTTCTGACTTCATGGTTGCCTGGTCAACAGAGCTGAAGCTTACGCACTTCAGCCTCTAGCTTCTCCAGTTTCCAGACCTCTCTTTGAACAGTCAGTCCTAGCTATGGAATCATCACTGTATGTGCCTGAGTGGAATGGGATGCCATCTTCCTCTCCTCCTTCCCTGCATCCCCCCTGCACCTTTGGGAGACTCTCCTAAGCAGATTTTGGGGGTGTATGTGGTGCAGAGAAGATGGTGATATCCTGTTGTACAAGTGGAAATCCACTGGATTCACACAACAACATTTCTGAAGGAAAACAAATAAGTAATTGAAATGCAGGATGTCTTTTGTGTCTTCCTGGTAGTCTAAAACTCCCCCCCCCCTTGTATTTCTGAATAAGCAGCCCCAAATAAGGTTAAACTTTGCCATCAGCATTTCTTCTTCCCTTCTCTTCTTAGTGTCAGGTGAAAATGAAGAGCTATTTCTTGTGTATCAATGAAAGCAATGAGCACATAACAGTATTAAGAAATGAAGATGGAACTCCACAGAGATTTGCGGTAAGTGTGGGATAAGCAGACTCCTATAATTAATGCATGAAGGGATTAAGACCATAGAGTAAAATGTCCTGCCAGGCTTAGCTGGGTCACTCTCCCTCACCTTGCAAGGAAAGATTATATTATTGAGCAATAAAAAATTAGGCCAATAATTTATCTCATCGGACAAAGTTAAAAAAAGAGGAGTGGTTCTTTATGCAAAGGAGAACCTATCACCTAAATTTATCTTTAAAGATGAACAAGGAAGACTTGTAGCAATTGAAATTCAATCACAAGGAGATAAATTTTTGGTAATAGGTATCTATGCGCCAAATGAAGGGAAATCGGAATTCTTTAAAAAGCTACATGAAATTTTGATGGACTATTTGGATTACAATATGATTTTGATGGGAGACATGAATGGTGTTGTATCCACAAACATGGATAAGGTGCAAAGACAAATAATTACTAAGGATGGAAGACTACCAAAAACATTCTTTGACATGACTGAAAACATGGACTTAATCGACATCTGGAGGATGAAGAATCCTCTGGGAAGAGAGGGAACTTTCTTCTCCGAGGCTAAAATGACATGGACAAGAATTGACCAAATCTGGGTAACTAGAGGACTGGCTCCAAAGATTAGCAAGGTTGAAATTTGCCCTAAGACCAGCTCTGATCATAACGCTGTGAAGATGGAAATGAAATTAATGCCAACTGGTTCCTTTAGATGGAGGATGAACGACTCTTTGTTTAGGAATGATGAATTTATTAAAAAGGCCCAAAAAACTTTGAAATATTATTTTGAGATAAACATGAACACTACAGTGGAAAAAAGAGTAATCTGGGATGCAAGTAAAGCCGTCATGAGAGGCTTCTTGATACAACAGAATGCAATTAAGAAGAGAATGCAAAATGAGAAAAAAGATAAAATTTTGGAAAACATAAAGGAAGGAGAGAAGAAACTGAGGGCGAAACCAAAGTCTCAGGAAATTTTAAAAGAAATAAAGCTATACCAAGTACAATATATGAAAATGATGAATCAGGAAATAGAATGGAAGATTAAACAGATGAGACAAAAGACATTTGAATCGGCAAATAAGTGTGGGAAATTGCTGGCTTGGCAACTGAAAAAAAGACAAAAATTAAATACTATTACGAATCTGGAAGTGGAAGGAAAGAATATACAGAATCCAGTGGAAATTAGAAAGTGCTTCCAGAGGTACTTTAAACAATTATACACACAAGAAAAGCAGAATGAAATGGACATTGATAAATTCCTGGAAAGAAATGGATTACAATAAATTTCCCAAGAAAATAAATTAATGCTGGATTACAAAATAACGCATCAGGAAGTAGAAGGGGCCATTCAGAATATGCAACTAGGTAAATCTCCAGGACCGGATGGACTGACTTCTAGATATTACAGAACTTTGAAAGAATGGTTAATACAACCATTAAAGGAAGTCTGTAATGAAATATTGGAAGGGAAAAGGGCACATGAGTCGTGGAAATAAGCATATATTACACTTATACCAAAATCAGAGCTTGAAAAGACGCAACTTAAAAACTACCGTCCCATATCACTGCTTAACGTGGATTATAAAATTTTTGCAGACATTTTGGCTAAAAGATTAAAAAAGGTGTTAGCAGAAGAAATTCATAAAGACCAAGCGGGCTTTCTCCCGGGCAGACATTTGTCTGATAATACGAGGAACATAATTAATATTTTAGAAAAGCTACAAGTGAAGATTAATACTAAAGCAGTTTTGATTTTTGTGGATGAGGAGAAAGCCTTTGACAATATATCTTGGAGTTTTATGAAGAAGAATCTATTAGGGATGGGGGTTGGTAAAGGTTTTGGAAATGGTATAGGTGCAATCTACTTAGAACAAAAGGCTAAATTAATTGTGAATAATGTAGTGACGGAAGAATTTAAGATTGAGAAAGGAACATGACAAGGTTGTCCAATCTCTCCATTGCTTTTTATTTCGGTCCTGGAGGTTCTGTTAAATATGATTAGAAGGGACCAATTGGTTAAAGGTATACAAGTGGGAGCTAAACAGTACAAACTGAAAGCATTTGCAGATGACTTAGTATTGACTTTACAGGAGCCAGAATCAAGCACTAAAAGAGTACTAGAATTGATTCAAGAATTTGGTCAGGTAGCAGGTTTTAAGTTGAATAAGACGAAAACTAAAGTTTTGGAGAAAAATCTAAATGAGATTGAGAGAGAGAAGTTTCAAAAGGAGACAGGACTGACACTGGTTAAGAAAGTGAAATATTTAGGGGTTAATATGACTGCTAAGAATGTGAATTTATTTAAGGATAATTATGAAAAATGTTGGACTGAAGTGAAAAAGGATTTAGAAATATGGTCAAATTTGAAGCTATCGTAGCTAGGCCGAATTGCTGTGATAAAAATGAATGTATTGCCAATAATGCTGTTTTTGTTTCAAACATTGCAAATTTTGGACAAAATGGACTGTTTCAAGAAGTGGTAGAGAGATATCTCCAGATTTGTCTGGCAGGGCAAGAAGCCTCGTATAAAATTTAAGATACTAACTGATGCTAAAGAAAGAGGTGGATTTGCCCTGCCAGACCTCAAACTTTATTATGAATCAGCCGCATTTTGTTGGCTGAGAGAATGGATGCTTCTTGAAAACACGGATGTGTTGGATTTGGAAGGTTTCAATAATGTATTTGGTTGGCATGCATATTTGTGGTATGATAAGGTTAAGGCACACAAAGCGTTCAAAAACCATATTGTAAGAAAAGCATTGTTTAATGTCTGGATAAGATATAAGGATTTGTTAGAAAATAAAACCCCAAGATGGCTGTCACCAATGGAAGCAAAGGCTCAGAAAAAACTCAATATGGATGCCAAATGGCCGAAGTATTGGGAAATTTTGGAACAAGAGGGTGACAGACTAAAACTGCAGAGCTTTGAAAAATTAAAAAACAGAGTACGAGACTGGCTCCATTATTATCAAATAATGGAGGCATATAACTTGGACAAAAAACTAGGCTTCCAGGTGAAAAAATCAAAGTTGGAAACAGAATTGTTAGACCCTAAAGTTAAGAATTTGTCAAGAATGTACAACTTGCTGTTGAAATGGAATACTCAAGATGAAATGGTGAAATCTGCTATGATTAAATGGGCACAAGATGTTGGACATAATATCATGATGGCTGACTGGGAACAGTTATGGACCACTGGTATGAAGTTTACGGCATGTAATGCCTTAAAAGAGAATTTAATGAAAATGATTTACAGGTGGTACATAACACCAGTCAAACTTGCAAAAATTTACCATTTGCCCGATAATAAATGTTGGAAATGTAATGAAACTGAAGGTACATTCTTTCACCTTTGGTGGACATGCCCAAAGATTAAAGCATTCTGGGAGATGATCTATAATGAAATGAAAAAGGTATTTAAATATACCTTTCTAAAGAAACCAGAGGCCTTTCTCCTGGGCATGGTAGGACAATTGGTGCCAAAGAAGGACAGAATTTTTTTCATGTACGCCACAACAGCAGCAAGAATTCTTATCGCAAAGCACTGGAAGACGCAAGATCTACCTACCAAGGAAGAATGGCAGATGAAGCTGATGGATTACATGGAATTGGCGGAAATGACTGGCAGAATCCGAGACCAGGGAGAAGAGTCGGTGGAAGAAGATTGGAAAAAAATTAAAGTATATTTACAGAAATATTGTAAAATTAATGAATGTTAGAAGGATGCTGGAAAGAAGTTATATGACTCTAGTAGAAATGTTACAAAGAATTAAGTATGAATAGACTGATAATGGGTAAAGGTTAAACTTAAGGTTTAATTGCGTTAAGATAAATTATGGAACTAAATCTGAGAAAGAGGGAAAGGACTTGCTGGAACAATTAATTGAACTAGAATACAAAAAAGGAGGTGTGAGGAAGTCGAGGAAACAAGCAAATGAAAGATAAGGATATGAAAATACGGGGTCTTCTTTTTTTGTTCTTTTTTCTTCTTTTTTTCCTATTTTTTAAAGGTTTGTGTTTTTTAAATGTTTCTGCTTTTCTTTTTTTCTTTTTTAATGTGTCGATGTATTGTTGATGTTTTGTATTATTGTATTTCCTTTTGTTTTTAAGGTTTTGTAATTGTTTATTGCTTGTATTTCTTTTTTCTTTTTTTCCTTTTTTTGTAATATTTAAACTCTAATAAATATCTTTAAAAAAAAAAGAAAAAAGGAAAGATTATAAAACTCCTTGTTCTTTCATACCACCATGTGAACTCTGGCAAGCAAAGAGATCTGAACCAGTTGCTCCAAGCTCAGACTGCATGGCTTACGCAAGCTGTAGTTGTGTTTCTATACAAATAATTTAGAAACATTCACCATTTTGGAAGTTTTGGAAGTTTTGCTGCCTGTGTTTTCTTATTGCTGTAAAACACATAAATCTGACCTTTGAAGAGTTTGTAAGTAAACTATTTTTAACTTACCAAACACATGGACTCTTTGTATGCTAAGAGAAGAGCTTTGAAAGCACCTTAGAACAAAAACCAACCGTAAACAACTTGGAATTTACTTCCATTGAGATCAGAGGGGAAAACACCAGTACTGTGTTCCACATGTCACAAGATGGAAATGGCACCATGTAAACTTGTACAGAATGAAACAGTGCTACAAAGAGCTCAGGATTACAGCTCAGGACTAGTTTTTCTTTTCTATATAAATGAACTAAGCAAATGTGCAAGAAGAAGCATGTTTCAAATACGAAATTTGGGTGGTAGTATATTGGACTAGTGGAAATAACAGCCTGTTAAGTATCAAGCTAACAGTCACTCATCTTCAACTTTTCCTTTCCAAAATGCTTTGTAAAAAACCCCCCAAAAACTTGGTGTATCACCACTGCACCTGCCTCTTGGGATGCTCCACCAAACAGCAAATTAATATACTTAATTATAGATCAATTTCACTTTGATTTTTGTTTTTTAAAAAGACAAAGTAATGTGCCATATGCACACAAGTAACAAAGAGAACCTTGAGCTTGGGCCAAATTTTATTAAATTGCGATAAACTGTGATAAACTGGAATTATGGATTTGCTTTTTCTTCCCCTCCTAGAAAGGACTGGATTATTCTTTGGCGCAGGACAACTTCCTTAGATTTTAGGCATTACTGTTCCATTTCTGTATGTACTTTCTTGGGAGAAAGCCCCACTGAACTCAAAAGTTTTACTTATTAGTACAGAGCGTTATGAGAACATAAAAGGAGCCCTGGTGTAACAGTCCAAGGCATTTAGTGTGACATTTAGTTTTATTATTTAACACACATAAAGGACAAAAAATGAAATAAAAAGCAAAGTGTTGTTTCTAATTTCAGCATCTGCCCTTAGTGGCGAAATGGACAAGGCACTATGTATCTCTATAGTTACTGGTAGTACATAACAAGAAGCAATAGTTCTTAAATTAGAAACCCAAGACTTTCTTACTCTACCTGGCAGAGAGGCACATGTGGAGAATTTACCAACAATATGTAACTACATGTCACTTAGCCCCTTAGTATTGGAAGATGTTTGGCCAATAGCTAAATTTAATGCAGACAATTGAAGGATATGCTCCTTATTTGACATGCCAAAATACCAGAAGTGTTTTGCATTGAATGTTGTATTCAGTGGATGGAATAGCTTTGTACCATGTGAGTCTAGAAATGGAAGAAAACAGGCAAATCATTTTGTGTGGGTAGCATTCATGCCTACCTCCTACCGTCGGAGGAAAGATCTGTTTATCTTCTGCTGTGGGATTCAACTCATTTCTTGAAAGAGGCAGCCAAGATGTGAATAAATTTACCAAATATGCCCGCGCATGCTGTCATAACTGAATTAGCTTTGGCAATCTGACTGATTAATTTGCTCAGCATGTAAAACTCAAAAATAAACTGACAGGAGTTAGAAATTGGGTAATTTATAACATTTGGATTTTTTAAATGAAATGGTGCATGTAGGGTTCACTTTAATCATATTTTTAAATTCCTGAGAGAAGGCTCTAATTATTTGTCTCTTGGCAGCCTCCTGTTCTATTGTGACGAGTTTATTGTCATGGAATTGCACTAGACAAAAGAGCTTTTGATTTACATGCACAGGGCACTCCTTCTAGGAGGTATTTTTAGGTATCCAACAGCAACTTGCAACCATCAACTATTCTTGCTTAACTATTACATTCTTTAAAAACATTAAAGGTTGGGGGAAGGGTGTGCTAACATGGGATTCGCTCAGAAAAACAACACAAGATGGGTAAGAGGCAATTATATAGAAATCAGTGATCTGATTAACCTGTGAAATACTTTGAGAATGATCTATTTTCTTATATTTGATAATTAGCAGAATTAAATTATAATGCTCTTTGTCAGAATTGTAAATAAGTCAGAGCTCCCCCTGTTTTAATCAATATTAAAAATGAGATAGATCTCTCCAGCTGATTTGACATACCTAGCTCACACAAAATGGCCCCTAGTAGCTTTGCTTCTTCCTCTTCCATATGAAGGCTCCATGTGAGGAAGGGCCACTTGTAGCTCAGTGGTAGAACAAATATCACAACTTCTGTCTGCAATACCTCTACAAAGGGGTGGGAAAGATTCCTGACTGAAACTCCAGCTTTATATCTAGGTAGCCCAAATGGTGCCTTTCATTTCCCATCCGCCCCAGCCACATGGCCAATAGTCATAATATATTGTCTATACCAGGAGCAGCCAAACAGCCAACTCAATATTATTCCTTTAAATCTTGAGGGACCCATAACCAGTTTGTGCAGTGCACTCTCACAAGTTTTTCCTTTTTTAAAATTAATTTTCTGTTACAAAATCAGTAATAAAGCATTCACAAAACAGTTATCATCATTTCTTTGTGCAAACATAAATAATAAAACATGACAAGACTAACAAATGGGTCACTAGGGGGGTAAATACATCTTATTTCATATTGCATAATATCTACATACACCATTTCTACGGTATTCCTTGTCTATGTGTTGATTCATTTATATATTTAATAAAATCATACCATAGAGTGTAAAAATTATCTTGTTTTTTTCTGTCTCCTTGCCACCTTCAGTTTTTGCAACAACTTTCCCATTATGGCTGTTTGCAATGTTTTTCAGGTTTTGGTTATGACCATTCTAGCTGCTGTTAATAAGTGTTTTATTAATTCCTTACTTCTTAATTGGTCCATATCTGAAGTATATAGAATAAGTAAGGCTAAGACCAGGGTATGAGCTGTAATCTGAGATATATCTTTCAAAACTTCCTTCCAGAATTGTTCTATTTGTAAAAACCCACCAGGAAGTGGGGAGTAAAACACCATCCAGAGAACCTTGAGGGTGGGGAGACAACCTTTGAAATAACTGCTTAAGCACAGGTCGCTGTTAATTCAGGAGCACTTTCTTTTTTTAAGGAGGTGGTAAAAAAATTTTTCAATGTAATCCCTCTGAATCAGCCCCACACAGGTTTCAGCCATGTCAACAAGACCTTAAGTAATCGCTATGAAGTGGAAGCAATCCTTTATTTATAAAGCAGCTCTTATTTCTTGTTTTTTGCCTATGTTTCAGGAAGGAGAGCAAGTTTGTTTTTCAGTCCCTGGTGTTGACAATGAAGAAAAGGCCAAGAGCACTGACAGGTAGGACTTTTATAGTCTCTGACATCTCCTAACCTCCAACTTCACAGTGAGCTATCTGTGCAGAGGATCTGACAGGTAATAAATTAATATGTTTACTGGCATATTCAAGACAGGAAATAAACTGATGGAAAGGCACGTCTCATTACTTCTGCTTTTCATGTATCCTCTGACAACACTAACTGTCTACCTCTTTCCATCCCTCCTCTCCCTACTAGGTAACAGAAAATTGGCTCCTCTGTGAAAATAAAAATGGGAGCAAAATTTCATGCCCAGGAAAATCAAGACACATAAGAGTTCAGCTCTTCAAAGAGCTTTTTGCTCCTTTAATCATTTCCCCCCTAAAATAATCCATTAGGAATCCTTGAAATCCTAGCTAGTCAACTGTTGTGGGCTTTTAGTTTGAACTTTGTAGTTACAGATCTTTGAAGGAGAAATTGATAAAAAATGAAGTAGCAGTAATGTGAGAGAGAATCTGAAAGAACAAAGAGAGTGTAGAGGAGGAGGATCTGTGAGCAGCTGCTGAGAGATGAGCAAATTCCTCTGTGAGCTGTCTGTGAGACAACTTTGTGTTGTGCCTTGACTGGCAAGTGCTCACCCTCTTCTTTTGCCCAGTTCATTGCTATCAATGTGAGAGAATCTCTGGGCTCTTCCAGGCGACCTATTTACTAAGCATCCAGATTAGTTTGCACAGCGTTTAATGAATATGTTGGATTACATCCAGTCTTTACTGAACATTCATTCGGATTTGTTTGTGGGGAGTTTATACGACAGTGAACATTTATCCTTACTTGCTTGTGTCTTACCTATAATCATGAGCTCATTCCACACTTTTCTATGTGTTTTCCCATCACTTTCCTAATCACAAAAGTATAAATAAGTAAATAAAATGTTGCTGCCTATTGTCTTGGACTGATTGCCCAGGGCCTCAATGTACAGATACTGTTGGAGAGTGTTTGTGTAAGAGTGCTACAATAATATTATGTACAATTCTGGCTTCTCAATCTTGAAAAAAAAAATAAAGGAGGGGGAGAAATTGTAGGACTGGAAAAGATGCAGAAAAGGGCAACCAAAATTATCAGGAATCTGGAGCATTTTCTCTCCAAGGTTACCATGTTTGGGGCTTTTCAGTTTAACAAAAAAAAGTGGCTCAGTGAGGGGTAAAAAAGGTAAAGGTACCTCTGCCCGTACGGACCAGTCGTGTCCGACTCTAGGGTTGTGCGCCCATCTCACTTAAGAGGCCGGGAGCCAGCGCTGTCCGGAGACACTTCCGGGTCATGTGGCCAGCGTGACGGAGCTGCTCTGGTGAGCCAGCACCAGCGCAGCACACGGAAACGCCGTTTACCTTCCCGCTATAATGCGGTACCTATTTATCTACTTGCACTTAGGGGTGCTTTCGATCTGCTAGGTGGGCAGGAGCTGGGACTGAAAGACGGGAGCTCACCCCGCCGCGGGGATTCAAACCGCCGACCATACGATCGGCAAGTCCTAGGCACTGAGGTTTTACCCACAGCGCCACCCGCGTCCCGACTCAGTGAGGGGTACTGGTAAATAAAAGCATTTTTAAAAAATATTCCTGGTGCAGAGAAAATTGTTGTGCCCCTCCCCCCATCTCATAATACCTGAACTTAGGGCAATTCAATGAAGCTGAATGTTGGAAAATTCAGGACAGAGGAAAGGAAACACATTTTCACACAGTGCATATGTATAGAACAATGTCACAAGATGACCATCTAAAGCTAGTCTTGATGGTCACTGACTTATGTTTATGACTTTAGAAAGGCATGAGGCAAATTCATGGGAGATCAGGCTGCCAATGGCTACGAGTCATGGAGGATAAATGGAACATTCACTTTCAGAGGCAGTAGGCTGCTGAGTAACCGTTACTGGGGAGCTACAAAAGCAGAGGGATTTTGCCTCTAATGTCCTGCTTGGGGGTTTCCTAGAGGCATTTTTAGTTGGCCGCTGTGAGAAACAGGACAAGGTGGACCTTTTGATCTAACCCAACAGAGCTCCTCCTGTTAAGTTGTGGGTGAACATATCAGACGACACAGCGATTCTTCCAAAGCAGCTCTTTATTTGTAAGCTGGAACAGAACTAACTGAGGAGCTCAGTCAGCCTGCTTATATAGAGCTCCAGAACAATGTAACTGTTGCCATTTTCTAAAACTACCCAATCACTTTCGATCCTTCATTTGCATGCAAACTATCCAATCACTGAACGTCACTTTTGATCCTTCATTTGCATAACTATCTACAGTATCCCCCTGCTGGCCCAGGGTGAGAACTTCAGTACATAACACCTCCAATGTGGCTTCCTTATAGGGACTCACTTTAGCCCAGGAACTACATCCTTCCATCACCCCTTTTGCTTGAAAATCCCTCCCAGAAAACCTGTGTGGTGGCACTTCTCTTCCTTCCTTCAGATCTTTCCTCAAAACCACACAAGCTGCAGAGCCTTTGCTCCACCTTTTAGTCCTCATTGAGATAAGCCCTAAATTCATGTAGCTTCTAAATTCTCCACACTTATCACTTGCTGCTCTTTCTGCTCGTCTTTCTCTGTCTTTTGCTGCTCCTTGCCTAAATATTGTGTTCCTCAGCAAAGAAACATGTATTATTTCTTGTTCTGTAAAGCCTTTGTAAATTAGGGCTGTCATATTTCAAAAAGCTGCTTTTCCCATCACATTGCCATACATTCGGGTTCCCCCTGACATTTTGCTGATTTGGCAAAATTTCCCCGACGCCATTTTTAGACCTGAAAACCAGGACATGTCAGGAATTTTCCTGATGTATGGCAAGCCTATGTAAATCAACAGTGCTTTATTAACCTGAGCTAGCTTTGCCCAACCTGATACTCTCCAGATGTTTTGGGGTCCAAACTCCCATCAGCCCTGGCCAGCAGAGCCAGTGGTCAGGGATAATGACAGTAATAATAATAATAATAATTTATTATTTATACCCCGCCCATCTGGCTGGGCCTCCCCAACCACTCTGGGTGGCTTCCATAGAAACCAAAAATACAGTAAAATATCACATGTTAAAAACTTCCCTGAACAGGGCTGCCTTAAGATGTCTTCTGAATGTCAGGTAATTTATCGCTTTGACATCTGCTGTTAGGGCGTTCCACAGGGCGGGCGCCACTACCGAGAAGGCCCTCTACCTGGTTCCCTGTAGCTTTGCTTCTCGCAATGAGGGAACCGCCAGAAGGCCCTCGGCGCTGGACCTCAGCGTCCGGGCATAACGATGGGGGTGGAGACGCTCCTTCAAGTATACTGGACCGAGGCTGTTTAGGGCTTTAAAGGTCAGCACCAACACTTTGAATTGTGCTCGGAAACGTACTGGGAGCCAATGTAGGTCTTTCAAGACCGGTGTTATATGGTCTCGGCGGCCACCCCCAGTCACCAGTCTAGCTGCCGCATTCTGGATTAGTTGTCGTTTCCGAGTCACCTTCAAAGGTAGCCCCACGTAGAGTGCATTGCAGTAGTCCAAGCGGGAGATAACCAGAGCATGCACCACTCTGGCGAGACAGTCCGCAGGCAGATAGGGTCTAAACCTACGTACCAGATGGAGCTGGTAAACAGCTGCCCTGGACACAGATTTGACCTGTGCCTCCATGGACAGCTGTGAGTCAAAAATGACTCCCAGGCTGCGCACCTGGTCTTTCAGGGGCACAGTTACCCCATTCAGGACCAGGGAATCCTCCACACCTGCCCGCCTCCTGTCCCCCAAAAACAGTACTTCTGTCTTGTCAAGATTCAACCTCAATCTGTTAGCCGCCATCCATCCTCCAACCGCCTCCAGACACTCACACAGGACCTTCACCGCCTTCACTGGTTCTGATTTAAAAGAGAGGTAGAGCTGGGTATCATCCGCATACTGATGAACACCCAGCCCAAACCTCCTGATGATCTCTCCCAGCGGCTGCATGTAAATGTTGAAAAGCATGGGGGAGAGGACAGAACCCTGAGGCACCCCACAAGTGAGAGCCCAGGGGTCTGAACACTCATCCCCCCCCACTTTCTGAACACGGCCCAGGAGGAAGGAGCGGAACCACTGTATGACAGTGCCCCCAGCTCCCAGCCCCTCAAGACGGTCCAGAAGGATGTTATGGTCGATGGTATCAAACGCCGCTGAGAGATCCAGCAGAACTAGGAAACAGCTCTCACCTTTGTCCCTAGCCCGCCGGAGATCATCAACCAGTGCGACCAAGGCAGTTTCAGTCCCATGATGAGGCCTGAATCCCGACTGGAAGGGATCCAAATGGTCCGCTTCTTCCAGACGTGCCTGGAGTTGTTCAGCAACCGCTCGCTCAATCACCTTGCCCAAGAATGGAAGATTTGAGACTGGGCGATAGTTGGCCATCGTGGCTGCATCTAAAGATGGTTTTTTAAGAAGCGGTTTAATAACCGCCTCTTTCAGCAGGTCTGGGAAGGCTCCCTCACGGAGGGAAGCATTCACCACCCCACGAAGCCCATCGCCCAGTCCTTCCCGGCTAGCTTTTATAAGCCAGGATGGGCAAGGATCCAGGAGACAGGTGGTTGGTTTCACTCATCCAAGCAGCCTGTCCACATCCTCGGAGGTAACAGATTGGAATTGATCCCACTCAACTTGACTAGACAAAACTCTAGCACTCTCCCGCCCCGGCCCTGCTCCCACGGTGGAGTCTACTTCTTCCCGAATCTGAGCGATTTTCTCTGCAAAAAACTTTGCAAAATCATTGCAGGAGAACATGTGGCCCGTACTGGGCCCCGATGTTCCAGGCGATTCCGCTAAATTGTGAACCACCTGAAAAAGTCTCCTGCTGCTGTTTTCTGCAGATGCAAGAGAGGCGGTGAATAAATTCTTCTTCGCCGTCGCTATCACCACTTGGTAGGCTCGACGTTGAGCTCTAACCTGTGTCCGGTCAGATTCGGAATGAGTTATCCGCCACCGGCGCTCTAGCCATCTCAACGATTGTTTCATTGCCCTCAGATCCGTGGAAAACCACAGGGCTGTCCGGGCTCCATGCAATCGGAGAGGGCGCTTCGGAGCCAAACAGTCAATAGCCCTGGTTAACTCCACATTCCAGCGGGCCACCAGGGAATCAGCTGAAAGGCCATCAACATGGGATAAAGCATCCCCTACCACTCTCTGGAAACCATTTGGATCCATTAAGTGGCGGGGACGGACCATCCAAATTGGTCTCACCTCCCTGCAGAGGGGATGGGTCGCAGAGAAGTCCAGTTGCACCAGGAAGTGATCTGACCATGGCACTTCTTTCATTTCGCATTTACTTAGTGTCAGATCACCAACATCCATAGAGGTAAACACCAGGTCCAAGGCATGTCCACGGCTATGGGTTGGGCCAGACTTATTCAGGGACAGCCCCATGGAGGCCATGCTTTCCACGAAGTCCTGAGCGGCCCGTTGTAAGGTCGTGTCGGCATGGATGTTAAAATCCACTAGGACGACCAAGCTAGGTGTCTCCAGGAGAACATCCGCCACGACCTGAAGCAGCTCGGGCAGGGAATCCTTGGTGCAGCAGGGAGGTCGGTACACCAAAAGGAATCCTGTACTGCCCCTATTGCCCAACTTCCAGAACATGCACTCGGAAAACTGGGTCTTCCCAATAGGACGCCTGGTGCAAACTAATGACTTCCTAAAAATCACTGCAACCCCCCCCTCCCCGCCCACATGACCTGGGTTGCTGTGCGTAAGAGAAACCTGGTGGACAAGCAGCGGCAAGGACAGGCCCATCTGCTTCCTCCAACCAAGTCTCTGTTACACATGCCAGGTCAAGTCCTCCCTCCATGATCAAGTCATGGATGGCAGTGGTCTTATGAATCATTGACCTGGCATTGCACAGCAGCACCTTCAGTCATGTGGGTATCCCTTGCTGATTCTAGTATCCATCCGGTCAGGACCAGACCCGGAGGCAGGAATAGTCCTCAGACAACGACTAAACCTGCCCCCTCTGTAATGAGATGGTCTAGTATTAGCGTAACTCCTCCTCCTACCCGTGATCACTGAGATTGGTTGTCCCAGTGCATCCCCCCCTGTGGAACATGCCCCAGCCATTTTGTGGGCTGGGGCCCACTCCCCGGCAGCCCTGACCCCTCCCCTTAAGAACAAAATAACACCTTAAACAAACAAACAAACAAACAAACAAACAAAACCAATAAAACAATACAAACAAAAAACTGTAAAAATTACAAAAACATCAAAATAAAAAAAATTCCCCAAGCCCAACCAAACATCCATCCCACCCCCACCCCCCACATACAAAAAATCCAAAAGAAATTTTTAAAAACATTTTAAAACACTCTGTGCCCCTCTGGCAGTAACAGCAACTGTCCTAGTGAGGCCTGTCAGGCCCCGCCCTGGGCCAGGTGGTAAGTGGCAAGAGCAGGGCCCTCAGGCACTCACTCAGGGGAGTCCTCCTGGGCAGCAGGCAGCAAGCAGCAAGCAGTCCTTGTCCTGGAGGGCACCAGGATGAGGAAGGCTGATCTAAACATCAGCTGTCAAATGAACAATTTTAACTGCATCAACTTACCCCTTTGTATGATAAGTGGGAAACTTATCGGGTACCCTGGAGAACCAATTAAGGTTTATACTGTATATGGCTTTGCTTTCTTCCAACATAAAAAGGGCTAAACATAGTAAAAAAATGTGACTATTTTTTTCTTTGCTCTACCCCCCTCCACTTACTTAATTTATCCCAAATGTAGTTTTGTTATCATAGTCGCTTGGTAAACTGAATAAAAACAAAATTTATCTTTAATCTCAGCTATGCAGATTTTTTAAAATTAAAGGCACAGAACATACTCCCAGCTTCATAAAAATAATGTTGGGTGGAAAAAGTATTACAACTAGGCTGTCTCTAGTTTGGGTTTGCCACCCGTCTTTTTGCATTAACTTGGTAGAAGACAGCACAGACAACAAGCTGAGGTCACTTTGATCGTGTTAAGCAGTTCTCTCACAGGCTGTAATACAATGCAATCAATTTTAAAAAAAAGGGGGGGGGGAAAGATTGTTCTCCGGAAATAGGTGAATATGCTCTCTTTTAACCCTGCATAAACCAGACCAGAGGATCCAAAGGATCCCTTTTTCACTCATTGTGGAGGGGAGTGCAGAGATAAGTCTCCCCTCCCTGGGCACTGCTTTTTTAGAAAGTGTGGCTTCCCCACACTTGTTATTATTTAAGGAAAAGTAAGTTACCTGAAAAAGAACCGATGTACAATTGGATCTAGACCACTGGGAACACCGGGTCTGTCTCTAGTCCTAGTAGTCCTACTGCTTAGATTAATCAGAGTGGGGTTGCCAAACTTTTGGGGCTATTTGGAGTTTTGAGAATATGCCATAGCCAGGTCACAAAATGGCTACTGTGGGGGGTTGTGCTGATTAACACAAAATGGCTGCCATAGGGTGTGACATAACGTAGCCAAAAGAGCAGAAAAAGAGACAGGACCACAGAATGGTGTGGACAAGCACATCCCCAGTCAATTGGTGGGGGGGGCACCTACATAAAGCACTGCTGCACTCATTCATAGAGAGCAGCTCTTTGCATCTCCACTCTTCTCTCTCCTCTCCTGGCATATGACGAACTGTGGGTGTTTGGCGGAGGAGAGACTGAGGCACTGCAAAGAAGAGAGCAGGAAGAGCTCTCTCATGCATTGTGGATTTTTAGGGGATATTTAGTGAGACCTTTTGTAGGCGCCATAGGAGGTACTGGCAGGCATACCAGTGCCCATGGGCACTATGTTGGGAACCCCTAGATTAGGGCTGCAGTTCTGAGTTTGACTTCTGGTCAAGGGGGAAGTCAGCATCTTGTTAAAGAGATACACACTTTCCCATAACGTATGTTCTGATGATCACAAGAAGCATTTCCTTTTGTTTGCTGCTTTCAGTGAGTAAACTAAGGAGCCTAGTGATTGCTCACTTGTACAGGGAGCAAATCTGTTTGTACAGACTGATCCAGCCTAGTATTCCAAACACTCTACTTGTCATTTTTTCTCTTACCCCTCATTTCTCCCATACAATCATTGCTTGTATATACTGTACATCAGGGTTGCCGTATTTCAGACAGAAATCCAGACAGAAAGGTTGTTGAGCTTTTGTGACAACATCACAAAATAAAATAAAAATAAAATAAAATTGGAGCTATTTTTAAGTAAAATCGCCAAAATAACGACACTGCTGGCACAGACATATGGATTTCCCCGGACATTCCAGCAATTTCTGCCTGGACACTGATTCCAACTGCAGTATTCCATATATGTCTGGGAAATTCTAGACGTATGGCAACCCTAAAGTGTACATGCACCAAAAGGAGGCATAAATAAATACATACCAGTGAAATGGGGAAATAACATGCAGTAGAGAAACTATGGTGCAGACATACTGAGTTTTTGCATTAACTATTACGTTGAATCTTTATTTCTCTGCAGGATTTTGCACAGAGTTGTTGCACCCAGTTCAAGCCCTGGACATCCTCAGATGTGTGGACTTTGTCCTGCTGAACTGCAGGAGAGAACACCTGCTAGAAGAGGCAGGAAAATCATTGAATATTTCTGGTTTCCAGTTGATGGTAATACTGAAGAGTGATTGGAGAAGAAATAAAAATATAACCAATGATGGGAGGGGGGGTAGGCAGTTCCGGTACCTTGAGTAGGAGCCACAATGTTTTTGCTGGAGTTCAAGATTAATTGAAGAACTTCCTTGTACTGGCAAGTGAATGAGGTGATGATGAGACTTTTGTTTGTGATAGTTTGTCATAGATGAAGCCAGAGAACGAGAAACTTAATCCAGCAGAGGTTAGGCAAATCTTTCTTTTTTTAAAATAGGTTTCCTACTTACCAGCATTCTAAATTAAAACACTTGCCTTGCACATCTAATTAAAAGTTACATTCCAGTTGCCTGAACATATTTTGTTAAGATGCAATGTGCATGCAAAATTGAATCTATGCAGCACTACTACAAGCAATGGATATTATTCCCAGGATTGTAGGCATGCTGATTATAACCAATTGGCTGTTAAATGTACTACTGTTCTTTGGTTTGTGTTTGTGCATGTGTGGAAGTGCCTGCATTTTTTCACTCCTCAAGGTTGATGCTGTGGGACCTGTCATAATGAACTCCAGCACTTCAAAGTGTACCACTAAATGAAAGTGAATGTACATTTGCTAAAGAGAATGCAAGATCTTTTCAATTCAGCAAGATTGATGGTTCTTCAACCCCAAACAGTTGTGTCTGCCTATTTACCTGTGAAACATGAACAAAGTGCATCCAACAGCAGTTGTCTATCATAGTTTGTGCTTTGGATTGGTGCAGCAGTATGCATGTCCCATAATGGCCCACTTATACACATCTATCTATTGAGAAATAAGGGCCAGTCCATAGAACTAATCTGTCCATTATTAAAAGTAAGCAAATGGGCCATCTGATCATGAGTGCTTGCAAAGCACTGTGCCTTTGCCAATATGGTTTGATTTCAGATAGCAAAGAAAAACAAGTTACCCGACAGCACTGTGACTTGGCCCAAAGGGGGTGGGGAAGCCCAACACAATTGTTGCCAAATCCCAGCACAAGGCTAGCTAAAGCTAGATACTATTGTGTGGAAAAGGGATCCTTTTCTTCTACTCCCTTCCAGGTGAGATCTGATGGGGTCCCTCCCTGTTGAATTTCAGGCACTGGATAAATACCTTCCTATTCTAGCAGGCTAAGGGACGCGGGTGGCACTGGGTTAAACCAAAGAGCCTAGGACTCTTCAGAAGGTCGGCGGTTCAAATCCCTGCGACGGGGTGAGCTCCCGTTGAAAGCACGTCAAAGTGCAAGTAGATAAATAGGTACCGCTCCGGCGGGAAGATAAACGGTGTTTCCGTGTGCTGCTCTGGTTCGCCAGGTCATGCTGGCCACATGACCCGGAAGCTATATGCCGGCTCCCTCGGCTAATAAAGTGAGATGAGCGCCGCAACCCGAGTTGGTCGCGACTGGACCTAATGGTCAGGGGTCCCTTTAACCTTTTTATTCTAGCAGGCATTTTAAGTAGGTTGCATTATGCCCGTTTATGGAACTTGTGCTCTTTACCTGTTACTGTTTTTCGTTTTGCTTCAAACTCTGTGTTATTTTATAGCAATGTTTTATTGATAGTTCTGTAAGCTGCTTTGTAACCACCCATGGGGAAATGTGGCCTCTGCATATTGGAAGTTAATAAATATAAACAAACATCCCATGTAGCAGTCTGCATTTGTCAGCAGGCAAGATGGGGCATATCCTGACCTGAAAGACGGCACAGTGTAAGTTGCCAGCCACTCATCCATGTGCAACGTTTGTCTCTTGGACAAATCCTTGACAGAGAGCACCACCCAACTCCAGTTGGTAATTGAGATGGAAGCTCCAATTGGCTCCCAGGGGAGCTTTTTTCCTTTTGGTAATTACAGGAGGATTTCCTGCCCTGTCCCAATTAGGTTTGTAGGGGGTAGGAAGAATTAAACCTCCTCTCTCTGTACAATGACTCTGATGGAAATCAGGGAGTTAAACGGTTAGATTTAACATATTCCCTAGGGATATTGTTTTTTAAAGAGCATTAAAAAAACTTTAGCCTTCAAATGTCAGGTCAGTGCTTGAGTTTTCACAGTAGAGTAGAAATGCTACAGAAATGCTGAAGCTATTATCTCTTCAGTTACATGAAAAGTACCTGAATTAGTTAAGATAGGGCAGCAACCTCCTCTGGAGGAAATGAACATGAAGGCTTCACATACCTATTAAGAAAGGTGGCTATGGGAAGCAGTAACACAAAAAGGTGCCAATTTGATTTGAAGCTAAGTAGTGGTTCTCAAGCAGGAAAGACAACCTATGCACAAACACTATGTCTGGAGCAAAGTGCACACAATAAAAGGTAGTCACAGATGCATGGCTCCAAGTACTTTTCAGTACTCTTAAGCAGTGGCAATATAAACAATTGCTCAGTACAGCGAGTTAAAAATGTAGCTTATCACTGCTTCCTACAACATGAACCATTCACTGGCAGCAAAAGAGCTAGGTTAACGCTTCATGAAGTACTAGCAATTCAGTGAAAAATGTTGCCTTTATCAAAGCCAGGTCATTCAACAAGTTAGAAATCTTACGCTAGGAGATGAGTTATGAATATCTACACCTATTACGTCACACAGATGTTTGTTGGTGTTTAAGGGGTTATATGCTACAGGGAGCCTGAGTTAAGACAAGAGGTAAATGGATTTCTTTCAAACAAAAGGTCTGGACTTGCAAATAATTTGGCCAATTCAGATGGATAGCATTCCTCAGTGGCATGTTTGGTAATCAGAATAAGTTGAATTTAAATGTACAAGATAGAGATAAAAAACATATTTACACATGTAGGCAAAGTCTAAGCTTTCATGAGAAAAATAGTTTGAGTTTGGCAGGTCACAATGGGTAAGTTTCTATGCTTGACAAAATTTCTTGTTTCACTTGAAGATAAAGCAGATGAGATTAAAAGTAACATTAAGCAAATCATCATCAGCCACATGGATTCACTACATGGAAAATTTGTCCACCACATTTCTGCTGAATAGAGGTTGGTGTGTGTGTGAAACTCATTTGCAATTATTGTCACAAAGTTTCTTTTTCTGTAAAAAACAACTGCATTGTTGTGCATTAGGACCCACAGAGATAATTAAATTTGGAAGTGCTGTCAACTGAATTTTGGCCTTATATTACCACTAAGTATCCTGAGCTTGCTGATGAAACATTATCAATGCTGCTGCCATTTGGTAGAACTTATCTTTGCTAGAGAGGTTTTCCAGCAAAGACTAATGTGTCACTATTGATCTGAGACTGACAATGATCAAAGCTTTAAAGGTAATTTTCTCATCCCGAGTTTTTTAAAACCAATTCTTGTGTGCCTGTGAATACCTTTTCCAAGCAGCACCCTGCAGCATTGGGTAGGAAAGTGCGGAGGTTATGGGTATAGAATCTTACCCTCCCTGCAGAGGTACTACTCTGCCCTACTCCAAAGGTGCCCAGTGCCCTCTAGGAACCTCTGCTGAAAACAGAATGAACCCTAAATTTCTGTTCATAGGCCTTTAAAGGGAATTGCTTCCATCCTAGGTACTGGGCACCATTCCACAAAGGTTACCATATGTTGGTGGGTGATAGGTTCTTACAGCTTCTGTTGCCATGAAAGTGGAACAAGAGGGTGTCATGGGTGCAGTTCTGCATGCACTGTCTTTTTATGTCATTCTAGTTTTAATTTTTGCCGACAGTTGATTGCAAATGTACAGATCTATGGATAATGCAGAGTAGCCCTACTTGTGTGTCATAGATCCCCATCAGATTTTGCGGTTGCCAGCTGCTTCCACTTTGGTCTACAAGGTGGAAGGTAGCTTCTCCTACAGAAGCAAATTGACCTGGTGATGCCCTGGTGGGCTCTAGTAGGAAACTCCATGCCTACCAGAAGCTTGCGTGAACAAAAATAAACACATAGCTAATGATTGTTACAAAAACCTATGTTTTAAAATATGAACAAAAACAGATACATACTAAAGCAGTGCATTGCTAATATATTGGCCAGCTTCTGCTGCCCTATAGGGGACCAATTTTAAGAGGATTGTGGATACACATTAGAAACACAAGCGGGAGACTTTTGCCCGGAGCAATCAGTAGCAAAGTTGTTTTCTCCCCACCAGCACTGAATGGGATAACTGTGCCCCTGAAGGACCAGGTGTGCAGCCTGGGAGTCATTTTGGACTCACAGCTGTCCATGGTGGCAGGTCACTTCTGGGTCCAGGGCAGCTGTCTACCAGCTCCGTCTGGTGTGCCAGCAGAACCCTACCTGGTTGCGCACCATTTTCCCAGAGTGGCTCATGCTCTGGTTATCTCCAACTTGGGACTACTACAATATGCTCCTTCGAAGGTGACTCCGAAACTACAACTAATCCAAAATGTGACAGCTAGACTGGTGACCACGAATGGCTGCCGGGACCATATAACACTGGTCCTAAATGATCTTCACTGGCCAGTAAGTTTCCGAGCACAACTCAAAGCATTGGTGACCTTTAAAGCCCTAAATGGCCTCGGCCCAGTATACCTGAAGGAGCATCTCCATCCCCATCATTCAGCCCAGACACCGAGGTCCACCTCAGAGGGTCTTCTGCCTGCCTGGGGTTTAGACGGTTGAACAAGAGCATCCATTGGCCATAACAGGACATAAAAATGTCTCTTGCTTTAAAAGGATGAAAAAGCCAACCTTTGAATAGATTTAGGAAAACTATGCAGGCAAAATTTAGTTTGCTACACAGTATTATTAGCATGTTTTAGACTCCTGGTGATTATTTGCAGTTGCTTTTTATTTTTGTGAAATAAGAAGCTGTTGCTGGATCAGACAATTTTTTTGTCTTCCAGAATTGTTTCCACCAAGTTAACCAGATGGCTTTGAGCAGCGCCATGATTATTTTCACATTTGTCCCCCAGAAGCTAATATATTGGGAGTTACATGCAGGATAAATCAAATGCTTTTTAAAAGTAAGCCATTTAAGGTAGTGGCTGTTGCTACAACCTGTGGTATCACGAGGCAATGATCGGGGAATTCTAAGGATGTACCTGCATGCTTAATCCCTGCCAGTCCCTCAAACTAATTTTTGGCCAATGTTCTAGAAGCTGCTAGACTCATCAAGAGCTTAATACATGCCACTTGCACTCCAGCCCTATAGATTATTCTAAAGCATGCATTATGGCATGCTAGTGCACCCCCCCAAAGCATGTTTGTCTTCATTCAGATTACACAAAGATGGGGACCACTCAGAAAGCCTGTCAAGTAATTCCAGCTTCAATATCTATTTTCTTTGGCAAACAAATTTTAAAGAGCAGGCATTTCAACAGATATTCAAGTATCACAATGTTTATTGATAGATACAAGTATATAAAATCAGGGCATGAACATGTCTTGATAAATTAAGTAGACTTAATTTCAATACTATAATAGGGACCAATTCAGTTTCTCACCATTTTATTTCACACCCACAAAGACCACTTCCAAGGGCATTTATCCACCTCTTCAAAATGATCAATTTTGTGCAAGTAAACCATGTTTCTTTTTAAAAAGACTTGTGCACTTGCCCAGGCTCAAAGATATTAAAATCTAGCACATAAAGCCCATTACTAGAGGTAGAAATACAGGCAATATACTATTACGGCAACCACCATCGATTACAGTTAAGGATTCTCTGTAACAACCAAATGGATAATCAAATATTGCAACAACTCAAGTATTACACTGAGCAAAGTGCATTTCTACAGTATTCAGTGTTGCTATTCAGATTTCTAACGAACAGCCTATGGTAACTGGCATCAAAGAAGATCCTTACACAGACTGCTTCTGAACTTATGATGTAATTATTGCATGCTGCTAATACACTGTTATCTAAACATTAAATATACTCTAAAATATTTTTATGGTAGACTATGATTAAGACATACTACAAAAACCCTTATGCAGAAGCAAGTCCTATTGACCTACTGCTGCTTTAAATATTGTGAAAACATTACAGCGGAATGAGTTTTCGCAGTGGTTAGGTCAAATGCAGTTACATCATAGCAACAGTATGTTTGCACAATTTAAGGCTTTGGCTGGTTTAGTCAGCTTCTTCCTCAGATTCTTCTTCCTCAGCAGTTTCCAGCCAGGTCAGCCACTGGTTTACCTGTAATTAAGCCATTATAACATTAACAGTCAAGAATGACAAATGGTTTATCACATATTCATGGAGACTGGCCCTGCACGTTATTAAATCACCACATACTACAAATCAAAGAAAAGTAAATTTAATCATTTTACCCTTTTAGCTTTATATAAATCAAAATTTTGAATTTGTTGGCAAGGCAGATTCCAATGCCCTCGTTTGCCAGCTTTACAGGGTCCAAATACTTCAAATAAATTCCAACTATAGAACTTATTGTAGCAGCAAATTAAGAGATTACAAAGAGATGGTTTACCTGGAACAAAGCTTTGCCCTTCCCTGGAAACTCTTGAGTAATGTCTTCTTTCCATGCCAGAAAAGCTTCTTCTTCAATGATTTCCATATCATAGAAATGAACAAAGAAGCGCAATAACATGCCTAAAAACAAAGCAAGCACAACAATTTTTTTCTGGTTTTTTTTAAACACCAATAGTGCAGATTGCAGTGCATATGTTTGCTAGAATTCTCCCCAAACCCTCACATAACAAGCTGAGGCTCAAGGGCTTTCTCCTGCATGGAGAAACAGAAGATTGAATCCATACCTTTTGGAAAATTGTTGTTGTAGCAGTGCACTTGGAGCGCATACAGGGCACTCACTTGTAGATCAACATGGTCATGAAGGAACTTCTGCATTACCGGCTTAAAGGAAAGAAGCAGCTGTTTTTCTTGCTCCAACTGCTCTTTAGAAGGAGCAGATGAAGAATCTGGTTCATCATTAGGTGGGTTTACTTCACTAGAAATATACTGCAAGAAACTGAAACAATAGCATACGTTTGACTCAACTGTTTATAGACAACCACTGTCCCTGCAAGAAGACATGCACTGTATCTCAAAAGACTAACAAGGACTCCTTGATATAAGTTATGAATTTAAGAGATTTGTGAACCCCAATATTAACCCCACATATTATAAAGCACACCTACTTAAAGCAAGGACATTCATGGTACAGAACTGCTTTAAGATGTGCATCTTACCTGGTCATCAAAATATTAACAAATCCCTTATCTACATGAAGTTTCGGTGAAATGTTGTCTTTAATCCATTTATAGATCGCTTGAGGGGATGGATCCAACTTTATTTGCTTTAAGAGCTCCTTTTCCAGTTTTAGAAGTGGAAACAAGAAGCTAAGTCCTTTTCCTTCCAAGATCTCCAGCATACGATCCTTATTCTGGTCAATCTCTGTAACAAATTATTTTTAAAAAATCCAAATTAACATTCAGGCTTGTCACCTAACCCAATGTTGTGGCCATCCCTGCTTTTGTTCACAATCTGAAGAGTTAAGTCTTTAATGTGTTATTTCCCAACTTTTTATGTATTAGGCCCAGTTACAGTCTTAGAAAAATAAAAATAAATGAAACAACATTTTGTTCCCTTACCAGGCAGCATCTTCTGCATATTGACTTTGCTCTGTTGGAAGAGTTCTGTTAGCCATTCACGGTCCTGTAGCTTAGCTAACTGCTGAAGGCAAAGCAAGAAGAGGGGGAAATGGGTGCCACTTTCCAATGGTTGAGCTAGTTCTGAGATGCTCACTAGTTCTGAGATTATGGCACGGGCTGCAAACTGTGCTAGATAGGATTTTACCAGAGGGATGTCTACCTCCAGTTTAGGACACTGGTCCAATACATTTAGGAATGCCTGAAAGAAAAAGAAGAAAAATTTGTTTGCATTCATTATCTTTTTATTACATGTCCACACGTTAGGGCAGCCAAACAATGTAAACAAAGAACAAGTCTAGAGATCTCAAATATTCAAGTGGGCATCCAGAGCCTGCTACATGCTTCCACCTCCAAGTTCCTTCCTTCCTACTAGTTTCCAAGCCATTTAAAACTGGGGGGGGGACGGGGGACGGGGAACGACACCTTTATTCACATTGGGAGCCAAATGCCATTTTGCCAAAAGAAAAAGCGGGCAGGGCTATGGATGTAATTTTTGTATAGCTACACAAAACTCAGATTTCTGTACACCTCCACTGAGCCAATCTAGAACTATTATGATAATTTAAGGACACAATTCAGCCAGGTATAGAATAGGGCCACTTGGGAAGGTGGTGTTTCTGGAGAAGAGCCCCAAAGGCCAGGCTGGGGCCTACAGGGCTGCACTTTCCCCCAGGACCTGAGGTTAAAGGGTTGTTCCTGATCCAATCTTTTTATGTCACCTTTTTTTTGGAACTGGAAGGACTTTTGTTTATGGCTCTGCCCATTATGCAGTCCACAACAGAATATCCTTGAGAGAGCACAGAGCAGCAGATCTGGACTGGAAGTACTCAAGGAGATGGGCTGTCCATCCCGCTATGAAGGGGGACGTATCATAATCTGGATCAGCCTGCCCAGTAGAGTGAGCAGTGGACAGAACAACCTATCCATGGATCCCCCTTCACTGAAATAAGAGGTCCTACTCAGTTTTAAGACACAGATCACCTATATGAATGGGGAAAAGATGCTTAATCAAATGATTAAAAAGCACAATATATATAATGAGACCACAAAAGAGCTCAAAATTATTACAAATATAGTACCTGCATGAAGTTGTCACTAGTGGCTATCCCTTCCTGCTTAAGTAAATTGATCAGAGCACTTGCTTTTTCTTTATCTTCATCTGATCGATCCAATGATTGAAGTATTACTTTGCTTAGCATCTCAGGGATAAAGTGTTTTGGCGCCCTCATTTCTCTCACACCATTGACTGCATCGTTGGCATTTCCATTGTTCAGATATTCAGTTACAACAGTTTCCTGAAAGAGAAAAATGCTTGCTCTTAATAATGATAGCATTATTTATTATACTTGTTACCCAAAGGTCTCAAAGTGATTTATAACACAGTTAAAAACAAATAAACCATGCTAGACCATAAAACAGAACAAAAAGCCCACTCCTGTAACAGCCATAGGAAGCTGGAAGCTGCCTGCACAAGAATACTTAGTGAAACTTACTGTCATTTTGAGCAACTCTTCCTTAGAAGGTGGTGGCTTTTTAGTTGTCTTTGCAGGTTTCTCCTGGATAAGTGGTGGATTTGTCTTGAGACCAAGCTGAGGTGGCTTGAAAAGTAAAAAGCCCTCATTAGAAAATTAAACAAGTGACAAAGTGTTATTTACTCAGAAACAATTTAAGTTGCTGGATTCAAACTCTGAATTATTTGGCCACACAACTCTCAAAACGGACATGGACCCACTACCAGGGTGTTGTGCCCAAACTTCCTAGAGTACCCACAACAAAGGACCAAAATTCCACAATGAAAGCCAGCACTTTTCTATTAGGCCTAATCACACACATGTTCTGTTCAAAAAAATCATTTAAAAGTCACCTTTGGTGGGCAGGGTGCACCCAAGGTGGTGCAGAACAGTATTGAAACGTTCCAACACAGGAGCATAACTATTATCTAAGGGGTTGGCCAGCTGCAAACAACAAACTGATTTAGCTTCCCATGGTAGAGGAGGGAGGGGGGGAAGCAGCTCAAGCTTTTAAAACATGCTTGGAAATTTACAGCATGGAAACCATGCACACCTCTGTGGCAAAGAGAGTTCCATAATTTAGGGTCACAAGAGAAGTCTCCAAGTTTACTTCAACATACTCCCAAACAAGCAAGCATGGGGAGAAAAGGGTCCTGCTGTAAAAGCTTTTGGTCTTCTGAACACTTAAATATAAGGACAGACTTGCTGAAGACATAAGCTGCAACTCTCTTATGGAGAGTCTTATTCAGGATACTGTGTTCTCAATCCCCACAGCCACATTAAAGGTAGTGGGCTGCCAGGTTACTATTAAAATTTCTATACCTTCATCTTCATCTGGGTGGGTTATATTAAACAGCACACACAATAGTTAAGAAAAGCGATACTCCCCCTGCCATAGCTTAAAAGGCCATAGATTGTTTGTCAAATGCCTGCATGAACAGGAATGTTTTTGCTTGGTGCCTAAAGATATGTAATGAAGGCGCCATGCAAGCCTCCCTGGAGACAGCATTCCACATGCTCCAGGCAAGTGGTCATAATTCTCTAACTTTCCACCCAGCTACAACATTAACCACAGCTGTCATCCATGGGTAACTTTACCTGTCCCAAAGGTGGTGTCTGAGTACGTGGTGGCTGTGCACTGGGAGGAATCATAGTTATCTGGGGCTGAAGCTTTGGCACTTGGTTTTTGTTTATTAGGAAAGATTGAGCAGGCCTCAGGCTAATCTGTGGAGAGAGAGGAGAGGTTAAGAATTCTGCAGCAAGAGTTCTGTTAGTGTTGTAGCGAGTGTTGCACGTTATCCACAAGCATTTAATAAGCCTCAGCAACAGCATGACTAAGTAGGGAACTAGTTTTGAGGGAGATGCCATTTTACCATGGCCCTTTATGCCCCCAACCATTATCTGAAATTTTCAGTGTACTTCAACTGCTCTTTCTTTATGAACATATTGCCCTCATATCTCATAATCTTGTTCACAGGACACTGGAGACTCCCGGGGGAGGGGAGAAGGAAGAAGAGGAAAAGGGGCAGGCGGAAAGAGAAAAAAGAGAAAAAAGTTAAGAGGCAGAAGTTAGGGAGGGAGTTCCAGCATTGGTCCTCATAATAACGCGTCTTTTTATAATCATCGGGCATTTCATTTAGGACCAAGTCTGTTCAGACTTAAGTGTATACCTCATCTGCATTAAGCTGTCCTTTCTTAGAAAACCGTGGCGGCATATCCTTGGACGACCCTTGTTGTTGGGATAGAAGTCCCTGATTCTGATTATGGTATAGTTGGCTTTGCCCCTGTTTTCAAGGAGAGTGAAAGGGAGATGAAGACCACCACATCCCAGTACTTGCTCTTTTTATATAGTGTTAAGTGTCTAAAGTACTTCACGTGCATTCTTTACAACAATACTGTTAAGGTCAGTATTATCTTCGCTATCAAGAGATAATAACAATTCATTTCAAAGCAAGGAAGTAATGTATGTTAAGCTACTTTGGAGATCATTTTGATAGAGTGAGTATAAATATGTGTGATGCAATGGCTTGCTCAAGCATGGCAGAGGTGAAACACGACCTGGGAACTTTTTGGTTCACAGCTCAATCTTTACAACCACTAATGCGGATTCATAAGATACAATAGTTACTTCAGACAAATGATGGCAGAATTTTAGTTTTATCAATTGTGGAACAGAAAGCCTTGGAACCTACTACTTGAGTAGGAAAGAATTAATTGTTAAGAGCCTTCTGTGAAGCTTATTTAACATTAAGCAACGTATTAAATTATTTATCCTTCTTATCGAGGAATTTGCAAGAATCAGATGCGTAGTATTGCTTTCACTAAGATCACTTACTGGATTTTTCAAAAAGGATTTGCCTAGTTCTCCAAACTGGGATTGAGCAGGGGCCATGAGGTGTCCCCCATGGCCATTGAAAAGTTGATTTGACCGATGTCGCCCCATGGTGGGTGAAAATCTATCTTGAATAACTCCTGGACCAGTACCAATTCCGCTACCTGTTTAATAAAAACAAACAAACAATCAATCAGCCTACAGTATCTTAACATAGCTACATAAAGTGCATTGAAAAGATATTATTACTTCCTAAAGTTGAAGGAATTACCAGGCATTTGTCCAAACATATCAGCAAGCCCTCCAAGTGGATCCCTGTCAAGTTTCATCCTGGGTGGCATGAACGGTCCCTCCAGAAAGAAGTCACTTCTCATTCCTTGAGACATAGGAGGAGGAATAAAAACTCCCAGATCCTTAAAAACAAAATGTTAAATTATGTAATTAAGTTAAAACAGGAGATCCCAAGTCTATGATAAGTAGATACCCACTGGGATAGATCCAGATATAAGCACATGTAATAAAGGTTCATAGAAGCAAACCTCCCTGCCTCTCCTCACTGCGGCCGGTAACCCACCACTCCAAAGGTCAAGTAACCCCAGCCGAATGGGGTGATACGGCACAGCTGATTCCCAGTAGCTGAGTGGGGACAACTAGAGCGTGAGCTCTGCCCATGCAATCAGTTTTCATCCGATTTTCAGGTAATACCCCGCCACCGTCCCGTTCCCAATACCACAGCTCATCCTATTCAGCAGGGTTCCTCAACCAGACAGCAGCATGTCTGTTGAGCCACATACCTAAGTACAGCATTTGCCTAGATAAATACGTACTTTCACTGCATCTTGACGGATTTGATTGATAGTCTTTGGTCCATTGTCAAGAAAAGCTTTGCGAGGAACCCAACGGTGTTCTCTCAACTCCACAGTATCCTTAAATAATAAAGAAACAGAATATTAAGTTCAAGGATATATGCCAAAAATACATAACCTGCCAAAATAAACAATTTTATGCTCTTACCTGCAGCAGGAAACGAATCCTTGCCGGCAATTCCTTACTCATCATCAAGGAGCGCATACGGGCAAAGTACTGATCCATTAAGGACTGTTGAGAGAAATTTGCAATGTGTATTCAAGTGAAGGGCTTACAACATACATCATCAGAAGCAAGCTTCTTTAAAATTTATACAGAGATTGGAACCAGAACATTCTACGTACAAGTCTAAATAAGACCAGAGGAAATGTCTTGGTTCTGGCCTTCAATTTTTCCTAGTTAACAGTCCTGCTGTAAAGCAGTTATTTACTACTGAACATTTTACAGTGCAAGTTCATCAATGTCTACTCCAGACTGACATAGCAATACTTCTGTATAAAATAATAAGCTGCCATAAATAAAATACAGCACACAAAACCATTATACTGTTTCCTAAGAGCATAAACATAAAAACTACAAGACAGCAACAAACCTACGCAATTTAGGCAATGCTTACCTTGGCTTTTGCATGGTCTAGTCTAGGTCCTACTGTCCTCATTATCTGACAGAGGCACTCCAAATCCTCTCCCATATCCTTGAGTTGGACTCTCTTCTTCTTTTCCAAAAGCTGATTTTTTTAAAGCAAAAAAATTAAAATTGCACCTACTAACTCGTTTTTTGTTACCATTTCAGTACATGTCACATAAAATCTCACTAAACTAAATATCAATGTAATATCACTGTGCCATTGAGAGCGTGCTCACTTATGGCTTATGTGTGTGGTACGGAAGCTGTACTACCCAGGACAGGATGGGGTTGTGCAGGGTTGTTAAGGCAGCAGAGAGCATTGTTGGCTGCCCACTCTCCACCTTAGAGCAGATTTATGCCACAAGGTGCCATAGGAAGGCACTGGACATAGTAAAAGATCCATCGCATCCTGGTCACTGTCTCTTCGAGCTCTTGCCGTCGGGACGGAGATACAGGACGATGAAGACAAGAACGAGCCGTCTTAAGAACAGCTTCTTCTCCAGAGCGATCTCGGCCCTGAATGGGAAGCCCGGACTTTGAAAGTCATCTAATCTCCCTTGCTGTATTATACTGTATTGATTAATTAGTGTTTTTATGGAGCAGTCAAGTAATTTCGTTGTCCCCGAAGGGGGCAATGACAATAAAGATATTATTATTATTATTATTATTATTATTATTATTATTATTATTATTATTATATGTTGCCAGTTATTATTCCACATATAATTAGAATTTTCTGCCTAAATGAAGAAAAAGCACCACTTACTGTTTTGATGCACTTATGAAGGATAGATTCATGAATAAGATCAAGCTTGCCAAGTTCTCCAATGAATTTGATGTTTCCCAGCATCTTGATCTTAGCAATGGCTCTCTGTTCCTCCTCCTCGGGGAGGAGGGGGGCATCATGCTTATCATAGACTTTAAAAAAGAGAGAGATAAGAGATGTTGTTCTGTTTGTATAACATATGAAGCAAAACAGGAATTACATTAAAATTTTTTCGAAGTCTTACTATCAACATTTCTGGTGCGGTTTTCAAATTCATCCTGAAGTTTAGAAATTAAGAGGCGTCTGAATGTCTAGAAATAAAAAGGCAGTAATTTAACACCTTGTAGTTACACAAAACTAATTCTCACATTGGCATTAGTCTGACAAGACGTTTGTACTCACTGTGCTTTGCTTCTGTCCTGGATGACACTCTGCTGATGGGCCATCAAAGTTGGGTGCATCTTCTGCCAGTCGCAGACATAGTTGAGCATATAGCGAGCTATATTTTGGCTCTTCAAGGGCTTTGTCTACGATCTAGAGAAAAAGGCTTTCCCGAATTATTTGGAAGAACCAGAGTATAAATAACTCTTCAGCAGCAGATCCTATGTTGCTTCATTTGTGCATGATATGCTAAGTGCACAGCTGCAGGTTCAACACCACCCTTTCCCTACCCCCTTCCAATGTTAGCAATCAGTGCAATGCAAGCATATTGGCTATTCACTAAATTTCAAGACACAAGGCTTACTTTGATGTGACTGTAGCACACACCCATAGATACCCTAACTCTGGGATCCCACAATGAGTAAGAGAAGCAAAGAGCTGGCTTTTATTTGACTGGTTGCCAGACTGCCTTAGCAGTGCCCCACACTAGGCAAATTATTTTGTTGTTTCTCAACTGGTGAGGACAGTTGTGGGATACCAGATAACCATACTCTTGCCTCCCCATCCATCCAATGTTGTCATAGAGCTGGATGCAGAGGTTGGGATATCTGTGGAGCTACACTCATTGCTCCAATACAGTGCAAGAATTGTTCCTCAAGATGTAAGATAATGCAATGATAAAAACCTGAAAATTTTTGTTCCGAAGAACTAAAATTGTTTACAATAGTATTTCATCTCAAATAGTTATAAAAGGGTTTATAAACATTTTCTGTTTATGCAAGTCAAATTACAAACTAATCTGGTTTACTTAAGTCTCTTCTATAAGTGGTCACAAGGATCATTGTATCAGCTCATGAAAATGCAACACTACTTGCTAAGTGAAGAAAGGTTGCAAGCACAGATAAACACAGTGGTTGCTCAGACAACCACTGACCAGACCCAAAGTTGCTGTTTGTAGAAACTTCATTTGGGGTGTAGTTCCTCTTTAGAACAACTTTATTTCACAACTGAAGCATAATTGGATTGGATGAAAAGGTCTGTGATGTTTTGAGTCCTCCTGCTATCCCCTTTAATGGACATTAGATAAGGGACTCTATCCAATCTGGATCAAGCGAGGAACAGTGCTAAAGCTGTTATAGATATGTAACTTTCAAGCTTGTTCCCCCCCCCCACGTTACACCTGCATTATATGGTAGAACAATTACTTTTTTTAATCATAACTTTTCTAATAAGTGTATATTCACTTACCAGCAGTATGATCCCCTTTAGGATGAGCTTAGACTCTACACCCACATTGAGGAGCTCAAGGCATAGCTTGTCAAACTTTTCAGGAGTAAGCTTATTTAATATGCTGAAAGGAAACAAAACAAGGAAACTGTATAAGCATCTCTGCAGAATCCCTTTTTTTATAGCTTTGTCTATTATAAAGGTAAAGGGACCCCTGACCATTAGGTCCAGTCGTTGCAGCGCTCATCTCGCTTTATTGGCCAAGGGAGCCGGCGTACAGCTTCCAGGTCATGTGGCCAGCATGACTAAGCCGCTTTTGGCGAACCAGAGCAGCGCACGGAAACGGCGTTTACCTTCCCGCTGAAGCGGTACCTATTTATCTACTTGCACTTTGACGTGCTTTCAAACTGCTAGGTTGGCAGGAGCTGGGACCGAACAACGGGAGCTCACCCTGTTGGGGGGATTTGAACCACCGACCTTTTGATCGGCAAGTCCTAGGCTCTGTGGTTTAACCCACGGCGCCACCCGCGTCCCTTCTGTCTATTATAGGTGGCTTTAAAAAATGTCTAGGAATCCATAACCAGTACCAGCTTTTCCTAACAGTTTGTGTTCCAATGCAATTTTTGCAGGAAAAGTTGCAAACATATTGTGTATTCTATCTATTTTGTACTGAGCTTGCATAAATAAAGCTTCCATCATCAACTCGCTGAGGCGGTGTGGTGGCACCAAATATAGAGCTACTCAAAAACTAAGTAGATTACAGTTCAACTTCTGTGAAGGAACATGAGTATTGCTGGTTTAAAACCCCACGGTAGGACAGGCTGAGGACAGCGAAGGATATAAGAAAACTAAGTTACAAAGATACTGAAGCAAGGGAGTACAGCAGATAACAAAACCAAAACTATAGTAAGGACAGATGAATATAGCTTGAAACAAGCAAGAGACGACTTGGGCAAACCTTCACAACATTTAAAGCCAGGAAATATGCTAAGGGCAGGAGGAAAAGAATTAGATCAAAAGATAGGGGCTGGAATTCAATGCCACATGCTCACAATCCCCCTCTCCCTCCTGTGCACTGTTCTAGAGTTTGTTCCAACCCATGTCTCAATTTTTGGAGCCCAGTGGGCATGCAGACAAATGAGAAAACCCCATTGCAAAAGCACAAGTATTTGCAAAAGGCCTTCACTGATGGGCCTGGTTAGGTGAATCCCACCATGGGTAATCAGAAGTAGGTGATGGCAGTTTTCTGAATGGTCCTACTATTGCAGCAGTCAAAAAAGCGTAAGATAGGAGGCACATCCCTTGCTTTGTGTGCCTGACAGGTGGGGTACCTGTCAAAACTCTAGGCTAGCTTTAAGTTTTTTAGATGGGTCTCGGCGCAGGTACAGAATCCATTTAATAGACCGCACAAAGGTCATGCAGAAGAAGCAATAATCTAAATAAACCATGGGTGGCAGAGACATGAAACTACTAAATGCAAGGGCCAAGGAGAATGTGGGACTGGGGCAAAACTGGAAGATTAAGTCTAGCACAGTATGGGCAACCTCAAAGTGTGCAGCTTTCAGAACTGTGGGCTAGGATGCCTGAAGGCACAACAATTTTAGATCTAGGGCCTACACCATGCCAACACATGCTGTTTTTACCCACCAACCTGACCCTAAACCAGCAGCAGCTCAGTAAAAGCTTTCTAGTGTTGCTTTCTGCCTGAAACTGAGTGTCAAGATGATTGTCAAGCATCCTAGGAGGTCACTCAAGATCGGCTGCATTCATCTTGGTGGGTCATAACTTGGGCATGCCTGATCCAAGTGTCCAACAGGGAATACTGCCAGTAATTGCTGCAGGATTGTGATCTAACCAAATATGGTTTAAAACGAACAACCAAAAAAAGCAGCACATCGGGAAGTGCACTTCACATATTGATCTGTAGGTATCAGTCGATTCTTGGCCGTAGGCTTCTACTCACAGTTCCTTTTTCTCAGAACTTACCCTCTTACTTTCCTGAAGATTGCATCGTGTCTTTCTTTGTCATTTGCGGAGTCGTCATCTCGTCTAGTGCTTCGTGAAGGAATCCATTTCTGAGCGTTTTGCCCTGGGGTTTTCCCCAGGAACTCGCTTTATTTTGTAAACAAAAGAATCAAAGGTTAGAACTCATATGTTCCCGTGTTAATTCAGTACACTTAAGTTCAACTTAAAACTACAATCCACCAAGACCAGCTTTCAAGACTGGATGACATTTCTACCACTCCCTTTTCCTTCTTTTTTACTCCACCTTCTTCAGCAGCATGGATCTCACAAGTAACATATCAACAGATGTGGAACGGAAGTATCATTTGAATAATTCCTGGTTTAAGTTTTTCTGGTGATTGCTACACTGATTAGTTTTCTTTCCAATTTACCACTCAACCAGACTGAGAAATTAACAGCTTTGCAAACTAAACCTTATGTTTCAACTTTTCTTCAATATCCCCAAATGTAGTTTCTCATTCATTTCATGAAGCCACAGCCAAGGTAGTATTCAAAATACTAAGCTGACATACCTGTTGCCGGCAGTCTTGGGATAGTGCTGAGGTGCACCCCTACCTCCTCCTCCGCCCGAAGAAGCACTATTAGAAACAAAGTCCCCAACGTTTGACAGTTAGTTATGAGTTGTTTTGCAACAAAAGCAACTTGTATTAGATTAGTATTTCAGAATCCAACCAACCCAAGGAGTTTTCCAGCAGTGGGACTAGTGTAGGGGAAGAAACAACTTGCTCAGTGGCTTGGGCACAGTACTATTTTCTTGTGCCCCTTTGTATGGTTTTCTGACAGTTATATCCATGTGAGTTGTGGGTCTTGCCTATCTTGATTACACTATTAACAGGGGAGGAAAGGAGTAACCCTGTTGACAAACAAGCTGGCTGCTATTCCCCATGCCCTACAGACTCCCTTGTATAAGGCCCTGAACGGTTCAGTTGCACTAGTGTAATACCACTACTTGCCATGTACATTTGACTGCACTGTTTGCTTCCAACTGCAGATCAAGGTTGTTAAATAACAGAAGGCATTAACAATTAAGCTGCTTTGCTTTTCCATCTACTTCACCATAAAATCTAGTTTTACATACCTGAAACGAGAAGCACCCCCTTCTGCAATCGCACTCTCCACTTTGGCGGCTTGACAATGAAGAATCTTCAAAAGAATAATAAATTGACAGGATAGGGAAAAACAAAACCTAGGAGACAATCAAAGTTTACATTGTAAGTTTCTGATTACCAAAGTCTCACTAGCAAAACAAAAACGATTAAGAGTTAAAGCCCAAAGCTGCAATCCTAACTCCACTTACCTGGGAGTAAGTCACATTGAATTCAACAGGGCTTACTTCTGAACAGACATGTCTAAGACTGCAGTATAAATCAATATACTGTATTGTCAATAACTTAGATCTCTCATCTACTCTGATTAATTTCCTAGAATGTTACTGCCTGCCTATCTATATTTTGCGCACAACATTAATTCAAAACAAAGTCTGCATTATAAATCTCTTCTAAATCCAGGAATCTCGATAAGTGACACACAAGAAAAACTACATATTGTATTTTAATTTTTAATACCCTGTATTGTAGGCTTATGAGAACCAAGCATCAAGTCTGTCTACAGAGGATATGTTTAATATGAACGGTTTAAACTTAAAAGAGGAGAAACTAACAGACAACAGGTCATAAAACCTCCCCCCCCACAGAGAATGGAAACCATTGTAGACACTCTCAAACGGAGCTCCTTTGCTACGACACTTAGCATTAGGCTCTCCGCCCTGCATAGCCCAATCTGGCTTCCAGGAGGCTTACTCCCGAGTAAAGCCGAGATCGGAGCCTTCATTCATGTAGCGCCACATCAGCGCCACACGTGGCTCCCGTCCTCCCAAGGCGGCGGCCTAGCCTTAAAACCGCGTGCGAGGGAGGCGAGACCAGGCGGCATGGCTACTGCCAAACAAAAGGCGGCGGAAGCGGCCCACCCACCCGATCTCCCAACAGGCACGAGCCCGCCCCAGCCCCCGTCCTCCCCAACCCACCCCCGGCCCTTCCCTCCCCGCGGGCCGCAGGGCACCGCCCGTTTGCAGGCTCGGCGCCCATCCGGAGACTAGGCCCGCTCTTTGTTCTCGGCGGCCAGGCATAACCCGACCGGCGGCCAGCCGCCGCGCTGACTGAGCCCAAAGGGCGGGGGACGGGACTTTTCCCGGGCAGCAGGAGATGGAGACACGTATTAAGAAGATGTGGGGGCCGCCGGGTGGGGCTGGCGGCGGCGTTTCTCCCAGTCCCACAGAACAGGAGGGGGGGCTCCGAAAATGAACCACCAGAGGTACTACTCTCCCTCTTGCCCTTCTGCAGCGCATGAATAGGTTAGGAAGAGACACCGCAGCACATCGGCGTCGCACCTTCATCGCGCGACGCCGGCTGCTCTCAGACAAAGGCAAGGCCTTCCCAGACGCCGGCTGAGGGAACCGGGATCCCGGCGGCGGCCGCCATTTTGCGCCTCAGAGCGAACGTGCAGCAGCGAGGACAAGATGGCGGCCGTTTTAGGCAGCGGCCATTTTGCGTGTTGGCAGCCTGGTCCCGGCAGCGTTCCTCGTTTCCCCACCCGCAATACCGGCGCCGGAGCGCTCCTAGGTACCAGCAGAGAGGGCTCCGCCGCCGCCCGCCCGCAACCCATCACCTTAACCAACAACAAAGATCCCCTCACCTTCCCTAGAGTCTCGTCAGCGTCCCCAGGACCGGCGGCGGCGAGGGCTGGGGAGAGGCGAGAGAAGGGAGGGGGAGAGGGAGCCGGGGATCGGGGCTGGGGTAGGGAGGGGGGGAGAGCGTAAATGGCAGGACGGGCCTCCGAGTCACCACAGCAGCCACCGAGCGCTTCCCTCCGTCACCTCCATAGAGATCGGACCAACTCACCGCCGCTTCTAGCGCGTACTGAGACAGCCCCACTAACTTTATTACACAGCGCGCAGCCAAACCCTCCTTAGCATGCCGGCTACCAATCGCCGAGGGAGACTCTGCCAAGGCGGCCAATCACAAGGAGAGAAAGGGGCGGGCACAGAGCTGAGGAGGCGGACGAGGTACGGTTGGTTGACGCGAAGCAGCGCCGCAGTGCAGCACCACATTCACAAAGACAGGCACAGTCTCGAGTTAGCGTAGAAAACAACCTCGGGTGGCAGGTTGCGCAAATGGCGCACCGGGTCAATTGGGGCAGCCTGGATGCCTTTCTTCCCCTTCCCCATCACCGCGTTTCCTCCAGTAACAGAAACTGGGAGGGAGAGGCAGTTATGCCCGTTTCTGGCAAGCAGCCCGGCTATTTTCTCGTTGTATCACAAGCCTCCCCGCCCGTATCCTGCGTCCAGTGCTACGGAGATTTCCCTGGATGTGGTTTTCTGGCAAAACCGCCCCATGGCTTTGTTCTGATGCCTAAGAACTGCAGGATTAAGGCACTACATTAGGAAGTAGCAGTGATTGGTCATGTGCATGACCCGTGTCTGAAAATTAACCGTGGTCCGATGCTAATTCACAAGGATAGGTGAACATGGTGTGGGGGCATTTTCAGAACAATGTGAGTGTACCAGCGTTGAAGATCTGAAAGCTATCCTTGCTCTATTTAGTACATCCTTCTGTGCCCAGTATCTGTAGTCATCGAAACTTATTTCATAGGGTTGAGCTGATGAACAGCATTCTAGAAAAAGTGCTCAAGGCTCCAGCTTTTGGCTCTTACTGCAAGTGCACTTAATAATGTATGAACTTAGAAAAAAATAATAATTTCAGCAAGGCTGTGCATCTATATTGGGCTCACTATCAAGGTGTTGAAAATGCCACAGGGTGTAGTACTGCCTGCTACCTATCCCATTTCCCACAAAATGGAAGCATTTTGAAAGGGAAAAAAAGAATAAATCCAAACTTCGTATGCTATGTTTTAAAGGCAACATTTTGATTTTTAAAAATAAATAAATGTCGAATTGTACTATATGAACATAGGTACAGTGGTACCTCGGGTTACATACGCTTCAGGTTACATACGCTTCAGGTTACAGACTCCGCTAACCCAGAAATAGTGCTTCAGGTTAAGAACTTTGCTTCAGGATAGGAACAGAAGTCGGGCTCTGGCGGCGCAGCAGCAGCGGGAGGCCCCATTAGCTAAAGTGGTGCTTCAGGTTAAGAACAGTTTCAGGTTAAGAGCAGACCTCTGGAACGAATTAAGTACTTAACCCGAGGTACTACTGTATTCCTGACAGAAAATTGCAATATCTTATCCTTTATAAAGTGACAATACATATTCAGTATAGATTAAAATTATTGGTGACGTTCTAACCATAGTTACACAATGATCCAAAACTTGTGCAATATTACATGAATTCACTGCTCATATGACTCAAGAAGACATGAATCTAAATGTCTAACACATACCGGTAAATTGCAGTTGCGAAACAGATTTCCATTTTGTAACACAGTGCAGAGTGTCTTGTAGAAAACTTGTTCAGGTTCTAGAGTGTAAGGATGTTAAATACACTAGAATGCCCATGCAAAGAGTACAAATAAGATATTCCTCTAGGGTTTTGTATAACTCAGTAGCTAAAGATACGTCTATGATATCTCAAAAGCTGTTCGCTTAAGGGAGCATTGATGGTCTAGGTCTAGGATGGATGGTGGCTCCTAGCTATAGCTTGCACCCTACCTGCTGGTATGGTCTCGCTTGCCAGCTTCCCATAAGCATCTGGTTGGTCACTGCGATGTTGGAGTAGATGGGCCTTTGGCCTGATCTAGAAGGGCTTCTATTACGCTTTTATGTTAACTAGAGAGAAATGTAGTCATCAAAGAAATAGAAATATGAGATTTTGCAGTTGGCCAGCAAGAAGCTGAGGGCACCTGTTTGCTTCTGGGGATTTTGCTTTAAATGTTAGCATTGGTTGTCTGATGGACTATCTATTCTCCTATGCTCTGTTTGTAAACATCATAAGTCAGGACTCTTCCCGTCACAAGAAAAGTATATTTTAAGAAGTTCTCTCTCAGAATTTACCACCATTTGGAGTAGTGTGGTATACCATACAAAATATTTGTTGTTCACTTGCCTTGCCACCTCTTTCTTCTTTACTCCTTTAGGGGAAAGAGGTAATGTACTCCCACAGGATTCATGTAAATGTCACGAGCACACTATCAAGCAACATGAAAGGTACATTACTTGCCCCTTGCTCCTTGGAATATGGTTTGCTGCATATGCTTAGATATCATTCTATTAGCTCCTGGATAAGTAGAAATAAAGCACTTTTCATATGATTCAGCAATGGTGGGTGAACACCTACACCATCAAAATCTCTATACAACCTCCCTTTGATATGCTTCCCTTACAAAATTTACCTACTTTACACACTCTGCTTTAAACAGTCCAGAAGTAGCCTAGATACAGAAATATAAGGTAAAGAGGAGGTTGAGAGGAGATATGATAGCCACCTTGAAAAACTAAAGAGCTGTCACAGGGAAGATGGAGCAAGCTTGTTTCTCCTGCTCCAGAGGCTGGTACCCAAACCAATGGATTCAAGTTACAAGAAAGGAGATTCCAACTAAACATCAGGAAGAACTTTATGACAGTAAGAGCTGTTTGACAGTGGAATAGACACCAGTGAGAGGTGGTGGCCTCTCCTTTCTCGAAGGATTTTAAACAGGCTGGATGGCCATCTGCCATGTATTATCTAGTTGAGATTCCTGCATTTCAAGGAGTTGGACTAGATGACACTTGGGGTTCCTTCCAACTCTACAATTCTATGAGTCTGTGAGATTTTCAAAATTTTGATGGCTGGAACAGACTTTAAGATAGTTTTCAGATGATATTGTTGGCCTAAAGCTATATAAGCACTGATGTGTGTGTGTGTGTGTTTAACTTGAATGCCACCCTTCATCTGAAGATCACAGAGTGGTTCACAACAGAAAAATACAAAAGGAGAACACAACATACATAACGAAACAAAAACAAAAACAAACCAATAATTCCCCCCTGCCCTAACACATTTAAAAGGCCATAGAAAGTTAATCAGCCAAAGGCTTGGTTATAAAGAAATGTTTTCACCTGGTGCCTAAAGACATGTAATGAAGGCGCCAGGTGAGCCTCCCTAGGGAAAGCATTCCACAAACGGGGAGCCACCACAGAAAAGGCCTGTTCTTGTGTTGCCACCCTCCAGACCTCTCGTGGAGGAGGCATACAAAGAAGGGCCTCACGGCATTGATGCCCTGTTAAATTGTGCAATAAATATTTCCAGGTGATGGATCAGCTTCTCCCAAAGATAAAAGTTCCGCTACATAAACATAAAATAAGGCACCTCCTAGTATAGTTCCTGCTATAGCCAGCATTGCTTCAACTACTGATCCAGGGAGGGAAGTCACTATCTTCCCAATTTAAGTGCCCCTGTCAGTTGATTCTTTGGGGAGAAACTTCATCTGCCTGTCCTGTGCCCTACTACTTCTCTGCTGACACAGAGAGGGTTGAAAACTCTGAAACTAGCAATCAGTTTGCCAATTTCGCTTTGCCTTTACATGGAAGACGCCTCCTTGTAAAGGCAGAGTGGCAAGCCGTGCTTCACCCTGCCCCCAAAATGATGTTATCTGCTCAGCTTGAGACATATATTTTAAAGCAAACTGACATTTTTCTTCACCTTCATTGCTGCAGTGTAGGCCTTCAAGGAAATTTTGCCTTGAAGCTATAGCACAGGCACCCCCAAACTCGGCCCTCCAGATGTTTTGGGACTACAACTCCCATCATCCGTAGCTAACAGGACCAGTGGTCAGGGATGATGGGAATTGTAGTCCCAAAACATCTGGAGGGCTGAGTTTGGGGATGCCTGCTATAGCAGGACTCACTGCAGCATATCCATGGGGCTATGTTCTAGAACTGCAATGGTTGAGAGCTGTCCAGGTAATGGAAATGTGTGGGGTTACATACTATATAACCAAACATTCTTAAGTCCCAGAACAGGTGAAATAGTAATAATGTTCCTAGCATCTTAGATTTGGGTTGGGGAAGGTAGGGCAATCACACTACAGCTGTGACAAAAGTTCAACTACAGAGGTACCTCAGGTTAAGTACTTAATTCGTTCCGGAGGTCCGATCTTAACCTGAAACTGTTCTTAAACTGAAGCACCACTTTAGCTAATGGGGCCTCCTGCTGCTGCCGCGCGACCAGAGCACGATTTCTGTTCTCATCCTGGAGCAAAGTTCTTAACCTGAGGTACTATTTCTGGGTTAGCGGAGTTTGTAACCTGAAGCGTATGTAACCTGAAGCGTATGTAACCTGAGGTACCACTGTATTGCTACAAGCAAGCACTCAGAATAGTAAGCACCTGGGCAGAGGGGAAACAGAAATGCAGTAAGAATAGGTAAGTAGTACCCATATTGGAGAAAAGAGCTAGTGTGGAAACACCCTTAGTACAATAACCAGACCAAGAGCAAGATCACCCACATATTACAATGAAGGCTCTGATACTAAACACATTTACTAGGAAGTAAACCTGAGCACAATGAGACTTGACACTATTAACAAGCTTAGGCTTGTACAGCAGATCACATAATATTCTAAAGACTGACTCATGCCATCTATGGCTGGAAAAAACATGATGCTGTATGCCAGGAGATCTTCCGTTTCTATCATAGTTCCTAAAATGTGGCTGACGTGACAGACTGGATCCCACCCACCCCTTAAAGTCAAAGTGAATTACTTTCTAAAAGCCAGCATCTAATTCCAAATACATGACACACTGCTGAAGAATGGAAAATAGGACTCTGGCAAAACCATAAAACCTTAGCAATATCATAGAAATCCTATACAGTATGCATGAGAAACTGTATATGGAAGAGTTGGCAGGATTCAGGTGAACTTGATTATTAAAGTCTGCACCACCAGTGTGCACCATGAAAGCAGACATCCCATCAATGTGGTCCTTCACTGACGCAAGAGTAG